CTTCAAGGAGATCATCTTCTCCAACACGGTGCAGTCCATGCGCGTCATCCTCGAGGCCATGGAGTCCCTGGAGCTGCCATTGGACGACCAGCGCTGCGAGTACCACGTCCAGACCATCTTCATGCAGCCTGCGCAGATCGAGGGCGACAGCCTGCCCCCGGAGGTTGGCAACGCCATCTCCACCCTGTGGAAGGATGCCGGCGTGCAGTCTTGTTTCCAGCGCTCGCGCGAGTACCAGCTGAACGACTCGGCCAAATAGTGAGTCCATCTTTCTCATTTCGCATCGCGACTTTCGGCAAGTTGCACCTCACCGTCGGACGGTTACTGACGCCCGAGCCCCCCTATAGCTACTTCGACTCCATCGACCGTATCGCTGCTCCCGACTACATTCCTAACGACCAGGATGTCCTTCGCTCGCGTGTTAAGACGACCGGTATCACCGAGACGACCTTCATCATCGGCGATCTTACCTACCGTATGTTCGATGTCGGTGGTCAGCGTTCGGAACGTAAGAAGTGGATCCACTGCTTCGAGAACGTCACCACGATTCTCTTCCTGGTCGCCATCTCCGAGTACGACCAGCTGCTTTTCGAGGATGAGACTGTGAACCGTATGCAGGAGGCGTTGACGCTTTTCGACTCCATCTGCAACTCGAGATGGTTCGTCAAGACGTCCATCATCTTGTTCTTGAACAAGATCGATCGTTTCAAGGAGAAGCTGCCCGTTTCGCCCATGAAGAACTACTTCCCCGACTACGAGGGTGGTTCCGACTACGCTGCGGCCTGCGACTACATCCTCAACCGGTTCGTGTCGCTGAACCAGCACGAGACCAAGCAGATTTACACGCATTTCACATGCGCCACGGACACCATGCAGATTAGATTCGTCATGGCTGCCGTCAACGGTCAGTACCGGTTTTCCCGTGCGTGTCGCATCCAGCCGCTGACTTTTTCGCAGACATCATCATTCAGGAGAACCTCCGTATGTGCGGTTTAATATGAGGAGCGTGATACCCGAACGGCTCCGGCCGAGCATATGGAACCGACGATTCGTCAAGACCATAGACCCCGGAGGATACGTCTTGCCAGCAGGGCAAAGAAATGTCATAAATACGGCGTTTGAAAGTTCGTGGGTGCCTTTTACCACACGGCATTTGCGATTGGGCTTTCTTGTCTTTTGTTTCGCGCTTTCATTTCAGAGTGTCCTTTTTTGATTTTCTTTTTATTAACGGCAGGAGCAGCGGCGGCGGCGGTTGATACCAGTTTTCTCAATCTTCTACGAGGACCCTAAAAGCGGAGGATTAGGCCACGCCTCTGTCCTGGTCACTTCCACTATTTTGCAGTCCTGGTTTATGCACGAGGACGACACTTCTTTTCTGCGCTTACATTACCCGCGAGGGAGGATAGATCCGGCCTGAGGCAGTACAACGGATTCACGTACCCGTCCTCCTTCCTCCTTGGCGAGCCGCACCTTTTCCTTTAATGTTCTGTGTTTCCGTAGGTTTGGGCAACGTAGTCGCGACAAAAGTGATGCGACTTGGCTTATGCATGATATTATCTCGAAAATAATACCACTATACGGCAGAGTGAGGTGACTGCGCCGTGACGATGCCTCGTGCCTTTCGTTCGACTGCTCGGCGCCGCCGTTGGCCGGTGATGGCTTCAAACTGCGATGCCGCCTCGAGTGTTTTGGGATCTAATGAAGGTGCTATAGCGAAGGGCCATATAGGGGTATCACGTATCGGCACGGTGCGTTTGGGAAAGCTTCGGCCGAAACACAGCCGTTCGCCTACGGCCATGAACAGCTGCCGACGATAAGGTTCAAGCTTCCCAGTGCGACCGAAACACATCTCACACTGCTCTCGTATCATTGGCACGATGGCGGTTCGATGTTTCCTGGACGGCAAGAAACATCGCCAGTGCCAAGGCCAGCTGCTGGCCAGTTGCGGGCGATGGGGCTGTAGTCTGTTTTCTGAAGCGCTGGTGCCGCTGCCCGCTTCGGGCAATGGACGGGCAAGGCGTCGTCATCGAAGCTGCGCCTGGTGGTTGGCTGCAGCCGGCGAGTCTCTCTACAAAGACGCATGGCCATCATTATTGGTCAGCCAACGCGACCCGCATTGGATGGCGATTCGTCGTCGGCTCTGGCCCCGAACTCTGCAGCAGCTGGATCTTCCCCCGTCCGTGCCACTCTCTCAAGCACGCTGGCGCGCCACAAAAACCGACTCGCAGCGCACATGGAGATGCTTGTCCCGTTGTGCATCGCCACCGGCATCGAGCGGCAACTCAGCGCTGGGCGAGATTCAATAATGGCTGGCTCTGCGACAGTGCTCACGGCAAGAGGCTTACCTGCGCCCTCTGATGGCTGGGCGGCTGATGCTAAGTCTCCCGTGCCGCTTCCCCATGCTGGGTTGTCATGGACGGCACGGAACCTGCCCTGCCCTGAAACTCTAGCGCTGGCAATTGGCAATCAAAAGTCGCCTCCCACACCGCACCCCGACCCTCTCGACCGCGAAGTTTCGGTCCGTTGAAACGGACCAGTCAGCGCGCTCGTTTGCGCGGACGGGAACCGGGAGATTGTCATCAAGCAGTGGCGCGACTGGTGGGAGCTGCCAGAAGCTTTTGTTTCCTGGGTTTGTAAAAGTCGAGCAACAATAATAATCCCGTCTGCATGCACGACTCAGGGCGGCTTGGCTGGTATCTTTCCTTCTTTTCTTTTTTGCTTCCTGCGCGCACACCCACTCCCGTCTGTTTCGCGGTGGTGGCCACACAGCCCGGACGCCCCGTATGCGATTATTACGCTTGTCCGAACACAAGTAGGATTCCTGACACTCTTCTGGTGGCCCCTTGCCTTACCCCGAACGGGGAAGTGGGTGAGCGGGCACGACACGACTTTGGACTAGGCCTCGGAGCTATAGAACCGACGGACTTGGCAGTGAACCATGGCATAAGCTGCAAAACGGCAGTTGAAGCGTGGATAGGGATGCTACTTTGCGATGGGAATGTTGACGGCGACGTCCGGGGATAAGCTTCAGCTGCCCGTTCTGCAGCGACGCCATGTTGCAGTCCTACCTAGGTACCTAGGCGAACAGACTCGGTGACGTCCAGCTCCTTCTTCCCTCGCCCACCACAACCCATCCATCCCGCTTGTGCGCATCCGCCCAGCTAATCCGAGTCCATGCAAGCGCACCGCAACCGTCGCTTCCTGCCCGCTTCCTCCTACGCCGTCTGGCCTCGAGCACCGCTACTGCTGCACGGTGCGTGGGCTGGCTGGCGGCACTGACTTGTTGAGCTACTGGCTGGCTGCTGATTACGATTGCACAGCAGCCAGCAGCCGCAGTAGACGTATGTGGAGATCCGCAGCAACCGTTACCGCCAAGCCCCGTTGCGGATGCAGCACAGCGCTCCTGCGTGCTTTCGTCGACACGGCTGAGACGGGCTCTCTCAGCTCGCCGGGGAGAAAAGACGCAGGCTGGGAGACAAGGCGCAGGTCCGGCACGTGAGCGTGCATGACGACGGCGGTGACGTTGAGAGGCAAGGGCGCAGACTTTTGTCATTGTCGTTGATCGTCGAGACGTTGCGGCCCCCAGTCCAGCGGTGGGCATGTGAGCATGCACGCGCGTGCATCGCGCAGCGATTGTCGGGAAGGATCTCTGCCAGAGGAAGAGCCCCCAAGGGAGCACGGAGCAAGACTCGCAAGTCGGTCGGTCGCAGAGCTACCTTTCAGCGAGAGGGAGGCCGAGGTAACGTCAAATTCTCCTAGAACCCGGAGGCTCAAAGAGAGACCGCAGAGCCTCCGTGCGGATCCAACCGGGTGGGATTCTTCTTTTTGCCTCCTGTTTCTCGTCGTTCTAGACCCGATGGCGATGATGATGCTCGCTGGGGCTGGGATTGACCCGCACGAAAACCCACTCAAAGTGTGGGTATCCCACATCACTGACCCCGCGGCACGGGGAAGTGTGTCCTCGCCAGCGGGTTCTGCGTAGCGGCCGCCAGCAACACGGCAGCAGTGGCAGCGACTCGCGCCTGCATCTGCAAAGACACTTTGCTTTGCCTGCGCCGAGACCGGTGAGCGACACAGGGACGGCGAAAGTCCCGGTGTCTGATTTGGCGGCCAGCCCGCCGCGCTTGCCTCGAGTAGCGCCAACTGCCGATTCTAGTCCTCCCTTGTGTCCGCCGATTTTTATCGCGATCCAATAGATTCACGCAGCCGTCCAGCGTGCGGTCGCCCTTCTGCAGCGGCTGTGCAATCATTCAAGCGAGCCTCTCGGCACGCGCACGCCTCGTTCGCTGGCCAGACGCCATGGCGGACTTGTGACGATGTACCACCACCCGCTTTTTTCTGCCATGCTACCCCTCCTCCGCCTGCAGTGCCCCACTATTGCAGATACTGATTCCACGCTAGCAACATGGACGGAGCCCACAGACTGCTCAATGTGGGAACGATTTGGACCTGGATTCACCTTCTCTGACGTCGTTGCCTGCTGCTGAATCCAGGCGCGTCTGTGCCCAAGTCGAGTCCGGGGCAAACGCGGAGGATGAGTCCCTAAAACATATGGCCGACAGGCCTCTTCAACCCATGGCCACGCCAGCAATAAGTTCCGTGGCGTGCAGAAAGGCACATGCTAGCCGAGGGAGGCGGGAAGCGTCTGGGCCCAGGTGCTGGTCCCTCACGATGTAGCACGCACGCCGGTAAGATATGTCATAACCGGTCAAGTCGCCGCACTGGCCGGGAGGCAAGATCACGATGCATCTATGATGTAGCTTGGTCCGAGGCAAACTCGATTGTAAACTTCCCCGTCTGGCCCATTTTTATTGCGGAGCTCCTAGAAAGATCACGATGCAAAGAACTATAAAACAAGCTGCTCCCCGAGTACTCTCTGGCCCTTCGTCCCCTACCCACTGTGCTCAGTCTCAACCACTTGTCGAATTTTCACTCCGGTACACGACTACTCCTCGCATCAACCATCATCGACAATGTCGCGCCCCGGTGCTCCTGCTAGGATGCCGTCTGAGATTGCTCAGACGCTGCTGCAAGAAAAGAAGACTCACACGCCAGTCCCGACCGCGTCCATCGGTACGAAGAGGAAGATCATTTGCTTTTCTGGTAAGTTGTCGCCGTGTCCCTGTCGATCCTTTTCCTATTCCGGCCCCATGAGATGCAGATGTCAGGACAACCCAGATTTCCCCGCAAGCCACTGAGTCAACCATGGCACGTTGATCCAACGTCAACTGTCGCATGGTTATACGGACAGTATGGCTCTGGCAATCTGCATATGGCCTTTTGACATGCCACTGGTATGGGGCAAATCGGTGTGCTGCCTTTTGCATATCTTCAAAATATCATGCTTGGTCACTACCACAGCTCCTGGGGGTGTCTATACAGCTGCATGGAGAATCACTGCTAACATGTTTTTCTCAAGACTTCGATGGCACCATTTTCATGCAAGACACCGGTCACATTCTCTTTAACAACTTTGGCTGCGGCTCGGAGAGGCGCGAGTTGTTGGACAAGCAAATCACTTCTGGCGAGAGGAGTTTCCGTGATGTGTCGGAAGAGATGTGGGGAAGTCTCACCGTGCCTTTCGACGACGGTTTCGAGCTTATGAAGGGCGCTCTGGACATCGACAAGGACTTCAAGGCGTTCCACGATTTCTGCTTGAACAACAACATCCCCTTCAACATCATCTCGGCCGGGCTGAAGCCGGTGCTCAAGCGGGCGCTGGACCACTTTATTGGCGAGGAGGCCGCATCGAACATCGAAATTGTCGCCAATGACGCGACCATCTCGGCCGAGGGACGGTGGCAGCCGGTGTGGCGCCACGACTGCGAACTGGGCCACGACAAGGCCAAGTCGATCCAGACGTACCGCGAGGGTGCGGCGCTGGAGAGTGAGGACGGGACGATCCCGCTCATCATCTTCATCGGAGACGGAGTCAGCGACCTTCCAGCCGCCCGAGAGGCCGACGTTTTGTTTGCCCGGCGAGGCCTTCGGTTGGAGGAGTACTGCCAAGAGCACAACATCACCTACACGCCATTCGACTCTTTCGCGGACATCCAGCGCGAGGTGATCCGCGTTGCACACATCGACGAGGAGAAGACTCGTGGCGAAGGCCTACCTGCAACTTTCAACCCGCGTGCGAACATGTGGAGGAGAGTTTCCAGCAAGGCGGCGGTGCCGAGATCACTGGTGGCCGCGACCCCCAACGACGAGAAGATGTTCATCTGGCCCGAGCACTTCACCGAGCAGACGTCCGCCAATCCCGATACTGCCGTGATGGCGTGAGCGATTTCTTTTTCCCTGTTTCCAGGATTCCACAGACGGTAAACGAGGGACACGGTAAGCAAGCATTGGCGGTGGCTCAGACGCGGTGGCGGTGGGGGCGAACTTTGTTGCTCGTTGCGAGGAATGGGCGCGATCGGTCTTACAAAGGGCGCGATTGGCCCCACAGGTGTTGGTGTCTGGTTGGGGAAAACAGGGCGGCGTTGGTGATACCTATTTTGCTCTGAAACCGGGGGGTCAGCGTTATTTTTGGGTTGTGCATAGCATATGTAGGGCGTTCTTCGCGCGAATGGGACAGGGCTGCAGCGGAACAGCTGCAGGCCATGGCAAATGAAACTGTGCCCGCGTACTGTGCAGGTCTCTTGCCCAATTGACGGCGGATCGCAGGGCAGCTGCTGTCAGCGACCCCCGCTCAACGGCCTGCGGGGCGCGTTGCTGCCGATTGTCCCGCCGGTGGGCGAGAGCCTGGCTGTGCTGGTGGAGTCGATCAAGCCCCGCGAACGCAGCGATGACGTGCAGCGCTGCAGAGCTCGTGGCTCAGACGCTGGCACATCCCCGCTGTCGATGTTGGCTTTCGTCAGGGCCCGCGTCGTCAGGCGTTGTTGACGTCGGCGAGGTTATAACTGCAGCGCGCTGGGCGCAATTGGACGAGGGTCGGCTCTGCTGTGGCTTAATTCCGCTATCCGCGGCACCCGTCTCAGTGGCCTGTCCCGTCCGTCTGGTCTGGCTGGTGCTGCTGCGTGCTTGCTGAGGCGCCTGAATGCGAACCCCACTCGCGTTAGGTTGACTGACATCCACCACCTTCCTTTCTTCCCGCGCCTTCAGCTCTGTCTCGACCTCCCTGGACCCTGCCTGGCGTTGGCTCAAGAGCGCCGCACTTTACCGCCTCGCTTCCCCTTCATCACCCGCATTGCTACTCTACAACCTGTCATTTCCACCCGTGACCCCGCCGTGCGCTCAGCTGTGGGAAAGCAGTGGCCCTCGCTGCTCCGCCCGCTCCACGCACCTGGTCCGCGCATCCCGCCCGCGCGCTCCTTGGCTTACACCACCCCTCTTGACTCGCTCGCCTTAACTCCCCTAGTTGATCTTCGATTGACTTCCTATCATCGCCCTCTCCTCCGTTCGCAGCTGCATTAGACCGACACACCACTGGCTCGCGCCGCCGAGCCCCGCAGCCAAGATGGTCCACCTTTCGTCGCGCCTGAGTCTGCCCGCGCGCCTCAAGAGCAACAGCAGCGTCAACACCCACAACACCTCGACCTCGCCTTCGGCCGCCAACAGCGAATTCCCCAGCCGCAGCACCAGTCCCAAGCTCGGCATGGCCGACAAGAACGGCAATTTGGTGCTGCGCACTTCGGTCCTCAAGGGCCGTAATCTCGCCGCGAAGGACAAGAGCGGTACCAGTGACCCGGTGAGTACTTGTGTGGCGCATAAAGGGGGAGGTAAACCAGCGAACTCGGGGCTGACAACGTGCGAATTGGGGGGGATAACAGTACCTGGTGCTCACGCTGGGCGACGCGAAAGAGGCCACGCCGGCCATCAGCAAGTCGCTGAACCCGGACTGGCACCAAACCTTCGACCTGCCCATCGTGGGCTCGCAGAGCCTGCTGCTGGAGGGCGTGTGCTGGGACAAGGACCGCTTCAGCAAGGACTACATGGGCGAGTTTGACGTCGCGCTCGAGGACATCTTCACCAGCAACCGGACGAAGACCGACCAGATCTGGTTCCCGCTCCAGTCGCGCAAGTCGGGCAAGAAGAAGACCGAGGTCTCGGGAGAGGTGCTTCTGCAGTTCGAATTCGTTGACCCGACCAACGCCTCGGCTACCCCTGAGCAGCTCTACCAGAAGTTCCTCGCCATCGCGGTCTCCACCCCCAGCGCAGACGATGAGGATGAGGATTTGGAGCGTTTGGACAGCGGAGATCTCGATGAGACAGAGGAAGAGGATTCCTCGGACGAGGCCGCCGATGATGCCGATAAAGCAGAGAAGAAGAAGGAAAAGAAGCGCAAGCGGTTGCGCATGAGGAAACTGCGGCGCAAGGCCAAGGAACGGGCATACGAGTTCTACGGAAGCTCAGATGTCGCTGGCGTCCTTTTCCTGGAGATCACGAAGATCACAGACCTGCCGCCAGAGAAGAACAGTAAGTTCACTGCCATCGGAAGGTCCAGACATCATTGTCAAGTCGCCCTTGGGGTATTTGCGCGCGCCTCTGCCCATTAGCTTCGCGCTTACGCGCTCTTCGCACTCGTGCGCTTGGGTTGCTCCCTGGGTCTCTACAGGTGTCGGTCGAGCCATCAGGCTGCTTGACACGCTCCGGGGGCGACTTTGCGGCCTTGTTTGAATTTTAAAGCTCCACGGACTTGTGGGACTGTTGCTGACTTTGACGCAGTTACGAGGACTGGATTCGACATGGATCCTTTTGTCGTCACCTCTCTGGGCAAAAAGACTTATCGTACGCGCGCCATTCGTCACAACCTTAACCCCGTCTTCGAGGAAAAGCTTGTTTTCCAAGTCATGAAACACGAGACAAACTACTCGCTCAACTTCCAAGTCGTCGACAAGGACAAGCTTTCCAATCATGACTACGTCGGCTCGGCAAACTTTCCGCTCGAGAACACCGTTTCCGTGGCTCCTCAAGCCGATCCCCTCACTGGTCTCTACAAGCTTCCCGAGCCGGAAGGCAATGGCTCGCCAGTACAAACCGAACCTGAAAAGAAGAAACGCTTCAGGCTGCCCCTGTCACGATCAACATCATCAACGAGTTTATCCAAGTCGAAGGGGTTAAAGAAAGAGAGCTCGTCAACTTCATTGGCCAGCAGCGTGCACAACGGAAGTAGCTTCTCCGACCCGTCTCCTCCATCGAATGGTGGCCTTGCTCCGACTAGCATCCCGAGTATGAACACCAAGGATATTCCCGCGATCAACGTGGACACTGCCGCCACCAGTGACGAATTCAAGTCATTCACTATTCCCCTCGAGTTGAGGAAGAGCGACCGTTGGGAGGGCAAGCACAATCCAGTGCTTCATATCAGGGCAAAGTACATGCCGTACAAGGCTCTTCGGCAACAGTTCTGGAGGGCCATGCTCAAGCAGTACGACGCCGATGACAGTTGTCTCATTGACAAAATCGAGATCGTAACGATGTTGGACACTTTGGGCTCCACCCTCCACGACACGACGATCAATGGCTTTTTCGAGAGATTCGCTGAAGTAAATGGCGAATCTGTGTTGACTTTTGATCAGGCCGTCATTTGTTTGGAGGATCAGATCGAACAGTCACAAGCAACAAATTCTTCGACTCTGTCATTCAGGAGTAAGGGTCTGGGTGGTCGGACTTCAGGTCCCCCCACACCCGGACTGACATCTGGCTCAGGCACGCCGCTCAATAACCAGTCCCAGACCTCGGTCATTCCTGCAATCGAACAGGATACACTGGGTCCGGAAGGCGAACATGGCGAGTTCCTGGAGCAGGACGATCTTGCAGACGACAAGGGCGAAGAGCACGTCGTGGAGATCCGCGAGTGTCCTATCTGCCACCAGCCTCGCCTGAACAGGAAGACCGACGCCGACATCATCACACACATTGCTACTTGCGCAAGTCAGGATTGGAGGCAGGTCAACAACATTGTCATGGCCGGCTTCGTCACTTCAAGTCAGGCACAGCGCAAGTGGTACTCCAAGGTCATTACCAAGGTTGGCTACGGCGGCTACAAGCTCGGTGCCAACTCTGCGAACATTTTGGTGCAAGACCGTATCACGGGCCAGATCAACGAGGAGCGCATGAGCGTGTACGTCAGATTGGGTATCCGCTTGTTGTACAAGGGTCTCAAGCGTGGCGAGATGGAGAGCAAGAAGGGTGAGCATATATCTCGTTCTATCTTTCATAATGCGGCATTTTCTGACTTTTCACAGCTCGCAAGCTTCTCAAGTCGTTGAGCGTCAAGCAAGGCAAAAAGTACGACGACCCGGCCTCCGCGGCTGAAATTCCGGGCTTCATCAACTTCCACCAGCTCGACATGGGTGAAGTTCTCCTGCCACTTGAGGAGTTCAAGACGTTCAACGAGTTCTTTTACCGTGCGCTGAAGCCGGGTGCACGTCCGTGCTCCGCACCCAATGACCCACAGATAATTACATCTCCTGCTGACTGCCGATCCGTCGTGTTTAATCAAATCTCCCAAGCACAGAAGATATGGGTCAAGGGTCGGGAGTTCACCATGGAACGCCTTATTGGCAAGGCTTATCCTGAGGATGTGAAGCGGTTCGAGGGCGGTGCTCTGGGCATTTTCCGTCTCGCCCCACAGGACTATCATCGCTTCCACATCCCCGTCGATGGCGTGATGGGCGAGCCTAGAACGATTGAGGGTGAATACTACACCGTCAACCCGATGGCCATTCGTTCCGCCTTGGATGTCTACGGCGAGAACGTCCGCATCTGTGTGCCGATCGACTCGCCCACGCATGGGAGGGTCATGGTAATCTGCGTTGGTGCCATGATGGTTGGCAGCACTGTCATCACCGCCAAGACTGGCGACAGGGTCTCGCGTGCGGATGAGCTGGGCTACTTCAAATTCGGCGGCAGTACGATCCTGGTGCTGTTCGAGCCTGGGGTCATGGAGTGGGATGATGACATGGTCGACAACTCGAACCAAGCGCTAGAGACGTTGGTAAGTGCTCTTTGCTCGCATTTGAAAGTTGACAAGGTGCTGACGCATTGAACAGATCCGTGTCGGCATGTCCGTCGGCCACAGCATCGGCCACGCGCCTCACACACCCGACATGCGCAAGGACAATCCCTCGATGCAAGAGAGACAGGATGCGAAGAGGCGCATCGAAGGAAGCTTCGCGCCATCCGGCGACGCCGGTCCCATGCCTGCTGCGCAAATCAGTTAGGTTAACGTACGGTTTGGGGCTCGAGCTGGGCTTGGGCGCTGTTTCCCTTCTATTGTGCTCTTCTCCGGCGGCCATCTGCAATGTAGTATGATGTATGCATAGCAACGAGATGAAAAGCAGAGGCAGCCAGGCCTTGTATAGCGTCGAAGCGGCAGCGGGTGGCAGATTGGAGCAAGCGCGTGTTCACCAATAAGCTATTTCTTTAGATTTAGATGCCCTCACGAGGTCACGACCAGGACGGACATTACAGGTATAAAGACTAAAAAAAACCTTTTGGTCGGCGATTCAACATTGCTGCAAGTATTCAGAATTTACAGCGTCGTTCGAGGTGTGTTCCATATGCGTGATAGGTGACGCTCTGACCTTGTCCGGATCGGGCCGCGGATCACGTGCCGTGCTGACCGCCTTGGCCTTGCGTGGTCGTTTACACCTGAGGGGTTGCTTGGCCTCGGTGTGCCGCCCGCCGCCGCACCGCGCCCGCCCGCATAGGTACCGACCGACCGCCCGACGGGACGCAAAGCTCCGACTTTCCCTAACAACGCCGCGGGCTTTCCCATCAACCACCCATCCCATTATCCATATCAGCAATCGACCCCGCGACGCGCGCACACGCGACCTTTCATTTACGACATCCCTGACGAACGACATAACGCGTGCTTTTGACGCGCCCGCGCGCGCGTGCGCGTGCTCTCCCAATTCGACCGCCGAAAGCGACGGGGCTCCGGACGATCAAAACAAACCCAGCGCAACCAATTCGCATCATCGTCACCCACCCACGACGTCACGACGGACGACCGCCAGGGGACGCTGCGCAGTGCCGAAGTAGCCGACGACGACATCCAGCAACGGACAAAGCGTGTGTGTGTCATCGTCATCACCACCACCATCGTGGAAGCTCGGCGAGGCGCGGCCAGCGGACGAGAACATACACCAGTTCAAACAGGCGCGCGCGCGCGTGTCTTCGAGCTCGTCCCTCCTCCGTCTTGCTTCTTTCGCGTCCATGACAGCCATACTCTCGGTGCGCACTCCGCTGGCAAATTTGAGCATGGCTTCGACGCAGAGAGGGGCGCCGACCACAACGACGACGACGCGGCGACGAAGCGCCCGGCACGCCTTTGCCGATGAGGACGACGGCGCCAACCAGCATCATGTCGACGCACCGGTGGGGAAAAAGGCGAAGAAAGAGACTGCTGCGGCGGTGAATGGGGTGGGGAAGGCAGGCGCGAATGGAACTGCTGGGACAGGGACGAAGGCGGCAGGTGGGAGGAGAACGAGGGCCGGTGAGTGCAAAGTCCCCCCTCGGTTGCCGTTAGGCGTTGCTCGGGTGAAGGATGGGCGGGGGTGAGGATGGCGCATGGGCAATTGGATGGGGAGGGAGATGGATTGATTGCTGACTTTTGGTTTGGCGCGCGTAGCAGCATACGACGAGGACGATGACGGCTTCACATTCTCGCGAGCTCGCCCGAAGAAGAGCGCGGCGAAGAAGACGGGGGAACCGGAACCGGAACCTGCAGAAGCACCCCCGCCGAAGAAGGCAAAGACCTCGAAACCGGTAGAGGAACAACAATCGCCAGCAGAGGAACCTATCAAGAGTACGGCGAGAAAGACGAGGAAATCCGCGGTTGCTGCGATTGCGCCGGCGGTTGCGGACGAGGTCGCGCCAAAGAGACGGAGGTCGGCTAGGTTGTCAGCAGCTGGGACCGAGGCGCAACCACAACAGCAGCAGACTTCTACGCCGGCCCCGGAGAAGGCAAAACGCACGCGAAAATCGACGGCGCATAGGGACAGGGCGCAGACGCCGAAGCAAGACAATGACGATGGTGTGGCGTTGGTTGGTGGACAGGCAGGGGAGCAAGCGGAGTCTGACCAGCCCAGTCGCGAGGGCACGAAGATCGCGCTGCCGTTCGCGGATACGCCCATCATCAAACGGAACAAGGAGATGCGCAAGGGTGGTGGTGGTGGGGGACCCCGACGGAGCAGTACCGGCTTGCGCGGCCGCCGTGCCAGTTCGCTGATCGACAGCGGCACTTCGAATGGTGGGCAACAACTCCCCGACAGCAATGGATCCGGAGGTCCCGGCAATCTTCTTTTGGATAATCAAGCTGACGACAAGGATGAATTAGCGGTGCCGCACGCGGAGGTTCCAGCAGAGGATTTCTACAAGCATATCGAACAGAGTTTACCTGAGCCGAGGCGCATGAAGCAACTGTTGACGTGGTGCGGAACAAGGGCGCTGACGGACAAGCCTTCCGGAGAGGTCAAGGACGCCAGCGCGGTTATGGCTGGTAGGTGGACTATGCGGTTTTGCTTGGAGAATGTGGAAAGTCAAGGTTGCTGACGACGAGTAGCGCGAGCGATACAGCAGGAGTTGCTGAACGATTTTGCGAGTAAATCGGAGATGTCGAATTGGTTCGATAGGGTTAGACTTTGCGGCCCCGACACGGGCAACATAGGAAAAGTGCTGACTCTTTAAACAGGAAGACGTAGAGCCCGCAGCGCTCGTGAAGAAGCCAAACCCTAGAAATCTTGAAAATGCAACGAAGCTGGAGCAGCTCGAACAAGAGGTTAAGCGGTACGGAGCTTTGATCCTGCGGAATTCTGGAATTTGGAAGCGCTAACAGTTCTACAGCCTGCAAGAAGAAAAGAAAGCCTGGGAGTCGCTTCTAAAGACCCCGTCATTAACCTCGCTATCATCAACTCCCACATCGAAAGACAAGGGAACGCTCCCGGACGCCGCTCAACCGTCAGACGCGCCCAACATCGACCCTACTCTTCTAGACGATCCCGAACAAGCACGCATCCTTGCGAGCCTCAACAGTCTCTCCCTAGAGCCCTCATCATCAACGTCCGCCGAAGCCACATCAACAAACGCACAGCCCGAGTCGACAACACGACCAGCGAGCGTGTCACGAGCGGAACTCGTTGCGCGCCTCCAGGCTATCACGGCATCCCTGGAACCGCAAATAGATCTGTTTGCAGATGGCCTGCACAAGGTGTCACAGTACCGCGATACGGCCGAGCGTGTGGCGACTCGTGTTCTGGGCTCCGCATCGGAAAGGCTGGAGGAGCGGGACAGAGAGGTCAAAAGAGCCGCCGGCACGGAGAACGTGAGTACACGCGATGTGTTGAGGGCGTTGGCCGGGACTCTCAACCGAAGGAGATAGAAGGTGAGGGTTGTTCGCTTTTACTTGTTGTTTATTTGGCTGTATTGTTCAGAACTCTTTTCGGGAGGCATGGGCGTACGTGGAGCGACCGTTTTCAAAGGGCTGGTAGGCAAGCATTCAGCATATTTGGGAGTTTTCTTTTTATGATTGCATCTATTGCCTTCTTGACCCCTTTGGGTCTGCTGGCTGTCGTCTTTTCCCTCCCTTTATTCCCTCTCCTTTTCTGTTGTCATGAATGAAGAACGGTGTCACTTGTAAATACGAACATGGGGCGCAGGGGAATACTCGCAGTCAGGCTCTTGCCGTGTGGAAGTATGGCTGGGTGGGATTCTTGTGTAAAGGCGGAGCTGGGGAAAGGATAGATCTACGTGGCAGACGAGGTCATGACTGTAAATTGAAAGCTGCGTTTGTGCATGCACGTGGGGGCATCGTGTACAGCAACAAGGCGTCTAGTGCACATGCCGCGCCTTCAAAGGAGGTTGCACTGTGCTTGAAAAGTATATATTCCTGCTGGTTTGCTATTTCACCGTCCATCTTCCACACACACACACACACACACACACACACACACACACACACACCCCCAGCTATAGAAAGCACTTCTCTTGACAGCTTTCACGGGGGAGAAATTGCTACTTACCAATCCACCAGACCGAACAGTTCCACAGGTGTTCCTCGCTCAGCTACCTAGCGAACGCACCATCCGCGAAAACATCAACAACACACTCATCGACATCAACCGGGAGACCACACTTCACCCCACACACCGACATCGCGAACCATGGCCGACCCGGCCAACCACCACCCCCACGTCGACCCCAACGCCAACTCACCCGTAGCCCGCCTCTACCGCCTCCTCGGCGGCCCCTGCCTCTTCTGCTCCAGCAACGTCGCTCGGCCACGCCACGACGTCGGTACACCTGCTGTCCGACATGATCCCTCCGCTTCCACTTCCTCCACGCATCACACCGTCACCGGATGCCATCTCCCCCCAGCCACCAACGGCCCCCACTCCACGGCCATCGACGAGGGGAGTGATGGTGAGAAGGCCGAGGGTAAAGGTCGTGGTGGTGGTGATGATGATGGCGACGAGCCTGTCACGGGCCGGCTGAGGGGGGGTCGTAGTGGCCACGAAACGCCGCTGGACGGCTTTCCCCCGGATAGCAAGTGGCTCCAGTGGATGCGCTGCAGTTGCAAGCACTGCACTATCGTGCCTTTCCCGGATAGGTCTGGTGAGGACACGGGCAAGGGCAAGGGGAAGGGTAAACAGCCGGTGGTGGAGCGGGAAGAACGTCTGAGAGGAGGCGATCGGCCTGCCGATACGGATGGTGAGAATAGCGATGATGGAAGCATGGGATATTATGGGGGCGATGGCTGGGAGCTGGAGGACAGCGATGGTTGGGAGCTGCTGGAGAGCGATGAAGAGTCTGTGAGGAGCGACCAAGGTCAGTCATGGAGTGATTGGTCTGCAGACGGCTGTCGGCCATTTGATCTCCAAGCATCAGCTTTTGGCTGGGACACAGATGCGGAGGCAGAAATGCGTGGCCTCCTTGAGGAAGATGGTCCAGACGAAGGCATTTGGAGCGCGAATCATGAAGATATGCCAAATCAGCATCAGCACCAAACACCAGAGAATTACGAACTCCCACAAGAGATGATCCACGTGCTACACCAGCACTCAATTTTTAAAGCCTTCAAGAAAGTCCTAGACGATCTTCCGGGGAGGCTGCCCACTCTGGATGAACTTTGGACGGAGTACTACTGGTTATGGCCGGAGGCGTGGTTCCCATGCGGGTGCCTCAACATACAACTATGGGGAACACTTGCTCGCGAGCTGATAAGTCGAAGGACAAGGCGTCACCGCGGAGGTGTCTGTGTCACCTGTGGGAGGTCCATATCAACTGGTAGTAGTGACAGTAACAGCAGTGGACCAGAAAGCCATCCTCGTGGTTCCAACGAGGGCTCTGGAGAGTCCATGAGTCTGAGCGGTACCACCGTTTTCAAAAACAGTGACTCTGGCAGCGGCTCGGACTGGGAAGAGTACTGGGGGAACTTGGCCGGGAAGAGACTTTCGGTCCACGTTGCCGACGAAGATGTACGAGAAGATCAACGGTTTACGAGGAGCCTGGAGCGTGCCGTAGCAATGCTTACACGCGGCGGAGGTCGTGCTCATGAAAGAGTTCCCAAAGAACAGCAATCCGATGACGAAGAGGTTGGCCCAGTAGGTAAATAGTAAACGACATCCGCCGACGGTAAGAATACAACTGACGCTCGGCAGAAGAACGATGAGGGTTGCAGGCTGAGGGGCGGGGCCGGTTCCAGCACTGGCGGCAGTGGTACGTTTGACAGCGAAGAAGCACCTGCAGTCAGCAACGAGAACCCCGATGAGGCAGTTGAGCGGGAAGCTGCCCAGCGTGCAGATGTGGTAAATCAAGAGACGCGGGAGGCCTTTGACTTTTGGCTGTTTTGGTTCATTTTCGGCGACACTGGCAGATCATAGTCTCCTGCGTGGGTTGAAGGGCAAGTGACCCTCACCTCCTGGCGTATGAAAATTGTTGATGTGTTACCAAGTGGCGGGTGCGGGGTTTTGTTGCTACACAAGGGCGCAACTTGCACTCGGGTGGGCACTTGGAGCCACCAAGGTGCCTATGTTTGCCGCTATATATATACAGACCCTTGATTTGACCACCTTTCAAACACCATATGCGGCATCTCGCTGCTTCCACTATCCAAACACGGCTGAGAACTCGAACCGAGAAAAGAACCATGCCGTTCTATCAACGAACACGATCCGGTTGGAGGCGCCGTATTTCCCATCGAATGAACCGCGGCATCTCATTCCTGTTCCCTGGCCCTGATGCCAATGAGGAGAGACACATCGAGCTTGACCGATTACCACTTGTGCAGAGAGATACCGCGCGTGCAGTTCCTCTTAAATACAACAGCCGCGGCGAAAGGTGCGCTGAGAGGTCTCCGAACAACCAGCACAGAAGCCATGTAACTGAGTCTCCCATTGAAGATCGCACCTGCTTTCGCTACTGTAGCCACAGAACAGTACACGATGAACGAGTGGGTGAAGAAACGGGAGGAAGAAGGGCGCGGCTTGCTTGCCCTTTCTGTTCCGATGTGGACTCCGACATTCACGACTGAAGGCATCTATTGGCTGATAATTCTGTATTTTTTTTGACTCGAAAAGCCGCTTCTAGCTTGAGATTTTCCTGCAAGATGCCGTAAGATTTGCGCTTCATCGACGTTGACGAAAATACACGAAAAAATATATATACTTGAACAGGGCACATAACACTCGTAACCCTCCAGACTCCTTGAGCGCATTCCAAAAAGCGAACATCCCCCACAAAATTTTCCCATCCAGAAAAAAAAACGCCGAATCCAAACCCAAACCCAAACCCCCCTCGGGGTGCTCGCTTTTTCTTCCCCGCAGTATGCGGCAGCGTGTCACCCCCCAAAAACAAAAAACACCACCACCCAAAACCAAAGGTCCAGCCCCAGGTCCAGCCCTAGCCCCAGCCCCAATCCAATCCAATCCAAGCCAATCCAGCCCCAACCCAAATCCAGTCCAAGCAGCACCGCTACAAGCACCGCTACCGTGTACCACCCACCTAGGGCACCCCCCCAACAAAAAATCTAACACCACCCCTCCTCCCTCGCCCTCGCCAGCGTCCCGCCCACGACGTCGTCGATTCCGGCGCCGACGCCGAGGCCGACGCCGGCGGCCACGAGCCAGTGCGCGACGCCGCAGCCCACCGCGAAGGCGACGGCGTACTCGAGGCGGGCGGACCAGCGCCAGGCCCAGGCGAGGCCGGCGACGCAGTCGTCGGCGACGGTGACGGCGAAGAGGAACAGGAGGAGGGATGCCACGGCGGCGGTAGCGAAGAGGAAGGTGAGTTGGCCGTGGTGTTGCGCGTATTGCGGGTGGTGGATCAGGGAGGCGGGGGAGACGGAGTCGGAGTCGGAGTCGGAGGAGAGGGAGAAGCGGACGCGTTTTTTAGGCGAGGGGCGGAGGCGGTGGCGGGAGGATGGGGCGGGGCGGAGGATGCTGGGGAGGCGGCGGGGAGAGGCGGCGGTGGTGAGGGCGCCGGGGCGGGGCGAGCGCGGCTCTTCGCGGATGGGGGTCATGATGGAGACGGAGATGAGGGGGTAGCTGGTTGCGCGCTTGAGGGAGGGTGGCTTGGCGGCTCGTCGGCGTCGTTGTTGCTGATGGTGGGCGGCGGACTGGTGATCGGGTTCGGTGGGAGGAGAGGAGGGGTCGACCGGGTGGCTGCTTAGCGGTGATGCAGGCGGGAGGGTGGTGGGGCCGGAGGAAGAGTGGCGGGACAGAAGGTTGTCGGCGCTGCGGTGGTGGCGAAGCGGTGCGGCAGCTTGGTAGGTGGTGGGAGGGAGGAGGGTGGAGGCGGATGGGCAGCGGCGGAGGTCCATTTCGTCGAGGCCGGAGAGGAGCGGTACGTTGGTGAGTATGGTGGCTGGCGATCAGGTCAGCAGGGGAGCCGGTGTTGGGATTGGAAGAAGAGACGGACAGCCCAAAGAAGCGACCGAGTGTGCGGCGCGCAAGTGCGGGTCAGGGTCGTGAATCGTGGGACGGAAGCGGGGGACTTCTCGGACGGCAGGTGCGGAGCGGGGGATCTCGTGGTACGAAGGCGGCGGGGTGATGTGGATGTCGGGGACCATGCGCTCTGCTATTTCCTTCTCTTGTTCGCACTTGGTGGCATGCTGGACAGGGTGCTGGACAGGATGCGAGGCCGGCGGGGGGTCGTATGTTGCTGCGTGATGGGCCTTGAGGAGCTTGCGCAGAAGCCGGTTTTGGCGCAGATGGCGCGGGAAGCCATTGGCGGATTCGAGTCGTGATGTCTTCATCTTGTCGCCGCCGCATTCAATGTTCATCGACCGGGTCAGAAAACCGCGGGCGGAGCGGCGTCCTTTTGTCCATATTCCAGGCGCTTGGATGGGGTATCCAAAGCGTCGCAGATCATGCTGGTCGGGATTAGGTGGGCTTAGGAAAGCTGATGTCGCTAATCTGGGCGCCGTTGGCGATTGGATCCTGATACTCGGGCGGAGAAACACTTGAGACTCGCGTGTCGCGAACCGAAGGGGCTGACGTGTGGCGCGTTTCAGGACGGCGCGCGGGGAAGCGTTGGCTCGGAGCTCTCGATTCGGCTCCCGAGCACCCGCCAACATTTACTGTTGGTGTCGCAACCCCAATCCGATCCGCCACTCCGGGAACGTCGACGTGCGATGATGGCCATGATTTCAAGTTTTTTCGCGTCCGGCACCGTCAGAAAATGCGAGCTACTTGTCGCTACTTATCGTCGGCCTGAGAATGAGAACACCTAGGAATGAAGACGTCAGCTGACTCATTGTGCGCTGCTTTCAAAACCAAAGCCAACCGCCTGCGGCTGACGAGCGGCAACTCGATTGGCCTGCTCAGCTCAGCTCCGCACTTGCCCTCGAGATGGACGTCGACGGAGCAGCCGTGCAGACTTACACGCACTTCCTCCAGAGAGACGCGCTGTACGCCAAGGAAAAACCATACTCGCTGCGTTACACGCCCCCCGAAGGCTTCCCGAGGGCCAACATAAAGCTGGAACGGCACAATCTCACCGTGCGCGACGTCCGCCCTGTCAAGGACGAGCTGTTGTTCGAAAGAGACGGCTGCCAAATCATCGACTTCAACAGTCGGATGAAGTATGACGATTGGGACGATGATGCAAACATCAAGGCTGTGTACTTGCTTGAGGTCGCGGACCGTCTCCGCAGCGCTCTGGGCGCTTGCCATGTCCAGATTTTCGAGCATACCGTACGTACAGCGCCCGCCCGGAAAGAAGGAGCTGACCACCCACCGAGACAGGTCCGGAAGCGTCATGAGATTTTCCCCATCTCAACCGGCGAGCCGTACAAATACAACCAGCCTACTTCCATCGCACACATAGGCAAGCCGGGAAGAGTGTGGGCTGTGTTTGGTGCATACTGATCTCCGACGACAGATACAACCGTGCCTTGGGTTCTGGACATGGTTCGCTCTCTGAACCCGAAGAAAGCCGAGGACATCCTGAAACATCGGATCCAATGCGTCAAGTGAGCATCTCGAAACAAGTTGCTTGGGGACCATGCTTACGGGGAATCCCAGTGTCTGGAAGCCCATCGTTGGACCCGTCAGAGACTGGCCCTTGGCCATGTGCGAGTCCCGGACAATGAACGTCGACCGAGATCTTGAGCCATGCGATCTGGTCTACCCGGACTATGTCGTCGAAAACCGCCAAGTCTACTTTTCAGAAGCCTTCGAGTGGATTTACCTCAGCGATCAGCAGCCAAACGAGGCTTGGGTCTTCCTGCAGTCGGACACGGATCCGAGCGGAAAGCCTGGTACCATCTCCCCCGCCTTTGATGCACAGCCACTGAGACAGACTTCCAGTCGCCCATACTGCATTTCCAATCCCGTCTCAGAGCGAGAAAGCCGGTCCGAGGGAGAGCATCGAAGCGCGTGCTCTGGTGTACTATGGCGGGTTTTGAGCAAGACTCGGCATGGGAAGGTGTGAATGTCGGTTTCATACGGCCTCGGTATCGAATCAAGACAATCGCGTACCAGCAGGAGCAGAGGAGGCTGCATGAAGAACATTTATCATTTCTTTTTCCAGATGACTCAGCATGTCGACGAGGAGAGCCGATGACGGGGTCAGCGTTACTAAGCTGACGACGACGACTACTGTTGAGAGCTTTCCTGCTCAATTGTCCACTTGTCTCGCGCAAAAAAGTTGCCGGCGTTTCCGTCAAACACCATCATCTCTCCCTTCTTGAAGCCGAACAAGTTCGCCTGAGACTGGGGTTCGCGGGGCGCTGGCCACACGGCTTTCCACGGCTGCCTTTTGCCAGTGGCCGCGGGCCGGGGATTCGTCTGGGGCTCCGATCGCTCCATTTTTGGCGCTGCAGGAGGCCCGTTAGCTTGGATCCACGTGTGCAAACGATTGCGATTGGAGTGCTCACCTGTCGTGCGATAATGACAGCTCACAAGATTGGGCAAGTTCGAAGGTGGGCTGGCGCTAGAAGAGTGGGATTCTGTTGCTGCCTGTCCGGGAATGTGGCAGGCCAGATTCTTAACATGGGCAACCCCCCGGCAGGGGCTCTTGGCAAGTGGCGCGCGTTGCGCGTTAGGCTTTCTGCACGGCTCCGCATCCGGGCACAGTCTCAACCATGGAAGGGTACAAAAAGTAAGGGCTATAAGGATTGACTATAGAAACACACTCAACAGATCCTTCGGCTTCATCTTCCAACCCTGATACAGTTCCCTTTCGAGAGGTGCGACTATGTTTTCGTACACAAGCGTCCGGAAACCGTCATCGTTGAAGTCGACGTCGACACCGTGCTCATCCAGGAAATCGCAGTCGAGGCACGCGCGCACTGCCGCTCGATAGTTCTCGAAGATTTCGTCATCTGCGTCCCGGAAGACCCTCTCTGCCGTCATCAGGTTCGTGTTGACGTTCACCGATCCGTCATCTGTCAGATCCTCGGGCAACCTCCTGCTTTCGATCGTCGCCCAAATCTGCAGCTCCAGGAGCACAATGCCGAGGGCAAGAATCGCAGGGCTTGGGTGCAACTGCATGCCGGATCCGTCGTTACTCTCAGCAAGAGCTTGGAAGTCGGTTGTCAGGTATGGCTTAAGGTTGAGCTGGTCCGGAGCCGACGAAAAGAACGAGATGTGCGTCTTGTCCCACTCATCCTTCAGCCAACTGTCGTTGGAGAGGTGCAGCAAGGAATGGGCAAGCAGCACTGCCAGGACCCGCCTCTCCTTGAGCTTCCTTGAAGTTTCATCGCGAAGCAGCTGATCAAGCGTGACGCATGGCTCCATGATACGCGTAGATTGCTTGCGGGCCTTGTGCCACAGTGTGTCACTTTCGTAAACGACCTCGAGCGCGACGTTGTTCTGGCGAGCCGTGCACACTATCCCGCAGATGGACTCGACATGTACCTTTCCTTCAGACGTCGACGGACTGGTCCTGCGGGAGCCGGGGGGTGTTGTGCTGCCCTCAAACCTGACCTGCATCGAGTCGCGTCGTTGGCTGTACGCACAGTGAGTACACGCTGAAGTCATGGGGGGCGCTCGTATTACTTACGCAGGCTCGACGCGGACCCGGCTTTGCTGCCATTTGCGGTGTGCCTCGTGTCCGGTAGAGATGAACAGGTCGAGCCCGTCATCAGAAGCTTCCTCAAACCAGGCAAAGCACCCGCACAGCGAGAGCATTGCCTCGTGAGGAGAGGGACAAGTGCAATGCGAGGTCCAGACCCTGGCGATGGCGTCGTACATGCTGTGGATGAGATTCCTGGCCCTCAATCGCGGTGGCAACCTCCATTCCGACTCCTGGATCGGCTGGGTCCCCCGTGCTTCTCCTGCCACCGGTTGATGGCGGATGAAACGCTCCAAGGTCTTGTTCTGCTCCGTGAGCAGCGACAGTGCCCTGCGCCTCTTGCTGTCGCTCGAGGTAAACCTGATGCGTCCCTTGAGGTCCTTCGGATCTCCGCCATATTCGCGGAGGGCCTCAAGTTTCGTGTACAGCCCCCTCGGGGCTTGCTAAGGGCGCAAAAGAGTCAGCCTCGCACGGTATGAAGCACGGGAATACAAACCACGATGTCGGCCCTTTGTAGTTTCAGCACGCGGTCACTCAACACATCATCAAGGCACTTGAGGACTGTCTTTAGCGCGTCGACGAAGGCGGCGTCGGAGTTGCCCAATTTCTGCGACAAGGCCAGCTTCACCCGGTCCTCTTTCCACAGCTGCTGGTCTAACTTGAGCAGCTGTTCCTTGTCGCTGGTGCTGAGTGCTGGCAGATCGACTATGAAGTCCCGGATGGTGAGGTTGAGCAAAGCGACTTCATTGTGGAGATGCTGGTACTGGCTGGCCAACTTTTCGTCCTTCACCCGGCTTCGAAGGGCTGTGGTGAAGGCGCCGTACACTCTCCGTTGATGGTCGGCAGCTGCGATGACTATGGGGACGATAGCCAGTATCAACCCCGCGAATTCAAACCCAAACATCTTGCGCTCAAGTCCGCTGTTGCACCCGGTCGGTTGACGGGAGAGATTTTGATTTCTCTTCACGAGGCTTCTGCGTCATTTGTAGCAGGCTACCGCTGCTTACACAGCCCTGCAGCGCATTCATGCGCTGGCGAATCCGACGGCAGGCATCATCAAGCGAGGGTGTGGTAGACCAGGCTGAGGATGTAATGCCTGCTTACCCCGCTCCGCTGAGCCGCAGGCGAGAAGTCAGGACGCCGCAGATCGAAGCCCGCCCCGTCTGACCAGATGTTCAGAAGCTTCGTTGTCCTAAGCACTTGTTGTGCCTGATGCGCCTTCATGGACGATATCCCGACAATCGCGTCCAAGGCCAGGACCGTTGTTGACTCCTTTCGACTGCTCGTCGACATTGCCCCGAGTGATGGCGACGCACCCAAGTCCGAGGCGACCAATGTCGATGATCAGTTCGCGCGGTTCAACATATGGGCCAGCAACATCGGCATGTTTGCACCTGGCCACGCATCGCTTGACCACCGCTTGCGCGACAGTCCGGAAGCAAGAACCCTAATGACCCAACTACTCGAGGGGCTCCAACGGTTCCTTAAACGCGGTAACTCCTCCGAGAAGGACTGGCGCTACGTGTGCTAATCAGAATCCAGCAATATATGCCACAGGGCTGCCTGAATCCGACCCACACCTACAAGCACTCGAATCATCCGTCGAGGAGACTCCGAGCGACACGTACCAATCCTCCCAATCATCCTATGTCTCATCGCACCAGTCGATCCCCGAGTCTGCAGACGAGGCTGATGTCCTTACCCCGTCCGAGGAGCGTCTGTCCGGGATAGAGCAGACGATCGACCGCCTTTATCGACTTTCAGTCGCCATTCGCCGACCGTCACTTGTCAACCAGAACGTCAAAGCCGCCACTTTCCAGATAAGAGACGACGAAGGGAATGAGTGTGGAGACGCCTTCTACCATTACGCTCTCCAGCTGGTCACTCATAGGTGCCAGAATGCCGCCCAAGCTTTGAGAGAGCGGCTGGCAAGAGCCATCACCCTGCGAAGGAAGCGCTTCTTGTACAGGCAGAAGCACCAAGCGAAACTCAACTTCAAGGAGGACGAGGACGAGGACGAGAGCCCAGCGCCATCGGTTTCGAAGGACGGGGAAACAGTTCTCACAGCACATCGGGACTTGCGAAAAAACACAAAAGGGAACGAGACTGTCAAGTTGCCTACTGGCCAACGTCCTCCACCGTCACATACCTCTGCCTCGCTGTTTTCCAAGACCCGGTTTGACAGAGGAGCAATTCTTGAATCCGCGTCCAACATTTCCACTGCCATCGCCCCTTCCGACCATATTGGTAACGTGCAGGTACCACCGCCCCCGAAAGTCTCCCACGGAGGCAAGGAGTTTGAATGTCCCTACTGCTTTCTCGTCATCGGGATTGGGGAAGCAAAACCACTTCAATGGAGGTTCGTGGATCTGACAAGCTTGCATGAAAGCCAGCTCATATACTTATAGAAAACATGTCTTTCGCGACCTTGATCCGTACCTTTGCTTGCATCCAGACTGTTCGGAATCCCAGGTGCTGTTCCACGACACGCATGCATGGACTCATCACATGCAGTGGGAGCACAACAGGCAATGGCGATGCTCAGCCCCAGGCCACGCGGCCGGGTTGACATTTGGTTCGGAAGACGCTTTCGCCGATCACTTGAGGGGGGATCACAAAGGTGCATTCAGCGAAAGACAGCTGCCATCCCTACTGAGAAGGGCGGAGAGGCCGGGCGTGGCATTCGAAGAATGCCCTCTTTGCGATTTTTCACCTGGCCAAGACGTGTCCCCGCGCAGCACTTCCCCACACAGTGTGCCTGGCTCGCGAGAAACGCCGCCCGACATGTCCCCTGCGAACTTGATCAAGCATATTGCGAACCACCTGCTGTCACTTTCTCTGATATCGCTCCCCTGGCGAGAGGTAGAAGACGAAGAATCTCCAAAAGAGGGGACGGCATCCCACCATGCAGACGACGACCCTGCCTCAAGCTATCACGATGACGTATCATCATTATCTTTCGGTGAGGAAGCAGAGGATCGAGGCTCGGAGATACCACCGATGGACCTTGGCTTCTCCACGCCGGCTGTTCCTGACGACGTCGTGCTCGGCACAGCCAGGGACGAATGGTCTTTCCTGCCCCCATCCGAATACTTTGGCCATGACCGCGACCCCGTCTTGCAGACTTTCCTCCGTAAGCTCTACATCGAATCTTCACCGTCGATGAATGACAAGGAAGGCCCATTGCTGCCGTGTTACTTCCTGCCCTTCAGCGCCAACAAGAATTTCCATGGCCGAGACATGGCTATGGGGGTTACGGAAGAGGCGCTTCTTCCCAAACCTTTGTCTGCCTCCATTCCTGCGCCTGCAACAAAAGGCGACACCAACCCCAAGACTTTTGCCATATGCGGGCCTGGAGGCATGGGGAAGACGCAGGTTGCCCTCGAGTTTGTGAACCGGCACAAAGACAAATTCGACGCCGTCTTTTGGGTTCACGCAGACGATGCATCGAAACTCGCGCAGGACTTTAATCAGATCGCAATCAAGCTGGGCCTGGTCCCCGACGGGTCGGCCGACTCGAGAGACTACGCCTTCACACGCGAGTTGGTGAAGCGGTGGTTGGTGGAGCCGCTGAGGAAGTTGAAGAACAAGGACTCGGGCCTCGCATCCTGGCTGCTCGTGTATGACGGTGTCGAAATCTCCAGCACCATCAACGAGTTTTGGCCTTACGATGGGCCTGGCTCTGTGCTTGTCACCAGCCGCAACCCGTTTTCTTGGACGACATGCTGGGCTCTCGTGCCCTTCACCGCCACAGAAGCCACGGATTTTCTTCTCAAGGTGACAAGAAGGAAGGGAGATGCGGATACTCGCGCTGCCGTTGCAGCGGTCAGTCAGAGACTGGGTGGCTTACCCCTTGCACTGTGAGCTCTCCAGTTCTCGCAACCATCCTGTACAGATGCTGATTTTATTGTTCTGCAGGACACAGATGGCCGGCGTGATCACGTACAGAGGAATGACTTTCGATGAATTCATACGGGCTTACAACGAGAGAGAATCGCGTCAGGAGCTGCTTGAAGCAACACCAGATGCCAGCCTACGTGGTCCAGGATACGAGCACAACCTGGCTTCAGTATGGGCGCTCGAAAACCTCACGCATGGGGCAACCTTGCTCAACACGTTATCCATGCTTGACTGCGACGGCATCACAGAGCGTTTGCTCAGTGAGAATCTCGGAAAAGTCAACCTCCCTGGCTTCCCTTCAACGTTGGCAGACTACCAAAATGCAAAAGATGAGCTTCTTCAATCATCCCTCATCACGGCCAACCGGCTACAAAAGAAATTCTTCGTGCACAGAATAGTCCAAGACGTTGCACGGACGAGGCTGAACCCAGACGAACTCCGTCAGACCTTCATGGCGTGCGTCAGCATGGTTTCCGAGCTTTGGCCATTCGAATCATTCACTTGGCGCCACGGAGTAGGGAGATGGTGGGCCTGTGAGGAGCTATTTCCCCATGTGTTGAAGCTGAAGGAGCTCGGTCACCGTACAGTTCCATCAGAGGATGACCTGCCAGGCGATTTTGGCTTTGCCAGACTCCTTATCGACGCAGGATGGTAAGGATGTATATGCCCAAAGATGAGGAAGGGACAACGTGCTGATTGTGAGCCGCAGGTATCATCACGAGCGTGGAAGGTCATCCGAGTCCCGCCTGTTCAACGACATGGCCCAGACCATCTGCGGAACCTGGGTGCACCGATTGTCGCTTGTACGCCGACGAGCCTCTCCTAAACCCTCGCCACACAAGCACTATCTTGGAGACCTACACGCTGCACTGGCAGAGATCACGCACAATCGAGGCTGCATAGCGTCCGAGACCAACGAGCCTCAGGACGCGCTCGAGCACTTCTCGAGCTTCAACACGATGATGGTGGCCGAGTTCGACAGGGACCCGCAGCTCATCCAGCATGACATGCGGCTGGCCATCAGCTGGAACGAGCTGGGCAACGCGTACATGTTGAACCGGCAATGGGCGAGGGGCGAATCGTGCTACAACCGCTCCATCGAGACGATGCGCCGGCTCACCTACTTCCAAGAGACGAACCTCTCCTTGCCCATTGTCAACCTCGGCCTGTCCTTTTGGCTGCAGGGCAAGCGTGATGAAGCGCTCGACCAGCTCGTGCATGGGCTGCTGGAGCGTGAGAAGGCGTTGGGCAGCGAGGACCGCGAGAGCTTCATCACCGGAAGATTCCTGCATGCGCTGGGGAATGTCTATGCGGATTTGGGCAGGAGGGAGGACAGCTTGAAGTTCCATCGCAAGTCACTGTTGCACTACAAGAGTACGCTGGGAAACAACCATCATCGCACGGCCGATGTGTGCGTGAAAGTGGCGGAGCATTTGATTCGGTTGAAGCAGGAGGATACGGCTGTGTATGCGACTCCTGGCATCTCCCTTCATCATGGCTAACTGGCTACCAGGGCGCTGCTCGATCATGCACTCAAGGCCTATAGCAACCGCAAGACATACGTTCCGGAAAAGGCACGGGCACTGTTCAAACGGAGCCAGGTGTTGAGGATGATGCGTAAAAATGTAGAGGCAGAAGACGCTCTGCAAGAAGCTGTGGATCTATACCATGAGGTTGCTGACAAGGAAGAGGGATCAATGAAGAAAGAGGCCGACGAGTTGGTTGATCGGGACTTTATCGAGTGCATTGCCTTTTGGTCGAGGTAGGGAAACATCCGGATGAGGGCAGCAATCTTTCCTGAGCTACGTCTTGTGAGAAGGATTGGATGACTCGAGCGATGGTGGCGCCAACGATAAGGAGTTCTAGAATGGTGAGTCATTTGGTGGTCGTGACCGTTCGCCCGCACTGACCGTTCTCCGCATCGTCCAGAACAACAACAAACCAATTGATTCCCGCCGATCTACATTTGCCCCCCACATGTTCGTTTCAACTAGCACGCCAACTCACCACCGCAAGTCCCGTTCTCTGTCGGGTGAGGAGAGGTTCGTGCGGCTGTCTCCAAAAGGTTAGCTATGGTGGACTATCAGCACCACCTCACTTATACCCCCCACCCCAGCAGAGTTGTTCACTTCCCCATAACCACCCCACCGTCACCGCCAAACACGACTGCACAGTAAAACCTTGATTTAACTGCCACCCGTCCGATTCCTCAATCGTCCGTGAAGCATTATACCACCCCGGCCCATATACCATCACCACCCACCATGGACCTCCTTTTCAGTACCCTCTCCACCGTCAGTAGCTTCCTCGGCACCGCGTCGTCACACACGCAAAACGCCGTGCGCTCCGTGAAATGGGCCGAGCTCCCCGGAGACGCCCAGCAATTCTTCTCGCGCGTGGCCGGAAGCGGGACCAACTTCATCTCCATGCGGTGGGACGACCTGCCGCAAACGACCAGGGACTGGATCAAGGCGCACCCCTACCAAACCGCCTTCTACGTCGCCCACGGCGCCGTCATCGTCGCGCCGACGCCCGTCACCGCGCCGCTCATCGGCGCCGCGGGCCTGGCGACTGCAAGTCCTGTCGCCGGTAAGAAGAATATTTGTGATGTTTTCAGCACTGTCGATTTTTTTTTTATTCTTTTGCGGCTCGAAAGATATAACTATATATTCTCTCCCACATCGCCGCTCCTTTTTCCGCTATACAACGCGTTCGCCCGCTCCTCCAACTAGCCAGTATGTCCAGTACATCCGGCTGACCACAAAACCACCAGGCTCCGCAGCAGCAGCGATCCAGCAAGCCCTCACCACCGTCGGCGCCAACAGCGTGGCGCTGCGCACGGCCGTGACGACGGGCCACGGCGCGCCCGCCATCGCCGACGGCCTGCAGGCCGCCATCGCCATCGGCACCGGCCTCTACGGCCTGTGGACCTACTTCGCCCCCGCCGCGGCGGCGAAGAAGGAGGAGGAGCAACCCGCCGTTGTCCAGCAACCCGCGGCGGATGCGAAGAAGTTGAAGAGGAGTAAGACCGCGCCCGTGCAGCAGCAGGTACCGCCGGGGTCGGCGGCGGCGAAGCGTGGGTTGTCGTTCCGGGGTCTGTTTAGGAGGAAGACGGCGGTGGCGTGAGTGAGTGAGTGAGTGCGCGAGTGTGCATGTTGGGATTCATGAGTGTGATGCTGGGGAGGGACGGGAAAGGATGAGATATACCCTACATGAAATATGTGTCGGACCATAGGGGAATTGGCAATGGGACGGACGGCTTGGTACGATTCTGGAGTTTGGGAGGTAACCTGTGTTCTTTTTTTTTTTCTTTCTCTTTTTTGTTACGCTTTCGTTGGAATGATGGAAGGCATTTTTCTTGAACCTCGGGAGTTTCGTTAGTGATAGACTGAACTACCAGGAAGAGCGCATAGAAACAATCCATCGGACATGCAGAAAATGTGGCATTTCATATCTCGTCTCGAGAACCACCATCAGGTGGTGCTACCGGGACCAAAAGCAGCAAAAGTCAGAGGCTGTCTGGGAAGCTTTTGGAAGAGGACGGATTGAGCTTCGTTTCGGCAGTATCGAAGTGCATCCATCCCACGCTAGACAACCACAACTTCGACTTGAGGATCGATGTCCGCTTCTTGAAGACTACTGCGAGCTACCTATGCTTGCAGCTCTTGCAATCGCACCAAGGCGAGCAAGGCCTATTTGCCTCTCTATTCCGGCCCAAACAATAAGCCCGCATCAGGCAGCAGCACGACTGCATAGCCGGCATGTATCAAGCTGATACGTGTAATAGACGCTGTGGTGTCATCTCACACGTGCATGCTATGTGCTGTCCGCATGCAAGCGCAGCCCCGGACCATCATTGGAGGATGTAGCTAGTGCGGGGCAACGATCCAGCCGGCTGAGGCTTGCGATAATATTCCGCCTGATCTTCGCGCCCTCTTATCTGACTTCCTGCCTCGTCCAATACGTCAAGTTAAGGCTCGAAGTGTGGTGTGGAACGGTTGCGCTTGAAGTGACTTTGGGAGCTGAGCCTCGACTGCAATCGCCATCGCCATGACTTTTGCAACTTCAGCCTTGCTGCGCTGGTGCAAGTGGTTCTCCACATGGAACGGGAGCAGCAAAGTCGAAAGATCCCATTCGAACGAGCCAAGACCTGTTCATATGGATGATGCACGCTTTGTGGCTGTTTTTGCTGACGGGAACAGTTGCGCTGAAGAGCCTCATGTGGAGCAGGTCAAGATTGTGCACGTGGGCGATGCATACTTCATGGCCATTCCTGCGGGAACCGTTATTGTCAGTCTGACCAAATACTTCAACCGCATGTTGTTGCTCATTCTTCTTCAGGACTTGACGTATGGGGAGCTGAGATACGTGGAACCGAGTTTTCAGCAATCGAGCCTTGAGAAGCTGGTGCCTGAGCATCACCATGGCGAGACATCAGATTCCGGGAAGGCGAGTCTCGATAATCAATTTCGTAGCCATGCGACACCGAAGTATTTCACAGTCCTCGACGCGGGAGATCAGCACCGACTTTCCGCGCACTGGATTGCCGAGCAGACCAGGGCCTACCAAGCCTGTGATACTTTCCAACACGCCTTTCTCCACGGAATCGTCCTCACCACCTCTAATGCCGAACCAGCAAAGATCGGAGAGCAGGCGAAGATGGTTCTCAGAAAAACAGGCGTCAAATGGATAAGCTGGCTGACCCGATCGAAAGACAGCCGGTTGACTTTCCGTCCTGGGCCACATTACACAAATGGTGCCTGTTTCTACGAATTGCACCGCCTCCACGACGATACGCACGACTGCTTCATCACCGCCATCACCAGAAGATCCCCGAAGCTGCCGTTCCGCCCTACATCCTACCCCAGCTTCAGCCGGCCCAGCGGCCCAGCCGTAGCGGTCCCCTCCCGCCTGAAGCCACACGGCACCAGCCACGCCAGCCTCGCCGGCATGCGTGTCGCCATAAAAGACAACTTCGACGTCGCCGGCGTGCGGACCTCGCTCTGCAACCGCGCCTACGACGCGCTGTACGCGCCGGCCCCCACCACCGCGGCCTGCGTCCAGACATTGATCGACAAAGGCGCCGCCATCGTCGGCAAGACGAAGCTCTCCAGCTTCGCCGCGACCGAGGAGCCCATCGAGTGCATCGAGTGGCCCGCCCCGTGGAACCCGCGGGCCGACGGCCACCAGAGCCCGGCGGGGAGCAGCAGCGGCAGCGCCGCCGCCGTCGCCGCGTACGACTGGCTGGACGTCGCCGTCGGCTCCGACACGAGCGGCAGCGGCCGCCGCCCCGCGCACTGGAACGGCGTCGTGGCTATGCGGCCGACTCACGGCGTGCTGAGTGCGCATGGGCTGTTGCCGAGCTTCCATCTGTTCGACGTGCCTACCTTTTTCGGGCGGGATCTGGTTTTGTGTAGGCGTTTTGCTGAGGCGTGGTATGGAGACGGCTTGCCAAGTGTGGGGTGCGAGGTAGGTGGAGAAAATGGACTCGTGTTGTAGCGGTCAAACGTGGTGCTGAAATTCGCATTTGTAGCTTCCGGTGGAGATAGTTGTGCCGATTGACTATCTGGCAACTATTCGAAATCCATACCAGAGTCGGCTGATAGAAGAGTTCTTGGCTGACATGGAAAACTTCTTTGGTGTCCAAGCGAAGAGGGTAAAGCTGGACAAATTGTGGGTAGAGACACGGCCGGAAGAGGCCGAGAATCAAAAACTGTCGGATTATATGGAAGCTGTAAGTTGTCTCGCAAACAAGAGGTCTCATTGTGCCTAATACATGGTAATGCAGGCTTGTCGAGACTCGTTTTGGTACGACGACTTTCACAATACCGATGAGTTCCGAAGCAGATACAAGCGTAAATTTGGCAGCAACCCCTATGTGAGCCCACCTGTCCAGTGGCAATGGTGAGGTCCTAGCGTTCTATCTTCACTCTATTTCGCTAAAGTATTCACAGGAGCCTTGCATCAGAAATCACCAAAGCGGACCGAGACGACGCTGTCAATAGGCTCAGGGTTTACCGCAAGTGGTTTACGGAAAAAGTGATGAAACCAGAAGATCGCAACACCATCATCGTCCTGCCAATAGAGGACATATCGCCACGTTATCGTGACGAGCCTCCATCGTCCGTACTCCCGATTTGCAACAGAAGGCTCGACTAATTCATGTGAAAGCCGGAAGTTCTATCCGACAGGTGTGCCGATGCTATTCTTGAGCCCCATCACGGGAGGACCTGAGCTCACTATTCCAAGTAAGGTCTCACGAACCTCTCAAGTAGTGCTTACAGCTAATTTTTGCGAAGTCGGACAAGTGCCGTATGTTTCCAAAGTGACCGGTAGAGAGGAGCTCCTTCCAATGGGAATATCTTTGATGGCCTCTCCTGGCTACGACCTTGTTCTTATGGATTTGATGTTGAAGTGCCTGGAGCATGCCAACAGGCCAACGCGTGTTCGGACCGGACGACACATGTTTTTTGGTGGAAATTCTTTTGCAGTATGACCGTTTTTATTCTATGCAAGACTTCGCTTTGACTGCCCATTGGAACAATTGGTGCAGAAGGTCGTGAAGCTGCACATGGAGCGATATCGACCCCAATAATGTGCTTGTCGATGGTCACGATGCTCTTAGATATTCCTGGATTGGCCCGCCGACTGAGGCTCAAGGTGACAGGGAGATGATGATATTGGACGTATTTATTGCAATCGTAGTCGCTAGTCAGTCAGCTCGTACCCCGCTTTATCGAATTCTACGCTCCTGAACGCTCAATGATCGGAGAAAGCTACCTTTACTCATCTTTCGGTGCATCATTCATACCTCATACTTTTCAGACATGAACTTCGTCCCGGCTAATCGAATCTCATCTGAAACCTCCATAGCAAGAACCTTCAAATGAGCAAGGAAATCATAATCAATCCCACTCACTCTTCCTCCCCAGCCTTCCTCACCACAAACCCATACCAAACCTTGGTACCTACCCACTTCCATCCTCTCTCGCCAACCTTCCCACTATTAATCAACCCTTCATCCACCGATCTCTCCTTCACACCGCTGATCGCATCCCTCTCCGTCTCACTTCGATCCACCGCATCAACAACAACCAAACCCACCTCCCTCGCCGCCTCGATCGTCTCCCTAATCCCATGCGCCCAACTCTGTCCCCTCACCTTCACCGTCTTGCCCTCTGCGTCTGTGCTGACGAAGCCGGCTTGCGAGACGGCGCCCATGTCGGGATGCATGTTCGTGACGAGGGCGACAGCGCCGGGGGCGAGCAGGGCGGCGAGGGTGCGGAAGAAGGAATCCAAAGGCAGATGTTCGAGGACAAGGGTCGAGATGACAGCATGGAAACACCGCTGCTGCCTCAGGAGGGGCACGGGAAGAGCAGCGGTGAAAGGGTTGAGGTTGAGGAGATTGAGAGTCGTCACGTCGGAATCTTCGACGAGCGGACTGCAGTGTGCACGAGTGAGTTAGCGATCAACCGTTCCTGCTAGACAGACCACCGAAAAAGCAAGCTCAGCTCAGAAGAAAAAACTGACATCAACCGCTCCTTCGCCTTCCCCAACATCCCCTTCGACGCATCCACGCCCGTCACCTCCATCTTCCTCTTCCCCTCTCCTTTCGCCTCTTCCCACCACCTCACCACCTTCTCCGTATTCCTCCCCGTCCCGCACCCCAGATCCAGCACCCTGAACACCTCCCCGTCCGCGCCACCGCCACCCACACCCCCGACAGCGCTCTCCAGAAACCTCGGCAGCATCGCCTCCAGTTCCAGATCATCCACGCTCTGCAGGATGTTCCCGTCCGAATCATACACAGCTGCCCACGCGTCGTACGCAGCCACATTATCAACATGGCGGACAGGCGTCGCGGTCTTACCAGGGGCGGCGTGGTCACCGACGACGGGGTTAATGGTCGGCTGCTGACGACCCGCAGAAGCAGATGCGCGACCAGAGGCGGAAGGAGTGCCACCACCACCAACGACACCACTAGCAGACGGAGAACGAGAGGGGGAAGAAGAAGAAGAAGAGGGAGGAGGAGAAGCGTCCCGAGCCATTTTCCTGCGCTTGGACGGGGGGCGGTGATTCTGTCTCGACACTAGCGAAGCCGAAGACGGCGGCGACGACGGCGAAGGCGGGGAGGGCGACGAAGAAGGCTGGGGGTGTTTGGTGGAGGAGGTCGGCGTCTCCGATGCTCGCTTGGCCTGGTGGCTTGCAGGCGCTCGTGCGGGGGCGGCGGTGGCGGCGGCTGTTGCGGAAGAAGGGCCTGGGCTATGCTTTGCAGGCCGTGGCGGCGGCAGCTGTCTTGGCTTGAGCTGGCGTGGAGGCGGGGGCGATACCAGCGGTGATCTTGATGGCGGTGGTCGTGCTAGTGTCGTCTCGTTCTTCTTCTCTTCCTCGTCCTCGTCCTCGTCCTCCTCTTCTTCTTCGGAGCTCAGCGCGGGCGTTCCTACGATGGCGCCGGACGTGCTGAATAAGAAGTCGTTGCTTCTATCTGCGACGGCCTGCGACGTGACGTCGTTCGCGAAATCCTCGGCTCCGTTGCTACCGTCGTTATTCGCGTCTTCCTCGTCGTTCTCGGTGTCCGGTTCGGTGGTGGAGAAGGATCCGAATTGCTGGCTGCCGCTCTGTTGTTGTTGTCTCTTTTCCTGTAACAGCCGTCGCCGGTGTTGCCTGGTTCCTGGGAGGGCGGCCAGGTCTATTAAAGACGTGTCGAACGTGGTTGTCAAGGATGGTTGAGTCATAGTTCTTGTCACGCCTAGCGGCACGACCAAAGCCAAGAACGGGTGTGACTGTGATGGACGTGGGTACGCGATTTAGTGGCGAATGCAAAGGGAAGTGCGTCACAATTGGTTGGCGACTGCAGAACTTGTAGAAGCACAGCAGACAGCAGAGGAAAATGAAGAAGGGACTATGTTTTCAGGCTGTAAACAGGCGACAACAATAGCGGGGAGCGATGACCGGGGGAGTGTTGTTGACGTGGGGTGCACACGGAACAAATAGGCAAACGCGCCGCATGTGACCGCGCGACAGGGCGCACAGCCGCTACTCGCTCGCTGGCACCACGCGGTCCCGACGCCCTGCACCACTCCACGCCTGGCCGACCAATGACTCACGCCGTGGGCGACACCACTCTGCTCCTCGCTGCCTGGGACCGAATCAGGCGCGGGAATGACCCGGGCTCAACCGTCTACTGATACAAGTCATGTTTTCTCCGTCGTAGGCCAACCCCACCGGCCTTCCGCAGTAGGGGCTGCCGGCATTATACAATACACCCCGTCTCTCCCCCTGCCCATACACATGCGAGACCTCTCCTTCATGCGCCGTGGTGGAAGAAGGCTTCAGAGACGCGCTCCTGGTGTCGCACCAGCCGTTGTCTAGCCCTCACCGCATCGCCCAGCCGCGACTTTGCCCAGCCGCCCGCGCCGCCCAAGTCGTGCGTGAGTAGCAGGTGTGTGTACGCGAACACGCTAGCGTCGAATACGCCAGGCCGCTGTGCCCCGAAGAACCACCTGTCTCCACCCAGCGCCGACTCCAGTGCTCGCAGCGCATCCTCGGCCGCCGAGTATATCGTCTCGGCATCGACCACCGCCCCGTGTTTGAGTAGCTCCGCCTGCGCCGCCGCCCGCAGCTCGCGCGACACACTGGCCCGCACGATCGCGTTGCTCGACGCGCTGTTGATGTAGAGCGGCTGCGCCACGGCGTCGAAGTTGCGCGTCAGGTAGAGCGTGTAGAGCTGAAGGTTCCCACAAGTGTCAGCCAGGCTGCCCGCGCCGATCTCGCTACGCCCTGGTCCACTGATGGGCACTTACCCATGCTCGCCGAATGTCGTGGTCCAATAGTGACATGTATGCCTCGAAGCGATTGTCATCCGGCTCCTCGACGGGCGTACTGCCGTTGTCCATCACCCATTTCTGCAGCTTGCCCGACGGTACGACGTGCGGCTGATCGAGAATGGAAGCATTGGCGCCGCCGGGCAGCAAGAATGGCAACGCGCCGCTGGGAGAGGCGTGGTTGTTCGACGCAACCGTGACAAAATCGACTCCGCTGAACTTAAAGTACGCCTACGAGCAACCACTCCTGTCAGCACTTGTAGCTCTGGAAAATATGCGACAACTTCGGCGCAGAAGGGGGGCGACGAACCTGCCATTTTAGACAAGTAGGATTGAAAGACGGCTCTCCGCTCAATGCGCCATCCTCGGTCGTGAATATGTACAGCTGATGCCGTTGGCGGTCTCGCGGCGCGCGCAGCGGCAATTCGTTCGCCGAGTAGGTGACGAGGGGAAACTTGTCGAAGAGGCGCTTCACCGGGGCGGGGACAGTGGTGATGGCGGAGAAGGCGGAGCGCGATCTCGAGGGCTTCGGCGGAGACGGATGCTGCTGCTTTGGCGGAGAGGTTGCGTTAGGGTCATCTTTCGGTGGCATTGTGTGAACCCATGGCGGAGGGGGAGTTGCGCTGCTGCTCCATGCAAACGCCTTTGTTCGACGGGCTGCTCCCGGCTAAACCTCGCCGCAATTACAGCTCTAACGTCATCCCCGTTCAGGCTCCACACATCATCACTACTCCTACTTCATCTCTCACCATTTCCCGTCCTTATTATCTCATCAGCACGCTGGGAGAGGCATCGCATTTCCTAATTGGGCTTCCTGCCCAAAATAACCCCCCCAAAGCCTCTCTCCATCATTATCATATATCATCATCATCATTATCACCACCACCACCAACCCATCCCCCCCAACAAAACACATCCCTCCACCCCCCACCGCGGGGCCCTACTCCTTCCTAGCCGGGTTCTCCCTGTATCGGTGGTAAGTAGTCTCTATGCTTCATTCATTGGGGAACCCGTTCTCTTCGACTTGCCTGTCATCCTCGAGGGAGAACAGCCCGTCCCGGAGAGCGTACTCCGGGTTCAGGAACCCTCCCGGACCGTACCTTCCGGCGTCGGCGGGGGGGCCCCTGGCACCAGCCGGAGCCGCCTCCTCCGAGACGGGACCGCAGCTCTCCAGCGGAGAGACCGGAGAACGGCCGTGGCCGATGGCGGGAGAAGAACCGCCATTGCCGACGAGAGGCAGCGGGGAGACGGGCGGCGATTCGAGCTCGACGCGCGCGGACGAGTCGAGCTCCGACGGGCGCGGGGACGCGTCCATCTCCGAGCGGGGAACGGGGGCGGGAGCGGGAGCGGGAGCAGCGTGGTCGAGTTCTGCCCTGTGAACGGCCGAGCACGTTAGCTGGGGGGGGGACTTCTTGATGCCTTGGGAGGCAAACTCACCTTTGCGAGCCGACCGCCTCCAGCTCGACGGCGTCCGGGCGGTGGTCGGTGCCGGCGCTGGGAGCCTGCGGCGGCGGGGCGGTCGGATCGGGCTTCCGCGTGCTGAGGAGACAGCGGTACGCGAACCATGCGCCGACTCCGATGAGGACGCAGATGCTGATGGCTCCGATGGCTGCGCCTACTTTTGTGCCGGTGCCAGGGTGCGAGGGTCCATCATCGGCCCCGGTGCCTGAATCGGGCGTGCCATTCGTGGACGACGGAGTAGCCTGCGTGGGCTGGTTGATGATCGTTATCGTGACCAGTGAGACACCTGCTCCGAGAGGAGATGGGTTTCCCGTGATGATACGGGTTGTTGTCCACGTAGAACTTATTCTTGTCACCATCCCATCCTGAGAGGTATCCGTGCTGGTGGAAGCTGGAATGGATGGCGTTTGTTCACCAGATGGCTTCTCCGATAGTGAAGTGGTGGTAGTGGTGTGAGGAGGCCATTTCTGGATGGTCGAAACCAAGCCCTCCGTCAAACTCATGCTGAATATTGTAGAATAAGAATCGCAGTAAAAATTGATGATGGTGAACCGGACATTGTACATCCGAACGCACTCTGAATCGGGTGGCGTGTTGCTGCGAACATCGTTAGCGTGCGCACATTGATCGCCATTGGTCTTTGATAACAAACCAGACGAGACAGCCAAGTTCAGCGTCGCATGGCGTGTTTACGGCATCCGTTGCGGCGACACAAGTCGTGGGAGGCCGGCAGTCCTCGCCACTAGAAGCGATCGTCAGCCTGATACATTCTCGTCGATATCGTATTTACTTACTCTGGACAGCAGGCAACAAATCCATAGTCGTCAGCAATGCAGTAATTGTCAGTTTGGCAGGCGACTTTTGCATTGTGTTAGCAGCTTGACATGGACTAGATGTTTCTATGCGGACTTACGTTGGCCACCAATGTTGCAGACATGGTTGCTTGCGCCCCTCTTTCCGAGTTGGCTTCCGAATCCTCCACTCACTTCGGTGGGCAGGAAAGCAGGCTTGGTAATAGCATGCGCATGTCCGTTAACAAGCACAACAGCCTGAAGGAGAATCATCTCAAGCATGGCGAAGCTGAGCATGATGCCGAAAGCGACGTTGACGCGCATAGTTGCTGATCTGTGTCAGATCTTCGTTGCAAAAAGTCAGGATGGAAGCGCAAAAGCCGTGAAACCAAGGCTCAAATCGGGTCGTTACAAGAGTCTGCACTTTGAGCAGATTGGTTGAAGGTGTAGGGTGTCACGGAGAGAGCTTCGCTGAAGCGCGTGGTGGATGGGAATGCGGGACGGAGATGTGGATGCGGCTGTGTTGCTGTGGTGAGAAACTGGATCTTGGAAGATCTAGAGTTGGTCGCGGACAAGCTTTGCAAAGCTCAAGACGGGCCGAGGTGCAAGTGCTGTGTTTGAACCGGCTTACAGCGTCTTGTATGGGCTGAGGATTAGACCGACAAATGTTGGTCGCTCGAGATGGAACCTCGAAGATCTGGAGATAGAGGCGCGGGCGCTGGCTCAGGCTACGCGATGACGGGTTGGAAAAGGTGAGGCGAGGGTGCAGTGTGAGCAAGGTTGATCTGTTAGAGGCGCGTCGTGGCGGGACGGTGTTGAAGTGACGATGGGATTGAAGAAGGTCGGCCGTGGCTTGGAATATCTAGAAGATAACCGTCGCTGGGCAAACCTCTTCGAAGCTGAATCCCGTCGGTCGTGAAGCTCGAGCTAGAGCAGAAGCGCGACCAAGCTGGCGCAATCAGGCTGGGCAGAGGTCGTGACGCGCTCTGTCACGGACAGGCCGCCTGTTTGGCGCGGCGGCAGACAGAGCGCCGGAGCGAGCGTAGGCCTGAACACTTGGGAGGCTGGCGCGGCGCTTGGAAATACGACAGCCGTTGGTGGTGAGTGTGGGTGGAGAAGAAGAAGAGTCGAGGCGCGCGCGCGGGTGTGGAAGATATGCGCGGTGGAAGGTGGGCAACGCCAAGAAATGGTGACGGACGCGGTCAGGGTCTCGCTAAGGGTCCTGCACAGCAGCGCAGAGTCAGGCCTGTCCAGCTGTGTCTGGTCATATCCCTCTAACGGCTTTCTCGTCGGACATTGCGGCGCGAATGAGGGCTGGCTGGCTACCATTGCTATCCACAGCTGCTTCGACAGCGTCAATCGCGAACCTGAGATTCAACTTGCAATCCAAATCTGCCGATTCTGTTCTGACTGGGGTCAGCGCAATGAGGTCCAAATGACACAAACACACATAGCCCAGCCGAAGAAGCTCGAGCTCGACGAATGCCGCCCAGAAGCGCGCGCTCCACAGCTACCACCACGTCTGCCTCTTCACGCCCGCTTCGCCCGTCTAGCCGTCTGTGTTCAAGATGCCTTTGCTAGCAAAGTACGCACCGTTCCCGAGCACCTTGTGGCGATGATTGGGCTGGCCCTCGACGTCGCGCTCCTCACCGCTAAGCTTGACGACCTCCTCGGACTTGGTGGAGACGGTGAAGACCGAGGTTTGGGGGAAGTCTAGAGCGACTGGCCTTGGAGAGACAAAATCAGCCCAAGTCCGCGTAAGCTCACCCATGACTGATCGGAAGAGCGCCCGGGCACTAAGCACATGCAGGTGGCGAGAATCGCGGACCGAGTATTCAGAATTAGCTCATCGAGATGAACGCTGAACATGCGAGGGTCAACTGAAGCCGAAGACCACATGCTCTCATCATAGCAAACGTTGGAAAAGCAGATGCCGTGGAAATGAGATTCGTGGTATTCAACTCCTCCCTCTTGCGGGGATACTTTAATTCTCCGGGTATCGAGCTACTGGTGAGATTCCGACCTACACATAAGAAAATTCATGATTCATGATATCTCCAGCCTTGTTGCATATTCCGCATATTCGTCCACAATCCACTGGCAAAACCCCTCCCACTGTTCCCTGAAGAACTTGAAGCCATGTAGCTTTTTCTCGTCTTCGAGGCAGCTGTACTCGATACTCCATTCGATGAGCTGGCGCCAGCCGTGCACGCTCATGACGGGCGTGCCAACCATGACTTGGTAGAACTCATGGTTCATATCGGCTCTACAGCTGAATCAGTCTTCCCTTCACAACATCGCCAATACGGAGAGAAACATACCCGAACAAGGCTGGGTTGTCTGCATTAATTGTGCAGGGAATTCCGGCAGCCAAAATCTCTGGATATGGGTGTTCTTTGACGTTGCGACACAAATGGAGAAGTTCATTCGAGACTGGACAAATTTCGACGCAGATGTTTTGTTGCTTGAACTTCTCAATGAGCCTGGGATGCTTAGGTAGAGCAAACCCATGTCCCACACGCTTGGCTTTCAACAGTACGGACTCGTAAAGATTCGAGTTTTCAGGGTCTTTGGTGCCGCCAGTGTCCAAAAGAGTTTCTCCTGCGTGGAACATGAATGGGATCTCAATACCGAGCTTGTCGCATGTCTTGACGAAGGACAGGAGTTCGTCACGGTAGAAGCCGATCGGATTTGGTCGGTCTTCGGCACCGACAAGATCGAAACCTGCAATCTCATCAGCCATCGGAACTTTATAACTTTGAACTTCCTGGACATACCGCAGATGAGGTCGGGGAACTTGATTCGAAGCCTTATACAGTCTTCCAATTCTGATTGCATCTTCGCTTTCGGGATGGACCGCGGTGTACAATAGATGATCTTAATACCCTCGAAAGCCGTAGAGGAGTCGAGCTCTTCTCGAAATTTGGCAATGACCTCTCGAATGATGGTCATTTGTCCTTCAAGATCAATCTGCCTCAGGCCATCATCGGATGGGATGGTCTTGTCCATGAGCATGGGCCGCAGTTCAGCGTACATAATACCGTTCTCGACCATATTCTCCATGGCCCTCTTCACGTACCAACGATAAGTGCTTTCGTAGTTCAGGAGACCCTTGAAACACCTTGTGGCCTGGTTGAAACGCGCCCAAATACTGTGCAAAGTCAGATTGTACATTGCTGTCACGTCGCATGGGGAATTGACTCACCCATTCACCGTCTGTGACGTGCCGTATACCTCTTCCTCTGATAGGATCATCTTCGTCCTGACCCATGCTGTGGCATCTGTACCGCCGTTTCGATCGCTGAATATTCTCTGAAAATTGGTCCATTTCATCCAAGGATTGTTGGTCGTGTTCTTGAAGTCTGGCTTGTAGTCCTCGGAGAACAAATCTGCCTCTGGGTGGTTTGCGGGTAGGACGGTGAAGACGATTTCGGTCTTGTTGAAATCCTCGGGCGCCAGTAAGGGTACTATGCTTCTGACAAACATTGTATCCATCCCTTTCGCACGCTCCAGAAGCTCGTCAACGGGAAGCTCGGCGTTAAAGTGGGCATGCAGATGTGCACCCTTAGGCATATGCTTGACTATTTCGAACAGCTTGCTTTCACGGTCGATCCTCTCCTTGTTGGTAAGGAACTGGCCGCCCATGTCCCTGGTAGATGCATCCGGGACCGCTTCGGTGGCCAGGTTACCGAAGAGATTGTCGCGCTCGTGTTCTCGTATCTTCCACACAATGTGGGCAGCACGATTCTCAACTTCGGAAGCGGAAAGTTTAGATTTCCTATCCCAAGACTCTGTCTGTTCCTGCTGCAGCAGGTCTCTCCGATCCTGGTCATAACCCTCTTGTTGCTGAGAGTTGTTGAGGTTCTGCTTCAGCTGATCCCCGACCTGGAGGAGCTTTTCCTCTTCGGTCATCTGCTCGACGGGCTGCTCATCGGCCTCGGCCGGAGGAGTGGCAGGCAGCTCCTGGTGTTTTGTTCTCTTGCGAGGAGAATCTTGGGACTTTCTAGCCACTGGCATTTTGGCGTTCCTGGGGTCCTTTTCATTCAGAGCGCCTTTGCTTTCTCTTTTCCGTAACCTATCTGTATACGTCCTGGTAAAGCATTAGATTCAGCTGGTGGGGCCAGGTGCGGCTGGAAGCTCGACATTGGCGAGGAGCAACAGACGGCAGAGAAGATGGAGAACCAACCGAGGCGACAACACACGTAGCCAATGCTTCCCTGGTCCAGGCATATTTGTTTCAGATTCGGATTCGTACATGATTGGGCGATTGAGCAGTTGACCAGTAATCACCTTTTTCTTCTCTCATCCAGGCTTTGGCGAAGTCAAGTAAACGGAGACAGAGGCTGCAGCTGGCCGACTGGCAAGACTACGCAAAGGACAGGGTGGATGAGGGAAGCCAGCGGAATAAGTAGTGGGAGCGTAAGCACGAGCAAGGCTGAACAGATGACTGTGATATCGCACTTCGGGCAAGCGAGGAGGCAGTGATGGTTGGGATTGGTGCCTCAGGAAGCGGCTGCCCTTGACAGTGCGTTCTACCAAGGCTCCGAGTCAGCCCTGCGCTCGCATTTCCGCAAAAGAGGTGAAAGATAAGCCGGGTACAAGCAGGTGGCGGACGGGGTTTATATGGGCGAGGCTGAGTGCTGCTGCGCCTCCTCGCCCCGCAGCTCTGTGTGACGAAGAAAACGCGAGGCTGGCGGTCGAGACAGGCGGCGCAACGAGAGCCGGCGCGGGAAGCAGCTGCAGAGAAGACAGAATACAGGAACAGCGAAAAGCGAAACAGAGAGTGACTGGAGTCACAGGAGGCAGACGGGCGGCGTTGAGACACGTCGCGCGCAGCTCTGGGGCACGGCGCGTGCGCGGTCGCGAGTTCGATGCTCAGCCTTGCAGCGGGTGCCTGGAGCGGGTGCCTGGAGCGGGCGGTGCGGGGAAGACAGGCAGGGGCAAGCAGGGACGAGCGGAAAAGGACTCACAGTGGCAGTCACATCCGCATCGGGAGCGAGGGTCGTGACTTCTGGCAAGGCGGCAGACGGGGACCGACGATGTTGCGGAGTGGTAGCTTGGGCTGGACGGGAAAGCGGTCGCCTGGGGGCGGTTGGAAGCGCACGTCACTCCCGCGGGCCTGGCTGCCTGTCAGCCCGGCAGCCGCCCCACCCGCTGGCAGGGCTCTGTCGCGCGGCTGTCCGCCGCCCTGAGTCAACTGCAGATGGGCGACCCGCTCTGCAACCGTCGGCCTCACCGCAACACACGCGCCGCGCCAAATTTGGAGCGGGTGGTGGAGTTTGAGATGGCGAGCGCTTGTCGCGGCGGCTGTGTCCGTGTCGAGCCAACGACTGATCACCACCTGCCGCGGCCGCTGACTGGCCGCCGACGAGGCTGAATCCTCCACACATGGTCGTGGGGGCGGCGTGCATGCAGCTCTAGCGCTCAGCCTTCACTGCTGTCCTGTCTTTGCTCCCGCGTCTCTGCTCACCGGCTGCTGTGCCGCACCCAGAGCCTCGCGGTCTGAGCTCTGCTCCAGCGCTTCAGATCCTTCTTATATACAGCTGCCTTAGCTGCCTGGCTGCGCCCGCCATTCCTTCTGCTCCATCCCAGCTAGTCACAGCCATTCCGTCCGTGCAAAAATGGCCGACAACAACAACAACCAGGGCGATGGCGTCCGCGGCCAGTTCTTCAGCACCATTCCCGGCTTCACCGACATCCAGCTCGACATCGTCGGTTTCCTCGCTATCCTCGGCGAGGGTTCCGTGCTGGCCAATGCCCAAGTCTCGACCCTGTCAAAATGGATGTTCGTCCCGCGCCTTCTCCCTGCGCCGCAGGCTCTGCTACGCCCTTCACGCCCCTCCAGGCTTGAGCCTGCCCAAGGGAGAGTCACCGGCGTCGTGTCCGGCAACGACCGCGATGCCCTGAACCACATTGGCGACATTGTCCTGTAAGCATCCTGGCGATCACCCCCTGCCCCAAGGCTGAACTGACTTTGCAAAGCGACGCCGACTCGTTGAAGGAGTTTGAAGTCCGCTGCGTCGAAATCGAGCGCAACGACGAAGCACCCGTCGTCAAGGCCCGTGCCTTTGGCTGGCTCACTGCAAACAACATTCTCGGTGCCCTCTTCGCTCTTGGTATCCTCATTCTTGCGGCCATTTGGCAGGACGGTATGGCCCTCATTGCCGTCTGCTGTCTGTCCCTGCTTTCGACTGTCATTGGTCTCGGCAACAAATGGACCCTCAAGCTGCCCCAGCGGAGGTTCACCAAGGGCAAGGTTCCTCGCGGCGACGTCGTCATCCGCCACCCCAAGGGTAGCTTCCTGGTGGTCAGGTGCAGCGAAGACGTCGCCCGCGAGATCTTTTTCGCGCCGGAGAACATCGAATACCTGCTCGAAGACCAGGTGCTGTACCGTCTGCTCGCGCTCGTTGGCTCCCTTCTGCTTATGGCTGGCGTCATCAGCCTCGCCAACTGTCAGGTCAAGTCCCAGATCTGCTTCGCCGCTGCTTACCTGATTCTTAACGCCACTTACTGGATCGTCGCCGCCATCCCTGCTCGCGTCCACTGGAATACCTCCGCCTTCGAGGTGAAGCCGCAGTGCCTGGGCGAGGCTTGCGCGGAGAACAAGTGGACTGACCAGAACGACTCCTTCACCAAGGCCCTGTTCAAAGCCATTGTCGCCACCAAGGAGACCGACTGGGTGCAGCTCGGCGACGCGGCCCCACGGACCGAAGTCTGGAACCAGTGGCTACGCGAGGCCAAGGAAGCGGCAAGGTCTGCGGGCGTTGAATATGACAAGGAAACCAAGATGACTGTCTACAAGGTCCCTACAGACTTCGATCCCCAGACCAGGTTGAGAGACCTTCTCAACAACCCTGAATACAACGACCATGTGATGCAGGCAGCGCATGTGTGAGCTCCATACCCCTCGCGTCAAGCACCACGAAATCCCCCAAAGAAACGGCTGTCTCGCATTTTGGATGCCCTGGATTGAATTCGTCGACCCGATCAGCTATATACCCTTTACACGGCCGCCATATACCACCGACGTCTTTGTTGCGATACTTGTCTCGCAACTTATCAGAGACGAATCCATCTTCACAACGGAATGACCATGATCCTCATTGTCCATTTTACCATCACATTCGAAACTGTAGCGTTGACGCAATTCGGAAGCCTTTCTTCTTTTCTCTTTCGGTAATATGTTCATGCTTCTTTGGCCTCCCTGGCGGATGATTCTTCGCAAGCATTGTATTTGGAAAATGGGCATGGATGGCGTTCTGGGTTTTGGTAACATCTACTTGTTCACATCGTCCGATGTTCTCCAACGTAGATGCTGAAATTGGAAAAGCAGTAGAGAACGGCAGCTCCGCTGGGAAAAGCGAGAGCTCTCATCTGTATGTACAATATGGAGTGCATCCACTCGTCGAAAAACCATCAAATGGCTCACCGCTCCTCCTGCATGCTCAGCGGTTTCGTAAAGGGTGAAGTGGAAAAGAAAAAGAAAAGTCTCCACTCTCCGCATCGCTTAGGCAACATCACGCTGGCCGCTCTTCCGGCCCCCAAAAGCCCGAAGATCACTGCAGGTGGTACCGCCGATAATAACATGCGGCCAACAACACACAGACCACGAACCACACCAAAGGGCGCTTCGAACATACGCACACGATCACACTGGCACCCGTGCGGCACGGAACCGGCGCGTGGATCGCTTCCGGGCTTTGGCACTGCAGACCATGCATTTTCTTTTTTTAGTCGTAGCGCCCTCAATAAAGGAAGGGGAGAGAAGAAAATACGAAATCAAAAATGGAGGCCAGACACAAGGCAGCTGAACATGATCTGCAAAAGACTCCACCGACGTCCCTGCAGCTTTCCTTCCGATCGGACCGCGAGCGTGGCGCGATCGCCGAAGAAGAAGCAGGAGAAAAAAAAAGAAGAGTCCCCGGCGCACCTGACGACCAAAAAAAGAAGGAGGAACGGTCGCATGAATCCTTTAAGGGACCGCTGTCTGACAAGAACCAGTAGCAGAGCTAGACAGATCGCTTCCTGAAGCATAACTCCGGAGTCCTAAGGCAAAGGGGACTGGGAGGAGAGACGCCTTGGGTAGGACGGAGCTGCTGTGCCTCCCCCACCCGCGCTTGCTGAAACAGAACGAACGGGGGCATTCGAATCCTCCTGGAAGTGCAATGCGCGGCTCGCTCCTCTTGTGATTGATCGCACGAGTAGGAGATGATGTCGACTGCCCATGAATCGTGTTCCAGCTCTGCTTCGTGCGCGCCGGCCGCCGGCGGAGAGGTTTTGTCTCCACTCACGGAGTTTCCTCCTACATGCCCACCTGGCTGGGACGGCGCCGGTGTACATAATAGTTCCCGTGCGTGTAGCAACATGTCAAAAAGAGCAATAATGTAAGCCCCGGAAAGGGGCGGACTTCTGGCTCTTGTATGGACTTTCCGGGGCACATCTAACGATGCTCCCTCGAAATTCGGTACAGGCATAGCCGCTATTACCCCACCATAAACTTATCTAAGCATATTCTACGTCCCATCGTCTCGCGTAAAAAATAAAAAGCCGTTTTTGGGCGGGAGGAGCCGCGACGCGCGATTACTACGTAAGGCGGTCGTCTAAAGTGCCTAGCTTGGTAAACAAGGATCTTCCTCGTCTTCAGCCAGGCGTGAGGCCCAAAAACGCGGGACCAGAGCCACAGATCCCTGGCCAGCTGTGCCGATCCGAGCGGCATTGCAACAGCAGGCTTGCTATACGTGTGAATAATATGAATGCGCCACTCGTGTAGCCCCGGGAGAGGGATGACTGGCCATCAATATGCGCTCGATGCAACACTGGCACCATTTGCACATGCTACATGCTTCATGCTTGTCAGGTTTGCTGTTGTTCGTTTGATTTCTCTATTAATTTTGGACCATCGGTAGTTGTTCTGCAGGCTATGCTGTATCTAGCTCTTAGTTGAATGGCCCGGCTTTCTTCTGCTGCGCTGACGCACGTCCGAGGCATGCCACGTATGTGCCCATGGTCCATTTCATGCATATACGCCCCTCACGATAGGCGGAGAGATGGAGAGACGCAGGTCGGACGAGGCTCATGCACAAACAAGGGCTGTGCCACCTGAAGATATCCCAGCAGAGCTGAGCGATGAGCCTCCCCACAGCCTCGAACTCTCCTCGTGCACCGTAGAAAAAAAATCTTGTTCCCCACCTTGCCCAGCTGCGCCTCCCTTGCCTTCACCCAAAGCCGGTGAAACCCCATCTACCCCGCTCCTGGCACTGGCGGTGGTACCGATGGTACTCTCTGTTATGACGCCCGACCGGCATAGCCAAGACGAGAAAGCTAGGCAGAAATCAACCGCAGGGCGTATCGCGGCTAACCCAGCTTCATCAAACTGGATGGAGATAATGCCGCAATTCTTTGCCGCAAAAAGCAGGCAATCAGCACCGCGTTCGCATTCCTGCGGCGCGGGTACGCGTGTGAGATCAGGGCGCCTCCTTCCATGACTGCTCCCTGTGTACTTTCAGGCTCACTGCGTCCTTGAGCACCGAGTGCAAATTCTCGGCTTCCTTTCCATCCACCTCCATGCCCTCCACTTCGTCTCCTGTGGCACAGCATATCCTCGCCGCAGCATCATGCAGTGCGTCCCAAGTCCTCAGGTCAAACTTTCCTTCACTCTCAGCTAGCAACAGATCGCCCTTGGGTGCAAATGCGAAGACGTGGAGGGATGATGCTTGCGCGAGATCTTTGACGGACGGGTTGGTGATGATGTCATTGGTTGAGGAGGCTGCGAGGAGGGTGGCGGAGAAGGTCGTGGAAAGCGGAATGGAAGCGGACACGAGGGCGAGCACAGAGGCTTGGAGGAGAGCAGGGAGGATAGATAGGATCTACATCATAGCTCAGTACGTCGGAAGCATGTTGGCATGCAAAGAATGAGCAATTACCGAAGAGCGTGAGCGGTCGTCAGCGGCGTCGCCCTCAGGTACAGTGAGAACCTGTAGGGTCACTTGGATGAGGGTGCGTGGATGGTTGCGAACAAGGATGACGTGCCGCAACGTGTTGTGGATCAGCGTCTCGAGGTGGCGTTCTTTGGGGCCTATGGTTGTTCGTCAGGCTCCCTGATGTCTAAATTGCTTGCTGGGAAATGTGGGCTCACTTCCAACGCCGGAAGCCGGGCGAACATTGACCTCGATGGCTGCTTCTTCGGGCAGCTCGTCGCGACGCTGGACCTCCAGCGGGCCATTGACGGCGCCCAATACCGAGTATCCGTTCTGCGAGAAGGTGGCTGAGCCGTCCGCGCGGCGCAGGTCGGATAGCGAGGCTTGGGGAGCGGGCATGACGCAGGGTAGTACGGAAAAGCTGTTGTGGGGAGGGTGGGCTGTTTTTCGAGAGCTGCGAGAATTCCGCAAGGCGCGTCGCGCAGGTGCTTCCCCAGAAATTCTGGCCGGCGCTGCGCGAACGCCGATCCGAGGATGATCCGCGTCATGGCCGACGGAGGCAGGTTTCCCGCCTAGGCATGTGCGGCGCCGTAGCTCTCACATCACAGCTGTGGTGGATCACTACCTGCGCATTCCTCTGGTTCGACGTCCACGCGCTGCTGCGGGCTACCGTTTGAGGTCATTAGAATCACCACCCAAGGATCCGTCAATCATCCACATGGCGACCGGTCGCGGCCAAACGCCCGTCAAGCGCCTGCTGGTCGAGCTCCAGTCCTACCAAAGCGATCCGAACGATGCGCTGCAGCGCCTTGGCCCTGTAAACGACGACGAGCTGACGCACTGGCAAGCCGTGATGAAGGGCGTACCGGGGACGCCTTACGAAAGTATGACTCTCCCTTCCCTTACCTTGTAGTGCCCCACACCCGGCTTACGGTCTCCCGCTGGACAGATGGCCGCTGGCTCCTCGACATCCGCATCCCGCAGACATACCCGCTCGCGGCGCCCGAGGTCAAGTTCGTGACACCCATCTGCCACCCGAACGTGCACTTCAAGACGGGCGAGATCTGCCTCGATACGCTCAAGGCCGCGTGGAGCCCGGCCTTCACCGTCTCCACCACCATGACCTCCGTCCACCAGCTCCTCACTTCCGCCGAGCCCGACTCTCCGCTCAACATCGACATCGCCCAGTTGCTGCGCCAAGGCGACATAGTGGGCTACGAGAGCCTGATTCGGTTCTACACCGAGATGGAGCGGTACGAAGGCAGGTAGTAGACGAAGCGGGTTGGCGTTTCGTGTGGTGGCTGGGATGGTTTGCGGGCGGGGTGCCTTCGCCGAGGATGAGCGGCCGCCACCGCCCGCTGCACGTGTCACGTTGATGTTCCGAGCAGGCGTTGCTTCTTATGGCGTTTTGAATGGATTGAGATGTGTCTATTTGACTCTTATATTTGTTGGAAACGGAAATGCTCAATTTCTTTCTCGCGGGTATTGGGAATTACTCGTGCACACCAACGGCCACCTTCAGGCCTACAACAGAAAGGCCAGGAATGCTCATGACAATAACAACAGGGCCCGATTTGCTCATGACTTTTGGCCAACTTCCAAACCCCATCTGCTCCAAACTCCAAACAATCGACAATAGATTTCCCAAGTTCATCAGACCCGTAATGCGTTCCGGGAACAAGCCGTTTCAAAATTTGGTGCCGCTCTTTTCAACGTATCTCGACCGTCCATTGGTTTCGCCGAACGCCTGGAGCCAGAGGGCCACCTCTCATGATGGTACCTCGTATTGATCTCCTCGGACCCATGCTGTCTGCGGAAATTCTTCTCTCGTATTGGGTGACAGTTGGCGGCAATGTTTCCTGTGTGACGTCACACGAACGGCTGCGGATGGTGGGTAGAAGTGGCGGTGCAGCAGGGACATTCGAGCTTGAGATTGGAAAAGGCGGCGGTGCAATAGAGTCCGGACTCTGGAAGAGGAAAAAGCTCGGGCTGGAGAAGCCGTCCTGGGCAATTGGGTTCCATTTCCAGTCTGGCAGCCGAGGCGGTGGCGAAGGGAATTGAAAGAGGTCCCCATGCTTCTCGGACACCACGGTGGGTTGCTCGTTGCGATGTGAGCGGTGTTGAGTGAGGTGGCGGCGCCGCAAGTAAAATAGTAGCAGACAGAGCACAGCGGCCAAGGGCAGCACTATTGATCTGACGAGAGGTGCGGGGGCAAGTGCTGCTGCGGCTTGCATTTGTGCGGCAAGGTGGTCAGAAATGAGCGAGGGTAAGGGAGGCATGGCTCGTGGCTGGAGGACATCAAATGTTTTCAACCAAGCAAAAGGCCAGGGTTCTGCTGCAGCCGGAGACTTATAGTAGATGAGCAGGGCCTAATAAGCACTAGGATGCACTCACGCCGACCATGTTAGCAGGTAGCGAGTTCGTACAACAGGCACATTGTGGCCGGGGGGAAGTGCGAAGGCGCACAGCACGTCAAGGATGGGTCAGGATGGGTCGCGGGTGGCTCTCTGTGCGGGAGTGAAACTAGGGCGGGGGCATTTGGTGGCCCTCGACGCGGGCGTAGCGAGCGGTGACGGCGTATAGGCGCGCATCTAACGGGAGGTTTCAAGCTGGAGCGGAGGGCGGCAGCTCAGGAATGGTCGAGCATGGTTGAAGCTTGCGGGGCGGGCAGACAATGGCGGCGGCCGGGCCTGGCGTTCAGCTGGGACAGAGCAGCGTGCCATGTCATGTTCGGGCATGGCAGGGGAGCGTGACCGAGGGAGTGAGCGCCAAGGGCGGAATGCGACCCAAAGGACAGGGCTTAGGCGATGGATGGCGTCTTTTCAGCTTCGATGGTCACGAAAATGGCGTTCTGGAGGCGGCGATGAGGCGGCGTTGCGGTGGGCTGGCCGGGGCGCAAGCGATCGCCCGCGCCTTCTGCCTCGCCGGCCACGGCATGCACCCTGCTGCTGCTGTTGTTGTTGCCGCTGCCGCAGGAGAGCTGCGTTTGCATGTGCATCATGCTTCGGACATGATGAGCTTGCCACTCCGGAGCCCGCGCCGGGCGGAATTGGCCCTTCCATAGAGCCGGCAGCCTAGAGGGACCGCATCAGCCACCCGCTGGTTGGCCGGTTGGCCTGAGCAATCAGGCCGGCCATGACTAACCTGCGCCGCCCGTCGCGGCCTAGTCCGCGCTTGCCAGCGAGGTTGAACGACTCACCTGAGGCGCAAACTGGAAAGCCCCGTACCGACGTCATCTGTCCGTGAAGAGTGACTGGGCGTTCTGCGCGCGCGACAGCTGAGCGTGAATCGATAAAGCTTCACCGGTCTGCAGCCAGCCATCGTGGTTGCTGGCAAACAGAGCTGTACCCTGACTAACTGTTAGTCTCAGATCGCCCGCGCCGCCATTGCGGGTACCTGTGCTGGATCTCGATAGACAGATCTCCTCCCAGAAGACCTTAGATCCTTTTCGATCGCAGTGCCATATCCCTGGTCTCCTCCTGTCATCAGCAAGTGCACTGGCCCTGATTCTGCCGCCGGAGGCTTTCGAGTTGGTATCTCTCCGTGGCACGTCTCTCCGTGGAGATACTCCTTACCTACCTAGTGCACTTGGCTTTGTGGCAATGCCGCCACGCTTGCTGAATCAGAATTCTTCCGTAAGGCGAACGGACTGCTATCCGCCTCGGAAACACCGAACGCAGCCTGAAAAATCGTTTGCTCCACCGCCAACGATCACTGGGTGCCAGAACGTTGCCAAGGGAGAGCGATACCAATCAAGTGGTTATGGTTGCGGCAACGCTACGGCTGAAGAGGCAACTGTGGCTTCGAAAGCGCTGGTTCTGAACGTGTCAGTCGGACCGCTGAGTTCCCGAAGAGGATAGAATGCGCGAGCAAAATGACAACTTATATGTACTGACCTAGGTCCTGTGATCGAATCTAGAGAGACTTAAATCTGGCGTCCAGAAGAACGCAGCGTAAGGTCGACACTTGTTCCGCGCGGGCCTCCTCGTGACTGGTAGTCGTTTTCCGTCCGTATTTGTCCTGGGCTCGCCAAGCTGTCACAGCCACCATCGAGAATGGCCTCTAATCCGATGGCTCTTGTATACAGCTATAGTACCGAGTCATTTCTTCACATCGGATGAAGTGTTTACCCCGCGAGAGTCTCGGGTTCGGGAACTGGCTGATCCGCTCCGGATGCCGGACGAACAGCGCACATATTGCTTACATCATACCTCCCCACACCTTGCCTATATGTAGACTTCAGATGTCGTCTTTGGCTTTGCATGAGAGTGCGATGTGTTTTGCCTCCAAAGCGACTTCTTGCAATCAGTCTCCCAGCCTACGTCAACTTGAAGTGCTCCATTGAAAATTCTCGAAATCACCATGGTGAAGCAGCGTGTGCTACTTCTTGGCGCAACCGGCAACACCGGGGAGTCCATCCTCAACGGATTGCTCGAGCATGGTGCTTATGTATGTGATCGAACAGCGCAGCAAATTCAGGCTGCTAATTCATGTTCATCATTGCAGGAAGTCCAAATCCTCGTCAGGCCGTCATCTGCGGAAAAGCCTGAGGTTAAGAAGATTGCAGAGCGAGGCGTGAAAGTCGTCATCGCAGACATCAACGGCCCGACCGAAGAGCTCGTCTCCATTCAAACGGGGGTTGACGTCACCATCAGTGCTATTGATGCTATGTCCCAGCTGGCCCAGATGAATCTGGCCACCGCTGCAAAGAAGGCGGGAGTGAAGCGTTTCGTGCCATGTGCCTGGACCACTGTTGCTCCGGCTGGAGGGGTTATGGTGTTGCGCGACCACGTGAGTTCCAATGAGAGTGGTGTCTGGGTGGTGCTAACCGGCACTGCTCTTATAGAAAGAAGAAGTGTACAACCACATCAAGAGGCTCTACCTTCCATACACCGTCATTGACGTCGGATTTTGGCATCAAATATCGTTCCCCACCTCGGTTCCATCCCGCCGGTTCGACTATGCTGTTCTCATGCCCCAGAACACCGTTCATGGTGATGGTGAGCAACCAACCATCATCAGTGATCTGCGAGACCTTGGCCGTTGGACAGCAAGGATCATCGAGGATGAGCGCACTCTCAACAAATACGTCTTTACGTGCAGCGATGTGCTTAGCGAAAACCAGATCTCCACCATCGTGGAGGAGATGGCGGGAGAAAAGCCCGAGAGAAAACAGGTGTGTCTTGGTCCAGCGCTGACAAGGTGGACTTTGACTAGCAACCCGACTGACCAGCACGACACCTTCAGGTTTCGTATGAGGAGGTGGAAGCGGCGAAACATGAGGCCAGGATCAAAACCGAAAACGAGCCCGACAACTTCATGAACCGGATTAGGCGTTTCGAGGCGGACTACCACTATAGCAAGTATGTGCGCGGCGACAACCAACCCGAGTACGCCAAGTATCTCGGCTATTTGGACGCTCGAGAGCTGTACCCAGATTTCCGCCCCATCACCTTCCGTGAATTTATGAAGGATCTGCTGGATGGTAAGATCCAGAAGCCACGCTTCAACTTCGCGTGAGGGCTTGGAGCGTGGCACATGTACCAGAAGAAAGTGGGGCCAGATGAGGTGTTACCGCGCTTTCAGAAGCTGGGGACAGGCGTCTCACAGTAGATAGCCACAAGGTGTAGCGTCATAGCATCTACCATGACCAAAGCTTTGATCGTAAAGTGACATGGTAATCGACAGCGTGGAGCGGAGTGAGACGTCCAGCAGAACAGTAGAATGGTGGAGGGTGATTGAGATAACCCGTAAAAGAAGCTTCTCATGGCTTGCATTATGAGACACTGCGCGCGGCCACTATTATTGTGGCAAGTTAGCGCGGCAAGGCAGGAAGGCGGCTTGAAGCTGCAACGGGCGCATCCCATATATCCTTTTCCCGGTGGAACACGGAGCGGCCCCGCAGGTGCGCAGTGACGTTTTGCGAATCTGTGAAATGACTCAGGTGGAAAGGGGCGGAGGAAGAAAGGCGCGGCGGAGACGAGGGGGTGGGAAAGAGGTGGTCGGGGGTTCGGCGCAAACCCTGTCGTTGGCCCGTCATCAGCAGCCAAGCTTCACCGACCTCGTGCCCAGAGCTTTGACGTCCTGAGCTGCACATCTCCCGCGTCAACACATCACACCGATACCGACAACAAAACCTCCACTCCTGTCAGCCTCATCCGCAGCCCGCGCGCATATTCTTCGATTCCGTCCGGACGACTGTCGTCCTATTTCCGGCCCGCCACAGCCCTCCACGCCTCATCACAGCGGCCCAACCGCACGTACCGCCGACCCAACAACGCGACCATGGCGTCAAGAAGAAAGGTCTTGCTCAAGGTACGCCGCCTGTTCCGCGCGACGACAGGGGAACCGTACTAACAAAAAGCGCAGGTCATCATCCTCGGCGACAGTGGCGTCGGCAAGACTAGTCTGATGAACCAATATGTACGTCGTTTCCCTCGCCGCCTCCGCTGTCTCCCACCCGTATTGCTATGGATAATAACAGCGGCCATGTATAGGTGAACAAGAAGTTCAGCGCAAGCTACAAGGCCACCATCGGCGCCGACTTCCTGACGAAGGAGGTGCTCGTCGACGATCGCTTGGTGACGATGCAGGTGGGTGGATATCGACACCGCCAATGGGCCATAAACTGACGTCGGCATAGCTCTGGGATACCGCGGGACAAGAGCGCTTCCAGTCCCTCGGCGTTGCCTTCTACCGCGGTGCCGACTGCTGCGTCCTCGTCTACGATGTGAACAACGCCAAGAGTTTCGACACCCTTGATAGCTGGAGGGACGAGTTCCTTATTCAAGCGAGCCCCATGGACCCCGAGAGCTTCCCCTTCGTACGAACCCAGGCTCCGATCACACGTTGAGTGCGTCTATTGACATGGGAGCAGGTCGTGATCGGCAACAAGATCGATGTTGAGGAGAGCAAGCGCATGGTATGGACAGATGCTTAGTGAGTGATGACGATATGGCTGATAGTGTACCAAGATTTCCACGAAGCGCGCCATGGCTTTCTGCAACTCCAAGGGCGGCATCCCCTACTTCGAGACAAGTGCCAAGGAGGCCATCAACGTTGAGCAGGCGTTCGAAGGTAGGCCCCCGAACCCTTGCCCGGTAATACCCACTAATAATTGCGCCCCGCAGTCATCGCGCGCCAGGCCCTTGCGCAGGAGGAGGCAGGCGACTTCAACCAGGACTTCCCCGAGACGATACCCATCAACCTCGACGGCGACCGTGACGGCTGCGCGTGCTAGACGGCCTCGCGTCTTTTCCGTCGTTTTACTAGAGGATATGCGGTGGGACGGCAACATTAAACGAGTGATTCTGGTTCATGGCCGAGGCGTTCTGATTGGTTCTTTTGTTCTTCCTGGCGGTCCACGACAAGCGCTTCAAGAGGGCAACCCGGGTCTCGGATGTAATTTCGAATATGATGCAACGCGAAAGACTGTACATATGTGTGGAATGGTGATTTTGTTTGCTGGTCACGCGCGTGCAGCCGGATTGCTGTTATCAGGCGCCAAGCTCCCAGGAGCAATGCGGCGTGCCGTCGGAAGCGAGACAGGGTTATGGTGGGCACCCGCCAGTCGCCGCAGGCACGGAGTTCCCCCAACTACCCTATGCAACACCAAATGTCAGATCCCTCTCCCTCTTTGCGCACCTGCCACCCCCTCGCGACCCGGTCCATGTGCAGCGCCCATTATCCCCATGCACCGCGAAGCCTGGGAAGTTGCCGCACCCTCGCCCCTCTCACACCTGCGACCTGAGAGTCTCTGCAGATAGCGTCGTCATCGCCCACACCCGGCTATCGGACCTTCCCGTTCCATACATCGGAGTCCTCATTGCGGAGGCCTGAAACATCCCACAACACCACCACCATGGACGGAGCAGTCAGACCTGCGCTGGGCGCCCAAAGCGCATCATCCATCCACTCCGTTTCCCACAGTCTTTATAGCATGTGGTCAGAAGGCAAGATGTCTCCGCGCTCGCGGCATACCTTGGGAATATCTCTGCTGCTGGTCACGGTTTTATTATGGACTGCCTCTAACTTCCTCGCATCGGTGAGTGCTCGCAAGTCCCGTTCCTTCTTCCTCATTCCGCACGCACGATATAATTCCCTCGTGCGCGCACCCCGTCGCGAACTTGGGGGGCTTGCAGGACATGCTGACAAGGGGACTGTATTCTTTTGCCGCCAGACCATCTTCGCCGACGACACATACTCGAAACCGTTCTTCGTCACCTACATTAATACTGCCTTCTTTGTCATTCCTTTGGGTCCTATATTGTTCCGGAAGGCTCGCCGCGATCCCGAGCAGTTCCGCCAGTTGGCCGATGCGGTCAAGCGACCATTTTCGAAGGGCGGCGTCACCGCTTATGCGCCGGTAAAAGAACAGGAGGATGGTGCGGAGAGGGAGGCGTTTTTGGAGCACCGGCAGGATGAGGACGCAGGATCGGCCGACTTGGAGGCCGCGGGCGCGTCGCAGACGTTGAGCGTTGAGCTCGGCGACCCGCCGTTGGAGCACACGGAGGGGCTGACGTTCGTGGATACGGCGAAGTTGAGCTTCGAGTTCAGCATCGTCTGGTTTCTGGTAGGTTGGCTCAAGTACTCGTCCGGTTGGAGCTTGGAGGGGGTTAAAGGAGACGGAAGGGCTAACTCGCGTGCTTGATGTGCAGGCCAACTACTTCACCGCCGCTTGCCTCGAATACACTACCGTCGCTAGCAGCACGATCCTGACGTCAACCAGCAGTATCTGGACGCTCCTGGTCGGCGCCTTCATCGGGGTCGAGCACTTCACGATCCGCAAGCTGCTGGGCGTACTCGCTTCGCTGGCCGGCATCGTGCTGATCAGCACTGTGGACATCTCGGGCACGAACAACAGCGACGAAAACCGTGGGTCCTTCCCATCCAAGACGCAGGGCGAGATTGCACTGGGCGATGCGCTGGCCTTTCTGTCGGCTGTCATGTACGGCTTCTACGCCGTCCTGATGAAGAAGCGCATCGGCGACGAGTCGCGTGTCAGCATGCCGCTCTTCTTCGGCCTCGTCGGTCTCTTCAACGTCATCGTCCTATGGCCGGGCTTCTTCCTGCTCGATATTACCGGCATCGAGCCCTTTGAGTTCCCGCCCACGTTTCGTGTCACGGCCATCGTGCTTGTCAACAGCGCCACCTCGCTCGTCTCGGATATGTGCTGGGCCTACGCCATGCTGCTGACCGGCAGTCCGCTCGTTGTGACGGTTGGCTTGAGCATGACGATTCCATGCTCGCTGATCGGCCAGATACTGATCAACGGTCAAATGAGTCACTGGGCGTACTGGATTGGTGCCGTCGTGGTGCTGGCCAGCTTCATCTTCGTGAACCACGAAGAAGTTAAGGAGGAAGAGGAGACTGCAGAGGCGCCTGCATCAGCCATCTTCTCGTGAAGAGTTGGTTGCAAGGGGCAAGTCTATTATCTCATATTTATGCTCTGTGCACAGGATACCCGCATATCTTTTTGTTCAGTCGAAGACTGCATCACATCGGACGTTGTTACGCATATCCAGTTCTTTCTTCATTTGGTCCAAACATCCCATTTTAGATTGGGAGTTTTATGATGGCCATGGTATCTATGGGTTCAACTCTTTTGTTTCTTTCCCGTATGGCGTTGGGAGGATCGGATTTCATACTCCATGCCGCAATGCCCTCATATCTTTTGCCCTCATGGTATACAGCTGAGAAGGCCTCGAGTTTTTGTGTAAAAAGCCTGTAAAAGCCGCACCATATCTAGAGCTTGAATCGCCCGAACGCTTTAGGCAAAACAGAGTGCAAACGACTCTAAACTGCTTTGGTGCGTTCAGTCCATCTCTGGGACATCATCTTCCTTCGCCTCCTTCATGGTCTTCACTGGCGAATTTGACCGTTCCCTCTTCTCCGGCGACTTTGGCCGCGCCTGCGCTGGCTGTTCGGCTTTCTGCTCCTTTTGTTGCCTCGCCGTCCACTCCTCCAGCAAAGTCTTGACCTTCGGTCCCCAGACATCCTCGCCGGCCTGCAGGTCCTCGTACTCAAGTACGTTCTTCCCCAGCTCGAAATCGCCTTGTTCCGTGCGGACAAGGGATGTCATGCAGGCCAAGCTGCCGACGGCGGCGCCGAGGTCGTGGCAGAGCGTGCGGACGTAGAAGCCGGAGGAGACGGTCATGCGGATCAGGGCGGCGGGAGCATTTGCCCCGTCCTCCGAAAGCGTAGCGGCTGATTCCTCCTCAGTGGGCGCCTTTGCGGACGCGTCCTTGGTCTCGTCGACAGTGGTGGCGTCTGCGGGCTGCTCCGCTCCTACCTCTGTCTTGGTCTTCTTCTCGGGTATCTCCTCAGCCGAATCACCACCCTCATCCCGTTTCCTCTTTTCGCCTGCCGCGGTGGCGGCCGCTGCCGCATCTTCCGCCTTGGCGTTCGGCGCGGACGCCTTGAGCGCAGCCTCTTTCTCCTCCTTCGTCGCCTCCATCTCCTCCTTGGGATACCGCCAGCTGTGCGTACCCGGCTCGAACCAATCCACCAACTCGAGCTTATACACCGTGACTGGTCTCTCCTCCATCTTCGGCGGCGCCCCGCCCTCACGCATAATCTCGTACGCCTTCTTGCCGTTGAACTTGATGGCCGAGTACACGGGCGGCTTCTGCATGATGTCGCCCTTGAATGCGTCCAGCGCCTTCTCGACGGCCTCGCGCGTGACGTGCGCGTGCGGCGCGCGCCCCATGATCTTGCCCGTGTTGTCGTAGGTGTCGGCGGCGCAGCCAAACAGGACCGCCGACTCGTACGTCTTCTGGCAGCCGCCGAGGTAGCGGCCGAGGGCCTTGGTGCCGCTGCCGACGCCCGCGATCAGCACGCCCGTCGCCAGCGGGTCGAGCGTGCCGCCGTGGCCGAGCTTCACGCGCTGCGTGCGGTTGGGCCCGCGCTTGCGCCGGTATTGCGAGCCTTTCTGGCTCTTTTCCTGCGCGACGGCGGCGCGCTCGGCATCGAGGAGCGGGCGGAAGAGCGCGGACGGGTTGAAGTGCTCTTCGACGTCGCGGAGGACCTGGGCGGAGGAGATGCCTATGGGCTTGTGGATGGCTAGTCGCAAGGTAAGAAAAAATGGCGCGTTAAGTCGTTCGTCTTGGTAGTGGGGTGTTTTCCTCCATAGACGGAGTTCATGGCGGGGAGAGTTGAGGAACAAGCATACCCAAGACTCCCTGTAGGAGCTGCGGTTTGCCGGTAGAAGACATGAAGGTGCGTCTCAGCGTGGATGCGAGACCGAACATGCAGGCTTGGAGGAGGGAGCTAGAGCAATTGGTGAGTGGATGACTTGGCGGAGCGGAAAGAGGTAATGTTGGGTGGTTAGAAGTCAGAGAGCTTGCAGCTGACGTCGGCGCGCGTGCGGCCGAAATCCTCGCTACCCTACCTTTTTCACGCTTCCTTGAGTTTCAGCCCTACGCGCCCGTTTTCTGCAGGAGGAGCAGAAAAAAAAGGCGGACGCGTGATTCGCCAGAGGCGCTGCCCACCCGCGCTGCGGGTGCCTGTGCTTCCTGGTGCCTGTGCCCGCATTCTTTCAGCCGCGCTTTGCAATGCTACTTACCCACGCACGCATCAACCATAACAGCAGCCCTCAGCTCTCACTCCGGGCACCAGTGCCGCCCTGCATCAATTCACCCCCAGCATGTCAAAAGGGAATGTTTTAACCAGCACGCCGACGAAGACGACACCGCCTACGCCGACCAGCCCAATCGCCAACGACCAGTCGTCTTCGTAGCACTCTCACACCAGCATCACTCACAACCATGGCACCGAACACCGCCAACGCATCCTCCTCCGTCATCTACCTCCACGAAACCTCCGTCCTAAACCCGCACGATCCCGCCCTCACGGACGAAAACGACTGGGAGGAATTCCACCTCATGTCCGCCGAGGTGCGCGACCAAGCCACCGGCGCGATCACAAGCCTGCTCCAGGCCGACGCCATATCCCCCGTAACGGTACTGGGGCGGCTGGAGGCGATCCCGCGTGAGCGGGCGCACTTCCTCGCGGCGACGGCGCCGGCGTCGTTCCCGCGCGGCGGCCTGCCCATCGAGCTGCGCGGCGTGACGCGCTTCGCATACGGCCAGTACGACGACGGCGAGGTCGCCATCTGGGCCGCCGGTGAGGCCGGCTGGTTCAAGCTCGCCAGCCCGCCCGCCCGCGCGTACCGGGACGTGCTCGCGGACATGGTGGACGCGATCAACGTCCTGTACTTTTTGGCGGACGTGTATCGCGAGGGCCGCGGGGACGGCTCGGCGAAGGCGATATTCAAGCGGTATGCGGCGGAGAATCCGCAGCGGTTTGCGAGCGCGAAGCAGGCGGCGGAGGCGATGTATAGGCATAGGGAGTTTTTGATCTTGTCGATGTTGCGGGGCAAGGAGTTGGAGGACCCGGCCTGGAATTATACGGATATCTTTTTGCATCTGAAGAACAGGTTTCCGGAGGAGTATGATGCAATGGAGAGGAAGGAGGCAGGCAAGGTGGGATTGGATAAGAGGAAGAAAGTCAAGAGGGGGCCATCAAGTCAGAAGTCTGGAAACCAGGACGTGGAATCGACCACGGACGATGCGACACAGAAACCCCCGAAAATTAAGAAACCTGGTGCGCCGCCGAAGAAAGATGACAACTGGTGGGAGGCAAAGGTGATATGGGAGATGATGCAGAAGGTGCAGATACAGGGCCTGCTTGCACCTCATAACATGACGGTCAGGAACTTCGCGAAGGTCATGGTGCGAAAATTCGAGGTGGATGATGAAAATCCGGCTGGAGACTATATCAGGGCACACGCATCGAACCTGATGTATATGATGGCGCACAAGCGGAAGCCGGCCGTCCAATGGACGGAACAACCAATCTATACGGAGCTGTCACAGACCAAGCTGTCTTCGAGTGCCTTGAGGAAAGCATCGGAACTTGCAATCCGCCGGCGAAAAGACCCGTTGTCCGATCCGGAACCAGAACTGGTTCACCAAATGGCTGAGCAAGACTCATCGTCAGAGGATATTCCGGCACCCGCTCCTCGGCGTGGACGCAAAGCAAGACATTCACTCCTCAGACCAAAAAGCAGCAAGTATTCCGGCAAAGGCATGACCCGAAGTGGGAAGTCGTACCATAGAAGTAGCGGGGACGAGAGCGAGGAAGATACAGATGGCGCAGAGGTCACGTCCCCACCGAAGCGCAAAATCGAAGCCGACGAAGAGAACACCAGGCGTAAACGACAGAGCAGCCGGAGCCACATTCAGGGACTCTCTCCACCCGAATCGGACGACGAGAGGAAGGAGAGTCTTCCATTGCGTTGGAAAACGCCGCAAAGCTCGAGGGCCACACCGGGCTTCGCTCCCAGCATCATGTCTGAGGCGGCGGTGTCGGTGGAGGCAAACTCGCCTGGAGACGTTTGGCGGTGCACACACGACGGGTGCGTGCATAAAGTGTATGGCGCGAGCTTGGACGAGTCGCAGGTACTAATAGCGGAGCATTTGGACGAGCATGACGCAAGAAGGAAAGAGGCGGTCTCGCTGGCCAGAAGCGAGGAACTCAGAAGCAACCTCCCTGTCAGGTGAGTTTAGGCCGCATCGAGGAACATTGTCCGAGATCTACGTGTGCTAATGTGGGGAACACCAGCAACCTGATAAAGCGGATCCGCGACATGGCGGACGCGCAGTATAATATGCAATTGATGGGTCTGTCGGGACTCGGCACGCCGACCGACGAACAGGCGTTCCCTGCGCCCATACGACGGCAGTTCTGACGGGCCCGCTTCCTTGGTGTTCTTGTAAAATGTCCTCTCATCTGGTTCCGGTGTTGGAGGCGGCGTTTGGGCATTGTTAGGAGGCGTTTCCCCGGCATTGGTCCGGGATTGGGATGCGACGGGGGCTTAAATGCACATGTGTATGAATGGTTAGAGAAGCGCCGTGTGGAGACTTAGGTGAGCAGCATTACTCTTGGCGATACGATTTTCTCGGTTTTGCTTTCTTCAGGGACTGCGCAATAGGGAGAGGACGTGGGGATGCGGCTTGCCTGCTGGGGCACGGGGGCTCGCCAGGTCGCCAGGTCGCCAGGTCGCCACCCACTTGTTCTGAAACAAACCCAGAATTCCCTGTTTGAAGCTTCGTCCCCTAGGTACTCTATCAGCGTGTCTGTACCCTTTCAGGGCTTCGAAGAAAGTGGAGACTACTGACACAGCGCCTGAGTCAGCAGCGGCCTTCCGCCTGACCGCCCGTTCTCTACCCTGATCCCCCCGAACTTTATCGAGGATCATTCATCAATAGTTCCAAGTGGGCCGGGGCCAGCTGCGCTTAGCCCTGCACGGCGGAGAATGTTCTACGCGGTTACGGATGGCGTTCGGGGCCCAATCAAGCCAGCTTGGCGGATGCTACGCCGCACGCCTGCCAATGCGGCTCAGTCGTCGCCCTCCAAGCCTCGTCAACCCCTCTCCACGCCCTACCGCGTCCTCTGACCGCAATGCAACCGCCTCCCCCGCTTCTCCTGCGCGGCCGCCACGATGGACTCGACTCCCGCTTTCCATGGACCAGCGACCGCTGAATTGACCGAGACCTCTGGCCTGCGAAGGACTTGCTACTTCTGTCGAACCCATGGGATTCGCTGCTCAGGGCACTCTGTCTGCGACGCCTGTCGCGCCCACGACGTCGAGTGCGCCTACGAGGCTTATGGTGGCGGCCGCCAGCCGGGCAAGCCTCCATACAACCCGCCAAGGACCGAGATCCTCAGCGGATACGCCTCTCCGGGCCCCAGTCTCTCTTCTTCCACCACCACCCCGTCCGAGGCCTCGGGAGCCCCGAGACAGCTCTTCGAGGAGCTGGAGCACGTCGCTCACCGGCTGTTCGTCAAAACTCACATTTCCCCGGCCCCCGAGCTTCACCGGAGCGGCTACTGGCATGGCGGCGCCACGCGGGAGCCGACGCACGTTGGCTTGAAGCTACCGTACCGCGACGTCTTCAACGGTCTAGCGCAATCCATCGTCGAACTCTTCCTGATACGCTTTAACTCCTTGGGGTGCTCTCCACGCGAGCAGACAACCCTTGTGGGGTTAAGCAAGTTGTTTTTCCAGAACCAAGCCCTGCCGTCGTTTGGCATTTTTGCGCCGCCCATCCCGCCCCAGAGCTTCACCGATCAAAAAGTACAGCAGCTGATTGAAGTCTGGTTCGCCACCCACCCCTTGTCATTTGTCGTATCCAAGACATTGCTGCTTCAGTCTTATCGCAATGGCACCCATGACTACGAGCTATTGGCGTTGGTCCTTGCTGAGGCCAGCTTCATCGTCGGCGATCTGGATGTGGCCTCCATCGAGGCTTTTGTCGAAGCAGCCCGAGCCCGTGTGCTCGAACGCCCGTCTCTTTCGCTCTCAACCACGCAAGCCATAGTCATCTTGGGCTGGCATGACTTCTGCCTCGATCGCCCGCGCCAGGGCTACTGCTATCTGGAATTTGCGCGCATGATAGCGGCCCAATGGCTTACCGACGCCCGTCAAGGATCTCCAGGAGACTACCACCTGAACGGCGTCAACATCAAGAATGTGGAAACTGAGATCTACCAGCGAATCTACTGGATCACCTCTTCCGTTGCGCTTTGGGTCTCGCTCCACCAGTCTTTCCCCAATTTGGACGCCCTCTCCCCCATCGACACCGCCCCTCTCCCTCCCCCCGACCTCTCGTCCTCGACCGTCTACTCCCTCGACGAGACCTCGGGCAACATCGCCTCCCTGGTCGCCCAGAAGACGGGCGTCCGCGAGCTCTGGTCCCTCGCCCACCTCACATCCACCATCGCCCCCATCTTCAAGCTGTGCCTCCAACACCGCCGCCGCAGCCACCGCCATGACTCGTCCTCCAACTCCAGCCCAACAGGGCAGCAGCAGCAGCAGCAACAACAACAACAACAACAACACCCATACTGGACGGTCCCCACGCCCCCACCCTCCGCCCCCGTCCCTGCCCCCCGCCCGCTCATGACGACGCTCTCCCTCCGCACCCTCCTCGCCGACGCCCGCGCCCGCCTCCCCGCCCACCTCGACCACAGCAACCCGTCCCAGACCTTCACCTGCTCCGCCTACCAGCTCCTCGCCATCCACGCCGGCTTTCCCTCGTCCGACCCCACGACGATGTCTGACGACCAGCACCAGCACCAGCACCAGCAGAGCGGTGTCGGTGTCGCCGGCGGAGGTGTCGCCGGAAGCGGAGGTCCGGCACATCATCCGCCCGCGGTCCTGCAGGCCATCCGCATCTTCCTCGCGGCGACGCAGACGCTGCAGCGGCAGGCGGCGCTGCAGGACCTGTTCGGCGGGCGCGACCACGACGTGCGCACCGCGCCGTGGGTCGTGCTGGGGTTGGATACGTGTGGGCGCGCGGTGGCGCGGATGAGCGGTGGTGGTGGTGGGCGGCAGTTGCAGCACCAGTCGCAGCACCAGTCGCAGCACCAGTCGCAGCAGTCGCAACAGCAACAGCAAAAAACCGTTCAGGCGGCGTCGGAGCGCTTGTGGGAGGCGAGCGCGCATCAGAAGCTGAGGAATGAACCCGGGTTGGATGTTGTGAGGGAGAGGCTGGCGAGGTTGGTGGGGAGGGAGGAGGAGCTGGTTAGGGAGCTTGAGCTGGAGCAGCGGCGGCGGGAGCGGCAGCAGCAGGAGCAGCGGCAGCAGCCGGCGCTTGAGCAACAGCAGTCGCCACCGCTGGGGCCGAGTGCGGGGTTGCCGGCGCAGCTTGGTGGTGGCGGTGGCGGCGGCGGCGGAGCGTTGTGGACGGGTGGTGTCGAGGGGTTGGAGGTGACGTGGTCGGGGATGCCGGATTTGAGCAATTCGGCGGCGGAGTTGATGGACGCAGAGGTGGAGACGTCGGGGGAGGGGTTCTATGGAGGATGGAATCCGGTGATGTACTGAGGTGCGGTGGTGGGTTTGTTGCGTTTAGATGGGTTTGAGACGAGAAGAAGGAGAAGAAAGTAAAATGGATGATTTAATAGAGGTCGTTGGGACTATCAGGTCTGACCAAAAGGGATTGACACTTTTAATCGAATAGGGAAAGGGGCTCGACGAGCCATAATAAGTAACCGATGCTTTAACTACTACTACTCCCGGTGACATGACATGACCATTGAACTGCCATCTCAGCTAAACACCGACTAACTACTATCCACCACTCCGCTCCGCAACGGTCATACCAAACAAACCCCCCTGGCCACCCACCCACCCGGTCCTGCCCAACCCCTCCTCCCCTCCTCCCCTTCAACCCGCCGTCGACGCACTCGGCGGCAGATCCTCCTCCCTCGTCCCCCAATCGCTCTCGTTCCTCCCCAGCGTCAACTCCAGCACCCCGCCGTCCAAGAAGAACGCATGCGTGAACCAATTCTTCGCATACGGCACGCCGTCCAGCGTGGCGCTCTGGACGTAGATGGCGCGGTATTCCGGATCGAAACCGACGTTGCGGATGGTCGCCGTCTTGCCGGTGACGGGGCTGGTGATGTTGACTTCGCGGAAGAAGGGCGGCGTGATGAAGTAGACGTCCTGTTTTTTTTTTTTTTTTTGCGGCGTTAGTGGGTTTGATTAGTTGGCAGGAGGGAGGGGGGGGGGTTCGGTTGTGGAAAGGGAGCGGGAGCACGCACTTGGCCTGCTTGCGGGAAGAAACCCATCATGAAGAAACTGGATGCCGAGCCCATGGAGCCGGAATCGTCGTTGCCGGGGATGCCGATGATGGTGTCGTTGAATTGGGCGGGGAGGTAGGAGTGCACGATCTCGGCGGAGACGGCGGGGCGGCCGGAGTAGTGCGCGAGGTAGATGGTGAGGAAGGCCTGGGAGGGGGATTGGTGAGTAGAGATGAGAATTTGGGGACGATGGATTTACCTGCTCGTCGCCGATGTAGAGGAGGTTGTATGTGTAGTGGAGGAATTCTACGCGGCGGGTGAAGGTCTCGGGGCCGCCGAGTGTGGCTTGGAGGGATTAGCGCATTGGTTTGGAGGGGTTAAGCACGACATTGGGAAGCGGGCTCACTGATCAGAGTGGCCATGTCCTGAGGGACGTAGAATGTGTACAGCCAGATTGAGCCCTCGTATGTCTCATGTCCATCCGGGTTGAGGTAGCAGCTGGTGAAGTTGTAGAGGCTTGAGCACAGGATGGGATCCTGATAACCCCAGCTGCCATTCAGATATTTGACTTGAAGAAAGCCCGTGAAGCCGCTATCCACCTTGGGACCACCAGGCGTCGTGTTGAAGAAAGAAACCTGCATTGTTAGCAAGCATCTCCGATCAGCAGAGCATACTCACCTCGTCTTCCTTGAACATGTTCTTCCAATTACTACTGCGCTCCAGGTACTTTTCATAGTCGCCGGTCTTACCAAGCCTTTGCGCCATCAAGGCAATGACGTAGTCGTTGTAAGCGTACTCGACGGTCCGTGAGATTGAGCGCGTGAAAGGTCCTACACCAAGAGGGTCATAGTCATCTGCCGGGATGTAGCCCAAGCTTTTCCAACTGGTCAGGCCACCTCGTCCTTCTACAGCCCAGTTGAGCGGCTCATCTTCTGCGTCTTTGATTAGCGCCTCATATCCGGTCTCCCAATCCACGTCTTGTGTGATGTTCTTGAGGAATGAATCTACGAGGATCACGTCGGCGTTGGATCCTCCTTGGGTGAAGCCTTTGCAGAGACTCATGCGGCAATCTGGCAGCCAGCCCTGCATCTGTTCAGCGCTATTTCCGTGTTGTTTTCGTCAAAGGATTCATACTTCGTGACGGTAAATGTCGATCAAAGTCCGAATCATCTGCGTCTGCGAATAGGGGTCTAAGATGGTCAATAGTGGGTGGATACTTCGGAACCTGATAGTCAGTTAGTGGGGGGTCCATTGCTGTATGAGCGTTCGGGGGAACATTCGAGTCCCAACCACAGTAGAAAGAGTCATAGTAAGGCTCGTCTGATTCCCAAAGATAGTTCTCCCCCGTGTAGTCTTGTGGAGAAATCATGGTCCTGTAAAGTCCAGACCAGAATGTCCTCTGCAAAGACTTGTTGACACCGACTGGGTCAATGGAAACAACGCTCAGTTTCTCTCTCCATGCTTCCTCTGCAGCGGCATGCACGGTGTCAAAGTCGTAGTCGGGGATCTCAGTCTCTGCGTGCTGACAAGCTCTGTCAGCACTGATGAAGCTCACGCCGACACGGGCGAGGATTTGCCCATCGCTCGGCGCCTCAAAGTGGACCCAGGCTCCGGCCGGCAAAGTCTCGCTGTCCGTGTTGATGTTGTCGGGAACGACTTGCAGAGACTTGGGCTCATTTCCTGCACGATTGTTCATGAAAACACCGGTCTCACGGATGGTTGCGCCCTTGAAAGAAGCGCAAAAAGAGAGGTTGTAAGTCCCAATCCCGAAGCTGGGTGCAAAGGTCCCGTTTCCGGTAATTCGCCCTGTATCGGGATCCACGGAGATTTGGCCATGTGATCTTGAATTTGGCAGATCTTTGAGATCGACTAAGATTAGAGGGCTCAAGGGTATGGTGGTATTGTCGCCGTTTGGTGAAACGGGGACCTCGGGGAATGTGAACCGCCAGAGAGCAGTGTGGTTGGTGACGGTGGTTTCTTTGCGATGGGGCAGATGAGCGGATGCTGTATGGTGTCTTTTTCCGGGAATGGTACTAACCTGCCTTGATACTGGTGTTGAGCGTGACGGTGAAATAACCTGGCGAGGCGAATGCAGTGCCATTTATGCGATCGACGGCGCGGGTTGTAGCAGGGAATTCGCAGTTGTTCACGTCGTCTCCGGGACATCCGGCATGGGGGAAGAGCGGGAAGTTGCCGAGAGAAGGGCTTCCGCCTGTTCCGGAGTCGTGCTATTGCAACACGGCTTAGAAGAAACCGTCTCGATTGAAGGGTGCAATCTATACCATGTGCGAGAATCCGGCAATGGGGCTATCGTCGGATGCAAATCCAGCCTGCAGCTCGCCGTCTCCACCAACGTCTGCCACAGCCTTGGCCATGCCGAAGGGAAGCGTAGCCCCGGGGAAGACATGTCCTACAACAATCAGCATTGAGGGAGTCCACATGCAGAAATCCCAAGCCTACCGCCATTGACAGTCCCAATCAGCGGATCAACAAAATCGAGTATTTGGTATCCACCCGTGCCTTGGCCAAATGCACGATTGGCCGATGCCAACAAGAGCGTCAAGGCAGCAAATGTGGCTGCCATTGCTGTTTCTCGAAGCCGACTGTACACGCGACGAGGAAGACGAGGAAGGATGCGGGGGTGACATGGATGGAAAAGGGTCGGACTACCCCTCCGGCCTGGCAGATCGTCAGGAACTCGGGCACCGGCAGGGGAATGGTTCTGATGTCATTGAGCGAGTCATAGTCCAAGGCCAGGGTGCATTTATCCTGACAGGCGCCATGATGCTGCATTGATCAGAGGTCTGGTGATGGGACGGTGCGGGGAAAGTGGGAGGTGCAGTCCCAGCCTTCCTTTCTTCGGCTCTGCATCCCGGCTAAGCTTGAAACTGCATGCCAAGTAGCGTCGCATTGACTTTTCTTCCCCGTCGTCCTTTTCAATCGCAAAACCACGCCATTTGGCTATCTCGAATGCTCCATGAAAGAACTACATATCGTACAGTACAGCTACATTTACATTACAGGCATCAAGCAAGCAACCCACCCACTCGTACATTTGCGAAATCTCTTGCCGTAGATAATTCAAGCCTGCTGGGCAAAGCCAAGACGAGGGGTATCGGCGGTTCGGTCGAAGACGACATACTGCGACTGCAACGGAATTAACGCTCTGCTTTATCCTACACCCGGTGAGAGACCCTACCTTGAGGAAGATATCGCCGATAATGGAGAAGCCAATTCCCGTATCCACCTGAATGCCTCCGTAGCACAGCGGACCAAAAATGGCAGAGTAGTTGATGTATTCGCCAGGCACAGTGCGCTCCTGGCCGCCGATGACGAGCGTGAAGTCAGGGACGTCGCCGCAAGGGAAGACGAAGCCGCCAAACTGAGCAAAGTAGGCAGAGCCCTCGATGGTGTCGTAGTAGGCGGTAACGATGGCCTCGGGGAGGAGAAGCAGACTGGTGCCAGTATCGGCGATGGCATCAATCGACGCATTGACGACCGAGCCGTTGCCGACAGCATAGCCAGTCGGAGCGAATTCCCAGAATCCGCTCGAAGTATCGACATCGACGTACGCGATATCACCCGTGTACTTGGTCTCGTCCAGGAACCCGAAGTCATATGCTTTTGATGATTAGCAGAGTTCGTAAAAGTGAGCATGCGAACATACAGCCGGCCTCGCCCCTCTTGAGAGTAACAGCGAACATCTTCTCGGCCAAGTCGTCGGCAACAGTGTCGAAGAATGGAACTTGGGCCTTTGGTTTCACCGTGTTGAGGGAGCCGAAGGCCAGGCCCAGGATTCCATCCGTGTCAGTGTCCTCTACAAAGGAGCTTGAGATGGAAGTGGCCGCCTCAACAGCCTGCGAGGTAGCCGTCACCCCACCGACGACAACCTTGTCAGCATACACGGCACCAGCGGCACCGCTACCATCGCCGTACGTTATGTTCCTGATGGATCGTTAGCACCCGAGTCTAAGACTGGCAAATGTGGAGTGGCTGACCAGCTGGAACCGTTCTGCTTGGTACCGGAGACGGTTGGATCGTAGACACTGTGATTGACCTGGTTGCTGTCGGACAGAAGAGTAGAGAATACCCAGAGGTCGGAAGATCCCGTGTCCATATCGAGCTGTAGTGTGGTGTCGCCGACAACGACGGGCGTCAGGTAGAGGGAGTCTATCTCATCTGATGGCACAGCCGTGGCAGAACCAGTCTTTCCGGCCGCAGCAGCAGCCAAGACCTCGGTTGGAGCAACACCGCCGAACTTGTTGAACGCCTTGAGCATCTGAGCTGGTCCGTTCCTGACGACAGAGCCTCTCTTCACCTGCGAGCAGGTGAATGTCTTTCCGCGTTTCTCGATGGGAGTAGCCAAGCCAAGGCTGAGGATGGCCGCGCAAGCGGCAACCGCCTTCAAGGACGGCATGTTGCTGAGAAGGAATTGGAGAATCGCAGAATTGCAGCAGGAGCAAATGGGTTCCCCTGGTTGAGGATGCAGAAGACAGCACTGGTGTCCGTTATTGAGCAGAGAATGCCAGTTCAATTTATACTACAACTAAAGTGGACTCTCGGTGATTTTTTTTTTCCATCAGAGCGTAGGCGGGTCTTGCAGCAAAGCTCCCGAGTGCCTGAGGGACAGCATCGTTTACACCGCATAATCTGCGCCGTGTGCCATGAAGCCTTCCTGAGCGAGCAGTCGGCTCTCGCCACAAGCTCCATGCGCAGGCTCGGCTAAGATTTTTGGGCCATAGATACCGAGACCTTCCTATTATGGATGGTCCTCCGCCGAATCATCGCCTTGGGAAAAAGCAATTATCCGACTCCCTCCATGGCTGCGCATCGGATCTATATGGTATGCCCACTCGCAGCAAACTATGGCAATTGCCAAAGGGGATTTATAAGAGCTGTGGGGGTCAAGCAAACGTACTGGTGTTGCTTCGTTCCAAAGAGCCATGTTCAGCTGAGAAGAAACCGCGCTGCGGGTTTTTATTTTCTACAAAATGTGGATTGGTCCCACACTGTTCATTTAGAGGCCACTGGGGATTGCAGAAAACCCGCTTGCCGTGTCCGAGGTCAATTCTCTGTTTATTGCAACAGTGGGGCAACGTGAACCGACAAAGGGTCCTGCGGACATGAAGACCAGATCAGTTTGGAGCCAGAATTTGATTGCCCAAGCGCACTAGGTACCGTGTTAAGCGAATCTGAGTCAAATCGCGGATCAACTGATCAGAGGCGGCCCTTCCGGCGGGCCGTGTGGGGATCAGTGTGGAGACTTCACGCGATACCAATACGAGCAAGGAACACGGCGGATGTGGCGTGCTTAGGATTGCCCTTCTCAGCTTCACTTGCGGGTTGCGAGAGGCACTGCATCTGGTGAAGCTCTCAGCCCCGCTTCATTGCTCTCGATATTCTTCCGAGCCGGAAGGAAAGGCCACTAAGATTCGATTTATTGGGGGAAAGAGAGCAATACCACGAGTCCGGATTTGATTTGTTTTCTCGGCAACCGCCTTCTATGCCAGTACTCCAGCGGTAGAAGGCTGTTGGACATCTGTGCAAGGCTGAGGGGCTCAGAGAATCATACGATGTTCAAGCCATGCATTTCCGCATTGCGTTTAGAAGAGATGGGTACCAGATCGACGTTGCCTTTTCGAGTCGAAGACTGGCCTGGCCACTACAAACATGTACTATTCCAACGGCTCGCGCTAATATTGAAACGCCCACCATTTTACACACTAGCCATTTCCGGCATCCTGATCGTTCAATAATTGATGAATCGTCGCTGCAGCGAAGTGATTCGCACCAAAATCCCGATCTCCAGAGAAGACTTGGCACTATGGCTATCATGACCTCCAGCCTTGTGTGAATCGCGTTTTGGTTGACAACCCAGCAGTGTTTTGCGTCGAAGACGTGCAAAGAATAGCCAACATACACGACCCAGGTTACAAAAATCAAGGAATGGTCACCCGAGTAGATCTTGACCACACCAAAGACGGGCAAATGTGTGCCATCGTTTATTTGCTGCCTTGAATCAGCCGTTGGTGACGGATTCCTCTCCCAGCGAGCAAGTGTTGGGCTCGGCAGGACAGTCAACCGATCCAACCAAAAGCGGAAGCACAGCCTTGAAATTCAAACCCGTACCAAGAAACAGGACAGAATAACCTTTCGGTCCTCCCGTAGGGCGGGAGGCTAGTGACTTACCGCGTGTCCAACACCGGGGACCTGGGGTCATGCGGAGGCCCTTGGAGAGTCCAGATCGACAGGAGCAGACCTCGTGGCAGATGGCAGATGGCAGAGCCTCGACGAAAGGGATATAAAGATGATGGCCGTCGCTCTCGAAAAACAGCATCAAACAATCACTCAACTTTCATTCAGCCTCCGAGCTCACCATCCCTTCCAGACTTCGGTCTCCCTTCTTTTGACTTCGGTCGTCCTTCCTTTGAAAACAAACGAATAAGCAGACTCGACTCTTTCAGAGCCTCCCGACTTCCTTACGTTTTCAACAACCAATCAACACACTCGATCCTTTCGACACACTCGATTCCTTCGCATCTTCGACAGACTCAATTCTTTACGAGCCTTTCGACTCTACGACTCCTTTCAACAACAACAACAACAACACTCAATCAACACTTTCTCTCAAACACCAACCCGACAAAATGTACGCCTCCAAGATGATCATGGCCGTCGTCGCCGTCGGTGCCGTCAGCGTCCAGGGCCTCCCCCAGCTCGTCCCCAAGCCCGCCATGCTCGGCCCGTACGGCCTCAAGATCAGCTCCTCGACCAGCACCGCCGTCGAGACGGCTTCCAGCATCGCTACTTCCACCTCCACCTCCACTGTTTACGCCACCAGCACCGCTGCTTCCTCCACCACTCTCGCCACCGTTGTCAAGTCTTCTGCCACCTCGCCCCACGTCACCATCGCTTCCGCCGCCAAGCCCAAGAACACCCAGTCCGCTTAGATGGCTTTCTCGATTTTGGTGCTGGATCAAGGTTCACGAAAAAGTACTGCGACAAAGACGCGTGCAGAGCAGTGGCATCTGTAGATAGTCAAGACCGGATCTTCCCATATCTTTCACTGCACATATATTTCACCTTCTTTATATAGACTTTTGCGCTAGAATCATAGACTTGTTTTTCTCGTTTCATCCATCTGTCCATTCGTCAATCATAACCGTGATCCAATTTCCACAGGGTTCATGCACGGGGAACTAATACGCGCAGGCGACTCCACTGTTGACGACTGTAACGTCCTGCAATGCCCAAGGTCTCTACAGGGCATCCCCATCATCCACACCGCTACCTTTGGCAGTAAAGCGCCTCAGCAAGAGCCGGCAAACCGCCTCGGTCACGTTACCCACCGGATCGAGACACTTGGCAGGGATGTTAGTCGGGTCATGCAAACGGAATAGGCACCAGCAACCAATAGGCGTAGACTTGAGGAGGTATAGCGTCGCCTACCGAGTACCACGCTTCCGCCGACCGGAACAGCCGCCGTCCTACCTCATGGTCCCAAGGGACTACCGCTGATGATTTTGCTGCGGTCCACGAGGCTTTGCCGCACGTCACCCAGCTGGCACACGGCGCTTTCCCGAAAGGACGAGTAGCAGCGATGCCAAGCTGTTCTAGCGAGAGGCGGACCACTGGTCGAGATGCACAGCGAAAGTGTGGTTGAAGGCCGTGACAGGCTCGCCGAGCGCGCGCAACGGTCAAGGTTATCGATGCAACCCGCTCCGCCTTCTTCTCCAGCTGTTCTTCTTATCCGTGGCCCGTACCGTGGCTCAGGATCTTCCCATCTTCCTTCGCGGGAGAGGCGAAGCCCCGAATCCGTAGTCTTGGGCCGAGGGGGCGTGGGCGTTGTGGCTGAGACAGCAAGCCACATTTTGGAGGAGGGGAGGAAGAAAAGCTCGTACTGATGGCGCGTCGCCGGGAAATGTTTGTGTTTTGAGCAACGGCGGCCATCAGCCGGCAGCTGGAATACGTACCGACGAGGCTGACGAACACGCGGCGCCGGAGAACAAAAAAAAGAGGACATGAATTGCAATGCGGTGGAAATCTTCAGGGCAGGGCTAAGGGACAAAAAGCTAGGTAAGCGGGGAACGGTCCAGGCCGAAGTCAGCTGTCAGACGTGCATGAGGGGAAGAGAGCCGCATAGGTCGAGACGGACGAGCGACGGGCGGCTGCAGGTGAGAAGAAAGTGCGGGCGGGCGACAGAAGCGATTGTCTTCAAAGGAGTGGCGAAAATACAGCTCGACCCCGGCGTCGCAAGCGCAGCGGCAGCCACGGGCGAAGGCACGCATCGGGCGAACCGTGTATGCAGGTATTAGAAACCGAGCGGAAGGGTTCGTGGAGGATGGGCTTGCTTTTGGTTAGGGCACGTAAGCTGACTCCTCGGCGGCGGCGGAGGAGCTGTGTCGTCGAGGGCGAGCGAAAGCGAGGGTGGCGTGGAGCGAGGGAAAGCAAACCGCCCAGACTCGACTTCGCTGTGCCTCTCTCGGCGTGTATTATTAGCTGCGCCGCCACCCACCCAACACGCGTTGCGGCGGAAGCGGCGAATCCTTTGCAGAGTGCGGTGGGTACGTTCCTGGCCGTGATTGCTGCAGTCAGTACCCGGCGATTCCGCGGCCGCCATCAGCAACAGCAACAGCAGCGACGGCAGCAACGGCAGCAACGCCCGACAACAACGCTGAAACGTAAGAGAGAAACAGCGAAGTCTCGGAAACGCGACACGCGCACGCCCAGCCCTGTATGCCTGAGTGCTGCATGCCTTAGCGCCGGGCCGGCCCCCAATGAACGCCGACCGAGCTATCGCTCTGAGCCACGGTGATCACCGCTGCTCTGCCTCGTGCTCCCCCCGGCCTGCGTCTAATCATCGTACAAAGAGGAGCGGGGCTCTTACCTGCGCTGCTCTCGCTGTGCCCCCATGCCAGGTCCAACCTCTTGCTAAACCCGCCCTCCTTCTTCAACCCCCAGCACAGCCCTAATCCCGACTAATGTCCTAATCCTAATTCCAAACCCCCGTCTTATTCTTTCCCATTCTTTCTGTCTTTCTTGATTCTTCCGCCGTCAGATGCTCCAGATACCCCCGCCTGCATTGGCTGCACCATCACCACCATCACCGCCATCACCCACACCTCCCGCCTCTCAACCACCAGACAACCGTTGATGCCTTCCTTCGACCACCACCTCCGCCCCCGCCAAGCCTTCGAACCATCCTGCCTCAGCGGGGGCATCTGGTACTCGTGCGGCGCCGGCTCGCGCTTCGTGGGCTGCTGCACGAGCGACCCATGCAACAGCCGCGGCTGCTCCGACGGCAACCTGCGCCCCGCCAGCTTCAACGCCAGCGCCTACAGCGACTTCCCCGACGCCGAGTGCGACTCGGGCCGCTTCTGGACCTGCGCCACCACCGACCCGCCGTTCCTGGGATGCTGCAAGGTCAACGCCTGCCAGGCCGAAGGCAACGCCGGCTGCCCGGACGAGGACCTGACCGCCGCCCACCTGCCCGACAACGACGCCCTAGCCAGCGCCTACAGCCCGACCGGCGGGCCGAGCTCGACGGCGACGGCGACGGCCAGTGCTTCGGCCACGGCCGCGCCTGATGATTCCGGGTCGACGCCTACCGCGGGCATCGTTGGCGGTGTGATTGGCGCCGTCGTCGTGCTGCTCGTCGTCGTCATCGGTGCCCTGCTCCGGCGGAGAAGGAGCAAGAAGAACAAGGAAGCTGCTTCCGCCGCCGCCGCCATGGACGGAGACCATGGACGATCGGTATCCGAGCTCGCCGGCGGGGACGTTGGATCACACGGCAAAGGTACGTCCTGCACACCCCCATCTCTTACTTCCCTTCCCAAACCTCACTCTTCCTCCCCCCTCTTCCTCCGCCTCTCCCCCTCAACCAACTCACCCTAACACCCACCACTCAGGCTCCCCCGGCACCGCCCACCCACCCCGCTACTCCTCCCTCGGCCACCACCAGCAATACGCCATGGAACTCGACGGCTTCCCCCGCAAATCGCCCCACGACCAACGCACCCCTTCGGAGCTGGGCGCCGGCGAGACGGCGCCGCACGCCGAACTCCCCGGCGACGACGCGAGTACCGTGATGATGCACGAGCTGGAGGGCTCGTCGCCCGCCATGACGGGCACGACGGCGGCGTCCACGACACCCAAGTCGACGACGACGTCGGGGTCCGGATCGGGGAAGAAGGGGGGAGCGGCGGCGCACAGTCGCGGAAGTAGTTGGAGTTCGTTTAATGAGAGGAGGGCGGCGAGGAGGGCGAGTGGGGGGAGTGGCGGTGGTGGTAGTACTGGAACGGGGCCGAGGGGGTTGGCGATTGTGGGGTTGCATCCGCATTCGCATGTGCGGGGCGGGTCGAATGGGAGTAATGATGGTGGTGGTGGCAGGGCGAGTCCGCGGTCGCCGAGTTTTGCGGGAGGTGGTGGAGGCGGCGCCGCGGACGATGGGGGGTCTGAGTCGGGCGTCAGTTCGCTGCCGAGCACGCCGCGGAGCGGGTATACCAATGCGTATGGCCCCGGCGCGGGGACCTCGGGGGCGTATTCGGATGTGAGCAGGCTGAGTCCGACGTATCCGCCGCCGATAAGGGAGGAGGGGGGAGGGGGGGCTGGGGGGAGGTATAGGGATGACGACGACGACGAGGATGATGATGAGGACGATCTTCACGAGGGTTATGGGAATGGCAGGAGATGAGAGATGGGCGGGCGGGCGGGTTTGGGGGTGTCATATATAGATCTTTCTTGTAGGTATTTTGGGAGCCCCCGTTTTGGGAGGGGTGAAACAAAGCTTGTTTGGAGTATGTAGGATCGCCGAAAACGAATGGGTGAGAAGTGAAGATGGCTTTAGGCGCATCTGACCAATCACATCCATGGCGGGAAGTTTAGCCTACTGATGTATTGCACGCCTTGTACGGAGTAAGATGAAGTAAATTCCGGGCCCAAGTGGGAAGGAATATTTTCAAGACTATACATGCGCGTCCAGGGCATTGAACCCACTTAGCCCCGTCCCTAAGACAGTTCGAATTCTCCAACACCCCACCACTGCAGTCTTTCTCCAGAACAAGCATAATCAGAATATTAGAAAATAGTTAATTAAAAACACGACCCATACATCGCCATCACTCGAACCATCTCGTCCCTACATTCCTCTCCCCCTTCAAAGCGCCTGCACCACCACACCCACAACCCCCAACACCACCGCCACCACTCCCCCCTCCGCCACCACGCCCACCCTCCCCGCCGCCCCCGCCGTCGACGACGTCGCCGCCGCCGTAACCGTAACCGTCGCACCCGCCGAACTCGTCGTCTCCGTTCCCGCGGAGCCATTACACCCACTCTGACACGCATCCCCACAATGCGCGACCGTGCTCCCGCAGAACCCCTCGGAGCTGCAGCACGGCCCGTAATCGAAGACGCCGTACGTGGCGAAGGCGTCGGGCGCCGCGTCCGGGTTGCACGTCGACCCGTTGAAGGCGGCGCCGCACCGGCCGTCGCACCGGGGCGACGTGCCCTCGCCGAGCGCCCAGCTGCAGGCGGGGAAGCCGAGGGGCGAGGAGGTGTTACTGGCTGGTGCAGTGCAGTTGCCGTAGGCGGATTGGCACCCGCTGCCGCAGTAGTCGGGGGTGGAGCCGCAGAAGCCGGAGGAGCTTGACGAGTTGGAGTTAGGGTTGGAGTTGGAGTTGGAGGGGAAATGGGGATGATGGGTGCGTGGGGAATATTGTGGATGGACGGACTGACCTGCAGCAGGGGTTTACGCCGGTGATGAGGCACATGCGGTCGACGCTGGGGCCGCAGGAGTTGTCGGTCGTGATGGGGTATTTGCCGGTGGATGTGGCGGAGGCGTTGCCGCTGGAGGAGGAGGAGGGGGAGGAACTGGCGGGCGAGGTTTCGTTGGCGGATGTCCAGGACAGTGTCGTGCTGAACGTTGAGCCCGTTGTTGTTGTCGAGGTGGTGGTGGTCACGGTGGAGGTGGTGTCATCGTCCGAGTCTGAGGCGGATGCAGAGGCGGATGCAGAGGCAGAATCAGAGGGAGTGGTAATAAAAAACACTGCTGAATCGGATGCCGAAGCAGACGCCGAGGCAGACGATGACTGTGCACTGGCGATGGCGGCGAGGAGGCATACCACCACCAGCATGACTTGCACCTGAAACGTGAGGAGCATCATATTGGAATGATTGGTCGAACTCTGTGTGAGGAGAACGAAAAGTACCGAAAACTCCAGGGAGACGGAAGGAAGGGACAAGAATTATAAGCAGAAGGCTGAGGCTCTTCCCTCAGCTGTCTTGCTGGGTATGGAAATAGGGTTGTCCAGATGCTGCGCTGCCACCGCCTTGCTACGCCTCGTTGGGAAGGGCATACGTACAAGCTCACAGCCTTGCTCGCTGCCCCGGCCCCAAGAAACGGAGCCATGCATGATGTATCGGCAACACCAAGAGCAAAAGCAATCGCTTACTGTGCTCTTCTAGTGCTTGCTTGAAGCGGACAAACGTCCTTGGCTGACCGCATGCGATTGCATGAAGCAGCGTTGTCCGGCAGAAGACGCCGAATGTCAGTTTGGCACCGGTAACATCCTCCGTGGTTTGTGCAGTACAGCAGCTATATCACGTCGCATCAGATGCTGCAGCCTCGTGCGGACGCGAAAAGCTGCTGAACCGTCGGCGTCAGGCGACGGATGCGCCTATTGCACTGGTCGGGGATATTCCCTCATCATATACTGGGCGTGGTAAGTGGCTTGCAGGAAGGGCTGGGGCTGACCCTTGGCGAGGTGGTCAGCTTTGCGGCCGCAGCTGCAGCATTAGCTGTGGAAGTGAGAGAGAGAAAGAGAGAGTAAGACGGCCGCTCGCAGACGCCGACCTGCATGCATCCCTGGCTTTTTTTTTTTCACCACGTTATCGACTGCTGAGCCCCTCCCACGCAGCCATGCTGACGAAACTCGGCAGTGATTGCCGGCATCGAGAGAAGTCTGATGTTTTCCGCAACCCTCCGTTTCATCAGCTTGTGAAACACCAACTCCTAGGCTCGTGGTACCCATCTAGTGCAGGTGTCGCGAGTGAGTCCGGGTTTCAGCTGCTTGCGCAACGCAGCCACCCCGCACCGCCAACTGTTTCTCCACGTGGCGCCGTCGGTTGCAATTGGTTGGCCTTGCACACCCATCCCGCGCCGCTGCCGCGGTTTTATATTTAGCACACACACACAAACAAAGGATGGGGGGAGGGGCGGGGAAACTACTTCAGCCGAGTCTTTCGCCACTCTGTAACAGACAGACTATATGCCGATCTCTCCTGCTGCCTAACAGCACTGGATGGATGGATTCTGCAAGACCCGGCGCCCCCTTGCCCGATGCGACGTCGCTTCACCTTCTTTTGTAACATGGCCAAGGAAGCTGGAGCTAGGCCTTTCTTCTCCGACCGTCTTGTCGACATGTCCGTCCTCACCAAGGCTTCGACTGTGCCATGTTGGTGTTTGTTTGTTGTAAGTACCGAAACATCCTTGACACGCATTCAGGCAAACGAGGCAGCTCTTCGAGTCAATGCTCACTAGTCTCCTACGACCGAACCCGCGCCATGTGTTCCATGATAGGGCCAGGCTTGCAGCAACAGTCGAGTCTCGTGCGGCACCGGGACCCTGGTGATTTGTCATGTTTCGCCGCTGAGATGCTGCATCGCACACACCCTTGTCTGAGCTGCCCGCCGTCTCTATCCAGGGTATCCATGAGCAGAGCTTTACCGTTACGAAAACTTGACCAAGATTGCCGGCCATGGAAAGGTTTGGGTTGTCACCGTCAAGAGAATTTACAGTACTTTTCCGTCAAAACTCGTGTGCGATCCCTGCGTGATGCGTCACCATCACTCACTCCATGGGATGCAGCTGTTTTGAAGACCAACAAGAACGTACAAACCGAATAAAGAACAAAAGTTTCAAGAAGAAGAGAAATATATTAAAAAAAAAACCATGACAACAAACCCCCAAGTCTCCCAACTACGGCATCATATACCCATCCATCCTCAAATCCATCCCATCCAAATCCGTCCACAGATCCAACGGATAATCGCTCTCGACCAACTCCCTCCTCCTCACCGACCCCTCCTCCTCCTCCTCCGACCTCTTCCTCCGCTCACCACCATACGCGGTGCCGTTCCCGGCCAAACCCCCCGCGACGCACCTGCTCTCCCCACCCAACCCCCACGCCGAATCCGCCACCGCCTTCCACGCCGCCGTCACATCCACCGTCATCTCCTTGGTCCAATAGACCCTGCAATCCGCGGGCTCGTACACAAACTGCAGCGGCGTCCTGTCCACGAGATCGTCCTTCTTGATGCCGTCGCGGAAGTTGACGTTGTACGAGGTGCCGGCGGCGGCGCGCAGGAAGGGGGTCTGGTCGTTGTAGTCGGCGAGGGCGGTGGTGTCGAAGTGGGCGCGCTCGGTGGCGTTGGCGTACGAGTAGGCGAGGGCGACGTTGTATTGGATGAAGTCCCACGGCCAGTTGTTGGTGCCTTTGACGCCGCCGACGGCTTGGATGATGGGGGCGGCGGAGGAGGACGAGGATGTCGATGAGCTGGGGGAGCGGCCGCCCATGGCGATGTGTTTGACGCCGGCGAGGTCTTGCATTAGGCGGGAGAAGATGGTGCAGGTTGAGGCGCTGGAAGGGGGGTGTTAGTGGCTTTTTTTTTCTTTTTTTTTTGCGCTTGTATCAAACCGATCCTCTCAAAGACGGACGGGGAAAGAGAATGGAGTGAGAGAAAAAGAGGAGGAAGAAGAAGAAGAAACAAAAAAAGAAAAGGGGTAAAAAAAGAACCACTCACCAATACCCATCCGTCATGACGACCACATCCTCCGCCCTAAACGGCTGCGTCGCGTTCTCCCCCGCCCCCTCGCCATACCCCGTCACCCACACCCCGCCCGAGTTATACGGCGTCAACACGTCGCTCAGATTCCACCTCGACAGCTCCGTGTACTCGTCCCCATGCCCCTCCACCGGCCCAAACTTCTCGCCCCAACTCCCAAACGCCTTCCCATCCACCCTCTCATCCGTCCGATAATTCAAATACGTACTCACCACATCCACCTCCAACTCATACAACGTCGCGTTCCCGCCCTCCCCCTCCTCCCCCACATAAACCCTCTCCACCCCCGCCGCCACCTCCGAGAACTTCCCCCCCACCACCCCCAACGCCTCGACCGCGCGCGCGCGATCCGCGGCGGCAAAAGCGTCAATCGAAGGGAACAGCTGCTTGAACAGGTCGTACCCCAGCAGGATGGTGCCGCCGCCGTTGGCGCTGACGTCGACGACGAGCTTGGTCTTGCCGGCGGCGCGCGCGGCGGCGAGGAACGACCGCGCGGTGGATTGGAACGCCGCTTGCTGCGAGGAGCCGACGAAGGATGGGACGCTGAGGACGGCGACGGAGGTGTAGGGCGCGGGCAGGTAGTAGCCCCCGATCAGGTTGTTTGCTTGGCGGATGACGGGTGGGGGGTAGCCCGGGGCGGGGGTGCTGGTTGTTGTTGTTGTTGAGGTTGCGGATGCGGTGGAGGAGGTGGTCGAGGTGGCGGCGGCGCTGGAGGACGGCTCGCCGTTGTGGAAGGAGGTGTCGGAGGGGGTGGTGAAGAAGGCGGCGTACAGGGATTCGCCCGAGTCGACGCCGTCGAAGGGGACGAGGACCTTGGCGAAGTTCTGCATGGTGTGGGCGGTGCCGTTCTCGAAGGAGAGGGTCGTGGTGGGGCCCGGGTAGACCCAGCGGCCGCGGCCGCCGCCGGTGAAGGTGCCCATGCCGGAGCCGCTGGTGCCGAGCGAGACGACGGCCAGCTCGTAGAAGACGTTGTTGTACAGCGCGTCGCGGTCCTGCAGCGAGCCGTACTGCGACCACGCCTCCAGCCACGCCGCGGCCGGCTCGCCGTCGATCTGGCTGATGGCCGAGGGCGTGAAGGTGGCGTTGTTCAGGACCGCGGCCAGCACGTCCGGGTACGCGTACGGCTTGGGCGCGCTGGCGCCGTCGTCCGACACCGACACCAGCGGGATGGGCCGCCCGAAGTTGAAGATGCCGCCGACCGAGTCGGGGACGTAGACGAAGTGGCCGTCGTGGGTGCGCTGCATGATCCGGTAGAGGGTGTAGCCGAACTGGGAGTCCAAATCAGTTCCCGATTCACATGGCAGGGTCGCACGGGTCGACTCACCTCGTATTCCTTGGTGATGGTGCCGTTCGCGACGCTGGCCTCCAAGGCATCCAGTTCGGCGAAGACGTCGATCGGGTCCTGGATCTTCTCGGCGTACTCTGCGGGCGGGTCCTTGAGGTAGGCCAGGGTGCTCTGCCACTCCCAGTAGGGGCGAGCCGTCTTGATCAGGTTCAGCGCCGCCGTCTGGTTGATGGGAACGCTGTTGATGCACTCGTAGGCCAGGTCTGCGGGCACCGTCGGCGTCGCGCTGGGAGCGACGGCCGTCTGGGACGCAGCGAGCGCCGACACCGAAGCGCATGGCGAGCCGGCCGTCCCGCTCTGGCGGCTATACAGCACCGGGTTGGCATCGGCCACGGCGGCGGCTAGGCCGAAACTCAGGGCGAAGTTCCTGAGGGCAGCCATTGGCGTCGGTGCTGGCGCAGAGAGAGAGAGAGAGAGAGAGAGAGAGAGGCGTGCCTGGCAGACTCAGCTCAGTCTCTGCACATGTGGGTAGGACTGCTGCTTTATAGCGGGGTGGTGCACCGGAGGACAGACTTGTCCGTCGTCTGTGCACCCCGCTATCGACTGCTCAGGTACCCGGCCTGCGGCTCTACTGCTTGAGGAAGCTGAACGGCCGGTCACTTTGGAGAAAGCGCTGCGTGGCGAATGACAAGCACGTATCGCCGTCGATCTCGCATGCTTGATTGCCGGCGCCTGTCATGTTCATGCGAGGGGCCGCTATCTCACCTTCCCGATCGGGTTAGCTATCAGCTACCATCGGGTGTTGCACCCCACTTATTGTCCCCTCACGCACGCCACCACCCACCGCCGCCATCCGCGACGCCGGTCTGTAGGAGTTGCCATTTTATTCTGCCGTAAATGCGCAGCAAACAGTCAATCGTGAAGAAATGGCATCATTGACATTCGATATAGATATGATCATATGAACATGTTACGTGAAACCGTCTCCTTTGTTTACCTGAACGCAACCTGCGCCTTGTCCTCCAGACAGTACGGCACGCTAGGGGTCCGCCACTCGGGAGCAGACGCCTCGTCATTCTCAAATCTGACCACGGGCTTGAGCAACGCGAGACGACGGCCCGCAAACGCAGACGCGTCGAACCGCTTGAACAAGTCCTCGTTGTCCTCGCGCAGCCGGTCGGCGAAGACGCGGGTCCAGCCGTCCCACACGGTGAACAGCAGGTCAAAGACGTGGTCGGACGCGTGCATGGGGCCCCACTGGAAGCGCGCCGCACACTGCTTCACCGTCTCCGGCCGATACAGGCCGACCTCGGGCGTCAGGGCGAAGGTGTTGACGGCGGTGAGGGCAGCGTGGACGTAGTAGCTGCCGCCCTTGACGGCGCGGTCGCGCAGCGCCTGCATGGCGCCGACGGCGCCGATGATGCCGGTCGTCATGTCGGAGACGGGCAGGCTCGGCAGGACGCACTCGCCGTCGGGCAGGCCCAGCGCGCGGCCCGTCACGTAGGCCGAGCCCGCCGCGGCGTCGGCGATCTGCTGCCAGCCGGGGCGCTCGGCGTAGTAGCCGTCGGGCCCGTAGCAGTTCTCCGACACGTACACGACGCCCTTGTTGCGCCGGGCCGCCGTCTCGAGCATGGCGTTGAGCCCCAGCCCCCATTTCTCGAGCCGGCTCTGGCGGAAGCCCTGCACGAAGACGTCGGCCTCGCCCAGGAGCCCCCGCAGGTACGCCGCGTCCTCGTCCTTGCGCAGGTCGAGCCCGATGGTGCGCTTGCCCGCGTTGAGCGTCAGCTGCAGCACGTTGACGTCGATCAGGTGCGGCGGGTTGATGCGCACCACGTCCGCCCCGTACGAGCTGAGCACCGCCCCGATCTGCGGGCCCGCGATGATGCGCGTCATCTCCACCACCCGCACCCCCGCCAGCGGCCGCCGGTCCGCCGGGTCGAGCGGCGGGAAGGCGACCGGGGCCGTGGGCGCCGCCTGCGTCTGCCGCCGGACGTTGACCACCGGGTGCCGCGCGAGCGACTTGCCCATCTCGCTGTTGTTCCACTGCTCGGGCGTGAAGCAGAGGCTGCCGCAGAAGCCGTGGCACAGGTTGTTGAACTCGAGCTCCGCCGGCGTCTTGGTGCGCAGCGTTTGCGCAATGTGCTGCCACGCCTCCGCCGGCGTCTTGCAGTCCGCGGCCGGGTCGATGCCGAGCGTCTTGAGCAGCGGGATGGCCGCCAGCGAGCCGTGGAACGAGTACCACGTGCCCTTCTCCTTGGTCGGGTAGATGGCCGTCGACCTGTACTTCATCGGCGTGTCGATCCAGCCCTGCTCGAAGTCGGGCACCACGCCCCGCAGCTTCTTGCCCTTGACCAGCGACACCACGTCCTCGCCGTCGAGGAAGCACGTCGCAATGGCCGCGAACCAGAAGGCCGTGTGCGTCGTGTCCACGGTGATCTGGCGCTCCTTGGACGGCGCGCCCCTCAGGGCCAGGATCTCGTCGCCAAGGACGCCGCTCATGGCGTGCAGTGCCGCTGCGACAGAGACGGCCTTGATGGGGCCGGGGAGGACGGGATAGTCATCGCCGACGAACTTGACCTTCGCGAGCAGCTCCGGGTCCTGGGTGAATCCGGGAGTCTGAGAAACGAGGTGGTTGAAGATTCTCTGCGTGTCCTCAGGAACAGGGGTGAATTTGGTGTCGGTATGGCTGCCCGGTCCGTAGACGTCGGGGACCGTGGGATGGGAAGCTCCAGACATGTTGATGATGATGCGGCGAAGAGGAGAAAAGAGAGGATGTGTCAAGAGGACTGAGACGGCGAAGCGTGCGGCTCAGAAATGCTGAAGATGCCATTCTTATATTCGAGAAGCCCCTCGAGGCGGCCTGCGACTTGTCCGCCCCGACGCATTCTGGGGGGGTGAAAGCTCACGTCACAGAATGGAGTCGTTGGACGTCGGCCGATCGTGCCGAGGGGCCTGCGGACGATCCAAGCATCCGAGTTTTCTGCGCAACGGTCGTGCATATGTCGATCTACAGATGGCCAAGAGATAACGGTCCATTTTCGGCCCTCCTGGACATGCGCACGGGGCAACTGGTGATGCAAATGCTCCGGCTTCTCTTGCGAACGAAGGTGGTATAAGAGACGCGTTTGAAGTGGTCAGTAGTGTTGTCCCTCAATCCAAAAAGACAACCTGCCTTGAGCCTCGAGACTCTTGCTTCCCCTCAAGTCACCACTTTTTTTTCCCTCTCTCCAACTCCCCAACCCAACTCAAATACATATTCGCCCAATCATGACGACAGAGGACTCCCCCGAAATCAAAAAGGTCGCCGTCATCGGCTGCGGAGCCATCGGCGCATCCTGGGCCGCCCTCTTCGCCGGCCACGGCCTCCAAGTCTCCGCCTTCGACATCCGCCCCGAAGCGGAAGCCTTCATGCGCGACCTCGTCACCTCCGCCGTGCCCACGCTCTCGCGCCTCGGCCAGCTCAAGGCCAGCCCCGACTCGGACGACGACGACGCCGCCGCCGTCTCCGCCGTGCTCTCCCGCATCGCCTTCACGACCGACCTCGCCACCGCCCTCCACGCCGCCGACTTCGTGCAAGAAAACGGGCCGGAGCGCCTCCCCTCCAAACAAGCCCTCTTCGCCTCCATCACCGCGCACGTCCGCCCCGCCGTCATCATCGCCACCTCCTCCTCCGGCCTCACCTGCTCCTCGATCCAATCCGGCGCCGCCTGCTCCTCGCCCACCGCCCACAACCCCTCCCGCTTCGTCGTCGGCCACCCCTTCAACCCGCCTCACCTCATCCCGCTCGTCGAGGTCGTCGGCGGCCGGCAGACGTCCGCCCAGACCGTCTCCCGCACCGCGTCCTTCTACCGCTCGCTCGGCAAGAAGGCCGTCGTGCTCGACCGCGAAGTCCCCGGCCACGTCGCCAACCGGCTGCAGGCGGCGCTGGTGCGCGAAGTCCTGCACCTCACGCAATCGGGGGTGTGCAGCGTCGCGGACGTCGACGACGCGATGGCGTACGGTCCGGGCTTGCGGTGGGGCGTCATGGGGCCGAATGCGCTGCTGCATCTGGGCGGCGGGCCGGGGGGCATCGAGCATTTGAGCAGGCATTTGTTGGGGCCGATGACGGGGTGGTGGGCGGAGCGGGATCCGGTGGTGGATGAGGGGTTGAGGCGGAAGTGGGTGGAGGGGACGATGGAGGCGGTGGGGGGGAGGAGGTACGAGGATTTGACGAGGCAGCGGGATGAGGGGATTGTGGAGTTGTTGAGGACGAGGGCGGCGTGGGATGGGTATGCGGAGGGGAGGAAGGATGGGGAGGGGAGGGGGGAGTAGTGATGGGATGCTCACTGGGTCGTGAGATGTTGGGTTCACGTTTTGCGATGGGTGATGGATGGATAGACTTGGGGAAATAGAGATGCGTTGCTTTCTTTCTGATGAACACGATGTCGCGGTATGCTTGTGGCTGTAGACTGTGCGAAAATGATATTCAACTTAGCCGTGGATGGAATTTGCCATGCCTTGAACCTTGTCTGGAGGGATGGCCGGCCGCCGCATGTCGTTGGCTCCACGGGGCGTCCTTGGGCTTTTCGAAGAACCTCGAGACGGGGAAAAGGGTCCAGAGAGTACCCACACAGCACACGGTCGTTCCAGATCGGTGGATACCTGTTGACGTGCGCTGTGTTGACATGTTCTCTCGCACGGTCGCGATAAGATGGGCTGCCTCCAAAAGGAATGTCTCTCGGCCGATTGTTTCAGCCGACGGATGAAAAGCTTAGAGCCGAGGACTGTGCGGAGCGACGTTGCGGAGGGTCTTCGGAGTCGTCGATCATGGTGCCGTAACGCGCGCCGGGACACGGGTGGGAGCAGGGACGAGGGTGTGAGGAGGAACGAAAAAAAAGCTTTGAAGCGGCGATCGATCCGTCATCAAGTGGCCAGGGCCTCGGGCGAGAGCCGGAGATCTGATACCGGAGATCTCTCTGCCCTACCCAATGCACACACCATCTCCTGCCATCATCGTCACGGTGGACGCCTTGATCGTGACGTTGTCTAGCAAATATGATGGCTTGCCTCCTAATGAAGCCCTTATATATGCCTCCAAAACGCCCTGCCTCGCCACCTACCCGAGCCCAACCAACCTTCAAGTGACCATCAACCATGGCGCCCTCCTCCACCCCAGACCAAAAACGCCTATACATCCTCGACTGCGACCTCAGCCACTGGGACTCGCGGCACGGCCGCATCATCTCCTGCCTCGCCGACGGGTCCGACCAGCAAGACCTCGTGACGAATCTGCACGAGTTCCCCGACGGCATCGCCATCGACCACGCCCGCGGCCACCTCTACTGGACCAACATGGGCACGTCGGGCTTCTCCGCCGCCGACGGCTCCATCCAGCGCTGCGACCTCTCCACCGGCGCCAACGTCACCACCATCATCCCCGCCCGCACCGGCATCGGCGCCCTCCGCACCCCAAAGCAACTCGTCCTCGCGCCCCTCTCCCAAAAGCTCTACTGGTGCGACCGCGAAGGCATGCGCGTCATGCGCGCCAACCTCGACGGCAGCGGCGTCGAGACGCTCGTGCAAACCGGCACCGCGCCGGACGACGCCGCCGACAAGTCCCGCTGGTGCGTCGGCGTCGCCGTCGACGAGCGCGCCGGCCTGGTCTACTGGACGCAAAAGGGCCCGTCCAAGGGGGGCGCGGGGCGCATCTTCCGCGCGCCCATCGACGCCGCCACCCGCACCGAACACTTCGATCCAGCGCGCAGGACCGACGACGTCGAGTGCCTCTTCGACGGGCTGCCCGAGCCCATCGACCTCGAGCTGGACGTCGGCCGGCAGCTGCTGTACTGGACGGACCGGGGGGATCCGCCGACGGGGAACACGCTGAACAGGGCGTACGTGGGGCCTGGTATGGAAGGGGGGAGGGGAGAGGAGGAGAAAGGGGGCGGGCGTGAGAGGCAGGTTTTGGCGATGCGCTTTCACGAGGCGATTGGGTTGGCGCTGGATGAGAGGGAGGGCGTGGCGTACGTCACTGATCTGGCGGGGGGCGTGTATCGGGTGGAGCTGCCGGCGGAGGGCGGCGGCGGGGGGCAAGGGAGGAAGGAGGTCTTGATTGCCGAGCTGGGCGATGTGACGGGTATCGCGCTGGGTGGTGGAAGCTGATGGAGGAGGAGCAAAGTCTAGACGGAGGCGGAGAGATTCGTAGAGTAATGTGTCATACCAAGCAAAGAGCGCGTCTTGAATATCCATCTCTCCATGATAATCATCTTGAGAAGTCGATTGTGAAACATGTACCGAAAAGAACTAAGCTGTAACTCACCAAATCGCTCGATGATGTCCGCCGTTGGCGACGTCCCGGACGTAGCCTGAAAACAATATCCAAAGTATCTCCCAAAGTCCAGCTTTGACATAGATATCAAGCAGTAAAAGATCTGCTGAATGACAACAGAGTGTCTGTTGTCTACCTGAGTAGGTCTGCCAGCACAGGCGGAGACTTGTGTTGCGCTCTCCAGCCTTGTGAGCATGTTGAGCCACTGTCAGGCTTTTTTGTCCTGCTTCACGATCTCCTCGACATACTCTTTCACGAATCCTGCTACGGTCTTGCTGTCCTTTTGCGCTGCCGGATAATTAGCTGTGCTCGAGTCAAGAATGACTTGTATGAGGCGGAACACAAGGCAAAACTAAAGTGAATGTGAAGGGGGAGGACTGAGGGAGACGGTAGCGGTTGGCATGGCCAACTTCTCTTGTCAAGTAATCGAGAGGTGTTGACTTACTCGTGAAGAAACGGTCGGGCAACTGCGCCTTGTTGATCCCAGCAACTAAATCCAGTCTTCCCTTGCTTCGGCCCACTTCAGGCTCGCCGCTGTTCTGACTGAAAAGCATGTACGTGGGCGAAGTCGTGGCACAGCCCGAGTCGGAGATGATGTCGTCCCAGCGGCCGCTCTTTTGATCCTCCATCTGGTTTCGCCAGAGTGTGCTAGAAAGGAAGGGCGTGGGTCAGCAATGTCTGAGGGATCGGTTGTGGAGTATCGGGTTGGAGTGAAACGTCAACGGCTGGTTCAGTGAAAACTAAACGTGGTGCCTCTATCGTTGAAGCAGTTACGCTGAGTCGGGCACATTGGATACGTACAGGGCTTGATAGATACCCCGGGGACTCCCCATCATTTCATTTGTCACCTTTGCAGCGTCTTGGGACAGACCTGTGGTGCTGCGCAGCAAGGTTTCGATGACTGTCGGAGGGACGAGGAATAGAAGGAGCCTGACGGAGTGGTGCACAAAGAGCGCGGAGTTGGACAACATGGTAAGCTATTTCGTCTTTGTATCAGCATTAACACCTCAAGAGGCAGGGGCCCGTGGAGATGAATATAGCACAGTCGGGTCAGGATCTCCTTGCCACGGGCTTGATGCCTGCCGTGTGATGGAGGGAAAGCACATGCTCAAGCCAGAGTAGCGGCCAGAGCGTGGAAAGGGGGACTCACAACCGCTTGAGACACAGTTCCACCAAATGTCTTCACCGGCACGGAAGGGAAGAGACAAACCGACCCCGCCACGGCGAAGACATGTCCTTCCTCGTGCGATGCGTCCTGCCGCCAGCGCTTGAGCAGCTCCAGCGCAATGTATGCACCGGCACAGTGGCCGATCAAGATCAGCTTGACCGGAGCCTTCTTTTCTCGGCCTGGTGCCAATTTGGATACGCGATCAAGCAGGACAGCCTCCATGTGGTCGATTTCACCAGCCATGGATGACACAGAGGGTGGGTCGTCGGCACCGGCTCCTGCCCCGGCGAGACTGACGGTCAGGATCTCGTAGGTAGCGATTTTGGTGGTTGATCCAGCCCGGAGTGCTCGGTGGAGGCTGGAGAGGAATTCCCGGTAGTAGGCAGCCGGTCCGGGATTTCCGGGGATGAAGAAGATGAGGTAGTCCTGCGCCTCAGAGCTTCCTCCTGAAGAGGTAGCGGGTAGATGGATGGCCTGCTGGAGCAGGGAGGCCATGGTCGACAGGAATCAAGTTGAAGTGTCTGGAACAGTTGAGCGAGATGGATGTCCTGTAGGCTGTGTCAGTCGTAAAGCACACTACGGTTGGAGGACTTGTTATAAGGCTCTTGGACTAGCGCAGTAGCCGCTCTCCCCCGGCATCTGACTAATAATAGATCAGATGCCGTCTTACTGATCTCTCCGCGGTTGTGGTAGACAAGTCAATCTTGGAACTCGGCATGCAGATCAGATTGGAAACAAGATGGCATGCAGAGGGCTTGGGGAATGGAGGCGTAGACACAACGGATTTGGAGAGTTGCTACCAGCGCCATGGTCGGCATCAAGTCATGATATTGGCCGAGGTGGTGCTGTCCAGCCAGTCAATGTTGTTGGCCTCGGCTCCGGCAGCAGCTGGTGGCTTTCTTGGAGCAAAGAGAGCATGCGGCGTGCTTGAGCCGGGATGCAGCACGGGAACTATGAGTTGGGATCGACGCGGGTATGGCGCCGGCATGGAGGTGCGGGCGTCAGGCCGAGGCTCGCCGAATGGACGACGGCGCCGTCTGAAGTGGCTCCACCAGACGGTTTAGGTGGTCCAGCGTCACAGAGGCGCCGGACGATTGCGAAACAAGGATGGGTCGCTCGTTTACAAGGCTCGGGTAGTCCATCGGCGGCTGCGAGCTAAGCGCGCGCGGTGCTGATTGGGGGGGATCAGCGGCGCAAGAGGGAAAGAGGGAAAGAAGAGCAGTCGTCGACGACGGTTCAGTCTCGGTTCTGTGGCCTCGTCGAGCCCTCGAGCCCTCGAGCCCTCGAGCCGGGCAAAGCCCACGCGACTGGCCTTGGCTGGGGGTGCGGAACCGCAGAGGCCGTCTTCCATGGGTGCATCTCTCGTTCGACGAGCCGTGCCGCGTGCTACTGTTGCTCCACACGGCAGGCTGCTTCACGCAGCGATGCGACCGGACCCAGGTCCGGTGAGTGGTTGAGCAGCGCGTCGGTTGCATCAGCAAAAGCTCACGCCCGAGTTCGCGGCGGGCCGTCGGTCACCCCAAACGAGAAGCACCTGCTTGGGCGGCGCGGGCGGGTGGCTGGACGTACGCGAACGGAAGGGTCTGTCTAGATGCTGCGAACCGTTCGCAGGCCGAAGGGCCGGATGGCCGGCCGCGCCCGCCCAACCGCAGGGGCCCCGCGCACTGCGAAGGCCGTGATTCGAAGGCCATGCTCCGCGTACGAAAACCGGAGACCAGGAGTGCTCGTGCTGCACTCGCCACTGCGCAGGGCAGCCGTGTGCATGCATTGGCCGGCGCTGGGCTGGGAGCCAGGCTGTCAGAGATCAGCGGCGCGCCTGGTGCTGCGTGGCCGCGATGCGAGGTGTCGAGCCAGCAAGTACGGAAGCCTGAGTGGCAGAAACCCAGCCCTGCCGGGAGCGCCCACGCGAGCCATGGGCACCCGCGCCTGTCTCGCCTGTCTCACCTGTCTCGCCTGTCTCGCCTGTCTCGCCTGTGTCGCCGCGGCTTTTGCTCCACATGCGGCTGCGCAGGGAAAAAAGAAAACCACCGCCATTGGCTGCAAAATAAAACTCGAGTCCGACTCCTATCGAGCCGCCGGGAATAAAGGCTAAGCGAGGAAGCAACGACGCGACCGCGCGGGTGGCGGCAATGCCCGAGCATCGCACGGCCGACATGTTCACTTATTACTCAGGCAACCGCGCAACCGTGACAAAGAAATCAAATGTTCAATTGGTCAAATCCCAATTCAATCTCTCCGTCAATCTGAGCCAAGGAAGGTGCGAAAGGAAAGGAGCAGACACACACCGTAGATCAAACCCTAACCTCCTACTCATTCTCTAACCGATATCTTTAGACTCTCTCGCAATCTCTCAAACCTTCTCTCTCGCTCGTGCCCCCTTCTCCGCCTCCCTAATCCCAGTTGCCGGCACCCAGCTCCACCGGCCTGCCCTTCCGCATGTCCTCCATGACGTCCTCAATGTGCCACGGCTCGTAGTGGTAGCCGGGCGGGTAGTTGGGCGGCACGCCGTCGATGTACTCGCTCAGCGGCACGCCCTTGTTGACGCCGTCGACGACCTTGTCGAAGTGACTGTGCGCGTACAGCTCCGGGTCGTGGCTCCAGACCCAGGCCGGGAGCTTTGGCGCGGCGCGGCGCGGGTCGAGCTTGACTTTGCTCCAGTCCGTGTCCTGCAGCAGCTCGGCGTTGCTGAACCCCAGCTTCTGCGCGCACGCGTTGCGCACGAAGCGCATGCGCACATGCGCCCGCACCGCGTCGGGCACGCCGTCCACCGGCCGCTGGCCACGCCCCTCGACCGCCGCGTCCACCCCCAGCCGCAGGCACGCCGCCAGCGAGATGGCGTCCTCGATGGCCTGCGTCGCCCCGTTGCCCGACGCCGGCAGGAAGCTGTGCGCCGCGTCGCCGATTTGCACCACCCGCGCCAGCGGCGACACCCACGACGGCTGCGGGTTGCGCCACAGCAGCTCGAAGTTGATGATGGTCTTGGACGGCGTGAGGGCCACGAGCTCGCGGAACATGGGCGCCCACTTGTCCGCCCCGGGCACCTTGTCCATGCCATCGAGCACCTCGTCCGGCTCGACCGTGTTGTTCCAGGACTCGGACTCGCTGCCCGTCACCTACAAGTGCAAAAATGTCAGCGTCGGGGAAAGCTTGCGGGGGAGCATGCACGAGTGTAGACGCACGTCATGGTTCATGATCCAGATGATGGTGTCTGGCCGGGTCAAAGTAAGGGCGTACGTTCCAGGCCTGCGGAGCGCGCCATCAGTCAGCATGCATGTCTCAAGGGAGTGCCATATCCGCGGGAACATGCCACCGCAGCCGCTCCGCGCTGGCAGCGGCGGCAGCAGCAGCAGCAGCACCGGGCGGCACGTGAGGTTCAACAAAATGAAGAGAGGAGCGGTGCTGAGCAACTCACCCCAACCACGTCCTCACAATGGGCTGCTTGTCCCCGTTGCTGTCAATCATCTTGAAGAACTCCTTCACCTCCTTGTTCTTGTCCAGATGCTCGATCGGGAACGCCGCGCGCCACATGGCCCGGCCGGACGAGATGGCCTTGACCTGGCCGCCGACAATCTTCTGGCTCTTGCTGCCCACGCCGTCGGCCGCGACGACGACGTGCGCCTCGAACCGCTCGCCCTTGTCGGTCACGACGCCGGCCCGCCCCGTCTTCTCGTCCTCCCAGTACTCCATGACGCGCTTGCCGAACTGCACCTTGACGCCGAGCTGCTCCACCTGGTGCACGAACATCTTGTACACCAGGGGCCGCATCTGGAACGTGCCGGGCGGCGTCTTGGGATCGAGCCCCTGTGCCTTGAGCCGCTCCGCCACCTTGAGCGGCGCGATCATCTGCTCGCCCGAGTGCTTGAACGTCTCGATCCAAGCGTCGTGCAGCGAGATGGCGTCGTACTCGGCCGCCATCTCCGGCCAGTGCTTGAAGAACTTGGTGGCCGACAGACCCATGAAGTACATGTCGCCTGCAGGTACATTGTCAGCATTGTTTCACATCAGTCTGCGTGGCCAGTCATGAACGATGTTGGCGAAAGAGCAAGGTAGAGGTAGGTGGCAGTGGGGTGTGAAAGATAAGACATAAAAGTAACATGGGAGCACGTGATGTGATGTGATGTGATGGATTGTGATGGATTGCGTGCTGATGTGAGAACTTGCTTTAGACTATTGGAGTCTAATGCACATCCTTGTGCTTACCGGCTGTGTTGATAGACGCGTTGCGCTCGAGCACCTGCACATTGTGGCCCTTGCGGATCAACTCGATGGAAGCAGTCAGGCCTGCAAGACCGGTGCCCACGACGATCACGTCGAGGCCAGACGGCGGGTAGGACCCGACGGGCTTGGATTCCATGTTGCTTGCGAGCTAAGGGTCTTCTTTCGCGGAGGTTTATGATGCTGATAAGAACTTGGCGCCTAGACGCGGTAGAGTAGCACGCTCTATGCCTTCTGAGTCTGGCGATGATCTGCGCTCTCGGGTCGCGCTGATGGCTTGTGAGTGGAACCCAACGGAGAAGGATGAGGGACGATGTTTACGCCGTGTCGCTTCTGTTGTTTGGTGCTGATGAAAGAGAAGAGCTGAATCGAAGGAGTGCTGCAAGACTTGGGGAAATAATCAAGGTAAAGGCCCCCTCCCTTGCGGCCCGTATAAAGCACAGCTAACCCCAGCTCGGGCGAGCCCGTGGAGGGTCGGCCGGACGAAGGAGGCCGCTCGCATCGGAGACGTGTTGCCCGGAACGGCCTCTGGGCACGGCAAACGTTGGTCTCTGCCCCCTTCGCCCCGAGAGGCGCACATCCGGCTCTCCACCCAAATTCCTATCTGCCGGTTGTGGAAAGCTTGAAGAGGGCGCATGTGCGAAGGCCAAGAGGGTAAATGCGGTAGTCGTGGCGCTCGATGACGATGAGAACCAAGGTCGGGCGTAGTCGTCTAGGATGCACGCTAGAGATCCCATCCGCCAGGCGGGCAGCACGCGGGAACCAAGCCCGTTCGGGACCTAGGCTCGACGCTGTGTCTCGATGGAGCAGTAAAGTGCACGGATGGCTTGCGGCTACAACGGCACCCCCGGCTCTTGCGATGGGCTTGCCATTGCGGCCGATCTCAATCCCCAAAGTTGACGCTTGCAATTTGCGGAAGTCGTGCAACGATGTACCCCTGCCTTCGCGTCGCACTTTGTGGAACACCATGCGAGGTCCGATGCGCTGCTCGGATCGTGGCCCCGTATTACACATCCTCCATGACAGTTACTTGTCACAATGTACCCTCAGGTGGACCATTGCCACGTGAGCTCGTGACGTGCTATACTCCATAGTCCCAGACAAGCCTTCTGCATCTAGCCAGCGAGGCGGCCATGTTTTGTCTTGGCTCCTCTTGTATTCTCCAGCGGTCGAGTAAACTTACCATAGCTTCGGTGCGGAGAGTCCGGTCTTCCTCCTGCTGCTGAAATGACAGTTCCAGCCGATGCACCATTGGATGCTTTTTGCTGATCCTCATACTAGTTCAGTTAGGAAGACGGGACTGAAGGTCTGGGGCGTCAACGAGGCCAGCTGGAGATTGCCGGCACCTTGCATGGGATCGCTTCCACCGGACAAACTCACCGTTGGTGATGGCGATGGCGATCAGACGAGGTTGGAGGCGTACCTGCCTTCGGACATCGACGGAAGTTCGTACGAAGGTTGCCTTGGGCGAGGTCCTTGCGGTGAGATGCGACAATCCCGCGGACTCGCAACGCGTTGGCGCACTTCAGGGATGCAGGTAATTAATGCAGATATCCTCCCCCCTCTCCCGCTGCCGCAAACTTCTTATTCTATCCATCAGCTCCGTCTTGCGTGAGCAGCCGTCATCTTCGTCTGCCAGTCCGCGCAATCATGCAGCTCTTCACATACGTGGTACTCGCCATCGCCTTGGCAGGCTTTGCGGTACTCAAATTCATCCAATCTTTCAGGGAGAAGAACGACCCATCCGGGCTACCCGGGCCAAAGCTCATTCCCTTCTTCGGCCGTGTCCATGACCTTCCAATCCAATACATGTGGCTCAAGTTCAAAGAATGGGCAGACACGCACGGCAAGGAAGGCTTGTACAGGACCGAGATGCTTGGAGCCAAGTTCGTCATCGTGTCCGATGAGAAGATCGCCGAAGACCTGCTCGTCAAGCGAGCAAAGCACAACTCGGACCGGCCCATGATTCGCTCTCTGTTCGACTCGAAGAGTTCACATGGGTCCATGGAGTACCTCCCTCTGATGGGCAAGAACCGTAAGTCTTGGCTGAGCTTGATCGACTTCTGTCCCCCGGTAGACACTGACGGACCGTCACAGAGTATTGGGCTCGTCAGCGCCGCTTTACCCACGCCTACCTCACCGAAGCCACCAACGCCCAGTACTACGGAATCATGAACTTCGAGGCCAAGCGTTGGCTCTACCGCCTCATCCAAGATCCGGATGACTTTGGTTTCTCACTCGAGGACATGGCATCCAAGGTCATGTGCCAGCTGACCTGGGACGATGGCACCGATAGCCCAACCCTGACCAAGAGTGCGTGGGGCCTGCTCACACAGATGTCACCGGCCGGTCCCATTACCAACCTCATAACACCGCTGTGGCACTTGCCCTGGTTGCTCAACCCGTGGAAGCGGGCGGAGCGCAAGCGGCACGATGACCAGCAGGCGTGGTGGCTGAACAAGCTTCAGGGTGTGCGCGAGAAAATGGCCAAGGGTGAGATGCGCCCCTGCTGGACCAGATCCTACCTCGAAAACGAGACAAAGACCAACCTGTCGGGCGATTACGAGGCGTCGTCCGTCATTGGTATGATGGCTCTGGTTGGCATCTTCACCGTCGCCGGTCCCTTGTACTACTTCCTCGTATCTATGGTCTACCATCCGGAGTGGCAAGCCCAGGTGCAGAAGGAGATCGACCAGGTATGCGAGGGCCGCTTGCCCACGCTTGATGACATGCCTCGACTGCCCATCCTTCGCGCCTGCCTCAAGGAGACTATGAGGTGGAAGCCCAACGTTCCCACTGGTAAGTGCCGCTTGGAGTAGTGTTGAGCTTGTTATGATGAGTGGCGGGTGCTAACGTGCTATTGATAGGCGTGGCGCACGAGACCGAGCAAGACGACGAGTACAACGGTTACTTCATTCCCAAGGGTACCCGCATCCTCCCCTTGGACTGGTGAGTCTTGTTTTCGCCCCAAGGACGCCATGGCGTGGTGGTAGAATACATCACTGACAGAATTATACAGGGCTTTCCTGCGCAATCCGATCAAGTACCCTGATCCAGAGGCGTTCCGGCCAGAGCGCTGGCTGCAGCCTGGGTGGCCGACGTACCAGGAGCCCTTGACACAATACCCCACGCTCAAGGGCATGACCTCGTTTGGTTGGGGCCAACGCCAGTGTCTGGGCCAATCGGTGACGCAAGACGAGCTGGTAGTGGCATGCGGTGCGCTCGCCTGGTGTTTCAACCTCAAGCACAAGATCGATCCCAAGACAGGGCAGAAGATCCACATTCCGCTCGACAAATCCAACTCGCTACTAATCGTCAAGCCCGATCCCTTCCAGATGGCGTTCGAGCCCCGCAGTAACGAGCGCAGGGAGGAAGCCATCCGCCTCTGGCACGAGGCTGAGGCGAAGGACGAGAGGCAGCGTGCTGACTTCCTCAAGGTGGCTGAGATGCGCAGGGCTGAGGAGAGGAGGCTAGATGAGAAGCTGGAGAAGCAACCGCTCGTGCAAGTGTTGGAAGTTTAATTGGCTGTTTATTTTCTTTTTTGCTTTTGTTGGTGGCGAAATGCTTTTTCCGCACTTCGATTCTTTGACAACCCTGACGTGTTGAAATTGGCTTCGTCTGGCGAGCGTGGCTTTTGGACCCGATTATATGCGACGTAGATAGTTTGAACGACTTAATGCTAGCATGTGATGAAATGAATAAGCGAGAGCGGTTTAGACGCGGCAATCTAGGTACGATCTTGGTCGGTGATGCATATGCACGCAGTCATCAGCCACACCTGTGCAGCATAAGCACCATGTACTGAGTTTGGGGAAGGCTGGGCGTTGGTGGCACCATGCCAACAGGGCGCCGGTCCGGCTCGGCGGCGTGAGATGGCTGTGCCTGCAGATCAGGGCCGCCCGTCGAAGAGGCTGGGCGTCAGCAAGGGAAGCTGGTCTCGTGTAGTGTTGTCGCCATGTTTGGTTAGCGGATAGCAGATGGACCGGGGGCTAGCGGTAGTGATTGACGACACGATTTGTTGGCTTTGGTTTCGGCTCCCCAGCTCTTGTCCGGCTCAGGACTCCTGTGATGTCCCCGGCTTGTCCGTCGCGGCGCGTCCATTTCCGGGACGGGTGCGAGACACAGGAGCCGTCGGGGCACGTCGGGCTCGGGCGCGGACGCGGGCGCGGGCATGCTAGGTCGGGCCAAGGACGAGACAGCGCACTTGTCCGGGCCGCGCTCATATACAAGGACTGCGAGAGCGTCGGAAGAAGCACAATCGCGCTGAGTTGTTGCAAAGCAAGCGAAAGAGCGTCGTCGAATCACTCCGTCTCGCACCATGTCTCCCACGCTCCCTCAGGCCGTTGTCGGCACCACCATCAGCTTCTCCTACATTCTCCTGGGTACAGTGGCCTCTCTTCCCGCACGGAATGGGTCGGTTAACGTGAGCAGGGAATGCCATCACTCAGTCCTTCATGGGCGTGCCGGCGCTGCTGGTCGACTTCCCGCACCCGTCGTCGCCGGAGCACGCGGCACGGGCGCAGCATCTGGGGCGGCAGTGGCCCACGTTCTGGGCAGTGGGCAACGTCTTCTTCCGGCCCATCAGCACGCTGGGCATCTTCGGGTATGCGTACACGGCGTGGGTGGCGTCGCAGGGCCACGGCGCAGTGCGAGGCGATTGGAGGCTGTTCGCGGTCAGCGCCCTCTGCCACCTGGTGACGGTGGTGCACTCGGCCATCAACATGCAGCCCATCAACGACAAGCTGGACGGGCTGAGCGACCCCAAGAGCGGTCGGTCGGACACATCGCAGGCGGAGGCGTATGCACGCACGTGGATCCGGAGGAACTCGCTGCGGATTGCGATGCCGCTGGTGGCGGGCACGATCGCGCTGTTCCAGGCGCTGGGCGGGTAAAGGGAGGGTGTCACAGTAGAGTTGTTTGGGTGCTGACGGGCGCACCACGGCGGGAGGCTGCAACTCTGACGGGCTCGAGCAAGGCGGGGCGGCGTGTGGGGCAGCGGTCTCGACTCTCGACTCGCACCTGCCCGCCAATCATCCCCATCCCCATCCCCATCCCCATCCACTTTGCTTTCTTTGCTTCTCTCCTCAACCGTCCCCAACGCCGCTGCGCACTGCGTTGCGGTTACGTCATGTATCTACCAGGCGTGTCTCAGTCTCAAATAATGCACCACGTTGCTTCTGACAGCTCAACGGATCGATCGCGGGTGTCATGTCGCACGGCACGCGGGCACGACATTGTATGCAGGCTTCTGTGACATCAACATTGGTACCTAGCCATCGCATCCCGTCCCACGCGCCCGTCACTCATCGAAGCCCTTGGGCGCTACTTTGGCCCGCATCTCCAGCGCCTTCGCGCTGTCAACAAACTCCTCCACGGCAACCACCCTTGTGCCGTCTTCGGAAAGCGTGATCAGCATGACGCATTCGTTTCTCCATTCGCCCCTCCCACCCTTGAGCGTTCCTTGCATGCGTGCCGACACGACAACCGCGTTCCGCTCGCTGTCCTCGAACACGGCCTTGGGCACCATGGCGAAGGCCTCGAAGACGGAGAAAATGCCCGCCGCATGCTGCTCGAACGCCGCCTTGTCGCGTGCCGGCATGCCCAGTGATTCGGGCAGCACCTGGTGCTTGAAATCGTCCGCCAGGGGGGCCGCGAGCGTGGGGACCGACAGGCTACCGTAGCCGTCGAGGAGGGCGTGGACCGTCTGGAGCCTCTGGGATTGCTCGGTCGACATGGCGAATGAAAGTGCAGTGATGATTCGTTGAGAAGGATCTTAGCTCCCAAAGGGTAGGTCTGATGAGCGATTCAAGCAGCTCTCTTGGGGGTATCACCACGCCATCATCATATGGCCGCTGCTATTTACATGCTTGCTCGAGCTGAAGACGAGACTCTCGGCGCCGCGGACTATGCGCTCAATACCCGACCTCCGGAAAGCCTTCGAGACCCTTTGTTCCAGCTGGCGGCCCGGGAGGCCCTGCATACATTGACCGACGGTTGACGGAGACCCGACACTGGGCCCGCGAGCCGCCAGTCCCCATGTCCACCCTTCGGCCAGCGACCCTGGGCCCCGCCGTCCCCCCCGCCCGCAGCGCAGTCTCTCTCCGAGGTCCGCGCAGCCCTGCGCTGAGTTCCCTCTGGCCCCGGTCAAATACCATAGCCCTTCCACGGTCTGGGCAGAGTCTCGTACAGCCATACACTCGCCATCTTTCACCAGCTCCTACCATCAACCATGTCCAAAGCACTGCTCATCACCGGCGCCACAGGCAAACAGGGCGGCGCCGTCATTGACGCCCTCATCGAGCTGAAGGTCGACTGCACCATCCTTGCTGTGACGCGCGATGCCTCGTCCGCCGGTGCCCAGAAGCTCGCCAGCAAAGGCTCCAATGTAAAGCTGGTCCAAGGCAACCTCGACGACGCGCCAGCCCTCTTCACCGCCGCCGCCGAAGCGGCCAAGCCGTCGCCCATCGCGGGCGTGTACAGCGTGCAGATCTCAATGGGCAAGGGCGTGACCAAGGACAGCGAGATCGCACAGGGCAACGCGCTGATCGACGAGGCCATCAAGCACAACGTCGCGCACTTTGTCTACTCGAGCGTCGAGCGCGGCGGCGACGAGGCTTCATGGAGCACGCCGACGCCGGTGCCGCACTTCCAGAGCAAGCAGCTCATCGAGCAGCACCTGCGCGAAGCCACCGCGCCCGGCACTCCCGGCGAAGCCATGGCCTGGACGGTCCTGCGCCCCGTCGCCTTCATGGACAACCTCGCCCCCGGCATGCCGACCAAGGTCTTCTTGACCGCCCTACGCGACACCATGCAGGGAAAGCGCACCCAGTGGGTCGCCGTCCACGACATTGGCCGCTTTGCCGCCTTGGCCTTTGCCAACCCCGACGAGTGGCGCAACGTCGCCATCGGCCTTGCGGGCGAAGAGCTGTCGTACGATGAAATGAGCGAGCGCTTCCAGCGTGCTACGGGCTCCCCGGTGCCCTCGTCGTACTGGTTCTTCGGTAGCGCGCTGATGTACATGGTCGCGGAGCTGAACACCATGATCACCTGGTTCGCGACAGACGGGTACAAGGCGGATATCGCGAAGTGCAAACAGAAGAACCCCCAGATGTTGGATTTGGAGACTTGGCTGCGTACGAAGAGCGACTTCGAGACGAAGAGCCAGTAGACTTGGGTATGGAAGGGGGCTTGCGTTTCGCTCTTGGCGTTACTGGTTCGGATGACAGAGAGACCTTAGCGTCAGGGTTGTATATTAAGAATATATAGAATCAAGACGATGTTGAGACCCTCTGCGTTCAGGCACTGACTCGATGAAGTCTGAGGGGCAGCCGAGGCGCGCCTTCGATATTTTATGTGAATTATGCTTGCATATCCATTTTGGTAAGACAGTGCGCTCACTTTGATGCTCTTCCGTGGCAAGAAATAAACACCTCTCGTGAAAGTTCATTGGATTTGGCCAATATACACTTTGTGCTAGTAATAAGCCTACGGCGGTTCTTTGTGTGGGCAGTCAAAGCAAAATTCCAAGAACTGTTCTTCGTGGGTAGCTGGAGCAGATATCCAGATGCAGATGCGAGTAGCAGAATTGTACAAATGCATCAGATATAGAATGCCGCTACCCGTGCAGGTGGGTCAATTTCCTTCGTCGCCCATTGGGGCCTTGCGACGGGAGATCAACCGTACCATCACGACCGAACACTTCCGTTTCCAGAAATTCGATAGCCATATTGACAGGCATGACTCGCAACAACGAGGCTGTCAGACACTATCGGAAGCAATGATCGGCGCGTCAATGCCCAGTTATTCCAAATTTCACCTGCTCATCCTCTGGTCATTCAGAGCGTACGTTCGCTTGTAGAGCAAAGGGTGATTCTCTTGAGACAGCTACAGTAGCCAACCTCTTTGACAAGACCTTCCAGGCTTTCATGATATTGTCAAACATATTTGTGCGCTCGCGATGAAGGCTATCGTGATCTTTTGATTCTCATGCCGGATCAGTGACGCTGCGCGTAGAGCAAAGACCGGCTATCGTTCCCAAATCGGTAAAACATGGCAGGATTTCCTTCGCGCGACCGATTTGGAAGAGCGACTGAAAAGCATAGACAATCAGTTTGCAGCCTCATGTGCGAGTTTCACAGATATGTATCCGAGTTGATGATATAAGCGGTTCCGTGGATGTTTCGTAGGTAGGGGGTTGTCAAGGGGCTGTTCGTTCAGCCACAGTAAGCGCTACTACACGGAGACTATGCGAAACTGGCAGGTGGGATACGAGGTGCTCCACAAACGGTTTTCAGTGGGCAATGGCGCAGGAACAACACCAGTAGGATCGAGAAGGATCCAAGCCCCGCAATGTCGTCTCTCAGCTAGCTATGGATTTAACTTCAGGCCAGCCATGGCTATATCGACGTCACTCAAACTCCCAGCGCACAAGTCTGGCATCCGAAAATGCATTCAATCTTCCTGGCCCTCAGCGGGCTCACGCTCGCGCGCGCCATATCCCTATGGGAGCCCAGCGGGCCCTACCACGTCGGCTACACCCAGCACATCTTCGACCACACGACGCCCAACGACCCCACCTCCCCCGGCACCTTTTCTTTCTGTGTTTGAGACGGAAGTTGTTAACGGCAAGGTGAGAGAAGTATTGTGAAGTCATGGTGTCGGTTTATCAAATATCGAGCCAGAGCTACGCTACGACGGTATGTTGGAAAGAAGCTAAGCAGTGTTTCTTGTGCATGCTCACGTTGAGAGGAAAGAGTGTAAAGTAACGAATCCAACTCTCATCTCAAATCAATCATCGGTGCGCCGAACAGATCGAAAGCTCTGCGCATCTCCTTCTCCCGAAACGACACTTACACAATCCCTATCGTTCAAGCTCAGAGATCGCTCCTCACTGACCCGGGCAGACTGTACCACCCCCTTTTGTTCACTTTCTTGCCCACCACAGCCCCAACTTCCACCTCCCCCTGCCAAACCCTCCTCCTCAAACGACACCAGCGGCGCCTTGAGCCTCGGGTGCTCCAGATCCTCCAAATCCAGCACCCCCAGCAAGCGCCCACGCTCCGTCACCACGGGCACACCACCGGTGCAGCCCTTCCACGTCACGCCGCGCAAACCGAGCAGTTCCTCGTGCGCCAGCCGCTGCAGCTGGAGCGTCTCGTTCGTGCACCACTCCAGCCGCGCGTGTTTGTCGAGGTTGTACCGGCGCTGGATGGTGGCGACGAGCTGCTCGAGGGTGTAGGAGAGGATGATGACGACGGCGCCGAGGGAGAAGACGAGCGCGAGGTAGAAGACGGAGAAGTTGGTGTAGGCGGTGCTGCGGATTTTCTGCGGGGTTTGCGTGAGTGTGTGTGTGTGTTGTTGGAGGTGAGGGGCTACATGTGGGGTGGGGACTGGGGACTGACCTGGTTCCGGCAAAAGTAGCGCTCGTCGTCGCCTTTGGGTTCGACGAGGTATGGAAGGAATTCGGGGTCTGATGGTCTGGTCGCGGCGTCGATGTATGTGCCCTGGAGGTAGGCCATGGATGTCTCATGCCAATGCTCGACGTCCAACTGCCATTGGTTGTCTGGTAAAGCTCTCTGCATGCCAGCGGCAAGTTTGTATCGAGAGGTCAAGGCCGGCACACCGAGAATCTCGACCACGGAGGAAATAGAGGCAACGAATGCGAAGTGTGCTTCTATGGCAGATTTGACTCGCAATTGTGCTTTCTTATCCTTCCAAAGGTTAAATACTGCGTCGTAGCCTGATGTGGCGGTGGAAACGCAGCGCTTGTCCGGTGGTAAGTTTGGGTTGCAGAACTGGTCTTGCAGTATACATCCAAGAACAGAAGCAGCATCGTCTCTGAAATATACATTGAGGTACTCGGCCGACGGATCGTTCTGAGCGAATGAATTGCCGATTTGCCCAGCATACTTGTGAGCCGAGTACCAGGGGTCGTTGATCTCCTCGAGGAAAACTATACGGTTTGGTGATAGAAAGAAGAGCATGACGTCTGAATCAGGGTAATCCATTTCTGGTATAGGCCAGAACTCATTTTCAGCCCAATTTCGAGTTCCATTCTCGGTAATTGATATCAGTGGCCTTGCAGGAAATTAGTTCTTGCTTCACCATGGATTCAACGGGGTTTTACTTCAGTGTATAGTCTGCCGTGGTTCCACCCCACTCATCCCCGGAAGAGAGACCTGGGTACTCATAGGTGAACGGAGCATCTAATTGCTCTCCGAAGTAGTACCTCCAGAGATTTGCTCCCGTTTCGTTGTCGTAGACCAATTTCTTGCGTCCTTCGGTGCGTAGTGGTCCGCAATGGGTCGTCCTTCGATAAAGATACCGCTCACTGGGTGGCGAGTTGAGGCCAAGGTCGTAGTGACTATCCAGGAAACCTGTGTCAAACCGGATGTTTGACGATGTTGAGCAAATGTTTCCGTGGAAAGGGCAGCTTGCGTTGCGATCGACAGTCGTTTTCAACTGCTTATTGATGAACGTTTGACAACTGTTGAGGTCTGACTTGTTTGAGTAGCATTGCTCTGCGTAGTTGGCGTATACATTAAGGCGCTGGGACCAGTAGGCCACAATCGAACTTTCGTAACCCGTAAAGTTCTGGGCGGCGTTTGGGTCCAAGGCGCCGCAACGTTGCGCCGAGAGGAGCACTTCATTTCCCATCGTAGTCGCGATTCGAGAAGAGAATCCACTGGCGGCGGCAAAGAGACCGAGAAGTAAGATTGTCAGTGTGATGACGGGGATGATTCGCCGGTAGAGCCTTCGTGAGTTCCCGCGCCACGACCATGTTACTTGGAGAAAGCTCCAAAGGCCGCTAGCTCCGTTGGCCGAATTGCGTAGGATGGCTTGGCGTTGGTGATAAAGCCCGTCTCTTGCCGCCTCACGGGAATATAGCTGATGGAGCGTGAAGCAGGATATCCTCCAAACGCTGGTTCCAACTATGGTGACGAAGAGTGCAAAGAATGCGATAAGGAGATCGCCTTCACGCCGCGGAAGAGTAAGCGTAACTCCTAAAATGCGTCCGTAAGACCAGTTCGTCCAGGTGCCAACATGAATAGGGTAGGGCTCGGATTCGGCGGGTTCCATGGTGATGGTTGTGAGTGAGGTTTGCCGTGGCGACACGGTCATCCCTTGTGGTAGGAAGTGATTTAAAGTAAAACCATCAGCCGATATTTTGTGATGAGGCTAATGTGGCAGCGCTGCCTGTTGCCTGTTGCCTATTTGTACGACGCTGGTGACAAACATAGCTTCGCAAGGTCGCAGCTCAGCCTCGTCTGAATAATGATATCACAACGGATAAAAAAAGAAATGGAAGGAAAACCTAGCGATTCAGAAGGAAGGCTGAAAGTTCCGCACGTGGGGTCTGTTAAAGCTCCATGGAAGAGGCCGCAAAAACGTTACACAATTTGTGACACGACGTATGCTAAGCCACTTCCATGTACTTAACGCTACTGAGACTTTCGCAGTGGGGATCGCTGGCTCGGGCATGGACAGAAGTGTGGCTATTTGCAAAGGTTGGAAATCACTACTTATGTACATTTGGCGTGTTTCTGCAGCACCACAGCTACATATTTTGCAAGGCAGATAGTGCGGTTGAGTACAAACTTCATTGCTGTTGTGTTACTAGCGTTAGTCTCGCAAGCTGCCTCTCGAGAACTAGGAATGTACAAAACTGCGTAGTACGACAGGAATAGAACAGGTTCTATTTTTAATTTTTTTTCACCGTTTGATCGGAAAAAGAAAAGCAAGGGAACAACGACCTCATGCAAACATGCCTATCTCAACTCCGAGAACTCCTTTTTCATGCTCTTGAGACTAAAAAAAAAGGAAGACTTATTCTTCTTTCTAAAAGGCTTTTCTTATAATGTACACCCTCCCTCCCCAACTCAAAACTTGACCCTAAAATCCCACCCCACCGCCGCGCCATACGCCACCACGAAACACACGAACCCAGCCCCAAACACCGCCGCGCTAAACACAATCAACCCAGGATAATTCGGCGTGCCCGCGCCCGTCTCCAGAATCGCGCCCGCGATCGGAATCCCCACGAGCGTGCCGAAACTGACGACAAAATACGTAGTCCCATACCTCTTCCCGTAGTCTTCGGTGCGGCAGATCTGGGCGACGCACACGGGCGTGACGCCCACGATGCTGCCGGACGCGAAGCCAAACGCCGCGGCGAAGGCCGCGAGGAGGGCGGCGCTGCGGCCGGCGACGAGCCACAGCAGCGTGACGAAGGTGCACGCGGCGGCGGTGAGCAGCATGACGCGGAAGCGGCCCCACGCGTCGGCGAGCGCGCCCGACAGCGCGCGGCCGAGGATGGACGCGGCGTTGAGGGTGATGAGGAAGCCGTAGGCGCGGTCGGCCGCGAAGCCCGCGTGCAGCGCGTACGACGGCACGTACGTGACGGGGATGAAGAGGGCGAGCTCGAGGAAGAAGATGGCGGCCGTTGTGGCCGCGTAGACGGGCTCGCGCAGCAGCGCGAGGATGTCGATCGAGGCGCCGGATTTGGTATTGAGCGGTAGCCGCGTGCGGATGGTGGCGACGGCCAGGGCGCAGAGCAGGGTGCACACGATGCCGATTACTTGGAGAGAGCGGCTGAAGCCGATCTTGCTTTCGAGACGCAGGATGATGAGCGGAAAGACGATGCCGCCGATGCCGCCGGCTGTCAGGGCAAGGCTGGTCGCTAGCGCCCGCCGCTTCATGAACCAGTGGCCGATGCTGACGATGGCCGGTGTGAAGATGAGGCAGCAGGACATGCCCCCAAGGATGCCCCAATCTAGCATGTATTGCCAGTACTCTGGAACATTGTCAGTCTCATGCTCTAAGGGTGTATATTCTATTTTTGTTTGGGCTGGGGGGAGGGCAAACATACCTTGGCAGATGCTGAATAGAAAGACGGAGACGACAAGACCCACACAGCCGGGTATCAAAGTGTATTTCAAACCATATGTATCGAATACGGGGCCTGGAACGCGAATACTTAGCAAAATTTGGCGTCAGCAAACGAAATGTCATGCTTACCAATCTGGACGCTTCCGAAATACACCAGGAAAGTAAAGGTGCTGAAGATCCAGCCGATATCGGCATATGAATGATTTGAAAGCTGATGGGACGACAGCCAGGCATGAATGACTCCCATGGAGTTTAGCATGCCAAACGCTGCGACCATGGCACACCAGCTACCGAAAACGACGCTCCACGCGTGGAATCCAGCTTCAGGGAAGTCATCAGGCTCGGCGTGGAGTTGTTGCGTAACCACGTGCTCGTCGTGCTCCGGTAGCTGGGCCGTATTGAGCAGAGGCGTGGTCTCATCAGCCCAACGAGATGTCAAAGGGCTATATTCTCCGCCTTCACTGTCACTCATGGTAAGAAGGTTTCGCAACCAAAAACCGAACAAATGGTAATGATGAATCGAAATAGATGATGATTAAGCGTTTGCCGTGCGCCAACAGTGGTACGCCGAAGAAGTTGCAATGTTTAATAGATGCCTTTGGTGCAGAAACAGAGACGCGCTTTCATGGATATTTACATATGGTGTCACCCTTATCGCATAGAAAAGCGGGTTTCAGACCATGGATGAAGTGGACGGCGGTCGTGATGCACCCAGGGTCTGCCAGAAGGTTCGAGCTTGCGGAGACAGGGGTGGCCCCTGCGCCGACCGTTCTTCTCAGAGCCCACCAGAGCCGCTGGCACGGACACGGTGTGGAGACCATGCCCATCGGGCTGTAGAAAGTTCGAGTACTGTAAAGGTCCCGAACGCCGACCGGATAGAGTCTTCAGCAAGACGGCGTTGCGGATAAATTGGCGGATGGCAGGGTGGCGCACCGGGATCCGCGGGATAGCCGACATTGCCCGCCCACTGACCCTGCACCCCCCGCACGGGATCCGCAGCTCTAACCGGGGTTCGTCGATCTTGGTGGAGATGAACGCGCTTATCGCAAGCACAGCAAGTGTTGGCGTGGACGTCTGAAATGGCCGTGGATGGAGTCGGTGAGCGACGAAGTTGCGTTTCGGCAATGCCATATCATTTTGTAGCCACCTGGTTGAGCAAGACAGTGCCAAGTGACTGGATGCACTTGTTCATGTTGGCTGCGGGGTCCTGGCGAAGCGTGGTGAGAACTGCCGACTCGACCATTGGCCATTGTGTCATCAGAATGTCAATCATCTGCGTCAATTGCGCAGGGCCCAAACCAGAGCTGGGTTCAGGTCGGACCTCCTGAGGGACAAGGGCTGGAACAGATCTCCGGGACGGGCGCAGGCGATGATGGCGCCGACGTGCTAATGGACCGCTCTGGCTGCGAGTGCGGTGGAGCTGAAGCCGCTCCTCGACCCGATCGTAGCCAGTCTCGAAATCACTTTGGATCTCGCGGTAGGCTGTTCCGTTCGTCCGAAGCGGCTTCGACTGTGGCCTCTGGGGCTTCTCGGACCTCTGCTGAGCCTGAGCCTGTTCGAGCATGATGTCCAACATATCAAGAACGACAAAGAGTGGGCTGGTGGAAGGCGTGTCGGTGGTCTTCGGGCGGCTGTCGGGGTCTCGCAAGTATTGGAGTCGGTGGTCCATGTCGGGGGAGGGCGGTGGTGGAGATGGGCGGGAAAAGGGTTGGTCAAAGCCGCCGGCTACGGTTTCATCACTCTCGACAGACGAAGAATCCGAGTCGTCCAGATAATCGTTTTCGAATGCAGACCACAGAGGCTCGGCGAAAGTCTTGTGGGGTGAATGGATCTCGGTGAGCAGAGCGTGGTAGGCCGTCGACAAGTCTGGGGTGATTTGCTCCATGATGGAAATTTATAAGGGGACAAGAATGGCAACGCGTGGTAAGGCTGACAGGTGTGCTCGATGTAAGGCGCGGGGGGTTTTTGACGTTTTTGAGAGATGATCTGTCTATGCCAGGATCCGTGCCTCGGCGGGCGTACGGCGGGATTTTGTGGTGGCGCAGCGTGAATAGGCCGGGAGGGGGACTAAAAGGGGTCTTGCAGGTCTTGGCCGAGATGGTGTGCAACATGTCGACGGCATGGCAGAGACGGCTTTGAGACGGCCAGCAGAGGTAAATGTGGGTGAGACAGGCTGCTGCACGGGAACGAGCGAGAGGCGGCGGGAAGCTTTCGCGGCCAGGAATAGACAAACGAGATGGCGCGGAGAGTGTGCGAGTCGGTTGACGAGGCGCGGGTGATGGCGCAGATCATCTCCGGATGAGCCGGTTGGGATGACGGACAGGAAGGAAATATGGACCGGCATGGGGCTGAAATTGCAGGGCGCAATATAGGCAAAGAGGTTGCGGAATCGGGCGAGCCCGTTGGTCCGTCTGCAAACCAAGAACTTGGATGCCCCCTGTGCCACGCTGCTGCGCCGTTGCAATGGCGCCAATCACAACGGCGACGACGAAGGCCGAAAAAGCGGCCGCTGTCATCGTCGTCCACAAGCCACGCGAGCAGAGGGACGATAAGCCTAGTGTGCGCCACAGGGGGATTATCGCTCGCTACTTGTGCAGCGGCGCCGGTGAGGCTCAGGAGTCGCGATCGGCCTGGCTGGAGCATCTTGGAGGGAGCGAGGCTCGTGATCACTGTGCTGTTGCTCGCTGGCGGCCCTCGCAGCGGCGACACGCCTCATCCGAACCCAAGACGCCACGGCTGACGATCAGGTGAACTGCACGGAAGAGTTAACATGGGCCGTCCTGCGGGTCCCAAAAGTACGTTTGCTGGTGCGACAGCTGCGCATGGTTGAGCAACGAACGAGGGAATTGACTACCGTCTGCCGGGCAATGCAAGCGATGCCATTGGTGTTGATGCAGCATATTGAGGCTGACGAATAGCGGCAAGAATCCGGTGGTCTCAGCCGTGTTCTCTGAGAGTGACCGGCTGCAGTTGGAGTCGGAGTGATGCGAGGGTCAGTGCGCCGTCAGTTGCGTGGGCGCGCACCGAATCCGTCGCGACCCCGCAGCGAGCGAACCATTGCATGCGCTGAACCCAGCCAAAGCCCATGCCCAGTCCGGCAGCGACAACTACTGCCGCCGCGATGGCACGCATCTCAAACATACTGCCACTGGAATGTCGGCGAGGGGCAGTGCTATATACAGCACCGCAAGGCCTTTGTGAGAGAACTTCGCGGGGCTGCGAACGCGTCGACTCGGCACTCACCCTCACCATCACCTCGCACACGCCTCGTCGACGAAGCACAGAATGCGACCTCATCCGAAGGAGCCCTCAGGCCTCGTCCCGTCTTCGATTGCGTCATCCACAGGACGGAAGCTGATGAGGCTGGCGCATTTGGAGCAAGGTGCGAAGCTGTTCCCCACAGCCAGGGCAAACGCGTCGCCGGGTTCCCGTCTGTCGCCGGCTTTGTGCACACCAAGCGGACGGAGCAAGAGAAGAGCGACGGCGCTGAGACGGCGCGAGCGGTGAGCCAGCGGCAGGCCGACGGGCTTGGGCAGGAGAGCAGGCGAGGAGGATGGTTGAGACGGCGGAGAGCGGGCCTTGAGGTGGAAGACGTGACGCGATGCCTGCAAGCGGAAGGCCCAGCGGGATTTTGGCGGAAAAGCGGAGGCGCGCCTTCCCGCCCATCGCCCGCCAGCGCAACCACCATCGCCAACACCTCCTTCATCGCCCATCCACCATCGCCAAGCCTCCGCGTCGCCTCTAGTACCTCGCCCAACCACGGCGCCTCCTGCTCGCAACGTCTCGCTGCTCGCAGTTTCTGCTGTTGCAAACGGCTTCATCTCGTCACAATGGCCGTCTACAAGAAGCCCTGCTCGCCGCAGCAATGGCTTTCTCTCCACACCAATTCGTTCGTTCGCACACCATCCGTTCACCATGAAGTCTTGTGCGCTTATTGCCACATCTCTGAACCTCCTCCTCACCCTGGCCGCTGCGCGACCCCAGGGATCCAGTGCAAGAGACGAGAGTTCATCCCGCGTTGCCCCCACGACCACCGCCCATGCCTCCTCCGTGCGTGGAAGCTCGAGCATCCCCACCTCGGTGGTTGTATCCGCCTCGAGTGAGAGGCGCTCCTCTGCTTCGTTTTCCGGTGCTAGCAGCAGGCTATCCTCCAGCGTGAGGTCTTCCGTTCCAGTTCCCTCGTCAAGCAGCAGATCTTCCGTTCCAATTCCCTCGTCAAGCGGCAGATCTTCCGTTTCGGTTCCCTCGTCAAGCGGCAGGTCTTCCGTTTCGGTTCCCTCGTCAAGCAGCAGATCTTCCGTTTCGGTTCCCTCATCAAGCGGCAGATCTTCCGTTCCAGGTCTCTCATCAAGCGGCAGATCTTCCGTTCGAGTTCCCTCATCAAGCGGCAGGTCTTCCGCTCCGGTTCCCGAGTCGAGGCTCCGGTTATCCGTTGGTTCGAGCCTCGCATCAAGCGCCAGATCGTTCTCTTCCTCGTCCCGCACCAGGTCACCGTCGCCTTCTGGTTCCGCTCGTCCTGGTAGCGGCAGTTTTACACCGTCTGGCTCTACTCGGTCTTCTGATTCTGCCCGCCTCAGTTCCGGATCCGCGCGTGTCAGCAGCCGCAGCTTCACACCATCGGGCTCTGCCCGTCTCAGCAGCGGTAGCAATGGCGCTCCTTCTAAATCTACCCGCTCCAGCCGCGGTGGCAGCGTCGTCACCCCTTCTGGCTCCGCTCGTCCCAGTCCTGGATCTTCCCGTTCCAGCCGCGGTGGCAGCATCGCTACCCCTTCTCGCTCCGCTCGTCCTAGTTCTGGATCTGCGCGCGGTAGCGTTCTGACCCCATTGACACCATCTGGCTCTGCCCGCCCTAGCCGCAACACTATTGTCAATCTGAGCTCGGCCCGCTCCTTGTGGGTCACTCCAGGCGGAGACTCGGGATCAAGCCTGACAACCCTTGTTCTCACCTCCACTCGGCGCATTACCATCACCAGCTGTCCACCTACAGTCACTTTGTGCCCGACCGGCCGCTCTACTAGCTACATCACCACTACGACTTCTCTCTACACGACCGTCTGTCCTGTTTCAGAAGCCCCTAAGATATCATCCTCCTTCTATCAGAGCTCGCTGGCCACACCTATTCCGGCTACACCTATTCCGGCTACATCTATTCCGGCTACACCTATCCCGGCTACACCCATTCCTTCGTCTAGATCAGCTCCTTCTACTCCAAACATAGGAACCAGCCTGACTACTCTTTTCGTTACCGCCACCTCGCGCATCACTATCACTAGTTGTCCGCCTACAGTCACTGTTTGCTCGATCGGTAGTTTGACTACTACGACCTATGTTTACACGACCGTATGTCCGGTTTCAGAGGCCTCTAAGCTCATTTCTTCCATCAAGAGCACTCCGCCACCACCGCCGGCTACACCTAGTCCGTCTTTGGCTACACCCAGCCCGTCTTTTTCTACACCTACTCCTTCGTCCAGACCGATTCCTTCGTCCATCCTCACTCCGTCATCGGGACCTGCTCCTTCGTCTAGACCTATCCCTTCGTCCATCCTCACTCCGTCATCGGGACCTGCTCCTTCGTCTAGACCTATCCCTTCGTCTATCCTCACTCCGTCATCGGGGCCTGCTCCTTCGTCCAGACCGATTCCTTCGTCCATACTCACTCCGTCATCGGGACCTGCTCCTTCGATTCCGGGAACAAGCTACACAACCCTCTTTGTCACCGCAACTTCGCGCGTTACCGTCACTAGCTGTCCACCCACAGTCACTCTCTGTCCGACCGGTAGCGTAAGTACCACGACTTACGTCTATACGACCGTCTGTCCTGTGTCAGAGGTTTCTAAGATCACCGCCTCCTTCAACTCGACCGCTCCACCGTTACCGCCGACTACACCTATCCCGGTCACACCAATTCCAGTCACTCCTGTTCCGGTTACTCCTGTTCCGGGTACTCCCTCATCTAAACCCATACCGGTGCCACCAGCGTCGAACACTACTATCAAGACTAGGATTTCCAGAGTTTCTAGTGAGACCACCATTACCAACACTCGCCCTGCTTCTGTGTCACCGTCTGGCGGTAGCGGTACTCCTCCACCCCTCCAACCCATCCCTCTTGTCACATGCCCCGGTGGCCCTGGCAGCTGTCAAGAAACTCCTCCAGGAAGACAAATGCCCCAAGTCAGTCCTTCTGCAGGTAGTTCTCCCGCTGGCCAACCTCCGAAAGGCAGCCCTCCCGCAGGGAAGCCTCCCGCACAGAGTCCTCCCGCACAGAGCCCTCCTGCTGGTAAGCCTCCCGTAGAAAGTCCACCTGCTGGCAAGCCACCCGCACAGAGTCCACCTGCTGGCAAGCCTCCTGCAGGAAGTCCTCCTGCTGGCAAGCCACCCGCACAGAGTCCTCCTGCCGGCAAGCCTCCCGCACAGAGTCCACCTACTGGTAAACCTCCGGCAGAGAGCCCTCCCGCTGGCAAGCCCCAACCCGGCTGTATCTCTGGAGATTGCGGTCCAAAGGGCAGTCCTCCTGCAGGCAAGCCTCCTGCAGAGAGTCCTCCTGTTGGAAAGCCTCCTGCAGAGAGTCCTCCTGTTGGAAAGCCTCCTGCAGAAAGTCCTCCTGTTGGAAAGCCTCCGGCAGAGAGTCCTCCCGCTGGTAAGCCTCCGGCAGAGAGCCCTCCCGCTGGCAAGCCCCAACCCGGCTGTATCTACGGAGATTGCGGTCCAAAGGGCAGTCCTCCTGCAGGCAAGCCTCCTGCAGAGAGTCCTCCTGTTGGAAAGCCTCCTGCAGAAAGTCCTCCTGTTGGAAAGCCTCCGGCAGAGAGTCCTCCCGCTGGTAAGCCTCCGGCAGAGAGCCCTCCCGCTGGCAAGCCCCAACCCGGCTGTATCTACGGAGATTGCGGTCCAAAGGGCAGTCCTCCTGCAGGCAAGCCTCCTGCAGAAAGTTCTCCTGCTGGCAAGCCTCCTGGTGGAAAGCCTCCCGCCGAGAGTCCTCCCGCCGGTAAGCCTCCGGCAGAGAGTCCTCCCGCCGGTAAGCCTCCGGCAGAGAGTCCTCCAGTTGGTAAGCCCCCGGCCGAGAGTCCTCCCGCTGGTAAGCCTCCCGCCGAAAGCCCTCCTGTAGGCAAGCCTCCTGCGGAAAGTCCTCCCGCTGGCAAGCCTCCAGCCGGTTGTACTTCTGGAGGCTGTGGTCCAAAGGGTGGTCCTCCTGCAGAAAGTCCTTCCGCTGGTAAGCCTCCGGCAGAGAGCCCTCCCGTCGGTAAGCCTTCTGCTGGTAAGCCTCCCGCCGAAAGCCCTTCTGCCAGCAAGCCCCCTGGTGGAAAGCCTCCCGCAGAAAGTCCTCCCGCTGGTAAGCCTCCGGCAGAGAGTCCTCCTGCTGGTAAGCCTCCTGGTGGCGGACCCCCCGTTGAAAGTCCTCCTGTAGGCAAGCCTCCTGCGGAAAGCCCTCCCGTTGGCAAGCCTCCTGCGGAAAGCCCTCCCGCTGGCAAGCCCCCCGCCGGTTGTACTTCTGGAGAATGTGGTGCTCAGGGCAAGCCTCCCTCAGGAAAGCCTCCTTCAGAGTATCCTCCGTCAGGCATTCCTCCCGCAAGCAGTCCTCCTGCAGAAAGTCCCCCCAAGGGTAACCCTCCGAAGGGCAGTGTCCCTGCGGGCAACCCTTCCGTAAGCACTTCGGAATGTCCTCCCGGTGTTACTCCCAGCGGTGCTCCGGGTGGTGCTCCAGGTGGCGGAGAGGCTCCCAAGGGCGGTTTCCCTAGCGGTGCTCCCGGCGGTGCTCCAGGTGGCGGAGAAGCTCCCAAGGGTGGCGTCCCTGGTGGTGCTCCGGGTGGCGCTCCAGGCGGAGAAGCTCCTAAGGGTGGCGTCCCTGGCGGTGCCCCCGGTGGTGCTCCAGGTGGCGGAGAAGCCCCCAAGGGTGCTCCAGGTGGCGGAGAAGCCCCCAAGGGTGGCGTCCCTGGTGGTGCTCCGGGTGGCGCTCCAGGCGGAGAAGCTCCTAAGGGTGGCGTCCCTGGCGGTGCTCCAGGTGGCGGAGAGGCTCCCAAGGGCGGTTTCCCTAGCGGTGCTCCCGGCGGTGCCCCCGGTGGTGCTCCAGGTGGCGGAGAAGCTCCCAAGGGTGGCGTCCCTGGCGGTGCCCCCGGTGGTGCCCCGGGTGGCGGAGAAGCTCCCAAGGGTGGTGTCCCTGGCGGTGCGCCGGGTGGCGCTCCCGCGGGCTGCACTTCCGGAAAGTGTGCTCCTGGTGAATACCCTTCAGGTAGTGCTCCAAGTGCCCCAAGTGGCTCAGCTGGTGCCCCAGGTGGTTCGGCCGGTGGAGAATCTCCTAAAGGCAGCCACCCTGAAGGTGCTCCGGGCGGATCGGGCAGCGTTGAAGGTGGAGAGTCTCCCAAGGGCGGTGCGCCGGGCGGCGCCCCAGGTGCTTCGCCTAGCGAACAGTATCCTAAAGGAAATGCTCCCAGTGGTGCTCCCAGTGGCTCGCCCGGACAAGCATCTCCCAAAGCAGGTGCTCCAGGAGGTGGTTCCGCAGAAGGTGCTACCGGTGGTGCTCCGAGTGGTGCCCCCATTTCAGAATCCCCCAAGGGCGGCGCTCCCAGTGGTGTTGCTGGCGGTGCTCCAGGCAAAGAAGGCCCAACCGGTACTCATGGAGGTGCCTCTGGTGTCGGCGGCGCTCCAGCAGAAACTTCCCCCGCTGGCTCTGCTCCTGCTGGCCACGCTCCTGCTGGCTCGCCCGCTGAATCCGCACCAGGAAAATCTGCTCCTGCTGGCTATGCTCCTGCTGGCTCGCCCACTGGAGCTGCACCCGAGAAATCTGCGCCGGCTGGCTCTGCTGCTGCCGGTGTACCCGCTGGAGCTGCACCAGGAAAATCTGCGCCGGCTGGCTCTGCTCCTGCTGGCTCGCCCACTGGAGCTGCACCCGAGAAATCTGCGCCGGCTGGCTCTGCTGCTGCCGGTGTACCCGCAGAATCCGCACCAGGAAAATCTGCTCCTGCTGGCTATGCTCCTGCTGGCTCGCCCACTGGAGCTGCACCCGAGAAATCTGCGCCGGCTGGCTCTGCTGCTGCCGGTGTACCCGCTGAATCCGCACCAGGAAAATCTGCTCCTGCAGGCTATGCTCCTGCTGGCTCGCCCACTGGAGCTGCACCCGAAAAATCTGCTCCAGCTGGCTCTGCTGCTGCCGGTGTACCCGCTGGAGCTGCACCCGGAAAATCTGCCCCTGCTGGCTCCGCCCCGGCTGGCTCTGCCCCGGCTGGCTCTGCCCCGGCTGGCTCGCCCACTGGATCCGCACCTGGAGAATCTGCGCCGGCTGGCTCTGCTGCTGCTGGTGTACCTGCTGGAGCTGCACCTGGAAAATCTGCGCCGGCTGGCTCCGCTCCAGCAGGTTCTTCCCCGGCTGGTGTTGCTCCCGCTGGCTCTGCTCCCGCTGGCTCTGCTCCCGCTGGCTCTGCTCCCGCTGGCTCTGCTCCCGCTGGATCTGCTCCCGCTGGCTCTGCACCCGAAGGATCTGCTCCCGCCGGCTCTGCCCCTGCTGGCTCTGCCCCTGCTGGCTCTGCACCCGGAGGATCTGCTCCCGCTGGTTCTGCTCCCGGAGAATCTGCTCCCGCTGGCTCTGCAGCTGCCGGTGTACCCGCTGGATCTGCTCCCGCTGGATCCGCTCCAGCAGGTTCTGTCCCAGCAGGGTCTGCTCCCGCCGGGTCTGCGCCTGCTGGGTCCGCTCCTGGTGGCACTGGCAGTGCTGCAGGTGCACCAATCAGCACACCGGGGGCACCAGGGTCGACGCCTGTCCCATACCGTGGTGCTGCAGGCAAGGCGTCTGTCAATGGTGGAAGCTTTACTGCCCTCCTCGTCGCTTGGGCTTTCCTCATTCTCTGAAGGGGGTGAGTCTATGCATACGGATGAAAATCTTCACCCAGCATTCCTCTGGTATAAAAAAACATTTGCATACATATGCGCGCTTTGATACGGATGAGAAAGTGGAGGGATTAATGTAATGTAATGGATCATGTAGAATGTAGCGTTGATGCAATGAATGGAGAGTTGAAATTATCCGCCGTTCCACCGAGCCGAGTCGATTGTTTTGTTTGTATATATGCAACTGCCCCTCGCAGCTTTAAGGCTGCCGAGGATGCAGGTAAGTGCAGGATTGATTACGAGTGGGTGGGCTCCGCTGACGATGATATCACAGGCCGAATCAAAAAGGACAGTGGGAATCGCGCAAGGTTCAGACTGGTCAGCTACTGAGCAAGAATTCGATTTGTCTGGTATCCGGTCGGATTTGCGAAGGAGTTCATTGCAGCCAAGAAAGCAAGAAGGGTGTACGATTCAAGGGTGATTGCCGAGAGTCTGGCATGTCCGACGGATGTGGCCCGGGCTCACCGTGTCCAAGGTGTCGGCGGTTGAATTAACACCGAAATTTAGCAGCACATCGGGCTCTGTCACCGACGTCGGCATCTCGAGCATCTTTGCCGAGTTCTGCGGGTGCGAAATGGAAAGGCTACATGTCGGTGTGGACGCAGTCGTCAACAAGTAGATGCTGCTCCTGATTGCGCTGCGCTGAAGCTCGCTCAGCCAAAGCAGACGAAGCACGTTTTGATCGATCGCTGTTGACTGGCGTTCCTCGCTTAGGCACCTAGATACTAGCAGCACTCGCGATCTCTTGCTTATCATACCCCACAAAAACCACCACCACTCTTCAATCTCCTCACCGTCGGCCCCGGATCTCGCGCCGCTTCCGGCGCCACTGCCACCCAACCCCATTTCCGAGCCGCCATCTTCACGCCCGAGTATGGCCAAGGCGGGCCATGGCTAGGACCGCCGGAGCCTGAATCAAAACGGCCACGCCCGGAGCACCACGACACATACACACGAACCCAATCCGCGCGCTATATAAACCGCCTCGCCCAAGATGCACCCACTCGAGCGCCTCGTTCAATCCCTCCCCTCCGCCTCTGCCGCCGCCGCAGAGCGCTTCGCCGACAACATTCCCGGCTTCGTGAGGACAGCCCAGCACTACCTTGCCGCCTTTGCCGCCTTCTCCAGCCTCTCGGCTGCCGCTCCGGCCGTCACGCTTCCCGGCTATGGCAGCTTCGTGGGCACCACGGTGGCGCAGACATTGACCAAGAAGCCCCTCCCGGCCACGGTCGATGCATGGCTCGGCATCGACTACGCATCCCAGCCCGTCGGCGAGGGCCGCTTCGCCCCGGTCGGCCCGCCCGCCGCCTTCCAGGGGTGGAAGAACGCTTCCGCATACGGCTACGTGTGCGTGCAAGACCCGGAAGAGGTGTCCTATGCCCAGGATGAGGCCTGCTTGAGCATGAACGTCTTCCGGCCCCAGGGCATTCCATTGGACCAGAAGTTGCCCGTGCTCATTTGGATCCATGGGGTGAGTTTGTACGATTGGTAGCTTTGGCGCAATGCTGATCTGATCAGGGTGGTTTCGTCGCGGGCTCGGCCAGAAATTTTGACGGTGCGTCGTTTGTCGCCAATTCCGAGGCGCCCGTCATGGCCGTGACTTTCAACTACAGAGTAAGATATCCTGCCCCGGCGAGGGCGCTGACGGCTGACCCGTTTCAGGTCAACTCGCTGGGATTCCTCCCGTCGCCCGTCTTCGACCGTCTGGGTCTGCTGAACCTGGGCCTGCTCGACCAGCAACGCCTGTTCGAGTTCGTCCAGCAGTACATCTCCCACTTCGGCGGCGACGCCTCCAAGGTCACCATCGGCGGACGCTCCGCCGGCGCCCATTCCGTCGGCATCCATCTCTTCCACAACTACAACAAGACCGAGGGCCCGTCGCCGCTGTTCGCCCAGGCCATCCTGCAGTCCGGCGGCGTCACGGCACGCGCCTTCCCCAACGCGTCGTACCCGCTCTACCAGGAGCAATTCGCCGCCTACCTCTCCCTCATCGGCTGCGGCGCCCTCGTCAACAGCACCTCCGACGCCGCCGTCCTCGGCTGCCTGCGCGCCGCCCCCATCTCCTCCATCGAGGTCGCCAGCACCCTCCTCTTCAACGCCTCCGCCTACGCCATCACCTGGCCCTTCCAGCCCACCCGCGGCGGGCCCCTCCTCGAGCAGGCCGGCTCCGCCTCCGGCGCCAACGGCCAATTCTACCGCATCCCCACCATCACCACCAACGTCCACGACGAGGCAAAGTACTACAGCCCCGGCGACCTCGAAACCGACGCCCAATTCCTCGCGTACCTCAAAAACCTCATCCCCGGCCTCACCCCCGCCGACCTCGCCGACCTGCAAGCCCTCTACCCCGACCCCGCCGGCGACGTCAACGGCACCTACAGCCCCTACGCGCACTCGCCCAACTCAACCCAGTACGACCGCATCAGCGCCGCCCTGACGGACCTGATGTACGTGTGCGCGGGGCAGGAAACCGCGGCGCGCATGTCATCCATCTCCTCATCCCCACCCGTCTTCAAGCTGCACTGGACCGTCAACAACACTTGGCCTTCCTGGCAGGGCATCCCGCACACGAGCGACACGAAGTACACGTGGGCCGAGCCCGCGGGCGTGCGCGAGACGGGCGGCGTGCAGTACCCGGCCGTCGGGAAGCTGCTGCACACGTATTTTGCGGACTTCGTCGCCCTCGGCGGCGACGTGAATGCGGGGAAGAGGCCGGGCGTGCCGTATTGGCCGAGGTATGGTGTCGATGGCGAGGCGGAGGGCAGGCCCGGACTGCAGATGAGGATGGAGCCGTTTGGGGAGAGCAGGGTCGAGGGCGATGCGATTAGGAGGGCGCAGTGTGAGTGGTGGAGGGATGGGGCGAGGGCGGCGAGGCTGGAGAAGTAGGTAGGGGGGAGCGAGCTTGTTGCGGTGTGTTGGGTTGGGTTGGTTGATGGGATGGATTTATTGACGCGTCTGTGGTAGTTGGGGTGTTGCGATTGGTGTAGTGTAGAGACGAAGTACTAATGAAGATGTCTTAGTGGCGTTGTGCCATAATGGGCCGCATTAAGTTACGTAGAGTGTCCGGACGTGCTGTACGGGATTGAAACTCACATCAACATTCATTCATGGTATCTTTGTGCTCGCCTCCTCCAGATCCAATTCTTCAAAGTACAACAATCTGCTCATTGCATCATCCAGGGACCAATCTTCCTCTTCCTTCCAGCTTGAAAAATAATCTACTCATTCGAAGCCGAATCTCCTCCCGATTTTCGGGAACCCCCCACTATCGGCAAATTTTCCATTGGCATGCTAAGCAACTCTTGTAGGCCTGCCGCTACCTCGTGAGGTAAAAGAGAAATAGTCCGGAGCCGTGAAACATCTTGGCAACCATGACGCCGAGCACGACAGTGTCGGACACTTTTCGGTAGTAGTTCAGTATGGGATGGTCATCGCAAACCATGGTGGCAGAAACGACGTCTCTGAATTTCGCTTCAATGACCTGTTGTTGAACCACAAAAGTCAATGACGCTATACGTTCTCCGTTTCTGAAGTGCAGAGAGAGAGAGAGAGAGAGAGCACACCGAGAAGCACTCACCTGCCCGTTTCCAAACTCCTCCATCCACTTCTTCCTACTCCAGACCTTTTCCGACACACCATTATTTTGATTTTTATTCTCCGTTGTGACGGCCACAACAATCGGCTCGACGTCGTCGACGCTCCAGAACCTGATGCCGACCCAGTTTATCGACTTTAGCCACGGATGCGCGGGGTGGCCCGTGTTGAAACTGCTGGCGGACCATTCGCCGATGAGCTCCGAGGGCGTGAGCGGACCGAGCGAGTCGTAGAGGGAGAGCAGGTGTGCGGCTGACACGGGTACTGAGTGGTTTTCAGAGGAGGCGGCGATGAGATCGAGGATTTGGGATTCTGCAGTCGGACACGGAGTGCTTGGTCGAAGGTGATTTTCTGGTCGTTCTGTTGGTACTGGTCTTTATTCATCGTATAAGAGACGGCTGATCCGAGTGGGGATGTAGGATGGATCAGGAGAGAGCACCTACGGAGCGTGGGAAGTTGACATGATCTGCACGGGCGGCATGGAGCTACTTCGATAAGAGAGAGATAGAGATAGAGAGAGCCACGATATGTGTGCGGAGGTTGACCGGTATGTGAATTACTCGATGAGCAGTGGAGTCATGGAATGTAAAGGACGGCCTGATTTTGTCACTACTAATATCCGTTGAGTTGGTCATGAGGGTGGAGCCGGGATACTGCTTACCCGGATTACTTAACAAGGCTTGCGCCACCAGGCTTGACTTTTTCACCGCCTACTACCTCTTCTGTATTAGCCTTCGGAGAGGAAAGATTGTCTCAGGGTTCTCAGTATGCACAAATACTAAAAGAGACGCTGAATCCACTCTGGAGAACAGAGTGCCCTGAGACACACCAACAAACGGTTTGTTGATCAACCGACGAAGAGACCACTCATCGTTAATGGCTTAGGGAACCTGAGTCAGACAATGCAGGACACGGGCCAGAAGAGCTTTGATGCAAACCATATTCAATGGATCTCATGCTAGCTTTCGTCATGCATGTGGAAGCACTGTGCTATATGTTGCTGGCATGCTCCGCTCTTTCGCTTTCAACTCAACCCCAGGCCTTTTGCACATCCCCTTCATCCTCGCTACCTCTTCGATGCAAGCGCGGACGATTCCGATCCAAGCCATCAATCAACGGAAACATCTTCTCATCCGTCGTCGGCACATACGTCGCCGCATCCCGCCAGCCGCCCGCACCCACCGCCTCATACGCCAACCTCTGCTGCTGAAACGCCCCAGCCATATTGCAGCCCAGGCCTCAAGGGAGGAGGGGCCACAGAGCGACTCACCAAATCAAGCAAGTCTTATCGTGCAGCGATGCCGGTTTGAGCATCCGCTGGCTTGGCCCATTCAAGTAGTGACACCAATCGGCTACTCAGTCACGGGTCACACTAGTGGGCCTTTGTCGTCTTGCCAAGAATTCATTGCGAGCACGAGGTGTATGTACATACATTGCATGGGGCCATGATCCTTCCGAAGTGGCGTGGCTCAAGCTGTCGAAAAGGGCCTCTTCTTCTTCTTCTTCCGGTTGGAACACCACTTGAGACTCCACCAGAGGCACACGACGACCAGGGTGATGGGGATGGAGATGACCCAGAATATCCAGAAGAGCGACGAGAGATGAACGCCAGTCTCGTTGTTGTCGTCGTCGGCCATGGTGAAGTCAAAGAAAGAGCTGCTGAAGACGGTTGCGATGAGGGTGCTCGGCAAGAAGACCAAGGTGATGAGGGCGATGGTGTGCATCGAGCGGCTGTCTTCTTGCGTGACGATGTTGAAGGCCTGTCGAATTAGAGAGTCAGCGCGTGTGGAGGGTCCAGGGGTTGCCGCGTCTTACCAAACTGGTGATGTTGGAGATTCGCTTCTCCAGACTGTTGAGCCGGAGGTGTGACGCTTTGAACATGCGCGCGCTGTGCAGCAGCTTCTGCTCTGTAAGCCGGGCGTCTTGTGGCGGGGTTGCGGCAAAGCGGTCGCGGTACGTCTGAAGAAGGTCGTTCGCAACAAGCTGGGCGGCTTCAAATGCCTCGGACATGTATATCTGATGCTTGGAGATGTTGTGCAGCTCCGAGAAGTTGACCAACTGCGACACGCTCTTGTCGCTCGCCGACCTTTCCAAAGTGCTCTTCTCCAGTCAGTCGGATCCACGCCGCTGCTTCGGGGAAGCGTTCTCACCTTTTCAATGTTGCGGAAGACATCGGCCAGAGTCCAGGAATCGTCATCCATGGTCTTCCAGACGGCCTTGAGAACGATGGCGAAGACAAAGTAGGCATCGTTCAGCTGCTCATCCGAGACGTCCAAGTCGTTGAGGTCCTTGTGCAGCTGGGTGGGTGCATCGAAGCAAAGCAGGGTGGCTTGCTTGTCGGTGCCATTGGTTTCCTCCAACAGAACAAAGGCGAAGGAGAACCAGGCTCGATCCCGCGACTCCGCGTTGGATACCACGGGCGTATCGATGGCGATTGGGTTCCCGTGCGGGTCCCGCTCGACGGATATGCCCTTGGCCACAAGCCGCATCCAGGTCGCTGTGTGGCGCAATCAGCCTTGGGCCTCGGGCATGATGATGAGAAGTAAACATTACCGTGTCTCTGACGACCGTAGTCGGCGATGGTGCCGAAGCCGTGGTTGACGGCCTGGTCCCTCTCAAGCAGAAACTCATCGGGCACATGGAGGCGCGAAAGGTAAGAGTTGAGAAGGGGCTGTATGTCTGGCGTCCCGGTGTCGCGCGGTATCGATCTGGCTGGGTCAGCTTGAGTGCGAGCTGGTCACTGGGCACCATGCACGAACAGAACACGAAGACGGCCGGTCCATGCGTCGGGCTGCTGGAGAAATTCGGACAATGTGGTTGCAGATCTGGTGGCGCTGGGTGTTCCTGTTTTCCAGGTCCACTTTGCTAAGGGCACATGGTTGTTCGCCATGATGGTCGGCCCGTGGTGTTGAAGCGAAGTGCGTGCAAGGCCCGAGGTCATGGCTGCCTCCCCGAGGCTAAGCATGGCGAAACATCTTAAATCAGTTCTTGTGTGACCGCCTAGCTGCCAAGCCCGGCGATAGGGCGGCGAGCCGCTGTGGCGTTGAGCTGAAGCGGCCCCCAACCACGCAATTGGAATGGCGCGTCCAGCTTAAGCCAAGGGCCTCAAAATAGGCCTTAAACGTCTGGCCCGGCTGTAGCCTAAAAGCCTAAAAGCACGGCTGCAGCCTGGGAATTGATTCAGGTGCCTGCGTCGCCCGGTTTACGAGGCTGGCTGGATCTCCCTTCCACTTCAGGCCTTCGCACGTGTCTTGCTCGCTTCGCGTGGTACCATCTCCGAACTCGACTGACACACTTGTCTCGATCTAGCGGAAATCCCCGCTGTCTTCATGCAGCGTCTTGTTCGCCATCTCCGCCTTATTGGCCACTCTCACGACCCATAAAGGCAAGGAGGGGAAGGCTGGAACTCTGGCCTCTGCCTCATGCAGCCACAACATTAAGTCTTGTGATACTCGGGCTCAATGAGGGATACCTCCAATGTTTGCCTTCAGCTGCCATGTCCGCAACGACCATGATTTGCTCCACCCCGTGGCCGACAGCCCAAGCGATCGCCTCCGCCCCCAAAGTGGAGCAACCCTTTGATTAAATCTCTGCAGTAGTGCAAAACAACACGCTTGATAGTTACCCCGAGAGCGTATTTATACTGGCCATGACTCCTCTCACCAATGCCTTCTACTTGTCGCTCGGCCATTCACTGTCCTTGCTTACCATCGAAGGCACCTCAAGCAATTGAAGCAACATGGTAGGACAGCTCCTGCTTCTACGCCAACAGCGCTAAGTCTTTAGTCTCAAAGCAGGCACGGAGGAGGATACGACCCCAACCAGGGACTGCCAATGGTAGAAACCAACACGGTACGCATCGCGCGCTTGGCCTCGAGAAGTGAAGCTGATGGCGTCTTCCAAGAACCACGCACGCCATGGAGGAGGCTATGTGCCCGGCAGCCCGTGGCAGCAGCCGGCATACCCGCCCCCGCCCCAGAACCTGCCGCCGCCGCCTCAACAGCAGCCCGGAATGGTATGGCTTTGCCTCATCCGTCATGGTGTGACTTGCTAACAAGTGCCAGCACTACGCTCCGCCCGGACAGTCGCCGACCGGACCGTCGCGATCGGGTGACAACATACTGGTAAAGCTCCTATGCAGCTGGTGCTGAAAGTCGGGAGTAACAAGCAGTGTAGAAGCACCCGGACACGGATGTTTCTGTGGTCGAGACGTCCCAGGCACAGGCAGCGCCGCTGGCACTTGTACGTAGACCTCGCTGCTGTTTTCAGTATCCATCCGTTGATCATCATCAAGACACGCCGGCCGCAAGGCATCGTGAATGCGCTCAACCCTCGCTCGCGCTTCCGCTGGAAGTCGCCACATTTCTACCAGGAGCCGGCATGGAAGTACGACCCCAACGCCGGCCACAGGCACCGGGATGCCATGGCACGGGTGTGGCAGGGGGCCGAAGACGACCGGTACCTCAGCCCGTACGACGGGCACATCGCGAAGCTGGTCGTGCAGTGCACCGACGACATCTACGAGAACCCGGGCAACTCGACGTACCGCCGCACCTACATCCGCAACGTGAGCACCAAGATGCTGCGGCTGGCCAACTGGCCCACGAGCCACTTCGACTTCGCCAAGGGCGAGTACACGGAGCACGGCACGGGCTGGATGGTTGCCAAATGGATCCCGGCCTGCCTGGCCCTGACAGTCTGGGTATATATGACTCCGGTGCCTGTGTGTGTGTCGAAGAATGCGACGCTCACGCTTTTCAGATTGTCTTCTACGACGACGGCGCCCAGGTGCGCAACGGCGGAAACTACGACGTCTTCCCGTACAGATACCACAGCTACGCAAAGGTGGCCCGCAACGCCCTCGAGTATCCCAGCCACAGCGTCCTGTAAGTGACCGAGCGCTTCGCCCGAACGCAGCATGCTGCTGACCCAATGCCAGACCACACGGGACCCCCAACACGGCCACCGAGGCTCGGAACCCCGTCATGGAGAGGCTGCTGAGCCCGCGCTACCTCTGCGTGCTGCGGGAGCCGTCGGACAAGAAGACCAACCAGGGGGTGAGCATCCAAAAGGTGGACGAGGACGGCAGCCACAACAGCACGGCGGGCAGCTACCTCTTCGTGGCGTACACGGCGGAGCAGTTCAGCCACGGGTCCGAGGAGGACATGCGGGCGCTGCACGCCATCGCCGAGACGGCGACGCGGGCGGCGGGGCTGGCGGCGTACTGGATCGGGTGCAGCTGCATGCCCGACGCCAGCGAGATGGAAGACGACGTGTTCCGCATCAGCGACGTGATCCGGGGCGCGGCGGGGCTCTGCGTCGCCGTGGGGCCGCGCTCCGGCTCCACGGCCATCCAGTGCGACGAGCAGGACACGTGGGACATGCTGCGGCAGTGGGGGGCGCGGCTGTGGACGTTCCCCGAGGTGCTGCTGAGCCGCGGCGGCGCGCCCATCGCCGTGTACCGGCGCGGCCAGCTCGACAGCCCGCTGGTGGTGGGCAAGCGGCAGTTCGCGCAGCACGTGTGGCACGACGCGCGCGTGGCGCGGCAGCTGGTCGACCACTACGAGGGCAGCCTGACGCTGAGCCGGCTGGAGCTGGCCATCGTGGCGCTGCGCTGCCTGCACAGCCGCACCACCGTCCAGTACCTGCCGGGCGACCACTCGTACGCGCTCATGGGCCTGCTGCGCGTGCGGCCCCGGGTCGACCACACCGACTCGGCCTTCCAGGCCTTCGCCCGCCTGTCCCTGGCCAACGACAGCGACATGCTGCTGGAGCGCCTGGTGTGCACCCTGCCCAAGCGGCCCGACCAGCACTGGTCGTGCATGGACGACGCCTGGGACGCCAGCCTGTGGGACATATACCCGCAGATCCAAATCGCCGGTGAGTATACAGTGACTTCAACCCACACAGAGCCAGACTGCTGACCCGCCCCCCCACCAGGCATCTGCTCCGACGACGCCGTCATCATCGACAACGCCCTCGGCGCCTCGATCCGGTGGAAGTCGTTCGCGCCGGTCAAGAACCTGCGGCGCACGTCGTGGAAGCGCCTCTTCGCCCAGCTGCTGCTGCACTCGTCGGGCATCCTGCTCCTCATGGCCATCGTGCTGCTCTCCACCCCCTACACCCGCGCCGCCGGCGTCGTCGTCTTCCTCATCTCCTTCCCCTGCGTCGCCGCCGCGCCGCGCCTGCTGCGCCTGCTGTACTCGGGCAAGTTCTGGTACTCGCAGCCGTGGTTCTTCGGCTTCGAGGGCTACATGGACGTCGCCACCATCGAGTCGCAGATCTGGGGCGCCCGCCTCGGCCGCCTCGAGTGGTCCGCCTTCGGGAGCCCCCTGGCCCGCCACCAGCGCAACGCCCACGGCGAGCGCGTCGGCGTCGATCCCACCACCGATCCCGCCGTGGCCGCCGTCGTCGAGGCCGCCAAGACGGCGAGTCCGAACGAGGAGCGTGTGAGTTTCTCTCTCTCTCTCTCTCTCTCTCTCTCTCTCTCTCTCTCTCTCTCTCTCTTTCTCCTTTCCATACCTCCAACCGCCCCGCCCCGCTCCTCCTCTTCTGTTCAAATATTTTTTCAATCTGCAGTTTTCCTCCTCTTTCCCCCGACTGACCCACTAACAAAACAAACCAAAAAAACAGATCTTCACCCTCATCGACACGCGCACCATGGAAGTCATCCTCTTCCAGGCCGTCCGCCCGCCCGTCGGCATCCTCGTCTGCGGCAGCGAGGGCGGCATGCAGCGCGCCGTCGGCGTCTCGTACGACTGGACCACCGCCACCTGCTACCGCGAGGCCGTCTTCCGGCTCGACTCGACCGTGCACGACAAGATGGACCGCGTGCCGCGCACAAAGGTGGGGCTGACGCGGCCGGCCACGCGCGCGAGGTTCGTCGGGGACGCGGCGGCCTGATCATATATATGCCGTCGTGGGCGTGCTTGGTTGGTTGGTTGCTTGCTTGCTTGCTTTCAAGTGGGTGTGAATGGTTTTTCTTTTTTTTTGGGGGGGTTGGTTGTCGATGTTGTTGTTGTTGTTGATGTTGCTGCTGTTGCTGCTCTTGAGGTCGCTTGACTTGCATATATCCCCCTTTTCTTTCTGGTGTTGCCTTCATGAACATCCATATACCTCTTCTGTACGTTTGTACCGTTACGTAGCCTGTTCTCACTGTAATCTCCTGTCTAGTCAACGAAATTTACAAGTCTCGAACCATCGTCGTGATTCCCCCGGAGCAACAAAAGCATACGTGCAGTGTTAAAATGCTTGGGCTACGGCCTCGCTCGTCTGAAACGAACGAGGAATACCATGATGCCATGACTGACAGACCAGGAGACCCAATGGTAAGCGGTTCGTGGTACAGGACTGTGTATGCAGTCGAAAACAGGAGGAATTAAGGATAATCGCAGCGACGCGGTCAGTCGCTGTGGTGGTGACGGAGCATACTCAGACAAGACGGACGAGGAGAAGCTGGAGCTTTGGCACAGACCTGAGCAGACACGTCGCACTCTCGTCTGCCTACACAGGCCCGTCAGCAGCGTTCTGGACAGGAATCGAACTTCGCAGCCGTCGCGTGGTTGCGACGCAAGGGTCCAGCGCACGGGCCACCACCACGTTCCCGTCCGGCCCTTCTCGCCCCACCCCGACGCGCACACCGTTATATTGGCTTTTCCCACATGTTTTTTTCATCAAACATCAAGCAAATCCACACGGTCTTGTGGTCTAGTGGCATGATTCTCGCTTAGGGCTCACCCTGGGTAACTTGCGAGAGGTCCCGCGTTCGGTATGTCAAAAATGGTGTTCGAATCGGGGGAGAGCAGAAATACTAACAGAGTTCCAGATCCGCGGCAAGACCCAGATGGCTTTCTTTTTTGCGTTTCTTTTGCTGCTAGCCTGGATCTTGGGCCGCCTGGGGCAAAAAGCATTGCTGTCGTACGCCCGTGTGTCGCGCTCTCGTGTGGGTCGCCGTTGGTGTTTGCATTCTTCCCCTGCCCGCAACTCACGTCGGGAAGTACAGATGGTGTGCAGAACTATTTTTTTGGTCGAATTGAAAATGTGTAAAGTGAACCTTGCTCGGCGCCCCGGTCAGATGAAGGAAAGATGTAGAGTCGAAGGGAAGGCAAAAAGGAAAGAAAAAAAACAAGTGCAAGGATATCTATCAATCTGGAGCCTACAGTCCCTTACAGGAACCCCCAGCGTTTCAAGTCTCAACATCCACACGGAAAAGAAAAAGCGGCATAGAAGAAGAGTACGAAATAAGAGAAAAGACAACGAAGGCGACCCAATAGAGGATCCGGCAGAAGCCAATGAAACGCGTCCCCTCACCGTTTGTACTGCACGTTGAATGGCGGCGGCTCCACTTTGACTTCGGGCGGCCAGTACTGCGCAACCAGCCTGGACACATCGCACGCGAACCCGGCGCGGTCCAGCGCCTGCTGCACCGCCCAGCCGTCGCGGTCGCTGCACAACAGGCCCAGCTTCCACCTCCTCCCGTCCTCGTCCGCTCCGATCTCCCTCTCCGCCCCATGCCCCGACGCCTGGACCAGCTCGCCGCCGCCGCTTCGGCCTCCGACGCTGCTGCTGCCTTCGTCGCCGCCGCCGCTGCCGCCGCCGCCGCCGCCGCCGGCACAAGCCAGACGAACGTCCCGCAACGGGCTGAGGAACAGGGCCATTTGATCGGGCGCGGCGACCAGGCCGGTGCGCAGGCAGATGCGCAGGTCGCGCAGCCCGCGCATCTGGGACATGGCCGCGCACGCGTCGCGCCAGTGCTCCCACTCCCAGTGCGCCCGGTCGATCTCCATGCTGGGCATCGACTCCAGCAGCGGGTGCTGCCAGTACAGCATCGAGTCGAGCGTGGGGTCGTACGGTGGCTGCTGTTGCTGCTGCGTCTGGTGAGACCGTGCCTGCGTCGCGTCTCCTCCTTCTTCTTCTACGACGACTTCGTCGTCGTCGTCGTCGTCAAAGTCGACACCCTCGGCGAGGATGGACGCGTTGCGTTCGTCGTCGAAGTCGTAGTACGGAGTGGCTGCCGTCTCCTCAGGCAGGACGGGTTCGCTGGTCGAACTGCTGGCAGAGCGGAGCTGCCGGATAAGGGCGTCGTAGTGAGCGAAGAGCGGGGCGCGGAAACTCCAGTGGAGGTGAAGGGTGCGAATGGCGTTCCAGCGGGGGGTGCGGAGGTAATCGTGCAGACCAGTGAGGGTGCGAGGGGAAGTGAACTGGAAGGTATTGTTTTTGTAGAGAAATTCGACGGCCTCGTTGTATCTGCACTCGATCTCGTATTAACTGCCGTATGCCTACCTGTATCGTTTTTGCAATGACGGTCGTCTCCACGTGTGGTCGTCTGCTGCTGCGAGAACATGCCGGAGCACGCAAAAGGCGTCGACACCCGCCCTTTTCTTCCCCCACGGTGCAGATGTGAAAGAGAGGGAACAAGAGACATTCAAGAGTCGCGACTCACACAAGTTTGCAGACCAGCAACACCGCGGCCACGCCCCTTACGTCCGCGTTCGCCCTGCGCCTGGCCGCTAGTTTTACATCAAAGTCGGTGAACTCAGTCGCAGCCAACAGCGTGCAGTGGAAGCACGAAGGCTTGCATTCCAGGCAGCGCTGGCCGAAATACCCGCGATAGCCCTGCCCATGTTGCTGTTGCGCCGCAAGAGCGGTCGCCGAGGATGAGGCGTGCTCGCTGTACGATTGCGCAAGGTGCAGATACCGCTTGCCGACGGCCTCCTCCCAGATGAGCAGGCGGATGTCGTGGGGCAGGCGCAGCAAGGCTGAGCGCTGCTGTTGGTCTGCGGGCTGATCCGTCTGCAGGGAGCCGGTCGCAGTGGTGCGTTTCGGCAGCGAGAGGACAGCGGGCGCGGGATCGGCTCTGGATGCGGCCGTTCGACGGGCAGAGTCCAGGTGGAGTTCGGCGAGCTGGCGATCCAGAGGTGTCGTGCCGCCATGGTCCGACATCGTTTCCGTCTAGCTTCGGCGGGCTGTGGGTGCTCGAGGTGTCAGCTTCACGCGGGATCGCGGACAGCGGTTTCTCCCGAAGCGGTGCGCGACAGACTGGAGGCCCCTCGCGCAGCACACATTTGCAGGTCGGACGTCATCAGGCCGGCTTGGGCGCGTGAGAGCAAGAGAGCGCGCGTGAAGTCGAGCGCTCGATCCCTGTCGAGTTACACAGATCCACCCGCTATCTGCATCCGGCTTAGCGCGGCCAAGAGCATCGCCTCTTTGGGACATCTAAATGAACTTCCATCTTCCGGTGAAGCCGTTTTCATTTCACGTTTTTCTTCCTACATAGCCACAAAAGCACTGCTGTCCGCTTCTCCCGCTCTCGAGCCTGGCGAGAGCCCTTCTCTCCCAATCTCCATGCGTGCGAGCCGCTCCCCGTCCCTCGTGGCCCCGGCGCCGCCGAGGAGAAATGCCTCAAATCAACATCTCTCGACCGTGTTCACAGTGCCCGAACCCTGGTTTTTGACCTCGAAACAGTAAGATATAACAAAGGAAATCGCTGGAAGCCACTCGTGATGCTCTGCCCCGGAAAGGAAGAATCAACACCGACGTGTCGAAAAAAAAAGGGAGCAAGCAAGCTAACAAAAACGTCGAGAATCGAAGCAAACTGGGAGAACGCCCGAACAATGTCTGCCGTCGCACGTAACGAGAAACGAAATGAAGACGGGGTTGTTGAAGGTCCGAAATCCCACCGACGCAAGAAAGGTAATAAAAGACCTGACTAAGTAGCCGTAGGCTGGAAGCTGTCCAAAGTAAAAAGGAAATATGGCGGAAATGACTCTGGTCGAGGCCCCAGTATAAGGGAGAGGGAAAAGAAAAGACTCCGAGCTTCTGCCGCTCCAGCCCCATCCCAACGCACCAAGAAAACAAACGAGACTTTTGGTTACCCCAACCACCCATATACTCCGCTACGACAAGAAGCTCACAGTACACCTCCAGGAACCAGCGTCTGCCCGCTCTGGCCGGGATAAGTGCCTCCGCCACCTGGGTTGATCGTGCTGCTGTGTCCTTCTACCGGCGCAGCGTGTTTTCTCAGCATGAACATCGGCTTCCGGCCCTCCCGGTCCAACTGTTTAAATAATATGAGCGGTCGCTCGTTCAGTCCCAAACAACGCTCCTGATCGCCATGTACAATGTACAACGCATACTGCCGCCAATCTGCCGTGATGTTGTATTTCTTGAGCGCAACGGGAAGCACCTTGTGACACGGGTCGTCGATGCTGACGCGGAAGGACTTGAATATTTCGACTTGCGGATTCGATGACTCGCCTCCTCTTGTGGTGCCTGTTGTCGAGGGAGCGATCGATGCGGTTTCGGCATTGCGGCCGGCGGACAACGGAGGATCCCGATCACGGTCCCTGTCGCGGTCACCACGATGCGAAGGCGCAGGTGTGGCGCCGCGGGCGCTTTCGCGGTCGTAATAAGCCGAGCTGCGTTCGTCGTTGGTGTGAGAGCGAGACCGTGATGAGATTTGATGTGTGCTGTATGCGGGAGACGTAGGCGAAGGCTGGGGATGCTGATGAGGCGATGATGCAGATTGAGGGCCGCCGCTTATAGTAGCTGTTAGATGGTTCGATGCGGCCATTGCCGCAGCCGAGGGATCGAGGTTCGAGGTGTCGGTCAAGGTGCGACCTTCGTGGATCGTTGGAGACGGGTTTTTGGGCGCCGACCCCAAAAATAACTTCTTCGTCGAGAACTTGCGCGAGAGACTGCTGCCTGCGCGTTCTTGCGTCGGTGGAGAGGTGATATGGTTATGCTCTTGGCCGTCCGGTGTTGGTAGTGGTTGTGATCGGTTCTTAGCTTCGCGCACCACTGGAAGTACATCCTCGCGCAGCTTCCTATTCTCCTCCGCCATGCGGCTAAGATCCTCCTTCAATGCCCGCAGCTCGGCTTCGGCCGTGTGCATCCTCTCATCACGGTCTCTAATAATTTGTATAATGCGCGCGAAGTCGTCCTGTGTAGGTGCTGTCTCCTGGGCGGTGGTCTCGGCAGCTGTGGTAAGCGGTTAGAGTGTTAATGGCTTCTCCGCACGACTGGGAAACCTACAGAGAGGAATGTAGTCGTCAGGTTCTATGGGCACGTTTTGTTTGACCTTCACATCGTAAACGCTTTTCAAAACGGTGAGACGGTGGCCGACGCTGTTAATGCCCATCTCCTTCAATTCCGCATGGTGCAACATAACAAGCGCTTCGCCATCCACATTCTCCTCTGCGACTAATTAGCTTTCCTACCACCTATTTTAATCGTCAAATGTTTACGCACCCAAGAATGTCATGGCGTACTGGCTCAGCCCCAGGTTCGATATCCAATCGGCAACCTGCTCCGGGGTCCAGGTGTTTATGATACCCTTGGGGCTCGCATAGCTGTCCGCCGAGTGAGTGAAAGTGGTGGGGGTGTGCTCTGCAGACGGCGGCCCGGAGTCGGTTGGGCTAAGCTCGTGGTCGGGTGGCAGGGTGGGCGAGGTTATGACGCTGCGCTCGTACTCATCGTCGGCGTCAGAGTCCTCCTGGTATGCAGATCTGTATGCGGTGGCCATGGCTGCTCAGACGGGAGGGGCATCGATTGCGGGAGCTCAGGCGGCGTGTGTGCGGCAGCTCGGGCAGTGATGGGAGGCGGTCGTCCTGGGAGACGTATGAGTCGTCTTTCCGGGGCGCGGCCCTGTTATCGCAGGGCAGTGCCACAGCGATAGAGCCGGAGCCGTGAGCTTGGCCTTGTTCGGTGGCTGCTGTGGTGGAGCTGCCAGTGCCCACGCTGAGTTAGCAGGCGCAGCCAACCCTGCTGAGACGGAAGCGAGATTGAGCTGGCACCCTGCTGAGTGAAGTCCAGGCCTCTGTGAGAGTGTGTCAGGTAGAGCGGCGGCGCGATCGCCCAGGGCAGCCGCGTGCACGTGGGGTAGGGCGGAGCGGTGCGAGACAGGGCGTGCTGGAGGGCAGGCTGGTGGGTTGAGCGCGCGGCGAGCGGAGGAGCGCTTGCGGGAGTCGGCAGACGAAGGCGGCGGCGGCGTGGGCAGGCTGGCGACCACGGCGTCAGGGGAGCGGCGGGCTGCGGGCGCCGCGCGAGGAGCGTGACGTAGGCTACGGACGAGGCGTGCACTGAGAGAGGGTCGGGAGGCAGGCTGGCGGACAGGGCTGCGAGTATCGCGTTGGAGGGCAGTGGTGGTGCAGGCGCGAGGGCGGCGCAGGCCAGAGCGTACCAGCGTTGCCAAATGCGGAGCGCCAGTCAAGGACGCGCATCAAGCACCAACTATAGAACATCGGCCTCTAGTATAGCCGCCAGTGCGACGCCCGCGAATTCCCTGCGGAGCTGCTGCTGTCTGAGATGCAGGCCGGCCACGAGGGACTCCCGGTCGCGAGCAATGCAATGCAAGGCGCTGTGCGGCGCTGAGCTTTTTCCTGCCCTTCCATCCACCCATTGTCCATGGCCTGGCCCCAAACCAGCATCTCGTCCGCGCCATTGTTCCCAACCGGCTGCCCAACGCCAGCCAACGCCTGCGCGCTTCTCGCACCCCAGGCGCGCCGTCCAATCCGCCGCTGCCGCACGCTGCCGCACCCGTCATCGTGAGCTCGAGCGAGCCAGTCGTTCACGGCACGGCCCATCGATCCCGACCAGCCCTGCCTGTCTCCCGAGCGTTCAGCCGCAGCTGGCCCACTCGTCCTCGACCAGGCCCCTCGAATGCCACCGCCCAGACGTCATCCCAAGTCCCGAAACACGCGCAATCCCATCCGCCGCCTTCTAGACCAAAGCTTGTCCTCTTCCACCGTAGCTGCCGACAGGCACATATTACGTACGCCCACCACCCGCACCCTTCACTTTCCCCCGGCACAAGCCGCGGTACGGCGGGAAGACCCTTCTTTTCCATACCGCACCACTCTAGCTCCAATCCTACGACTGCAGCCCGCTGCCCTCATTGACCGTATTCTCCCCCACAATTGCAGTCTCTCTGACACGCCCCATCGACGACCGCACGAAGCCACCCAACACCCTTCAACATCCTCACAATCCATCGCGCCTTCTCACGCGTCCAACGTCCAGCCCCCAAAGCCCGCCAGGAGCAACTCATCCGCCGATACCCCATACACGACAAGAACCCTCTCTTCGCCGAAAGCCCGCCGAACAAACCCGCAATCTCGATACCCAAAACTAACACACGCCCCGCCGAGGCCCGAAACCACCACCTGATCAACAGAAAAAAAAATAAAAAAACCGATAATCATGCCTTCCGCCGATAGCAACCCGGACGCCGCCGTCTCCTTCGCACACACGACCTCGGCGCTGACGTCGTCGCAGACGGCCCAGCTGACCGCCGCCCTCTTCTCCGCCAACTCGATCCCGCGCATCCAAGCCGCGCTGCAGCACTCGCTGCAAGAGACGGGCTGGACGCACGCCCTGCGCGCCCACGTGCTCAACTTGCTGCGCAGCGGCGAGTGCGGCTCCTATGACGAGCTGATGGCCCGCGTGCTGGACGACACGCGGCAGGCCGGCGACGACGACAACAACAAGGACGACGGTGGCGAGAAGAAGGAAACCAACGGCCACGCCGCCGCCAACGGCGATAACAAGAACAAGAAGAACGGAACGGGCGGCGCCAACAATGGCGGCGGTGCGGAGACGGGCGCCGCGCGGACCGCTGCGAGCATCAGGATTCCGGATGAGGCCGTTCGTCAGGGCGTCAAGGCGGTGCGGAAAGAGGTCGAGACCGTGTGCGAGATCACTTTTGACTGAGCGTGAGAGGGGATGGGAGAAGATGCAGCTACTACCTACTCCGCCTCTTCGGATCCAGATAATTCCGCGTCGGCCGGCTTCCATTGAAGCACTACCTACCCACCAAGCTTCATTGATTCGGGAATCTACGCTGAAGAACAGTTGCTCTTATTCCTTCGCGGCTTCTCACTTCCTGCTTTTTAAGCTTTCAGCCGGAGTAGCGGAGGAGCAAGGGCGATGAACGATTCCCATGGTTTGACGGACCCCGTTTTCTGAGTACCGCCCTCTCCGTCGCCGCACCGCAGCCGAACACCACGAGGATTCGGTAAAGGAGAACAGAGGTGACGCGTACCCACCAAATGCTGCCCCCCGCAATACGAAGCATCGATTATGACGACCATTCAAACACAAAACCACTACGACGCAATATACCTAAGTGGGGGGGATGACCCCTGTGCGATGCTATGATATTCATGTGGAGAGGAAGCGAGTAGTGTAAAACGTGTGGGCAAGTGTGGTGACACGCCATGTTAAAAAAGGGGGGGATGGAGAATTGGCGAAGAGTCTCCTTCTCGAGTTGAGGAAGGGGTGTGAACCGATGAATCCTGCACCAACACACAACTTAACCGGCGGCACTTTTTGAATAAATGGGACGGCCCGATTGGTGAGTTTAATGAAAAGGGCATTGAAAGGGGAGGCGTATCAAAGGAGATCTGATATTTCGATTTTCGTGTTTGAACGATGTGTTTCCACTGGTTTCAGCATAAAGATTAACGGGCCGCACCAGCACAAGTGGGGAAAACGGCTTAAGTCGCGATGCATGATCAGACCTTACGTTTCTCAATAAAAAAAAACAACTCGTGATAGAACTACTCCACATAAGACAGTCGCAATCGCTGCTTCAGACTCTCGAAACCTTCATAACTTTGTCGTGCTAGTTATTGCCTAAGCTACCATATTTCCATAATAGTTAGGTTTTTGCCATGCACTCCCTTCGCCCTTTCCAATTGCCGAAGCATCTTTCCATGCAAAAGGACTACTCCAGCAATTACCGCTTCTTCTCTTCTCGCATATGATGGCTGCTCGTGAACTACTAAAAAGCACTTTCTGTATAACAGTGGAAAGGGAATCGTCTATGGACTTTACCCCAGCACCAGCGACCACCGTGAAGACACCTAAGAAAATCCGATCATGCAAATCCTATTATCTAACCGCCTCTCGAACGTTGAGTCGTTTAGTCATAAAGACCCTCGTCGTCACCACCAGCACCGAAGTTGTTGTTGCCGGCGTTGCCCTCGGCACCAGCCTCGGGGAAGCGGAAGAAACTGCTGCCACCCGAGTTCTTCATTTGTTGAGCGAAGGCCTCGTAGCGGCGGATCTCGACATCGGTAACCGAGCGACGAGCAGAGGCCATGGCCTCCTCGAAGTGGCGCTTGGTCAGCTCAGGCACGGGATCATCGCCCTCTGCATCGTCCTCCATGGTGGTGTCCTCGCCAGCCGCCTCACGAGCCTTGGTGCGCTCGATGTCAGCTCCAATAGCCTCCTTGATGGCAAGCTTGACGGCACGCTGGGTGATGAAGCCGAGATCGGCACCAGAGAAGCCGTGGGTGTTTTGGGCGATGAAGTCGAGGTCGACATCGGGGGCGACCGGGGTCTTGCGAAGCTGAGCCTTGAGGATACCGGCACGAGAAGCCTGGTCGGGCAGGGGAACATAGACCAGGGTGTCAAGACGGCCAGGACGGCACAGAGCATTGTCGAGCTGCTCGGGACGGTTAGTAGCGCCAATGACGAAGACGTTCTTCTTAGAAGTCATGCCGTCCATTTCTATCGCACAGTCAGCGGTTGCTCATTCAATCAAAAGGTCATGCAAACTTACCAGTCAAGAGCTGGTTAACGACACGGTCAGAAGCGCCGCCAGCGTCGCCAACGGAGCCTCCACGAGCCTTGGCAATGGAGTCAAGTTCGTCGAGGAAGACAACGCAGGGTGCCGCAGCACGAGCCTTGTCAAAGATGTCACGGATGTTGCTCTCGGACTCACCGAACCACATGGAGAGCAGTTCAGGTCCCTTGACGGAGATGAAGTTGGCCGCACACTCGTTGGCGACAGCCTTGGCAAGCAAAGTCTTACCGGTACCAGGGGGACCGTAGAACAGGACACCACGAGAAGGCGAAAGGCCAAACTTGAGGAACTTTTCGGGGTGGTCGACAGGGTACTGGACGCTCTCGATGAGCTCGCGCTTGACATCCTCGAGACCACCAATGTCCTCCCACCGAACGTTGGGAACCTCGACGACTGCGACCTCGCGGAGCGCGGAGGGGTTGGAGACGCCAAGGGCGAAGCGGAAGTTCTCCATGGTGACACCGAGCGAGTCGAGAACTTCGGCGTCGATGGTATCCTCGTCCAGATCGATCAGATCCATCTTCTCACGAATCTGCTGCATGGCGGCCTCAGAGCACAGCGAAGCCAAATCGGAACCAACGTAACCGTGGGTCTCGGCAGCAATCGTCTGGAGATCCACATCGTCTCCCAACTTCATGTTCTTGGTGTGGATGGAGAGAATCTCGAGGCGACCGGTCGGGTCGGGAATGCCAATGTCAACCTCGCGGTCAAAACGGCCGAAACGACGGAGGGCGGGGTCGATCGAGTTCGGACGGTTGGTTGCCGCCATGACAACGATGTTCGAACGAGCCTTCATACCGTCCATGAGGGTAAGAAGCTGGGACACGACACGCCTCTCAACCTCGCCGTTGGTCTTCTCACGCTTGGGCGCGATTGAATCGATCTCATCAATGAAGATGATGGCGGGAGAGTTCTTCTCGGCCTCCTCGAATGCCTTGCGAAGGTTGGACTCCGACTCACCGGCCATCTTCGACATGATTTCGGGACCGTTGATCAAGAAGAAGAAAGCACCCGTTTCGTTGGCGACAGCGCGAGCCATGAGCGTCTTACCGGTACCAGGAGGACCGTACATGAGGATACCACGCGGCGGCTTGATACCAATCGACTTGAAAAGCTGAGGATGCCTGAGAGGCAGCTCAACCAGCTCACGGATCTGAGCCATCTGCTTCCTGCAGCCACCAATGTCATCGTAGCCGACCTCGTTGAGGTTGCCCTCCTCGTCCTCACGCTGGATGGGCTCACCCTCGCAGTGGATGACAGTGTCCTGCGCAACGATACCAAACTCCGGGGGGTCGACTTCTACGACCTTGAACTCTACTTGTCTCATGCCACCGCGAGCTGTGAAGAGGTCGCCCTGGCGCACGGGCCGGTAGGCTTCGCGGAAGTAGGGTGCAAGGAAGACATCGAAGAGCGAGCCGGTCAAACCCTCGATGGTGTCGGCGATGGGGAGAACAGCAATGCGTTTCGCCTATTCGTTGGTCAGAGGGTGTGAGACTTGCAAAGTTTGCGCTCTACTTACGTATTTGATGTCGGGGCACGGGTGGACGGTGATGACATCGCCGTGCTTCACACGGAGGTTGTGGCGAACAACGCGGTTGATGCGGGCGCTGCCATCGTCGAGATCATCGTCGGCCAGGACGATGAGCACGGTGTCCTTCCTCTTCTTACCCTTCACCAAGACAGTGTCGCCGCGGAAGAGCTGCAGCGTCTCCATGGTGTTGTTCGAGAGGGCGATAATCGAGTTGTCATCGTTAGTGGCATCGGTGACGCTGTGGCATCCATTAGCCAAGTCCAACCGCGGCGTTCGCTCTGCGGCGTGGCGGCAGAGCTATGGGACTACTCACATCAACGAGTTGGGCTTCTTCTTCTTCTTGAGGATGGCCGTGGCGATCTCATCCTAAATACTGTTAGCTAGGCTGCGTGGCCGTTTGCAGGCGGGTGACGTACTTCGCCGCGCTTCTCTGCGCCAGAGGGGTCGCTTTGGGGACGTTAGCAGTAGGCTCGAGATGGGCGGGTCGGACCGGGCGACATACTGCTCCAGCTTGACCTTCGGCTTGTTCTGTGAGTGATCTGGCTCCGCCGACATGATTGCGGTCGCAGCGGATGTTCCGCGAGTGAGTGGTCGGAAAAGAGAGGCGGGATGGGTTGTTGAAGCTGCAGGGCGAGCGGAGGAGCGGGCTCGGGGGTTGCAGGGGGGGTTTGATGAAGTGTTGTGGATGGGGCTGGGAGTCGGAGCTTATGTAGAGGCAGACGCTGGCGATGATGTTAGCCGGTGGTTCTGACGCCCCAGCACCGAGCTTGGGCGCAGTGGCGCTATGCCGCATACGGAACCCAGTTCGCCGCCCCGAACGCGAGCAAGGGCAGAAGCCCGTCGAAGCAGCTGGACCTCCTCTGCCTGCCGCTGATTTGAAACCCATCCGCCCGCCCGCCGCCGTCTGCCAGGCCGTGCCAGCTGGCCTTTTCGACGTGGCGCTGCGCCTGCACCAGAACCCGTGCCTGCGTCCGCGCGGGGGCCAGCGAGTCGAAGCCGCTCAGGGTCCTAAGTGCGTAATGCTGTTCTGCCTGCCGAGATAAGCTCCTCAACACCATGCGGTCCGTCGGAACCATGGTTATTTTGCCGCACACAAGCAGCGCGAATTTTCGCATGGCGTTCCAAATGGACATCCCCGCCACACTCACAATTAAGGACACGTTTGCACATTGCAGGCTCAAACTTCCTGCACCTCGAATTTACGATATATCCAGCTTTTGCTTTGCTTCGCGAGATTGTTGGGACTCATGGATTCATTTTCACGTGCAGGAAGCCATTGACCTCGAGTTATTGGCACAAAACTCAACTTCATAATAACAGCGGTCCTTGTTCTTTGCTAAGTTCATGAATCGCTAGCTGAGCCTACGGTCTTCTATCGCTATTTATAGTGTCGGGTGGTCAGAAACGCTTCCGAGAACTCCACATCCTTTGGCTAATATGTTGCGTCTACTTTGGCCACAAGAAGCCACAGAGCAAGAACACTACGGCCTCATCTTCTCTTTTCTCTACTTAGTCTGCTTCCTTATAAGAAGGATTGCTCGTCCCTTGTTCTGATTTCTCTATGAACATATGTTTTCTTAGTATCCTCCTTTCACAGAAAAAAAAAAAAACTGGACGCTTCGTCACGCTCTCCTAGTTACAACTCTATTCCAGCATTCGCATCTCTTTGCTAGTCTATGCTATAACAGTCTGAGAAAAGAGCAAAGAAGCATTTTTCGTTACGTTTCGTTATATTGTTCCGATAAACGTACGGAAAATGTAACTTTTTGCGCTCAGGCATAGTTCATCGTCTCCTCCAGCTCCGCTACCTCTAGAGATTTGCATCGATGATTAATTTTGACCTACGGTCCAGAAACAGGAAAAACATGTCCTCATACTCTGAGCAATCATGAAGAGATTCAAATCCAAGTAGGCTCTCAAGGCAAAGTCACCAGCATTTTCTTAATCCTGTCACCCACTAAGAGCGGGACGAGTGACGGAACCTGTTTACCCTCTTGAATCACATGGCAGCACCGTAAAGTGATAGCCACTTTTCCCTGCTTCTACCACCTCATCCTCATAACCCGCACTACACTTATCAAACCCTACTCTGCACCTCACCACCTAACCCACGTCCTCGCCCTCAACCTCAGCGCAAACAACAACAAACCCTCCATCCACCACAATGCCAGGCTCCTCACCGCTCTCCTCCAACCCACCGAGCCTCACCTCAGGCCCAACCATACCCACCTCCCCCACCGCAGAGCAGCCGCCCACACCGACAGACCTCACACCAAAGCCACAACCCCTCCACCAGCACCCCACCACCCGCAGCAACAGCTCCACCCCCCTCACCTTCGACCCCGCCTCACCCGCCGACCGCGAGCTCGCGCGCGCCGCCGGCATGCGCATCGACACGCCGACGCCCTACCCGCGCCTCCTCCTCGAACCGCACCTCACCATCGAGCTGGACCACCGGCGCTTCGCGCACAACCCCGCGCTGCTCGACCGCGCCGCCGCCGCGCTGCTCGCCCGCCACGGCGGCAGCAAGCTCCTCATCCGCACGACGAACGGGCCCGACGACGCCGACACCAACGACCCGGACGCGCAGCGCTGGGCCACGCGCCGCCGCCAAGCCCGCACACACCGCGCCGCCCACCCCATCAGCGTCGCCAGCACGCGCGGCGCCTTCGCCGCCTCCATCGGGCAGCTGCCGCGGCAGCGGCAGCAGCAGCAGCAGCAGCAGCAGCGGGCGGTCTCGCTCCCGGCCGGGTACCTCGCGACGGAAGACCGCGCGCTGTCCGCGACGGAAGCCGCGGCCTTGCAGCAGCTGGACGAGGGGCAGATCGTCCGCGCGGGCGACCGAGGACGACGACTGTGCCTCCCGCTCTTCGTGTATGGTCACTGGATGTTTCCTACGCAGATGGCGGGCGCTGTGCTTGCTGGTGGCGGCGCCGGGCGTGGTGAGCAGCCTGCCCCCGAGGTCATCGAGCAGTGGACGCAGCGCATGCTGCCGGCGTCGCTGCTGAACGATGACGACGACGGCGGCGGCGGTGGTGGTGGTGGTGGGTGGCACCGCTACTGCATGCGCGGCGCGTCTCCGACGGCGGCGCTGCTGGAGCGGAACGACGTGCGGCTGCGGTACTACCTGCGCGACGTCGGAGATCATCCGCCGCCCGTGGTGGAGGGGCGGCTGGTGCTGGGGATGTCCGCGGAAGAGTGGGAGTGCTTGGATAGATTCCTACAAGTGGCGCAGGACGGCGACGGCGAGGGGGAGGGCGGGCAGCAGCCGTCCAGGATGTGGGGGAAGAGGGAGGTGCAGGTCAGCGTGAGGGTGGCGCAGGAGGGCCAGGGTCTGGCAGGGACGACGACGACGACGACGACGACGACGACGACGCGGTTGAGGGCCGTGGCGTACGTGTGGGAGGGCAACCCGATGGAGTTGCATATCTTCAAGATGGATAAGGTGTGGACGCCTGAACTGTACGTCGAGTGGCATGGCAGGATGCGGAAGGAGATGGCGGCGGCGGCGGTCAGTGCTGAGGGTGACAGCGTGGTGTGAGGAGGATGGTGTCCAGTGGTGCGTGTGGTAGCTAGAATGGTGGACACTTGGTTGACATTAGGGATCTTGCATAGGGATTGAAGCTTGCGTTTGGATGCGGAAGTCTAAATGATTGGCTTAGGAGTATCTTTATCTTCGGTATTCTAGCACATACCGTTGATTGCCCACTTCCAAACTTAGATACAGACGGCGGACACGGAGCTGTCATGAATCCATTGTCTATATCAAGGACAGAGATGCACTAAAGATTAAAAAGATTGCTGAAACACCCAAAGCAGCATCTACGCTTCAAGCACACACTCAACATCTTCGCTCGAGAACCTAGTGCGTCTGCGCCCATTTGCGGTAGAAGTCCAGACACTCAGCGTTCGCGACAGACGCCGACGTCTTAACATTCAAGCCGCAGAGAATCTGCTTGACAGCGCCTTCAACCCTATTCAAAATGCAGTCAGCACCCGTCCGCAACAACCCATCGATCAAAAGGGAGGGACATCGCAAACTCACTTCTTCCCGTTCGTCGTGACCGGAATCTCCGGGCACTCATCCACCACACCGGGCACATGACGCGCGCTCAGCTCCTTCCTCACCACCTTCTTGATGCCTTCCACCAGCTCCGGTCCAAACGTCTTCCCCTCTGCCATCTTCACGAACAGCACGACCGTCTCGTCCGCGTCCTCCTCCCTCCTGCGACCAATGCACAACGCGTCGGCGACCTCGTCCGGGAAATGCGCCAGCAAGACATTGTAAATCTCCGCACTGCCAAACCGCACGCCAGCAGGCTTGAGGATGCCGTCGCTACGCCCCAGCATCACGAGGCCGCCCGTCTGCGGATTGAACCGGACAAAATCGCCATGATGCCATATGGATCCACCACCATCCTTCGCCGGCATCTCAAACTTCTCAAAATACGACCCGCGATACTTCCTCTCGCCGACCTCGCCCCTAGGCCAAAACATGACCGGCTGACACGGGAACGGCCGCACGCAAACCAGGTCCCCGGGCTCGCCCGCGGCCGTGACGTCGGCGCCCAGGTAGTCCCAGGCGCGGACGGCCATGCCCAAGCCGGCGGCCTGGATCTCGCCGGCGTGCACGGGGGCGAGCGGGCAGGGGGCGCCGAAGAGGGAGATGATGTCGGTGCCGCCGGTGATGCTGCCGAGGTTGAGGGCGGGCGGGAACGCGGCGTAGACGTAGGCGAAGGTGCTGGGGGGCAGCGGGGAGCCGGTGCTGTAGACGGCCTCGAGCGTGGCGAGCGACAGCGCCGCGCGCAGCGGGCGCGCGTCCCTCTGCTCGAGCACTGAGAGGTACTTGGCCGACGTGCCGAAGTGCGTGATGCGCAGCTCGTCGATGAGGCGCGGCATGGCGAGGTCGTCGGGGACGGACGACGACGACGCGTCGGCTGAGCTGGACGAGGCGTAGCGGAAGGGTGAGCCGTCATACAGGATGATCGTGGCGCCGCTGGCGAGCCCGGAGACGAGCCAGTGCCACATCATCCATGTGCAGGTGGTGAAGTAGAACAGCCGTGACCCGGGCTTGATGGAGCAGTGGAGTATGTGCTCCTTCTTGTGCTGGATGAGGGTGCCGATTGCGCCGTGGACGATGCACTTGGGTGCTCCGGTGGTTCCACTGCTGTACAAGATGTACACGGGGTGATCTGGGGGTAGTTGCTTGAAGACGAGCTCCGCGGATGGTGCCGACGAGAAAGTGGAATACGCATAAGCTTTTCTCGACGGGCCTTCGAGAGAAGCCAAGTCGACATGCACGGACGACACGGTAGGTAGAACGACGACGGCGCGCACAGAAGGAAGTGATTCGACGATCTCCTGAACTTTGGGGACGACGGGATGGCTACGGCCGTTGTAAAATGAAGCGTTGTCGGCAAAAAGCAGCACTGGCTCGATCTGACGCAGGCGTTCTAGAACGGCGTGCACACCAGTGTCCGGTGAGACGGCGGTCCACAGGGCTCCGAGAGAAGTTGCAGCAAGCATGGCGACCAGGGCATCCGTGTGGTTAGCGACATAGCCAGCAACTCTGTCTCCCTCGTGCAGTCCAAACTGGATCATCCCAGCCTGACATTGCTTCACGCGCTCCCGAAGCTCTTTCCACGTGACAGTCTGGCGCGAGGTCTCGGTGGCAGCAATCACAGCCGGACTGTGCTCGTCGACGGCGACATTCGGGAACAGCAGGTTCTCTGCGAAGTTGAGTTTGGCGCCGCGGAAGAAATCCGGACGCGGGAACATGGGCGCGGCCTCATCGACGACCTGCAGGACCAATCAGCCTGGAGAGAGTGGCGGCACGGAAGCGGGATTGGGACCTGTTCGTAGGGCTGCGAAGCCTTGATCCCAACATTATGCCAGACCTCGCCCCAAAAGGCAGCAATGTTCTCGACGCTCCAGGTGTAAAGGTCGTCATAAGATTTGAGCTGGAGATGATACTTTTTGTTAATGTGTTGCAGGAAAGCGTGCATAGGAGTACTCTGCGGGGAGTGGTGGGTCCAGAGCCTTTTGGCCGCTGGCTCGGCGCCATTGACGCCGTTGGTGCAGGTGACGGCCATCGTTTTGGTTTTTTTTGGATTGAGGTGTTGGGGATTACTTTTTTGTGTTGCTGACGCGAGCCGGGAGCAAGGGCAGGGGTGAGGTGTAGAAGGCCGAAGAGCCTCGGGAAGGGTTTCGGTGTCGGATCCCCGCAACAGGCAGACAAAGCAGTCGCTTTCCGCTGCGCTCCGTGCTTTCCCGCCCGTTCTTTCCTTCCGATCCACTGCCCACCCACCTTCTCCCGCTCCTCTCCACCAGATGTTTCCTTCCCATTGCTTTATCTGCCCGCACAATTGGTGGCCATCTGCTCTATGACTTCCGCCTTCACATCGTTTGGTGAAACAGCGTACGAGGAACACCTGTAAGCTGGTCATGAAGGAAGGGGGCCGAAGACGATAAGCCGAGAATAAACGACGCCCGCAAAATATGACTCGACGCCTCACTCCACGTGGAAATTCACATGCACACCGCACCTTCTTTTTCCGCTTTCGTCCATGCATGCGTTTGGTCATGGTATACCTTACCTGAGCATCTCCTGTGATGCTGCAGCAGACAAAAAGGCTGAAGATTTGCCCGCCTCTGTGAAAAGCTGGTCAGCCAAAGCACTAAGAGTAGTCGCTTCCTTCTCACCCTTTGTGAGCCGGTTTCTACAGATATTCCATCACAGAACACCAATTTGTCCGCACGCATCTGGACTATAGTCCTGCCTTGATCTTACTTTGTATGCTGGTGCTCAGAAAGCTAAAATCTCCTTCAAAGAGACTCTATGATACACCGGGAGGTCCAGGCGCTTCCAATAACCAAGTAGGCTCTGGGCAATCATCCCAGCATTGCAACAATTAGTATTGCTCATCTAGGAGCTTCAGATCCACTCGGAGCTCCTACGCATATGTGTACTTCGCGTAAGTGCTGTCCAACTCCGCTTAGAAGGTGATTTTCTTGAGAAACTTGGTCTCCTCACTCAAGCCCATGTCCATCACATGTTCGGTGAACTCCTCAACCATCATCTTGACGTCCCTGATCCGCAAGAGGCCTTGGACCCTCTTCTCCCTGAGAGGGGCGACCAGCTCCTCCAGGAAAACTTCGGCATCCGCAACCACCCGGACCATCGACTTGGTGAGAATTCCCCGGAGCAGCGCTTCTTGCCTCTTGTTGCTCTCGATCAGGTCGATATCCCAGTCCAGCAAGCCGAACTCGTTCCACAAACCACCCATGCCATGCACGTAAGGCCGGCACATCCTGTGGGCGTACGTGCGGACGCGCAGCTTGCTGACAGCATTCTCCGCCTCTTTGCCCATGCCCTCCACGGCCTTGCACCAGCTCTCCCACGTGCCCATCGCCACATCGTCAGGGAAGAACCTCTGGTTGCAGACCCAGTCGAACGGACGGCCGCCACCAGGCGGGACCAACAAATCGTGGTCAGGGACTCCGATGTTCTTGAGTGAGCCATATCCGAGGCCGACGCCCATTCCATACACATTGAGGCCGTTGAGAATGCTCTCGGCACCGATGACTGTGGGGATGCCGCCGTTGACAGCCCAGCGGGCGCGCGCGAAGAAGACGGTGAGTGCTTCGGCGCGGATGGAACGGTTTACGCGGCAGATGTCCGGGAGGTGGATCTTTCCTGGCAGAATCGAAGTGACATTGTGGATGGCCGTGAGGGCAAAAGGTCTTTTGAGGTGGTCGTCAACGCAGAGCTCGTAAACCTCTGTGCGTACTTCGCCGGGGAGATCGAGGAAAGTCGTCGTCTTCTTCGTTGCGGGTACCTGTGAAAGCAATAAGGTAGCATCATGTGCCCAGCGGAGGATAGAACGTTACCAAGTCAGGTTTTGGAGTGGGCAGGTCCGTCATTTTGGTCGACTTCCTTGGGCGAAGAGCACACAAGGTCCCAAGGCAGAAGCGCATCTTAAATGCTGCGGTGTGGGAGGTGAAGTCAGGACGTGGACGAGAGGATCGAGGTAAGGGTGAGGAGGGAGATATTTATGCTGCCGTGCTAGTGGTCGAGCAGTAACACGTGGCGATGCACTTGGAAGCAGGTGGCTAAACAGGAAGGAACGGTCGAGTTTGGGAGGCTCAACCTGCCCTATTAGGAAGGGGTCTATGCAAGGTGAGGGTGGCTGGTGAGGTGTGGCTTGATGTAAGTGAGAACGAACGTGAAAGTGAAGACCAAGCCACACTCATTACCTCACATGCGGTCTGAATCGATAGGAAAACGCGCCGGTGGAGGATCGCAGTATAGGAGGCAGGAGGCACTCCATTGAAAAGACGGAAAAGGGCCAGTTGTATCTAGCCAAAGGGTATATACTCGCTGAGTGAAAAGAGAAAAAAAAAAGGATCTTGTCTACCCATAATAAGACACTGACGCCAGTCGCCTCAACTCCAGACTGACAATCTTCCGAAGCCACCTCGACCATTTCACGTTTGCGTCTCCGCCGCCTCCTGTGCCCTGATCTGCTCCGCCAACTTCCTCTTCTCCTCCTGCTTCGCCTTCAACCTCGCCAACGTATCCTGCTCGAACCTATTCCCCCCACCCGCCGCCGGCTTCGGACTAAACGAAAACGCCGGCTTCTTCCCCGCCGGCGTACTCGGCGCACTCCTCGTCGTCGTCGCCGCCCCATCAAACATCCTCTTCTTCACCGGCGTCGCGGCGGCATCCTCCCTCGTCGCCGCCGCCGACCCGACCGAAGCGCCCGGCTGCCAATGCGGCGGCGGCGCCGCGTCCTGCCTCCGCCTCTCCCTCTCCCTCTCGCGCCTGGCATCCTCCTCCCTCCTCGCCTCCTCCTCGCGCTCCCTCGCCCTCGCCTCCTCCCTCTCCCTCCTCCTCCTCTCCCCGTCCCTCGCCAACCGCTTCACCTCGCTCTCGACCCTGTCCCGCTCGCCCACCTCCTCCTCCCGCTTCCTCTTCGCGCCGCGCTCCGCCCGCTCCAGCTCGTCCATCAGCCGCCGCCGCTTCCCCTCCAGCCGCTCCCGCTGCGCCTCGCCGCGCCGCTTCGCCTCGCGGTGCGCGTCGTACTTGGCGCGCGCCTCGGCGTTCTGCAGCAGCTCGGCCGCGTTCTTGGCGAGGTAGAACTTGTCGACCGCGGCCGCGTCGTCGCGGTTCTTGTCCGGGTGGTACTTGAGCGACGTCTTGCGCCAGGCCGACTTGATGGCCTTGTCGTCGCACGCCGAGGCGGCCGAGTCGAGGCCGAGGAGCTCGTAGAGGTTGACGTCGCTCTTGATGAGCGCGGCGGCTTCGTCGCTCAGCTCGGCGTCTTTCGACATGGCGCTTTTGTTTTGTGGCCTGTGTGTTTGCGTGTGTGTGTGTGTGTGTGTGTGTGTGTGTGTGTGTGATATATGTGTGTAAGGGTGCGCGCGCGCGCGAGTGGGTCGAGGTCTGGTTCTGCGGCTAGGTTGAGGGAGTGGGACGGTGGCCGTTATGAGGTTGCCGCGTGGAGATACTGGTGGCGGTTGCCGTGAAGTATAGGCCGGACGGTACTATTGCGACGCGCAGACGTGAGGTAGAAAGGTTGGCTTGCGACGGCGAAGAAAAGTCGCGGAGCGCCTGCGCGTTGGGGTCTGACGTTCACTGTTATTTTACCGATGTTTACCCACGAATTAGGCAGCACCTGCGGGTACAGTACTACAAGAGCACCATGATCATAGTAATTGCATAACTATTCTAACTTCCTTTCTCATTAAACCGGATATACGCAACCAATGAAATCCTGAAAATCCTCAACGCCACAAACTGGACGCTAACTTCGAGCACATTTTTCCATCCACCCAAATCACCCAAATCAATCCTCCTTATCCGATTCCTCATCATCATCATCATCACCAGTATCTGCCCCTGTCCTCGTCGTCCTTCTGCTCAGCGGATAGACGCTATTGTTCCTGCTGCTCTCCACCGTGCTGACCGGGTGGAAACTGAAGTCCAACTCGCCCACCAGCTCCTTGATATGTTTCAGCAGTTTCTCCAAATCCCTGATGATGCACCTCGTCGCGATCTGGATGACCGCGAACGCCGCGTAGCCGGGTTCCGCAACGTGACGCAATGAAAGAATGTCGGTGTCGAGCTCTTCCAGTCGCCGCGATAGGCGGTAGGGCGCTGGGGCCTGCATGTATGGGGGCAACGGGGACCCGTTGGTGATGGAGGCGGAGAGGAGGGTAAGGAGAGACGTGATCTCGTGCGACGTGAGGTTGACCGACGAGATGAGCCGGCGGAAATCATTGTTCCAGGCCGTCTGCGACGCGTCTTCCGGATTGGCGAAAGTCTGAGAAGCGAAGGCAACGAGGGCCATGTAGCGGTTTGTGCTGTTGGAAGTCCATGGTTAGAGCTTGCTTCGGCGCCAACAGGAAGAATACCTACTTTTCTATGCAAGTGAGGATAGTTTCGTATATCTCGCGCGGGAATTTGCCGCCGATGGGAACCTCCCACTTCTGGAAGTCGGCCATGGCACGCAGGTTGGTGGTGAGCATGAGTTGTTTCTGGAACACCTTCAAGCGCGCCTTTGTCATGCGGCGACCGGCACTCGTTTTGACGCGGGGATCACCTTCGTCGCCGCGGATGCGACAACGGAACGTCTCGTGGACGATGGAGTAGTAGTTGGCCAGAAGGTATAGCGATGCACCCATCTTGGCGCGAAGTTCAGAGTGCTCGGAAATCGGGTATGGGAAGAAGGTCCAAATGAAAGCCACCGCAAGGCCACCTGCAACTGTTGCGAGACGGTACGGGCCCAGCTTGTAGATCTCGTAGTATGGCTGCCCATTCGAACTAGCAACTGCCGGTCCAACCTTCTCGACTTCCAGCTCGTATCCGATGATCATGGTCAATGTGACGACACTGATCATACCTGCAAACAATTGGTCAACACCATGACATCGAGTTCAAGCGGAAAAGTTGCGCCTTACCAACAATGACAAAGCGTGGCTTCTTCAGTACAATGTAAAACCCGCATGAGGCAAACAGCCAATAGAAAACGATGATGCCGGGGATGTGCTCATCAACGATATACCAGATGATGAAGCTGCAACACATGGCAGCCACGGTACCAGTTATTCGGAGGATGAAGCTGAAAATGCTCTGACCCGCGGTTGGGACCATGCTGATAGCGACCATGATCATGGCCCAGAGTAGACGTTGTCGGACGAAAAAGAGCTGGGTTGAGTGGAGGTAGTTTACGATGGCTAAACCGTCAGGACAGTGTCAATGTAGATTATAACCAGGAGCACTTACCGATTGACATGGTAGCACAAGCAACCCGGAACCCAAATGTCGATTCAGGAGAACGCAGGAATCTCGGAATCCTTCTGACGCGATCGCCCAGTCTCTCGATAAGGTTCTCGGGTGGCAGATGCTCAGGATCCTTCCTCCGCTTGTACGCCTCGCCCATGTTTATTTCAATGGAAACGTTGTTGAAATCGCCCATGCCGTTTTCAGCATTGTTCTCCCCGTCCCTATCCTTTAGGAAGTTGACAAGCCACTTCTTCCAGCGTTTGTAGCCGGGCATAATCAGATGCTTGCTGTCCAGCTTGCCAGTCTTGTGGCGATCGTCGGCGAAACGCACGAATTCCACAATGGCGCGGCTAGTGGAGTAAAGAAGATATTCGATCTGCGTCGCGGTTGTCAGCATCGTCTCGAGTCCAGGGCTAAGCGGGACCAACGTAGAGCAGCGCATAAAGCGAGCGCTGGCTGCGATTGTAAGCTTCGGCGCCCTTGTCCTTCCTCACGTCGTGTATATCGTAATTGGACGGTCTCTTGAAGTAGTCGTCCGGCACATCAATGCCTTTCCGCTTACACCACTCTTTCAGCGCCAGCTGCTTGCATGCATAGAATTCCTCCGTTCTGCTCTCCAAGAAGTCTGCGAATCCGTCTTCTCCGGGTTGCGACCGGTCTTCCTTGCCTTCAACATCCACGTTCTCGGATGAGCTCGAATTGCCATCCTTCTTCTTTTTCGGCGGCTTCTTCAACCTCAATCTCAGCATGACGTGCTCCAAGCCTTCATCCATGGTCTGAATGAGCGACTGGAAGGGCTCGTGCACCGACCTCATGACGAGGTTCCAGTCCTCAACCATACGCCTCCGTTCCATGTCCCTCGCACCGATCTCGTAACTCTCCTCGTTCTGTTCGTCCCATCCATTCAGCTCAGACAGGCGCTCGAAGATGTCCACAACCGAGCTCAAGCCTGACAGCGGCAGCATTACGCCCCTGAGCAAGCGCGCCATCTCCTGCAGGTCGTCGGGACCCAGGTAGCCCCAGGCAATCTCTCGCTTGGCAAAGGGCAGGTCAACACTGAGCTTACCCTGCATGGCCTGAATGGCAGCTACGCTCTTCTTGACGGCCTGGGCCTCGGGCTGGCGCTGCTTGTCGCCCGATTGGCCGGTCGACACGCGGTAGAACATGTCCTTCATCTCCAGCGACTGGAAGTAGCTCGAGTGGGCGTGCAGGGAGCCGCTGAGGGCGCCGATGTAGCCCGTCATCACCTTGAAGACGACTTTGCGCGAGGTAAGCGGGAGAACGAAGAGCGAGACACCGGTGGCCAGGGCAAAACCGGTGAGGAAGACGTCCAGCAGGCGCTTGGAAAATGCCATGGCCTTAGTCATGGTGGTGAACTGCGGCGAGTAGATGGAGGCGACAACGACGAAGATGGTGTAGATGATTGAAGGGAACTGCAGAGTTGGGGCGTATTTTGCTCTCATCAGGTTGACAAAGTACACCTGGAAGAAGAGCCAGATGGCGGAGACGGCGGAGGCGGAGGAATTGTAAGTATAGGAGCTAGTGGCCGAGGCGGGAGGGGTGGCTGTAGCATGTGTAGTGTGCTGGCGAGCCTTGACGGCGCAGTACATCATGAGCAGATTCATGGCCGAGGCAACGCATGTTGCGATGAGATTCAGCAACATGGTCTGCATGAACTTGGCCCTGGGCATGACGGCGAAGCCCAGGATAGAGACAATGGCCATGAGATAGCCGAGAGTAGTGAATTCGTTGGCTACAGCAGTGGCTGGGAGGGATGTCAGCGCAGCAGAGACATGGACGGCACAAGAGACCAACATTGGTACATGGAAATGGCAATGGTGGGCGGCAATGCGCCCTTGCCCATCATCAGGACGGTGGGAACATCGAGATCAGGGCCATACTTGGCCCAGATCTTCTTGACTTTGGCAGCAAAGCCTCGTTGCTCTTCTCGCTTGCGGATGGTAGAGCCAACGGTGGCGACGGTTCTGGTCTGCTGAATGGTGGGTGGAGGCAGGTGGACGGTCTCGATAGTCTCGTAGGTTTCCTGGCGACTGGGCGGCCCGTGGGGGAACCCGCTTGGCGTGCCGGGGCTTCGCACAGTCTGCGTGTCGGTCTCCTCGGCTTCCTCGGCGGCCATGGTGGGTGCGGACGGCAGACAGCGGACAGGAATGGGCGTTGCAGGGGGCTACGGAAACGGGCACGCGGGCTATATAAGCATTGCGGGAGATACAGTCACAAAGATGGAAACAAAATTAAAATTAAAGAGGGGAGCTGCGAAAAGATTTGACGGCGCGGCCAGTCACAGGCGGTAGAAGGGGGACAGCAGCGAGGAAAAGTGCGGAGAGCTTTGGCTTTAGCTTTAGCTTCGGGCTCTGACGTCGACCGACTAGCGCCCTGCATGCGAAAGCGCCGGCAGCCGGCACGGAAAGATGTCCCAGCATGTTGTAAGCCGGGGCGCTGATAACTCAGCGCGAGCTAGGCTAAAGACGCAATCGCCCTCGCCGTGCCGCCTTCCTCTGCTACGCCCGCCCTGCAGCCGCCCAGCAGCAGAAGCAGCCGCCCGTCGTCCAGCGCTGCTTCCTTTGCGGCTGGCGTTGAGCGTCCGTGCGAAGGAGGCCCGAGATGGCAGCCAGCGCCAGCGCCCGATAGCCGACAACGTCGTCGCACCTGCCAGCTCACCGCATTCTTGCACATCTTCTCCACCACCGTCGCTGCTTGCTGTCGCTCACACCCAAACACCGCCCTGTGACGTGCGCCTGCCTTGGTCTGCTGCACCCCGGAACCGATCAGCCAGTGGACCTCCGTCACTCAGCAAACCTTCGAGAAACCGTGCAAAATTATTTCTGCTGCTGTCAATCCAACAATGCCCAAGTAATCTCCGCCCAGTCCCAGGCCAATGCTCGTGTTGATGCCCGTCATCTTCCTATCCTGCACACCTATCCATCAAACAAAGCGCAGAAGGACAGAAAAACCCAGAAAACCCAAGTGCCCCCCTGACTCACCGCCCGCCCACTTGTTTGTTGAAACAGAACACAAATCTAGAAATCAACCTCAGCTGACGTCGTGCAACATGCTCGTTTCACGCCCTTCTGCGAGCTTCGTCAAACACCGACTGTTCTTCATCGTCGCGATACCGTCCGCCGACTGGATCCGCTTCGTCCTCTGGATCTGGAATACATCCTGCACCTTCTGGATCGCCCAGCCGATCGGCCGCGAAGTAGCTTCTCGAATTCACGAGCGGCACACCATTCTCGGCTGACGCGTTCCTGATGCCATCAGCTATCAGCCCATGCGTGACCTCCCTAAGCTCACTGAGCTCGTCAGGTTGCCTCTCCCTGTCACCGTGGTCTTTCTCTTCGTGTGGCTTTGGCTGGGGACGAGAGCGCTTGTTGTTCATCCTCCTCCCGCCTACACGCTGAGCAGGCTGAGCTTGTCGATGAACTCGGGGCTTCTGCTGTCTTTCTTGGGTCGGCTCTTCCGGCGTAGGTCTGGTCATCTCATTGCTCGGTGCGGCGTTGGATGATGCCTCACCCACTCCCTTCGCGTCGGCTTTCTTCTCCGCCTTTTTCTCTTTCCTCTTGCGTGCCCTCTTTTGCGTCCTGCTTGACTTCTCTGCCGCATCCTGCTTGTTCGCTCTCTTAGTCTTCACTAGGTCTAGAATTTCTTTTAGCTTCTGCTGCATCATTGCACAATTTTTTTTCTTCTGTTCCAACCGACCTTGTGCGTCTTTGTTATCCGCTTTGGCTTCCAAAATGCGCTTGCGCCATACCAACTCTGCGAGGCTGAACTCCTTTGGCATGCCACTGAGGTCGACTATCTTCTCTCCATCGATGCCAAAGACGTGGATGTCCGAGTCGGAATCGCTACTGTTGGTGTCAACTGAGTGCCCAGAACTGGCGTGAGGCGGCGGTCGCGATGTCTCTTCGTGTTGCTTCAAAACGTCTGACGCGCGAGGCAGCGCAAATGTCCGTGAATCCGGAGCCAGGGAAGACCAGGTATGGGAGTAGCCGCCCTTGTTCTTTTGGGTGGCCTCTTGAAGTTTGAGCTTCGGCTTCCGTCCCACACGTTTCTTGTCCTTAACATGTTTGCCTAGCTCAAAACCCCTCCCATGCTGTTCCTCCTGCTCCACTTTCATCTGTTCATCGTCTTCTTCACTCATCGTGTGTTGAGAGCTCTCCTGTTTGTCCGCTCCTTCCTTCACTTTCGGCTCCTCGGCTCCAAGGACCCCGTAGTAACCACTGTAAGCTTTACCGCCCATCTCGCCAGCTTCATCTTCATCTTCTCCGCTCTCCTCATACCCTACGTCCTCATACTCTTCAGCCTCCTCCGCAGCCAGGTGTGCGTCAAGATCCTGCTCATGAACCTCATCCAGATCCCCCTCTACAGGTGATTTCGGTGTTGGCGGCGGCGGAAGCGGTACTAAATCATCATCATCGTCGAACATAACGACAATATCATCATCGCTGGAACCGCAGCTGCTGCCGCCCACCGCAAACGCAGGAAGCCGCGGGGCAGACCAACGGCGACATGGCTCCATGGCCACCTCGCGCGCCGCCGCCGGCCCAGCCGACCACGTTCGCTGCGGCGGCGTGGACGGGATGTACTCATCATACCCGCTCAGCTGCTCCTCGACCTTATCTTCAGCTTTCTCTTCCTTCTCTTCGGAATTATGTCTTTCTGTGCGATCATCATACGTATCGGCGCTGACGACGTAGACATCGCTGGCGTCCTCATCGGTTTCCTCCAGCTTGAAGTTAGTATCGGACTCAATATCCTCATCTGGCCCGATAGTTTCCGAGTCGATATCCTCTTCCGACTCAATAGCCTCTTCCAGCTCGATATTCTTCTCTAGCTCAATATCCTCAAGATTGACATCCTCCACAAGCTGGATAAGATCCTCCAACTCAGCACCTTGCTTCGACTTGACACCCTTCGGCGACTCGACACCCGCCGGCGGCTCAATACCAGCGCCCAAGTCGCCATCGACGGCGATGCAGAGGGGTGGCGGAGATGGAGTCATGCCACTGCGACTGCCGAAGCTCGGTGATGAACGAGGTTCCGAAGTGGGCTGCGGTGTATGGGGGCAGGATGGCGGCGGAGCCGGTCTGGCCGAAGGCGGCGAAGGTAGAGGCCTTGGAGGAATTGCGACAGCGAAAGCCCTTGGGTCAAAGTGCGGCGCAGGCGGCCACATCGGCGGAGGAGGAGTAAAAGGAGGAACGCAGACGGTAGCCGGCGTGCGGCCGAAGACGTAGTGGTCCATCACTGGATCTGTGGTTGCGCATCATGAGTCAGCGTTACACGGGTGAGGAAGTCGAAGAAGGGCGAAAGGAATCGCATCACTGCGGCAATTGAGAGGGAAAAAAAAACAGAACGTACAGTCAACCATAGGAGTGCCGCCCGGCATGATCCACGACACGGCGTAGCCGGCGGCGCTCCAGCGCGCAAGTTCGGCGCGGTCGACTATGATGCCGCGGACAGGGAGAGTGACAGTCACGCGGCAGGCTTGGGCGGATCCATGGCGGCGGTCCGCAGCGAACGCGGAGGTGGTGTTGAAAGGGTTCATCGTCGAAGCGGCTTGCGGTCTGCGGTCTACGGCGATGGCGTCGCGAAGAGTGTCTGAATTACCGCTATCGAGGCGGATATCCTGGTTGTGAAGGGAAGATGAACCTGCGCGACGAAGCTGTGGGGTGGGCGTTGCGGCGGAGGGTGGAAGTGTTTGGGTAGAGAGCAGAAGGTCATGGAATATCTGAGTCTGCCTCAGGCGCGACCAGATATTCCTCTGCAAAGAGCTTACGGGACGGCATCTACTGCGCCGTCTCATTTTTGGAGTAGGCTCCGCTTCTTGCTACAATTATCTGCGGCAGCATCCCGTCCCCCGTTGTCTCATGGTTTGCGTCAAACTCTTCGAAAACTTCTGCCAACTTGTACCTGCGGCAAACTAGCATTGGTATTAATTGACATGATCCAAGCAAATATACCAAGTCCCGCCACGCGGAAATTGCTATCTCAACTCAGCAAGTGATATACCCAGCTCGGTGAATATTACCATATCCTTAGCCCAAACCCCATACCTTCCAAACACCAAAGCCCACAAAGTCATCTCGACCGGGCTTCTCACCACCACCTCCACCACTACTCTCCGCATCTGAACTGACTGTCGTCTCCTCCACTTCATCTGCAATATTCACGGCGGCTGACTCGACCCGCAGCGGTCCTCCGTCTCTCACATTCCCCACAAAAACCATGAATTGAACACCCAAGACACCTACGCAATAGTTTTGCCCGCTTTTTCGACCACCCGCACCGCGGAAAACGCACCACCCACGGTCGCCTTCGGCGGGAGGCATCCGTCTTCCCAGCGACAGGCCTCGAGGAACAAAATGACGTTGACACGATCGTCGGCACTCTTCCTCAGTAGCAAGCTGAACAGAGGCGGAGAAACACATTCTTCCCCTTCACCCATGCCGCATCGCTCACCATCTCCCTTTCCGTTTGTCGAAGAGGAGGCAGCGCCTCACTCCACCGTCGTGTCATGGTCATTTCGTGCAAGTCGGATGTTGCAAGTGCTGGAGGTGAGTCACCGGGACTGGAGGGTGTGAGATGAGGCGACGCGGTTGGCGGCGGGGGGCGGCGGTAGAGGCGGCGTATGGAGATAGGTAGTGATTCATTGCCGGGGGTGTCGTAAAAGAAATTTTGGAGCAGGTTCGGGCGCTGGATAGTTGGCACAACGATGGCACTATCGGGCATTCAACTCGAATACCCGCACACTCACGACCCCTCCGTCCACCCTCCCACCTGCCCCATTTTGTTCGAACCTCACCCGGAGCAACACTAAAGTATTTCCAAGTCATCTCATAAGCCAAAAAAAAAAAGGCAAAACTGTAGAACACCCTAATGGGCGCCCGCGTATCACCTATCCTTCTCCCAGGTGCGGTTGCTACAGAAAACCCCAGAAGGGGTTTTTTTAAGCTCGATCGATTCGCGCTTCTAGACTAGATCAAGTGTAAGCCGGCTTTGTAGGTTCAAACATGTGAACCTACCACTGCACCACAAGGGCGAGTGACTTATGCCCGAAGGCGAAAGAAGCGGTCACTTTCAACGCATATGTACCCAACCCCGAACACTGACTATTGCCTGCTACACCCACCCATTCGCCGTACTGGCAGACACCGCTGAGGGGGTGTGGTCACTTTTGAGCATGCGCCTCGAGAAGCAGACGCGTTGGATCATATATAAGTGCTTCGAAAAGGCCTTTTGACTCATTTCATCTCTCACTCACATTAAGATGTCGGGGTCTGCTTATGTGAAAGTCTAGACGGCGGAGGGAATCTCGACATGTTTGACACCAATGGGCAAAATATCGAGAGCATTCTGCAGTCCAAGTTTGATCTGCATGAACTGAAGTGAGGTCGCGAATTGGGCGTGTGGAAACCAGAGTATGACCGCCTGGGTGAGGCCACTACGTGACCAGGAAAAGAAAAAAGAATACCAAAACGCACTCTTTGGCAATAAAGCAAAGCATACCAGAGGGTTGACTATGGGTTTCGAACGCGGGGTCTGATCAACAAGATGGGTTGCCCGAAAGTGGAGTTGAGAAGCATACGAGTGATCCACATACGCCACGGACACTTGCCTCCAGCCTCACCCTCGCGCAAGCACGGACTCAGGTACCCCTAATTTGCTAGTATCTTTGGACAAAATTGAGCGTAGACGTTCGAAGTTGTAAAATGATCTGCAGCCGCATTGGGCCATGTGCATGGACCCTGAGGACCCTGAGGCTCGTCCGAAGTATGCAGAGATGGGCTACGTGCGGCAACTTCGGCAACCATGCAAATGTTTTTGAGCGAATTGCACGTCGACTTTGACGATATGTATTATGATGACGAACGTTTCATTCTTCAACGGAGATCTTGTCATCTTGAACATTCGATTTTCATCGAACCACGCTTATACCACAACAACTACGGTTATAATCCCATTCCCGAAGAAATACCAACAACGAATGCTTTGTTCATCTGGCCTGTAGTTCAACGGATAAAAAAAAGAAAGTGTCCGTTTGAATGCACCATAATCTTGGGGGGAGAAGGGAAGGATAAAACAAGAAATTGAAAAGCTCCAGCCGGTGATGCCAATATCAGTCTACCCTCCCCAAGAAAACTTTTGACGTAAAGAAAAAATCTCCCCACCAATCGATACTACTACCCTATCGGCTTTCCCCATCACCACCAGTGTTTCGTCAACACCCTCTCTCTACTCCGCCAACACGCACCACCACCATTCCCCCAACCTCCAACCCCTCGGCCTCTCCCCATCCACGACGCCCAACCTCATCTCCTCCAACGCCCCAACCTGCACCAACCAACCTATGCAAAGCTCAATCTCCCACTCATCAACAGCATCCTTCAGTGCTTTCCTGACGCCCTCCACACCGATCCCAGGACGGCCAAAGACGACGTGCACCACCGCAGTCAAAACCCTATGCCACCACTCCCATATCGTCTCCCCGAACAGGTCAGCCCACAGCGGCACGAACCCCTCGCGCTCGCCGCCATCGGCCGGCAAGGGCGGCGGCGGCAGAGCCTCGAGGCCCCGCTCCTTCAGCAGCGGGTTGCCGCAGACGTACTTGTCCGTGGGCACGATTTCCAGCGGCCACGTGACGCGGTCGCGAGGCATCTGGACCGTCTTGTAGTGGCCCTCGGTGAAGCCCCACTTGGTGAGGCGGGGGAAAGGTTTGCCGATGGCGTGGTCGACCGCCGGGAGGAGCGGGTTGATCTGGAGGTGGCCGCTCTGCGCGAGGTTGATTATCGCGAGGACGTGGCCGTCTTTGGCGGCGTTGGATACGGTGTAGCTTGGCGCACCGCCGGAGAATGCGTCGTCGAGGTCTTTCTTGAACCGCATGGCGTCGATGAGCTGGGTGGGGAGGAGCTGGCGCTCGAAGGCCTTGGGGAAGGTCCGGTCGACGCCGTAGTTGCGGCCGGGCTTGGTGCGGCCCTTTTGTTCGTCTCGGAAGTACTTGGTTGAGACGAGTTCGGACGTGACCTTGGTGAGAATCTTGTCTTCGAACGCCTTGAGCTTCGTGCCAAAAGTCTCCGTGTCAAACCGTTCCTCGGGCGTTACAATGACGGACCGAACCCAAGTCTTGGCCCGTTCGAGTGTCTTTTGTTCTAGCTGGCTTGAAGTGGACTTTTCCTTCGGCTTTGGCCGTGCAGTAAGGGGAAGGTAGAACGAATACTGCTGCGTAAGCTCTTTGCGTCTCGTGGACAGACAGCCTTCATTGTACAGCGATTCCTTCGGTGGACCGTTCCACTCATTAGTCTCGTGGACAAGAAAAGCGGCATCCAACTCTTTGCGGCTTGTCGGGAGGTCAGAATGGGGATCCGCCATCCTGTGTGGCTTGATGCTGATGTTCTGCATCGTCCACTTGACAATACCGTCCCAGTCGTAGTCGTCAACATTGTCGTAGTTGATAGGTTGAACGTCTCCACACTCGTACGCCAACAGATATGCCTGTTGGAACTCATCAAAAAGGCTCTCAACCACTTCTGCACAGCGAGTCTTGAGCCAGACCCAGCGGTTTCGGAACGAGGTGAGATCCCAGCGTTCATGCGTCCTGAATAGCCTCCTGATCTGATCCCAACTGGTGTAGCCTTCAATACCACCAAGGAGCGATTGAACGACCACCATGGCGTAGAGCAGCTTTTTGGTGTCGGAGGTTGAGATAACGCACAACGGATCTTGGGTGGGAGCGCGAGCCAAGTGTGACTTCGACGGCCTGGGTCCCTTCTGGCGACGACGCGGCTCGGCAACACCATCGTCCAGCGCATCCAGCACAGCAGTCCTCCTACGGCGTTTAGTGCCGCGTGTACCAGCTCCACCGGTCCTCCTCCGACGTTTACCGCCCTCTACAACGACCCAATCGGGAGCGTCGCTCTCATCTGTTTCGTCAAAAGAAGGCGGATCGTAAGGAGTAAAGGTTTGGCTATACATGTCGTCCCATTTCAGGCCTGTCACCGTCCACTCGTTCTCAGGCTCCTCCTGATCACCATAGAAGTTGTGGTTGATGAAGTGTGGCTGCCTTACAGCCAAACCAAGGTCCTCATTCTTTCTCAGGTACTGGTCTTCCCAGTGGCTGACAACAATGAGCTCTCTTTCGAATCTGCTGAGGTTGGCGTTTCCACGCCGGTTATGATCACGCTCCTTGCCCTTCATCTTGACTGAGTCTTTCATCTCCTTCAGCGACCAGGGTAGGGAATCCTCGAACTCCTGTTGGTGTTGTGCGTGAGGCTGCACCCACAGTGCCAGACGCGCATCGCGGACTACATGGTACTCAGTGGAGAAGGTTCCAGTGTTGTGATAGAAAAGAATGTCAGGATCAGTCAGGGTAGTAATGTCTTGAATGTGCCACGTGGGATCGTATGTGTCGGGCCCGGCATGTCTAAAGCTCCACTCCAATGGACGGGGCTTGTTGAGACGGAATGAAGAAACCGAAGCTGCGCGGGATGAATCAACGGATGCAACTGAGCCTCTACGGCCTCTGGATTGGCTGAGGTCGACCTGGAACGTAGGGACTCGACCAGGAGTCTCTGTAGTGTCAGTGGACCCAAGCGAGTTGACTGATGAACGTCTCCTCCTCTTCCTAGATGGTGTGAATGGCACGGGTGTCCCTGACCGCGAGCTGAATGGTGTTCCAAACATACTGCTGTCTTCAGAATCGGACGCGAGTGCGCTATCGTGCGTTGGACGATGGAAGATGAAGTTATCGACCTGGAAGGTGCCGCTTAGCTCACTGATTGAGCGGGTTCTGGTCGGAGCCGTCGGCGCAAAAAGGCGTTCTTCGTCATCAGAATCATAAGGCCGGAGATATCTTGGCTGAAATGGGTTCCAGGGATCATCATCTGGATCAGCTGCTGGTCGTGGAAGGCCTGCAAGACGCTTGCGTCCAGTGCGGCCGGTGAGCACTGGTCGAGGCACCCCTCCTCTACCACGCCCACCGCGTCCGCGACCAGGCCTGGTGAGACGAGGAAGTCCCCTGGCCTCACGCTCAAGCCTGCGTGTCCTCTCCTCTTCTCGCTTTCTCTGGTTCTCAGCCGTACGCAACTCCATATCCCGCATCCAGGGGGGTAAATTCGAGCGTTCCACGCGGACCGACGTGTCCTTCTTATACTTGTCGCCGTACCAGGAGTTTCCGATCTCCTCTTCATACTCCTGCATCTGAGGGGGGGTATAAACACGAGGCCATGCCGCAATGACTCTCTTCTGAGTTTCCGTCACCAGCGGATCCGATTGAGCAATACTTGGCAAAGTGAGGATGTGTCTGCTTGTCATGACTCCGTTTTTGTTCTTGAAAGAGTACGCAAACCGGCGCACTTTTCCGGAGTCGATGGCATTCTTGATTGTTCTTTTGATGGTGTCGCGGTCGACTTGTCTTTCCGCACCATACTCTTTGTTCCAAGTACCAACAAAAGGCCTGTGGATCTCGAAATCGCCCGGGAAGACACCGCCGCATTTCTCGATGATGCTGACAAGGAGTTTGGTACGGTTAAAATTTAGAATCCCTCCACCGCTCAACTTGACACCCTGCTTCTTTCCTCCTGCCCACTTGCCTTTCTGGCGTTTGGCAGGTACGGAAGCAGGTGGTTCCTCTTCAAGAGGAGGCATCTGTTCATCCTGAGCTGCAATAGAAGGCATATCAGCAGAAGGAGGCTGGTCAGCAGAAGATGGATGAGTGGGGTGTGCTGTCGAACCAGTAGCCGATGGAGACTCTGTCAACAACACACCGCTTCGAGGCTCCTGTTTTGGCGTAGAGCTAGTTTCTGGTGGTAAGTGTGAGTCATCATGGTCTTCATCCTGCATTGGCATGGCATCTTGCATCGTGTCATCTTCTGGGGCAGCCGGCATTCTTGCAGCTGCATCCTCTGCGGTATGGTCGGCAACAGACGATTGCTCGATGTTATCAGCAACGTTCTGGTTGATGCGACCAGGCGAAGTCTGTGCAGCTTCCCTCATCTCGGAAATAGCGTCATGCCTTTTGGAAGCTGAGGAAACGCGCCTGAGTAGCCCCTGGTCTTCTTCGGTTTCGCTTCCCGTTTCATCTGGAATCTCGATTGGGCGCTCATCAGCTCTTTTGGCGGAGTACTGCGAGCTCACAATCAAGCCTGGCGATCGCACAGGCGGCGTGGGAGAGGAGACGTGGTATGCATCTTGCCTTATAGGTGAGGCGCTTGGCTTTGCAGCCAAAATTGAGGCAGTGTCCGGGGTCCGACTTGAAAGTTGCTGCTTCGAAGGAGTGAAGGTACCCCAAATTGGACCTCGACCATTATTTGATCTCACTGCTGCACCGGGAGCCCCAGATGGTAGGTGATGAAACGCCTGGCTGAAGTGATTCTGGTAAGAAGTGCCACTTAGACTGGCTGAACGAAGCTGGTCATAAAGGCCGCTGTGCCGACTCAATCCTTGTTGACTAGCGGATGAAGTTGCCGCAGGTGCCAACGCGGGTAGTAAATTGGGCCTGTTGCCGTTCCTGACAGCACCATTTGCGGATGTTGTAGGCCGTGAGTTACCAAGGTAAGTCGATGCTCCACCAGTTGGCGATCTAGCCATACCAGAATCGCTCGTTGTCAGGTTTGGCCGCCGATGACCATTCAATGCCGGAAGTTGGCCGAACGAGTTCGACCGCATGGCTGCAAAGGACCTGTCTGAACTTGAGCTGTTGGGACGGACTTGATCCCCGTGGCTTGATGTTGGCATATTCAGATCCGTGCGCTGAGCGGTCGCCAACATCGGTCTATTGGAAGGCGTGATTCCGGTAGTCGAGTTCCCCGCAGGAGATTGGAACGAAGGAACGGGAGTTGATGTGACGCTTCTGTTATGTTCTTGTGCAGCCGCAATGAAGGGGTTGAAAGGTTGAGGAGTAGGAGCGTATAGCGCTGGATAGCTCTTTTGGTACTCCGCCGCCATAGCAACGAAGGGGTTGAACGTAGTAGGCGCTTTCGAGGAGGATTCTGTGTCTCCAGGCTGGCTTCCATCATGATCAACCGCGTCATCCGAACCTCTACCTTGTGTTGCCAATTGGCCACTCAGCGTCTGGTTCTTCGGCTGTTGGCTCTGTTTTGATGGGATTGAGAGATCAGCTGCAACAGCAGAGGCTGAACCTATGTCATCCCCTCTAGGAGGAATAGCAGCTACAACGGATGGTGCTGTAAGGTAGGGGGATAGGGGCTGCTGAGTCGACGCGCCGTTAGCAGCCGAACTAGTGGCAATATCTCCAGCTTTCTTTTTAGCCATCTTGCGGGGCTTTGGAGGTGCGTTGGGATCCTTTCGTGCTCTTCCTCGCTTTTTGAGGATGGTGGCAGGTGTCTCGTCTGATGTTATCGGAGTGGAAGGTGCGAGTTTTGTAGAAGAGGCCTCAAGCGACATTTGACGCATCTGTGAGGCCGCATTCAGTGGTCCCGTTGGAGTAGAGAATGACTGCGAAGAAGGCATCTCATCGAGCATATGGAAAATCGGAGGTTCGGCCGCGTTACTCGCGCCCGGGGTCTCCTGCGGCCCTTGTGTGGGCATAGGCGTCGTGCTTGCAATTGGCGTCTGTTCTGGAACACTACCATTGGTGGGTTGGAACACTCCACGGAGTGAGTCCGGCAGAGTCTCTTTTTGAAGAGTTGCTGCTTGATCTTTCGCCTCTTGGAGCCGGGCATCGGATCGCAATTTGGCATCCGCAACTTTCACAATGAACTCAGGCGTGGTCACGCCTAATCCCTTCAGCGCATCCAGCACGACGACAACAACCTTAGCTTTCTTTGGTCGACCCTTAACTGTTGGATCCCGTGGCTTCTTGCCCCAGATAGGGTTGAGATAAACGCCGGGCTGCCGTTCCTCGATCTCTTCTTGAGGCGTGTCGGCCAGCTTGGGCAACTTTTTGCGTCTGTAGGCTCTTTTGGCTGGCGTTGCGTCAGGATGCTCACCTCCGCCGAGGTTTTCTAGACTCCCATCCAACGTGTCGGGAACGGGTCCTGGGGCTTCTGCAACACTTGTTCCATTGTCGACATTTTCAGTCTGGTTAGGAGTAAGAGATGCTTCATGAGCGAGTTGAGACTTCTTTCTTCTGCCAGGTCCCGGGCCATTGGGTGATCGCCACGTATATTTTCTTTTCAACTTGTCAACACCCGGCGCTGATCGTTTGCGAGAGGAAGCTGGTGGGAAGTCCTCATCCGAATCAACCGAGGCGTTCCGCTGAGAACGGACGTAGCCCCCGGTGATGAAGGTCGGCATGTAGCCACGGCTCGGAAGGGGCTTAAGATTTGTCATCAGAGCCTTGTTGGAATCCTTCAGGGTAGCCATGCCACTGTGGCCTTCAAAGGCGGACTCGTTGATTTGAGGGAATCCCCATTCATCAATCTCTCCATACTCACGGTGGACGGCCTCTCGGACGTTCTTCTGGACTTTGGCCCGAGGTTTTTTGCCGGGGTTCATGTTTACAGGCTGCGTGATGACGACTTCCCAGGCAGCTTCTCCGACGTCCACAGCAAGTTGGAAATTGCCATACGTCCGGTAGACGTAATGAAGGTACTTGTCACTTTGGCCTGTGTCTCGGATGATGGCGAAGTGGCGAAGGTGAGGCGGTTGGGAGATATGCCAGATATCGGAGATGCGGCCAAGAATCGCATCGATTGGACGACGATAGAAAGTTCCCAGACCCTGATCGCGGATGATGGCAGTTGTGGCGCCTGAATGACCTGTGGACCTGATGATGTCCCAGAGCAGATTGATGACCGGGCGGTCAGGGTCCCACTGCGGGGGAAGCCTTTTGATCTCCTGGACATCACTCTCTTGCTGGACCAGGGCCTGGCTTGCTCCGGCTTCCTCTGTTTCCTCGTCAGGATCAAGGTAACCTTCAGCATCCTCATCCACCCCAGCCTCTGTCTCCCTCTTGTGTTTCTTTGCCTCTTTCATACTCATGGTCACGAAGATCATCCTATCACGTTGCGTGGGTTCTCGGACCATCTTGATGCAGCGGTACCACTTTTGGCTTGCGGCGTATCCTTTGATCTGAGCCTTCACCTTCTTGACAAGTCCTAGACCCTCCAAGCGTCTCATGGACCTCCACAGAGACTTCATCTCCCAAGTCTTTGTCGTAATGCCGAGTTTTCTCTTGCAGTCCTCGATGGTTACGATCTTACAATCCTGAAGGATATCCATGAGAATGTCGAAGAATTTGTCGTACAGAAGCAAGCCGTCCTGGAATATAACGGCCTTGATTTCATCCGGAGTAGAGCGAGCGTGGATGGGAGGCAGTGCGGCCTTCTTCTCCCTCTGTGTCTTCGCATACCTCTTGAGGGTGCAGAGACTAGTACGCGTGCCTTTTGCGAGGACGTGCACTTTGGTAATGTAGCCATGTTTCGCCAGATTATCCGTTCGCTTCGGCACGGAGCGCTTATCTTGGCCGCTAATGCGAGTGATCTCTGGCTGTACGACACCTTTCTCGCCATGGGCCGCGATGATGGACAGGATGATGAACTCGTGGCGGGGTATCCTTTTCGCATCCACGCCGTGTCCGGTCATGGCCATCCACATCCGCTCTTCACTGACGAAAAGCTTGAGAGCAGCATCGTTGGCAGCCGAAGCCGAAGCCGCTTCCCCGTTCTCCTCGCCAGCCTTTGGAGGCTCGGTCGCGGGATTGGGCCTATCCTGACTCTCGAGGGCTTCGAAATCTGTAAGCGATGGAATCTGCTCGCTCTGGCCTCCGTTCAAACAGATGTCCGGATGGGCCGTCAGCCATATCCAGACCTTCTCTTGCAGGCGGCGGTCAGCGTGCTGCGTCGATGCCGCGCCACGACCCGGACGAACGTCATTGTCCTGTTCAGCGTAAAATTTGTAGATGAGGTCCTTGAAGTCGGAAGTGCTTGCGCCTGCGACCACGGGGGCCAGTCAGCGGATGAGCAGCAAAGTGGAGCGGCAGAAAGGTAGAAGCGCCGCATGGAAGCCACGGGAGTCGAACGTGCGACCAGACGCGAGACCCAACAAAAGTGCAGAGCAGTACATGAAGGTCAAGGAAAGCAAACTGCCTCAAAAGGGTAGCCCACTGAAGAGTGAGGCCGTGATTCGTCGCAGGGCAAGACCTTGCAGAAATCTTCGCACTCCGCTCTGCGACGCCGCCGCACACTTGCGCTTACCTTGCTCGCCGCGCAGGGCTATTTCCTCGAGCAAAAACTCAATGAGATCGTCGAAGCCTTTCGCCATTTTCCGCCGCCCTCGGCCGTCTCCTCCGGATGCGAAGCTGCGGGTGGACGCTAGGTCATGTAGGTGAGGGTGCGGTTCGAACTTGTGACTGTGGCGGGCGGTGGTAACGGCAGAGCCTCGCCGAGGGAGCGGGCAAAACCTCAAGCGATGTGGCCCGTGCGGCGGGGTACGTCAGGGTCCGTGAAATTTCCGGTGATGGCGACCGCCGCTTGCGATGTCGTTTCAAGGCTGGGTCAATTGGGTCCGCACGGTGTGCGCAGTCTTTCGGTTGGCGGTTTGGCAGTTTTGGCGTTCTGGCGTTTTGCAGTTGTTTGTTTCTGTGTGGCGAGCTCGGCGCGGTCAGTGTAAGATAGCGGACTGCGGCACCAGTCAAGTGACGACCATGAGAGGAAAGCGCGTTCGACCGTGCAGCTGCCACTTAAAGCACCATATGCGACCAATGTCATGTGCACGTGAGGCGGAAGGCCCTTGAGCGCGCGGGCACCATATGAATTACTTTTTGGTATCATTGGAAGCAGATACGCGCACCACTCATAACCGAATCACAACCCGAACGCCCTGCATGCGCGACGCTGGAACCCGTCCCATGAGAGAAAAAGCAGCCGCAAGCCCTCAAGCGCTTTTCTTCTCAGCCATCATCATCCTGTATCTCTCAATGATGTTCTTGCGTTCCTCGCCCAGCTCCTCTCGTCTTCTCAAACTGCCCGCCGCGTTGGGAATATCCGAGACCTGGACCTTCGCTCCGTTCTTGACCTTGAACTTTTCCTTCGGTATTGCTTTGAAAGTCGGCGGAGCCTGGGCGACATCGTTCAAGCCTTTCGGTTCATCTCTCTTCTCCTTGAGCACCGCCCACGGGTCATCTCCGTCATCGACCTTGCGTTTGCCCTTTTTCTTTCCACTTCCTTGTGTTGGCATCGGAGCCGTTTTGTCCTCCCACATGGCCTCTTGCTCGTCCTCTTCGATTTCAGCCAAGTCCAACTCCTCTTGCTCCCGCTCCTTGATCTTCTCCTCTTCTTCGCGCCAGTCGCTGATCATCTTCTGAATCCTCCTTTCCGTCTTTGTCTGCCGTTCCTTGTATCCTTCGATTTTCTTGCCCTTGCGGGCCAAGCCTGCAACGGGGAGTGCCTGATCCACACGCGCCGCAAAATCGGACATGCGCTCTCCTGGTTGGATCTTGGGTGTTTCCAGTGCGGGTTTTGGGGGCTCGGGTTTGGGAGCACTCTTTTCATCACCGCCGGCCTTGCGCTTCTTGCCACGAGGCTTGTCGCCGGTGTCCAATCCCTTGAGGCCCTTCCCGGTTTGCGAGAACTGCATCAGGCGCGCGAAGGCCTTGGGTGTGTCGTCGGCGCCATATCCCTCTATCCGCTTGGTCTTCTTCTTGTCCTTGCGTTGTTTTGTCTTGGAAGCGAAGTTCTCGCTCAGGGTTCCGGATTCTCGAACAGAGAGCGGCTTTGCACGCGCAGTGGGTGGAAGGTCGAAACTACGAAGAAACGTCAGCGGGCGAAGCTGAGCGACAGAGGCGACAAAGCATACTCATCTTCCTCCCTGGTCTTGCGCTTGTGTTTGTGGGGCATTGCTGCGGCGCGTTGCGATATTTTCTTGTCGAGAGGATCGGCTTTGCGAAACGTTCGGCGACGGCCAGGGCGGCGCGCACTTTTCGCTCGGCTGGATCTCCGCCGCCAGGACGCGGCCGATTCTGCCCTCCACAACCGCCCTCATCCCAGCTCGGACGTGCACGCTTCCTGACCGGCCGTGTAACGACGGACTCGTTGCATAAGCCTCCAGATGACCATGATGCAGATCTCTTTGTTTACCGCTCCTTTGCGTTCGCATGAGCTCTCCGTCTGACGGTTGTTGAGATAGCCTGCCGGGGACGCCAGCAGACCAAGGACTTGCGCAGGGACCACGCAGGCAGGCGGGCGGCGCTTCCGAGCGATGGTGGGTGGTGTGCATCACACTTACGTGCACGTTTGCAGTGCACCGCCCGACAACCAACGAGAGGCCATGGAATCGAACCGTGGGCTTAACAAGCCTTCGCCTCGCACATAAACTACCCGCGCAGGGCGTTCCCAACATCGCCTCCTATCGGCCAGACATGGATGGTGAATCACGCACGTTGCGGGTCGACACAACCATGCACGCCTGCCGCCAGCTGATCTCTTGCCCTGAACTGTCCTTTTGATCTCTGTAGTCTGCTTTTCGTGGGTCATCTCACCGGTGGTCTCGCCGCAAGATAGCATTTATAGGGAGGTTGCCCACCGCGTCAAGCTGTCAGACGGCGTTCGCTCACATGCAAGAACCTGCCTCCGCTCTGAATGCGTTCTTGTCCCTATTTACAGCATCCGCTAGCCCGTCCCTTTCCACTAGTAGGTGTGCAGGCTGATTGCCTTCTCGAGGCTGAGCAAACAGTGCGGTTCGGCGGTACGCCAGAACGTTCTCGGTCAGCCACGGCGCCAGACCTGCGCAAGCCGTCTGTTACGTCGTGCTGGACTTGCGCCCTCGAGTTGCGGCTAAAGTAACATTGTGGGGTGGGCTGAATCTGTATTCAGGCCATTTAAGCAATCGGTACGAACTTCATCCTAGTTCTCTGCCTCTTAACAGAGCATCTCCTTGAGCGACCATTGACTTGTACATACATACAGTCCCGACTCGGCATCCCGAAACAAGCGCTCGGACGATCGGGGAACAATCGGGAAGTCGGACAACGTCTCCTGTGAGCTCTGGCAACGATGGTCCCTTCCTCCTCAACACCGAGTCCCAACCGCTTCGATCACATCATCCGAGAAGAGGTAGCAACAGACCGACTGCACGACTCGCCTGCATTGGACTCTAAGGGCGCAGCTCTCGACTCTGTGCTTGACCCGAGCTTCGGCGAGGACTATGAAAAGCGGCAGCAACAGCCCTTTTGGCGAAAAGCGCTCATGGCCCTGCGGGAACGGCGGAAGAGGATCGCTCTCACTGATTCCGCTGTCGGTTACGACGACCTGTTAAGCAATGAAATGCGAGAGGGAGCCCACCCCCACAAGGAAAGAATGCTATCGTCATCGCTTTTAAACATCGCTCGCAAGACTGGCTTTCTTGTCTCCTCCGCGATTGCCTTTATCTTATGCATCTTGTAAGTTCCTGCCGCCTGTGGGAACCACAACATCTGCTAAACCCACCAGTGGCATCATCCACGTCGTGAATATCCTTATCAACCTCGGGCCTGTTTTCTACCAAGACGAAGCATACGATGTCCGATCACGTCTGAGTGAGCCTGGTTATACCGGATCCGGGCTGTTGGATTACCCTACCGATGTCACGCGCGACATCAAGCCCCTGCCATGCCACAGCCATAACGATTATTGGCGGCGCGTCCCTCTATTTGAAGCCATCAGCTACGGTTGTGTGGGCGTCGAGGCAGATGTGTGGTTGTTCCCGGATTCATCAAAAGAACCAGAGCTCTACGTTGGCCACAACACCGCAGCTCTCACCCCAAAGCGTACCTTTCGTAGTCTCTACGTCGATCCGATTACCGAACTCCTAGACCGCACCAACTCTCCCGCTACCCTTTCCGTATCTCACGAGGCGGCGCCTGTGCGACCAAATGGCATCTGGGATGTCGATCCCTCTCAGACCCTTGTCCTTCTCGTGGATTTCAAGAATGACGGTGAGAGTATTTGGCCCGTCGTGCAATATCACCTCGAACCTCTCCGCTCCCGAGGCTACCTCACTTATTGGGATGGCACGAATACCGTGGAGGGGCCGGTCACCGTTGTGGCGACTGGGAACGCTCCGTTCGATTTCGTCATCGCCAACTCAACATACCGCGACATTTTCTTTGACGCGCCGCTAGACACGCTCTTCGAAGAGCCTGAACCTATTCCTAAGCTGGAACCTTCGCAATTCAAACTCTCTTCTCTGGTTACCCCTTCCTCCAGCCAAGAAAGTGCGCGGCTTCCTTCGAGCCTAAACTCAGATAGGTTCAACAGCAGCAACTCGTACTACGCGTCCGTGTCATTCCCTAAATCGGTAGGCCGCGCCCACTGGCTCAACGGCAAGCCTACTGAGCATCAACTGCATTTGGTGCGTGGCCAAATTCGAGGTGCGAAGAGAAGAGGTCTGAAGCCCCGGTATTGGGGTACACCAAATTGGCCAATAGCCATACGCAACAGGATGTGGGAGGTGTTGGTGGAGGAAGGAGTCAGTTTCCTGAATGTTGACGACTTGCAGGCTGCGGCGGCTTGGGATTGGGAAAGCAGAAGGCATATGACATGGTTCTGGCTATGATTGGACGACCTTTGTTCCCTTTACCCGTTATTCTTCTTTGCTTGATACCACCTACAAACAGTACACTTGTTATATTATTAGAATCTAGAAGCAGCCAAGATGCAGCCTCAGAAATACTTCGATAAAGGATGATGTGAACTGCCGGCTCTCTCGACGATCTTATTGCCAAATGCTGCGCTACACAGGGTATAATTTGAAGCACATTATAGGATGCTGTTCCAATCGCCAGCCATCTCATTTCAAACACAACACAGCTCTTTCTCCGAAGTTCCTTTCCACGGTGCCCTCACTTTTGATCATGCTGCCTAGCCACCTTCGTGCTCCCTCGACGCTTTTTGATCCAAACTTGACCAGGACTGCCCCGCGAACGGCTGCCGCTGTCCACACTACCCCGTTATCCACCTCTTGCTGCAGTCTCTCTGTCCTCCACAACTCTTGTGGCGTTAACTCTTGGTGCTCATCCGTAGTCGCGGTGTGCCACTTCTTTGCGCCAATCCTCGGCATGGCCTGGAACTCATCCAGGAAAAATCTCCCGAGCAATTCAAATTGTGCCCCATATAATATTAGTGTCCCAAACGCCGCAAGTTCGTCCATACGCCCAACGATGGTCCCCGCTGCAGCCGCTCCCTCCCCACTCTCATTGTTTAAGATCACGTTATCCCTCAACAACAGACGACCCGTCTCAGCACCATCCCAGTCCTTCGGCTCAAGCTCCGCCTCTGGCGGCGCCAGCCACACCTCATTCCGACTCGTATACTCGAAGCAATCCCAATGCTCGCCGCGGGCGGACCGACCCTCGCTGACCCAGTCCAGCACACACAGACTGCCAGGCGCCGACCCCTCTCCCTCGCCCGGCCGCGGCAGCAGCACGACGTACCGCTGCTTCTGCACGAAGCCGCTGTCGGCGAACGGTTGGACGGGGTCGGGCAGGAAGCACAGGGCGGCGCCGGGCGCGACGCGCACGTCAGTGGTCTGGCCGGAGCGGAGGCGGCGCTCGGGGGACGGCGCCTTGAAGATCTTGGTGCTGCCCTGCGTGAGCAGGCAGAGGCGGGTGGCGGGCGCGAGCGTGACGCGCAGCGTGACGGCGTCGCCGGCGACGAGGCCGCCGCCGTAGGTCAGCACGAAGACGGTGTGCACGACGTGCTGCGTGCGCGGCTCGTCCGCCAGCGGCGAGTTTGGCGCGATTGCGACCGGCTCCGGCGCGATCAGCTTGAGCGGGTACTGGTATGTCACGGTGCGGAGCACCGGCGTCGAGGGTGGGAGGAGTGAGAGCACGATGGAGCCGTGGCCGGGTTGCGAGGTCGAGGGCGCGAAAGGGTTGTTCATTTTGGACGTGTTACGGGGTAATCATATCATGGTGGACGAGGAACTCCGGCTTTGGGGTCGGACGAAGAGGATGGCCCCAGTTGCTGTGCGCCGAGAGCTGTTGGTCGCTTGAATCGGAGGCATGGTCGTGATAGAGAGCGGAGGTGGAGGGGCAAGCAATTGTCCAATGAGCTGCCCGCTGCGGCTTAGCACGAGCCAGCCAAGGCGCTGCCTCCGCCGTCGACCGCAACGCGTCTCCCATCAACACCGCCGAAACCTGCGCGCGTCCGATGCTGCGTCGCTGACCACCCCCAGCATCCGCCCGCGTCCAAGCAGCCAGCCCTCCACCACCCCGCACGGCGCTCCTCACCCGTCGCATTCGCACAACTGCTCCGCAAGGCCGCGCATCGCGACGCGTTCGGCCTTATTTATCTCTTGCTGGTTCCACCATCCCCAAGCTTGGCTGCGTCGTGCTCGTCCCCCCCTCCTCTTGACTCTCTTGTCCGACCCTCTGCGCGACACCCCATTTTTGCTCCTTACTCCTTCCTATGCCCGCGCGCCTCTCCAGCATGGAACCATCGTCGCCCGATGCCGACGCGCAGCAGACGCGCTCCTCCCCCGCCGACAACAACGAGACCAGCGCGGCCACGCGCCGCAAGTCTGGACGGGTGACCAGGAAGCCCGAGACCATCTACTCATCCGCAGCGACGCCCGCGACGAAACGCAAACGTGGCGCCGACCGCGAGGCCGATGCGAGCGACGATGACGATATCGAAGACGAGGATGACGAGGATGAGGACGAGAGTAGCGAGGGCGACGCCGATGACGAGGAGTTGCGCGACAAGCGGCGCAAGAAGAAGCGCCAGTCCGCCGCCAAGGCGAAGTCGACGCCTCAGAGGAAGCCGGCCACGAAGAAGAGCAAGCCCAATGGCGACACGATGAGCTTGGCCATACGACCGGCGACGAAGGCGAAGAAGCCGCGCAAGCCTCGTCCGAGCAAGGTGGCGGCTGCAGGAGAGGTTGGAGGACTTTACGGTACGCGCTCCTGGTCGTACTGCTGCTGGATTGCTGTATGCTGACGTAATGCTGGTGCTAGGTGACGTGTTTGCCGGCAACCAGAGCCTAAACGATGTCGCAGCGCAGTGGGTCCGGAGGTTCGGTGAGGACAATTCAGAAGAGATGGCCGCGCTGGTCAATTTCGTTCTCAGATGTGCAGGCTGCGACCTGAAGATCGATGCGCACGATGTTGAGAACCCCGATGGCGTGCCAGGCAAGCTTGGAGACATACAAGAGGAGTATCAAGCAGTGAGTTCAGAAAACTAATGACCATGGGTAGTCACTGATGAATATGCAGCAAAACATCGTTGAATATCCATTGATCCAGAAGGGCAAAGGCTCAGCGAACTTCCGTCACAACCTGATCGAATTCTTCACATCCCTCATCGAGACCCTTGCCCAGTCAGAACTCCTCTGGACCAATCCCATCATCGTTGAAAACATCGGTCTATGGATCAACACTATGTCTTCAGCCAACAGCCGTCCATTCCGCCACACCGCAACTCTTGTATCAGTAACCATCAGCAGCGCACTATGTATGGTTGGAGCTAAGCTCATCGAGGCCAATGCAAACGCTATGATGTTGAAAGAAACAGAAGCGAAGAAGTCCGGCAAGAACAAAGCGCGGTTGGCGGAGATGGAAAAGAAGATTGAGGCGGGCAATGAAAGAGTGGAGGCCCTGAACGGCATGATTAAGAACTCATTTGATGAAGTGTTCATTCACAGATACCGCGACGTGGATCCCAGGATACGAACCGAATGCGTCACCGGTCTCGGCAATTGGATAATGAACTATCCCGACTATTACTTCGACGGCCAGCACCTTAGATATCTCGGATGGGTTCTGTCCGATGTGCACGCACCAAACAGGCTGGAGGTTGTGAAGCAGCTGCAGAGATTATTTGATGATGCAGACAAGCTTGGCGGTTTGAGGACGTTCACGGAGAGGTTCCGCTCCAGGCTGGTGGAGATGGCAACACAAGATGCGGACGCCCATGTTCGCGCTGCGACTGTGGAACTTCTCGACATACTCCGTGAGGCTGGCCTGATTGAACCTAACGACATCGACTCTGTGGGGAGACTCATCTTCGATGCTGATCCCCGCGTGCGAAAAGCTGTCGTCGACTTCTTCGCGGAAAATATCGCTGAGATCACTGAACAAAAGATCGATGAGCTCGGTGGAAAGGAAGCATTGGATGAAGCTCTGGAAGGAGACGAAGATTACGAAAATCCTAGGCTGGAGTGGCTCGTGCTCAAGTCTCTGGTGGAATCGTTAGCGGCGTACGATGAAGATCATACCCTTCCCAGTCAAATCGAGCGGGTGCCCATGTCGAATAGCTATATGCTTATTGCGGGCGGCATGGCATCGCGGATCGGTGTGGCTGCGGAGGCGCTGTACGACGAACTTCCCGAGATCCAGGAATGGGAAGTGATAGCCGGCTACCTTCTCTTCGACCACTCGCAATCCTCGGCAGGCGCTCAGCAGAACGGTACAACGGACGATCCTGAGGCTTTGCTGAAGCAAGTGTGCAAACTCAACGAAAAAGAGGAAACTGTTCTCCTGGATATTCTTAACGCTTCCGTAAAACTGAAGCTCACTCGCGCCGTAGAAGCCGGCAAGGACAAGAAGAAGACCAAGCGCGAAAGGCAAGAATTGGAAGAAGAACAAGATACTGCCGCTCGACATCTTGCCGCCCTCATTCCTCGCCTTCTGAACAAATTCGGCGCCGTGCCTGATGCCGCCTCTGCAGTATTACGCCTGGAGCATGTTCTGAACTTAGATGTATTCGAGGAGCTCCGTCAAGACTCGACTACCTACTCAAGATTGTTGGACGATATCAACAAACAATTCATGAGCCATGGCAGTGAGGCTGTGCTTGTAGAAGCCAGTCGCGCGTTGCTACATGCTAAGAGCTACGAGGAACTAAGCGAAATCACGGAAGGCAAGGTGCAAGCTCTCTGGGAAGACACTGTTGCGGCGCTGCATGCTCTCAAGAAGGGCAAGGGGTTGATGACTCGTGGAAATCTCAGTGCAAATGTGCTGTCCGCTGTCTCGAATACGGTGCTTCGTATCTCAAAACTGGCCAGCATTTCCGATTGTACCGAGCAATTGGAAGCGCCTCCTCCGGTGGTCGCACCGAAGAAGCAGAGAAGCAGGAAGAGTCAAGATGCAAACCCGGCTGAGAACGCCATCGTTATCCTCATCGAGTTGCTTCGCCGTGGTGTCCCCAACTCTTCTACAGACACGTCGCTTTCAGCACTGGAGGACGCCGTGGTTACCAATTCTGCTCGCTCCCTTTTGTTCTATTTCATGTGGAAGGTCCGCTCATGGGATCGTTCAATCCTCACAACCGGCACCGTGCCACCCAAAGATGTTGAGGCGATTGCAGAACGCCGCGACGGCTGCGTCGCTGCGCTCGAGGAAGTCATCCGCAAGCGCCAGGGTGCCGATGAACTGCGCCTGGCAGCTGCAGGCGTGCTGCTGGACCTTTGCACGCTTTTCACCACGCTCCGCGACGCGCAAGCCAAGCGTGACGCGAAGCGCCTCCGCACGGCCAACGGCGACGCCGCTGCCGGGGGCATGGATGTGGACGAAGACGAATCCCGGGACGACTTCATGGCCCTCCTTCTGGGCCTCAACAAGGACACGCAGAAGTCGCTGCTTCAGCTCCTCGCTGCCACAGAGAAGCACTTCGCCAAGAAATCGCGCCGCAACATCGACGTCGCGGAAGATGACGATCCCATCGACGTTGACGACGATCCGGAGAGCTCGGACGAGGAAGACGACGCCGCCGACGAGGAGGGCGCCGAGGGCGCGAGTGCGCAGGAGATCCTGCTCGCGGAGCAGCGCCTGTGCGAGCTCGCGTCCAAGCTCGTCCTCGCCATCCTCGGCGGCGTGGTCGACGGCTCCAGCGACGACGACGAGGAAGACGAGGAAGAGGCGGCGGATAGAGACGACGGCCCCGGCCCGGTGCGCAGGCGCCTCGAGCGGAACAGGAACAAGCTCGGCCCCAACTTCAAGGAGGTGGTGGCGTACCTGGATGTCGGGACGGAGAAGGGACCGAAGAAGGGGAAGGGCGGCGGCGCCGCGGCGAGGGCGAAGAATAGAAGCGTCAGCGCACCGGCCCCGAACCAGCAGAAGAGCGCCGCTGCTAGCGGCGGCGGCAAGAAGAGCGAGAAGAGCAATGAGTTCGTCGGAGAGGAGACGGACGAGGAAGATGAGGAGGAGCACCACGATGAGGAAGAAGAGTTGAGGAGGGAAGGCCTCGTCGAAAACCCAGACCAGGAGATGGAGGATGAGGGTGCGGCGGGAGAGGAAGGCGATGGTGCTAATGCCGGGGCGCAGGAGGCGGATGAAGAGAGCGTGATTGGTGATTGAAGTGGCTGGATGAAGGAAGCAAAAAAAAAACACAACGTGCAGACACGCACGCATTTGCGGTGTTGCCTCTTCGGTTGATTCTTTTCCTTTTCCCCCCCTTCCGGACGCTGGACTCGGATCGCATTTCGGTCAACGCTCGTGGTGACGAGCTAGTAGTATGGTCGAGTGGTTCATGGGAGTGACGGAGTGGCGGGCGTACGGAATGGCGTCTTGCTTCGTATGGCTCTGTAGAGTGGTTATCTTTCTAGTATTTGCTTTCGGGGCTGTTGTTTTTTACGAGAGGAGCTCAAAGAGTGAGAGAACCGAAGCCATGCGGAGTTTGCAGGTTGGCTCTCGGTCATCATCACTGCATTTCAATGGACAGATTTCGAGGTGCTGAGACTGCATATGTATGAAGCTGCGTGTAGAAGTCATTGCGGCCTTGCCGCATGCCTGAGCTTCTTCCACATGATATGAGAACGCTTTCTTTGAATCAGAACAATGTATTTGGAACAGAAGGAAAGGAGAAGAGCAGAGAGAAGAGAAGAGAAAGAGAAATCATCTTGGTATCAGGCCACTCTCATTGCCTTTGTAGGGATTTTGCCGCCATGCCCATCCAAACATAAACTCCAAGAATCCGCAGATCCAGAGACTTTCAGAGACGGAAGCCAATAAAAACACTGGCTAGCAACAGAACGAAAAAAAAAAAGAAAGAGCAGGCTATAGAAAAACAAGAAGACACCAACATATTGGGAAACAAAAGCGCCCTCGCAAGCAGCCTAGCACTTTCCCTTTCTACCCTTCTTACCGCCCCAAATAGCCGCCTTGTTGACCGGATGTTTCTTGGTCTTCTTCTTGTGACTCTTTTTGCCGCTCACTTTCTTCTTCCCATCTTCCCTCATGATCTCCCCTTCCATCTTTTCCTCTTCGTTTCCCTTCTCCTTTACTTGCTCACCACCTACGACCTCGGCGATGGATGATGACCTCCTGCTCGGATCAGACAAGGAGAACAGAGGGGAGGGGCTGCCGCTACTCCAGTGATGAGCCTCCTCGCTGCCACAGCTCTGATGCTTCTTCCACTCAACAAAGGGTCCGGTGAACGTGAACTCGGACGTGGGCACAGTGATGGTGAGCTGATCCGCAGAGTCGGAGACAGTCTGTATAGCCTTCTGTGTAGTAGCCTCGTGGACACTGGCTTCGACAATATCTTGGACGATCTCCTGGACGATTCCTTGGACGATTCCTTGGAAGGCGATCTCTTGGAAGACCATTTGAATGACGGTCTCATGGGCGGCAATCTCTTCAACAGTTTCCTGAGTAGCGATTTCATTGACAGTCTCCAGGACGGCAATCTTGTCGACAGTCTCCTGGATGGTAATCTTGCTAACGGTTTCCCGCGCTCCAGTCTTTTCGGTGGCCGTCTTTGGAACAGTGGAGTCCCCCAGGATAACGTCAAGAGCGGAATCATCGAAAACATCGCCCACATCTCCACAGCGACTGCCGGGGCCCCTCGAAGCATCATCGGCACCAGGACCCGCGACCATGCGGCTCTTGCGGCCCAGCACGAGCGTCGGAAACGCCCGCAACGCGCTCATCGCGCCCATCACGCCCTTCTTTCCGATCCTGATCGTCCACATGCAAATATTCGTCGCCACGGTAGTCGCGCTGGTGGCACTGTGACCACCTGAAGCGCTGCTACTGTTTTCGGTGATCGTGGCGGTGGCTGGGGCTGAAGTAGTCGCGGCGATATCCCCGCTGGAAGACTTGATGGCCGGGGATTTGCAACCGCGGTAGAGGAGACCGTTGCTTGCCATGACGCCGAAGGCCATCGGGGTGCTGACGGTAGCTTGGACGACGTCGGTGCGAAGGCGCGGGGTGGGAAGTAGAGCCGACAGGGTTGTGGGGAAGGCGGACATGGTGGAATACTGAGATGGTTAGGAGAGCTTTGTCGAATCGCACTATGGTGGTGGTGCAGATCTAACAGAGAGGACGTGTGTGGATGAGGTGCTCGCAAAGTGTGTCTTACTCGCTGTGGGATAGTAGGTAGGCGTTTTAGTCTTAATCTTGCTGTTGATACCGGAGTGGAGGATCTGCGAATAGTCGTGGGTGCAAGGGTGATGCAAACGGTGGTCGAACGGAGGTTGGTGTAGAGTAGAGCGAAAAGCGAAGGAGAGAAGAGTTGGGTGGTTTATATAGAAGTGATCCGGGCGTGATCGAGTGTTAGGTTGGCCTCTGGAGCGTCAGCGGCGGGGGAAGTGTAGAAGTGTTAGATAGAGACCCACGGGGATACGTGCCAGAATCATTCAGCAGCGCCCTCAGGCATGCCACGGCTGCCTGGCTCACTGAAGGCACCGGAACCACTTCTTCTATGAAGAGGGGGTATCTTGGACTTCAGGCTCGACCGGCTGTTGTTGATCTTGATCCTTCGGGCCGTGAGGCTGCGGACTGCGATGTTCGTCGTCCAAGCGGTAGGGATTATCACAACCGCCCTCTGCCGTCGCCGTCTCTGGAATATCGCTGAGAATGATTGGCGATGGTTCCCGCTTGACTGGAGCACCAAGAGTCTGATCTGCGGCGGTGGAGGCCATTGTGGTAGATGGTAAAGTTGGTGCGGTGGTGGTGAAGTGGTGGTGAAGTGGTGGTGTCGGTGATTGAAAAGTTGTTGTTGCCATACTGTTGGGTGTCGACATCTTAGGGCCTGAGGGTATCTCTATCGACCCGGCGGCAAACCTACTTCGCATCGGTAGCTGCCAAGGGGCGCAGGTGCCCGTCCAGACTCGACCACGATCCGAAGCCCGAGTTAGGGACCTCAAAGCCTGGGCCGTCAGAGCGACAACTATTCCTCCGAAGTCGATCGCGCCAGTCAGAGTCAATTTCGCCAAGGCTCTCCCACCCGGTAGGGACTTCGAGTTTGTTCCCCTGCCTACGGCTGGCATGGCCCCGAAACGATCCGGAACCCTCGTTGCGTATGCCCACATTGTGGATCGAGACTCGAATCGACTCCAACTTATGGGACTTCCTCGACAACGTGGGACGTAAGAAGGCAGACAACTACCGAAGCGATCCCTCCTTCTTTAAGGCCGACGGTTCGTTCCGGACCAGGGCGACCCGACTGGTGAATCAAAAGCGCGATCGAACTGGACATCTCAAGGAAAGCCTTTCTCGAGCCACCTCAATATCGTCTCCACCAATCCTGCCGGCGTCCAACCCACTCTAGCTGAACTTGGCAACTTCGTTGTTGATCACCGTTCATCTCACAAAACAATGCAGCAGAAGACTGCATGGGGAGCAGAAGCATTCGCTGCGGTGAGAAGGCAAACTAGTCGTTGCACTTTCACACTGGGACGAATGCTTCGACTCCCCATAGATGCTCAAGCTCTCATCTTTTATAGTTTTTTATCTAGGTGTTGTGATCTCTTAGAGCTTGCGCTCTGTTTGCTCTTCCATCTTAGACAAGCAGTTGCTAAACGCTTCTACACCGAATAGGCCGTGAGCGCCCTGTCGTCCGCTCTGCCGTGAAAGGTCGCTTTCCACAAACACGGTATGAAGTAAAAAGACCCGATTATATCGTCCCTCCGTCCTTCATAAGGCAATAGCCAATGAAGAGAAAATCCAAGAACTGAAACGTACAAGCAATTTCAGTAGAAAGCAGAGCCATTAGGCTGAACTAGAAGGGGAGTGAAAGCTTGCAGAAAAGAAGTGGTATCGTTTTTCGGACTCGACCTTTCCAAAGAGTAATGCCTACCATGCCAAAAATGCCGCTTCCCATGAATAACACCAGCCGCCCATGCAACCCGTGCTTCGTATGGTGGAAATGAAAGCCATACCTGTGAAAACTGCTCCCCCTGCATCTCGTCCACCATCGTGATTACCTTTGTTGGTTTGAAATGACTCCACGCTTAAAACGCTTCAATCATTATGATCACCAAATAGCCCGACATCAAAACTCGTCCACCTGATTCAAGTTTTCCTCGGTCCCAATCCCTGCCATGGCCATCATCAAACACTGTTCTTCAATTCCTCGTTTTTTTTTTGGTCCACCCTTTCCTTTTCGTAAGAATCATCTCCGCCTGCGCGAGCCCCCCAAGAACCTGTCCAAACGGCTGCGGTCCTTGACTTGAATGTAGTATTTTCCGCCTTCATCCGTCCAGCTGACCGACCCGCTGAAATACTCTTTCTCCACGCAGCTGAAGAGGTTTACCCGATCGTTGACGTTGTGGCTCTTGATTTCGTGGTCTGGGTCGACGAATGGCTTGAGGCTCACAATCTTCGCGCCCTCTTTCAGGTCCAAGAACTTGTCCAGTAACGCGCCGTTCAGTTGCGGGGAGAAAGCCTTGTTGTTGACAACGATGACGTCCGCGCGATTAAGCACGCGGCCGACCTCTTGGTTCTCTAAAAAGTCGTCCGCAAGGACATTGATCTTGCCGCACGCGATGCCCCACAGGCGGGCGCGCTGCATGATTTCCTTCTTCTGCAGGCTCGCGCAAAACGACGGATTCGGCATGCTCTCCACGCCCCAGCTTTCGCAGCCGACCTCGAGCGCGGCCTGCAGAACCACGTTACCCACGCCCGACCCCAGGTCCACGAATATCTGATCGCTTTTGAGCTTCGTCTCCTGGAATATGCGGTGCACGAAGCGCGGGAGGAGCTCGCCGTAGACGTTGTTCGAGCCGGCTTCGTAGCGGCGAAGTGAGTTGACGCGGGGCGACACGGTTCGTGAGTACGTCTGCGATAGGATGTACTCGGTGAGAGGCAGAGGCATTGCCTGCAACTCGTCGAGCGCTTGGTTTATCTTGCCAGACGCTAGGGCGTCGCTAACCATCTTGTTGAACTCCTGCAGCACGTCTTTGAAGGTCGAGACGGACTGCTGTTGTACCGCGCGCTTGAGCCGGCGAGGGAAGCCTGTGCCTTCGTCGATCAATGTGTCCGCCTCGTCAGGAAAGTAGTGCTTGCAGATTGTTTCGACGCTCTGGACGATGTCTTCGAGGGGCTTGTAGCCGTCGCTTTCGCGGGGGTACACTAGCGAGAACCTGCGCCGCAGAACAAAAAAATAAAAGTCAACGTTGAGTCGCGTGAGGTGGCCGGCAAACCGTGGCAACTTACCGTTCAGGCTGCGACCTGCTGGGATACTGCAGCCCCACGACGGGCACCTCGCTAAGGCCCTCGAACGCGGGCTTGAAGTCCTTTGTCGCGTGATAGCCCACGACGTTGTCGTCCTTCCAGTGGTCGCTCTTCACCAGGTCGTAGCCATGCAGAACCCGCAGCTTGACGGGTCCGTCCTCGCCGTCGGCACGCCTCAGCGGGGCGGCGCGTATCTTCCGCTGCAGGTCGGGCTCGAGCGAGTTGCTGGCGCGTATGCGCTTGCGCGGCGTGAGCTCGCGGTCGAGGCTGTCCTCGCCATCACTGCCCTCAGAGTCAGACGACAGCGGGGTGGCGGGCGTCGGGGCCTTGCGTTTGGTCAGGCTGCGTTTGATGGTGGGCACGGCGGGTGCGGAGGCATGCCTCCTGCCAGCGACGGCAGCGGCGGACGACGAGAGTGCTGCATTCAGCCTGCTGCTGCTGGCGGGGGCTCTGCTGGCGGGCGTAGGGAGCTTCGGGCGCGGGCGCGGGGTGGCGGGCGACGGCGATTGGGTGGGCGTGCTCGTGCGGCGAACGAGCACAGTCTGGGTGCGGATGACGGGCTTCTTTTTGAAATCGATGTTCATGGCGGCGGCTAGTGCAGGCGGGCAAAAGAATGTGGGCAGCTACCGGCGGAGGGTGACAGGGACGCTATGCAAAGAGCGGGTATCATACGTCAGGCGGAGCACGCGGTAGGCTGCGGGCTTGGAGGAGGTGTTGAGTAAGAAAACATGAAAGAAGGTTGCTGGCTAGAGATTATGCGCGTCAGTCTCGTGCGATCGCCACCAGGGGAGCACAAAAAGACCCGCTTGCCCCAACTCGGCCCGGCACTGCAGCCCTACGACAAGACCACGCTTAATCTTGAGGATGCGCGCCGCGGCCGTGGGCCCTGGATTTGCGCCGCCGCGCTGGGAGCCGCATGGAGGCATCCATGCCAGCAGTCTCCAGCCCAAACCGCCGCCTGTTTGTCGCTCGGCCGTGACTCGCTCCACGCAGAGCCGGCGCGCCCGCGGCGCTGGCCAGCAGACGGCCTGACAGCCGTGCCGCAAGCGTCCCCTCGGAGCATCATCCTGCTCCATGCGCTCCTACCTAATTCCAACCTTGCACCTGCATGACGTCGCCCGTTCAATCACCAGCACGCTCGCGCGACGTTGTATTACACGCTCTGGGCATTCATCTATCGCAAAGTCGTACTACGTCTCCACGCCTCCCTGGCATCTGAAAACCCGAGCGTCCAACACCAAGGCCGCCCGACAAGTTCGTTCCAGAAACCACCCATTCAGCTAAGCAAAAACTTTTAAGGTCCGAAGCGCGGCAAAGAAAGCGGGAAAGAGGTCATGATATGTGCGCAGTGGAGAGGGGTCAGGGCTGCATGCATCGAGAGTCTAGCGTGAAGGAGATCGAGGAGCGGAGTAAAGGAAAAGGAAGGGCCACGCCCTCTTTTGTTCGTTCTCAGAAGGTCGCAGGCGTCCGAGTGCACGTCCGAAAGACATGTCCCAAGTCACCAGCATGCGCGCGAGCAGTCAGTAGGCTACAGTTGCATTTTTGCGAAATAGCAGACATGCTCCCGATACGCCTTGACAATGAACACCACAGCTTGAAGAAAAACCATCGCGAACAGGGCACACCAAAAGCATCGTTCATCCACCGTGGAACCTGACTCCTTGATGCGTCGGAGAATGGGGTATTGAGGCGTCAAGGCGTGGCAGAAGAGAGACGGGGCATCGCTCACGAGGCGATGGCCCGAGAACCACCCCTACGGCTGTTCTTTGCCTTGGCCGGAACCGTGCTCCAGCCGTCATCCTCCAGATCTTGAGTCGTCGATCCTTCCTCTGCAGCAGGAGCAGACTCCTTACGCCTCCAAGATGACTCCGCCGGCTTAGCGTCACGAACGACTTCCTTTGGCTTGACGGCCTTGTCGTCGACAATCGTTCCGTTTGCGTTCTCATCGGTGGCGCCCTCACCAGTCTCCTCGCTTTCCAGAACTTCGAAGTTCGAGGCTGGTGCAGGGGAGCCACCGCCGTTCTCACTCTGACCCTCTGGAGCTGCCTTCTCGGTCTTGGCAGCTGCCTCCTTGGCGCGCTTTTCATCGCGTGCCTTGTCGTCGGATTCCTTCTTCTGGCGCAGGGCAAGCTGTCTCTTCTCCTCGATTTCTCTCTCCTTTGCAGCAGTGTCGATCGGGCGCGCAGCACCGAAAGGGCTGGACTTGGCATCGCCGCCGCCGGACGCAGTCGGCGCTGCCGGGGTTTCCGAAACGGTACGCTTCTGGAGGTTCAGACGAGGACGGCCCGCAGGAGCGGCGGGCTTGGCAACCGGGGAAGAGGGCGAGCTGCCCTCAGGAGTGCCGGTAGGGGACTTGAGGGTCTCGACAGGGCGCATCCTGTCGCGCCACTTGTTGTCGAGTTCGGGCGCAGTGGGCTCTCTCGGGGGGCGGGTCTCAGAGAACTCGCGGCGGGGCGGACGAGACTCCTCAGAGCGGCCCTCACCCCAGGAAGGAGACGGCTTGCGAGGCTCACTGGGGGGAGGGTTGGTCGGGGACAAGGGGCCTCTACGCTCCCAGGTGCCAAAGTCCCTCGTACGGCCGCCACGATCGCTGCCCGCGTCGGATGCACCAGAATCGAAGCTCCTGAAGCCGCCGCCACCACCACGGGGGCGCTCGCCAGCAATGGGGGGAAGGGGGCCCTTGCGAGTCCAGTCGTCAAACACGCGCGTATCCATGCGGTCCTTAGCTTAAGGTTTTGGAGCTAGATCAGTTATTCTTTTCCTTCTGTGAGTATGGGACGGAAGAAACTTACGCGGCTCAGCAACGCTGACGCGGATGTTCCTGCCTTGGAACTGAGTGCCGCTCAGGGCGAGGGCTTTCTTGAGTCCATCCAGAGTACCGAACTCAACGTATCCAAAGCCCTTCGGCTTGCGGTCCAGCTTATCCTCAACAACGCGCACACTGGTGACGTCACAATCCATGAAAAAGTCCTGGATGTCACCTTCAGTCGCGTCGAAGGAGAGGTTGCCCAGATGGGCAGTGTACGGGGGCTTCGAAGGAAGAGGGAGCTCCTCGCGGGTTGCGAAACCGCCACGGTCAGGACCGCGTTCTGTTGGGGACATATTAGCGTATGTTATTAGCAGCGCGAGAGTGCTGGCATACCGAAGCCGCCGCCGAAGCTACCACCACCGAAGGAGGGCCTGCTACCTCCATAGCTAGCGCTGGGACCTATATATGATGTCAGAGGGGCGGTTGCGGGGTCGGGTGGTGGAGGTGGGAAATCTGCGCGGGAGACGAACCACCTGGGTAGCCGTCAGTGTGGCCGTCGCCGTCGCAGAGGTGCACAATTTACATACCGGAGAGGGGGGAGTCCTCCATCTCATCGGCCCAGGAGCCCAGTGCTGTTTCTTCGTCAGCTGTATTCGGGTGGACAGAGCGCCTCAACGCGGGTGGCGCGGTGCGAACGTACACTGGTCGCCCAAGAAGTCCCCGAGGGACATCTTCTGGGCCTGTTTTTTCGGAGCTGCTCTTCATGTCAGCGCTTGCTGCCGTGGTGAGGGGGAGCGCAAAGTCGGCGAGGCCAGTGGCCTCACCGGGCGAACTCGGCACAGAAGGCGAACGAACCCATGATTGCGGAAGTCAGTCAACGCGCTGCGGAAGAAGAGCGCGTCGGCTGAAAGAGTCTGAGGGAAGCGGCGGCCTCAGGGAATCAAACTGCGGGGATGCTGCGGTGTCAATCGGTGTTGGTGGTTGAGCGCGCGAGTGTGCGTCGTAGACTATAGGCTGAAGGTTGAAATCAAAATCCAAACTCGGGCCGCCGCTCTGCCAAGACATGGTTTCGATCCGTCACGTGCTGCGACCCGCGCGTCAAATGGAAGCCAGAGACCCAGACCCCGACGCCCCGCGCCGTGTTCGACTCCAGCTTGACTTGAGCTCAATCCACGCCAGAATGCAGAGCAGCGCTGCGGATGCCTCCCCACGCGTCACCGCCCCCTCGGCGCTGCTTGTCTCCGCCCTGAAGGCCGGTACTTTGACTGGTGAGCGCACAATGGCCCTCCGTGAGGGCGCCGTCCGGTCCCGCCCTTCACGTGTCAAATCAGTGGACGCCCCATCTCCCCGCACTCCTTGTTCTCGTCAGCCTTCTACCCGAGCTTCTGCTCGGCGCGGATGCTTGGGGGCAGAGTCGCACCGTCGCCCCGCACCGGACCGCTACTAATATATTTTTCTAGGCGGTGCTGGCGTTCTGCTCGGCAGCGCCCAAGGCATCATCGCCTCCAAATCTCCGGCGCTGTTTGCAGCTTTTGCAGGCGTGCAATGGTTCACCGCAGGGACCGCGTACTGGGGTAAATTGCTCTTGCACGAGTGGGACATCACATTTCGCTGAACTAGCGACAGCCATCCGGAGCGCCATCTTGAACCGGCGAGGCCTTGGGGTCTGGTACGACATCACGCGCGGTGCCGCTCCCGGAGTCAGCAAAGTCGACACTTTCTCACAGTCGGAGAAGGTTCAGGCCAGCACCGTCGCTGGAGGCTTTTCTGGCGGAATCGTGGCTGCCGTGACACGTCAGTAATCTCGGTGTGGCTTTGCGAACCTGTGCTGACTGACTGACAGGAAGCCGGGCGCACATTATTCCCGGTGCGGTCATGTTTTCCCTCTTTGGGTTTGCGGGGCAGCACCTCTACAGTTTCTTGGATTCAATACATGCCGCGTCTGCTGACAAACCTGCTGAGGGCAAGAGCTGGTTCCGAAAGCTAGCCGACTCCCGGTTCAGCCCCGTCAAAGTGCTCTCGGAGGGAGAATACGAGCAATTGCTCCGAGAGAAGCTTCTCAAGGTTCAGGTGGAACTCGCCCTCGTCGATGAGGCCATCGAGGAACTCCGACAGCAGAACAGCCCGAAGAAATGAGACACCTGATTACAAAGACACGGCTGCATTGCGCAACCCATGGAGACTCGTAGCACGCATTCGGGTGGATGTGGAACTTGCCATTCTGCTGTACCACCTTCGGATGTATATTTCGACTCCCCATGAGTTTACCGCGTTGCCACGGTGTCTTGCAGGCACCTCGCATACTTGTGGGGTGCCCCAAGGCTGCCATCCGGACGGTGCTGCCAAACCTGCGGTGCAGGTCTTCGCTCTGGTCGCTGTGGGGAAACATGGCAGGCAGCTGCTTCCTTCACGATACGGGCCGGCTTGTTATTCGCGTATGGGCTTGTTGCGAAGTCGAAACAAAAAAGAAAGCGGACGTGCAGATCACTCACGGCCGCCTATGAGGGGCCCCACTCCGCCGGCTCGCGATCGTCGTTGCAGAGAGTGCAAGGAGCTCGGCCGAGTCATTGCTTTTTGGACGGTCCCTGAGCCATGTTCCGACGGACGGTGCAGAATAGCGCCCGCTGGTCCAGTCAGTGTGACGCCCGAAACCGTTGCAGCAGCTATCACGCATCAGCGGCGCATAAACGGCTGCCCGCATGCATCCTTCAGACGTGGGGGCGCGTATCAGCTTCGGCCTTCGGATGACTGTAGGATAATAACCGCGGAATGAATGTTGATCAATCATCAAACCATCTAATTTCACTATGATATAGAGCACAAGCTCAGTTGCGGTATATTCTGAACGTACACAAACGGTAGAGGCGAATGTTGGTGCTGACATGACTGAACCAGATGCGACCTGATCCGGCAAGGCGCGTGTCAGCGGAGCGCCGTTTGGAGCAAGACCAGCATGGCGATCCGCTGCCGCCCAATAGAGCTACCAGCAAAGAAAGCTTGCTGCGGCTTCACCCCGACGGATCTGCCGCGATGGGGCTCCGTGGGATAGCGTTTATTGCTGGCACGGCCTCGACCGATCCTCCCGCATCCTAGTTTTGGGGGCAGGAACTGAATCCCGGCCTCGTGCACAGGATGGCAAAGGTCGCACTGGGGAGCTTTCGGTGCCTCGGCTCGAATGGGTGCTGCTGTCCAAGACACTCGCAACAACAAGCCGCCACGGGTGCTGGAGCCGGTGCACCCTACCACCAGGCGTGCCTTACTACTGCAGGCCTTGTCTGCTCAAGAGCATGGCAAAGCTGAGCTGCAAGCGGCAGGGCACTCCCTGTTAGCTCGCTTATACGAGGCACCAGCCGCGATGGCGCCCGGCCCCCTCAAGCCTACCACAGGTAGCTGAAGCTCAACATCACCCTACCGCGGACATGCGGCAGCGCTCACCTCACCGGCCAGCGGCGGTAGCCTTTTCCCACATGCCTAGACCCACGTCTGCACCGCTGCCGAAGACCCTGGTCTGGCCGAACACGAGGTCTGGGCTTGAGCAACGCTGTCGAAACGTTACACGGGCCGCTGCCTTCGCCCAATGCGACCGCAATGCAGCCAGCCAGCGCTCGTGATGGCTGGATGAGACACGTCCGGACGAGACTTCGTTTATTGGGTGCCTGAGGCTGCGTACACGCCGGATCAACCCGCTTGCGTGAAGAACACCAGGACGCTACGCTCGGTGGTAAGGCTGCCTTCCGTTGCCTGACCAGGATTCTGAACTCGGGCCTGCCAAACGATCTCCCAGGCTTATGGGCAGCCACGCGGTAAGCCGTGCCGCAGCCGTGTGCCCTTTAACCTTGCTCCGAAGGCACTAACCTGGAGTCAGCACCCAAATAGATGTCCTCCACCATCCGTCATTGGGGCATCTGATGAGGCTTTGCATCAATACGGCCCGCTGCCTCACTGGTTGCCGGCTCCCCTCTACACTCCGTCGGACTTGATATCCAGTACCTATCTCTTGGCCTCTGACGCGCCAATAGACGCCGCCCCTCCCCTGAGGAGGCCTATTGCGGGAACTGCAACATCTCTCTGGTGCCTGCTGCAGGGTTTCATGTTGGCATGCACTGTGGTGGTTCTAGAGACGCACAATTTCGTCAGCGCGATGCTTCCCCCAAACGCAGAGATAGCTTTGTCAAGACGAATCAATTAATTAAAGAGATCCCGTTCCGTCTCAAATCCGTTTCCAACTATCTACTCATCCCTTTCCTCCCTTCCGTCCAGAATCAAAGAGTCCCTTCCTAACCCAAAACGAATGGACCATCTAGCCCCATCATCCCCAAGTGAGAGTGGATCCGACACCATCATGCCTTCGCGCCAAGCCAACACGAGCGTACACACCAAATTCGATTCATCAAATACGCCAACGGTAGCCTCGACTAACTCGTCGCGGCCGACCACTCCTTCAGTGCCCGAAGTCCCAGCAAGATACAATTCCCGCCCGCATGACGAGAAATTTGCGGAGGACAGCATTCACGACGACAATGAGAAAACAATCAGCTCCGGAGCGGTAACTCCGCCGGGGCCTCCCGGGCCTCCCGGTCCACCCGGAGGACACGAGGGAATCAAGTTGACACGCACCCACGAAGTCTTCTTCGTCGCGACAGTTGCCATGGCACACTTCATGATCCAATGCTGCATTGGCATTGCACTGGCGCCGATCGACATCATCGCGAGAGACTTACGGACGGGGAACCCAGGAGAGCAGAGTTGGTTCATCTCGTCGTACGCTCTGACGGTGGGCACCTTCATCCTCATCGCGGGGCGAGCCGGTGATATCATGGGCCACAAGCGCATTTTCATCTTCGGCTACTGCTTCCTGGGCTTCTGGAGCGCGCTGGCAGGGTTTGCCGTCTACCCGCGCTCGCAGATTTTCTTCGACTTCTGCCGCGCCATGCAGGGCGTGGGAGCCGCGCTTCTCATGCCCAACGCCCTGGCTCTGCTTGGCCGGTCATACGCGCCAGGGCCGCGCAAGAACATCATTTTCAGCATCTTCGGCGCCGCCGCACCATTCGGCGCGGTCGTTGGCAACGTCTCGGGCAGCATTTTCGGGCAGCTGGTCTGGTGGCCGTGGGGCTTCTGGTCATACGGAATCGCCGCCTTCGGGCTCGCCGCCTTCTCCCTCATCGTCATCCCCAAGCCGCTGTCCGCCCTTCCTCCTCACCGGCCAAGCTTCGACTGGGGTGGCTCGGTCCTCGGCGTCATCGGGCTCGTTCTCGTCAACATCGCCTTCAACAACGGCCCCCTCTACGGCTGGGAGAAGCCGTACGTCTTCGTCCTGCTGATCGTCGGCGTGCTCGTGCTCGTGGCCTTCGTTTTCGTCGAGCTGCGGGCGAGCAACCCACTACTACCCAAGACGGCGCTGAACAGCACAGTCATGTTCATCCTGACGTGCCTCGCGTTCGGGTGGGGCGCGTTCGGGGTGTGGGTCTTCTACACGTTCCGGTTCCTCGAGGTGGTGCGGCAGGAGACGCCGCTGCTCGTGTCGGCGCAATTCGTGCCCGTCATCGTGGCCGCCGTGCTCGCGTCGGGCGTGACGGGCTACATGCTCAGCCACACGCCCGTCAGCTTCGTTATGCTGTGCGCCATGGTGGGCTTCTTCCTCGGCATCGTCCTTGTCGGCACCATGCCCATCGAGCAGACGTACTGGGGCCAGGCCTTCTTCGGCATCCTCGTCATGCCCATCGGCATGGACATGTCGTTCCCGGCGAGCACCGTCATCCTGAGTAACAGCATGCCGGGCAACCACCAGGGGCTAGCGGCGGCGTTGGTCACCACGGTCATCAACTACAGTGTCAGCATTACTCTGGGAATCGCAGCACTCGTCGAGGTGAAGACGGTCAGTCCGGTTGATCCGGCGCCCGCGTTGCCTCCCAGCATTGCGGAGATTGCTCATGGCATGCACATGGCTTACCTTGTGGGCATTTCGTTCGGGGCTGCAGCGGTAGTCTTGGCCGCGATTTTCTTTGTAAAAAGTTTCCTGAAGGAAGGTTGGAAGGTCATGGCGCATTGAGTGTTTGGAGAGTCCGTCGCTACTGTTCACTGCAATCTGTGCTGGATTCTCCTGAGGTTGGGAGCGGGCTCAGCGAGGGACGCCTTGAGTCACTCGTTGAAGACATTCAGTGGCTTATCAGAGCACATGGACGAGGCCTATGATTTCTCTTCACGTTGTATATTGTGCATTTTCCCTGTATTTCCTTGAAGGAGTAAGGGAGCAAAAGAATTCTAGCAGATGTTTACGAAACCATTCGCTATAAAGCAATGCTCCCTCCAGTGACAGTCAATCCTCTTCTGTCGAGGCGGGTTTCCTAAATTGCAGCATGTTGAGGCAGTGGAAGCACTCTAGCCCGATTCTCGTGCGCACAGATATGTTGTGCATCCGCATCCAGATGGATGCTTCAACCGCCCGCTTTGCCAGCGCAACACAGGCCCGTCACGCGAACAGGCTCGCGCCGCATGCTGCAAACGTCGCTCGATCCTGCTTTCTCTTCCCCCTCCCCCTCTCCATCACGCGATGCACGTCACGGCTTCGGACTTTCTGCTCAGCCTTGCTAGCTCCCCCCGCCGGAAAGTATCTGATCACAGCCAGAATTTGTAATCGGAGACATAGTTCGCAATTATCGCGACGCGAGTGCACAATGTCCGGCAGCGGTACGTCCCCCCCCGCTCGCATACCATTCCGCCCAATCACGGGCGCATGCGCTCCTCACTGCATACATCTGACTTGCAGCAGCACAACCACAAATAACACCCTCCGAAAAAGCAGCAGTAAGCCCAAAGCCGTCAGGCACCCCGCCACACCCGCCGCCACCGCCATGGTCGCCGCCGCCAGCCCGTCTGACAACCGCGCCGCCGCCGAGGTTGAGGCGCGACGACCACAGCGACAATGTTGGTTATGATGATGGCAGTGGCACAAACAACACCGTGGCAGACGCCGCCGTTGCCAATAATGTCAGCGCTGCTGGTTCTGCTTCCGCCGCTACCAACGCTGTCCGCACCACCACCACTACTACTACCACTCGAGCGGCCATCTCCCCACCCGAAGCCTACCGCCGCGACCAAGACACCGATACCCGCGCCCGTCGCCTGACGCCGAGCGGCGGAATCAGCGTAATAGCAGCAGCAGCAGTAGCAAGCCCCGTCGACCTGCCCGATCTCGCGCCCGCGCCCGCGCCCGCTGCATCGCCGCCTGGAACCGTCGTCGCAGCCCTGCAGGCGACGGCGCCGTCTGTTGGTGATCATGCGTTTGGCGCATGGCGAGCCGACGCTACCGCAACCGCGACAGCGGATGAAGATGGTTTTGCTTCCGCTGCCACGTCTCCCGCCGCCGTGGAATCGGAGTCAGATCTGCCGCCGCGCTTACAGACGCCCGGGTCGTCGCGGACTGTGTCTTTGTCAACCCTGTCGTCGTCGTCGATGTCGCCGTTGGGATTACCGATCACCACCACCACGGGCACGGTAGCGACGTCCGCATCATACCAATATGGAGGACCCGCGACAGTAGCAAGCGAGAGCTATCACTCCCCTCACCCCAGCCACAACCGGTCTCGACGCATGGCAAGCGTGGGAGGTCAGCGCGAGCTGATGCGGTTGAGGACGGCGGGATCGACGACACCGGCGCGGAAGCTGGCGCCTGCTTCCACTAATGCTTCTGTTGCTTCTTCTACCTGGGTGACCAATCACGAGTACCGGCCCGCTAGTACTCTTACCACTAACGAGCTTAGCTGGGGAAACAAGAGCGCCGAACCAACGGCGCAGAGACACGGGCCCGGATGGATAGGTCCCGCGAGGGGAGTCCCGGCCACGCCGCTACAGGTCCGGCTGATGCCGCGGAGGCTGCTGCTTGAAGAAGGGTACCGGGAGGAGAAGGAGGAGAAGGAGGAGGAGGAGGAGGAGGAAGAAGACGGCGACGACCAGGATGGCCGTGCCGGCAGCAGCCCGACGACGCCAACGCCAATATTGACGGCACCGCTATTGGGACGACGAAGACGGACGAACAGCACGGCGGCCGACGAGATGACCAAGCGGGTAGCGTCGTCACCGCAGCCGCTGCCTCCGCCATCGCTACCACCACCCCCCTCCCGTAAGCGCCGTCGCGCAAGGCCGAGCGACGACGACGACGACTCCTCCGACGAAGAAGCAGACGACCACCACCACCACCACCAGCAACTGCACAGCCCCCTCCTCCTCCTCCGCGGCCACATCCCTCCGCCCTCCAAGCGCGTGAAACTGCACCCGCCGCCGAGCGCCACCGCGTGCTCTCCACTCACACCTCCCTCCCCACAGATGATTACCAACACCGCGTCGCCGCCCCTCTTTTCCCCACCACAAGCCGTCGATGGCGCCGGCCTCCTCGCGCATGCAGCGGCGCTGAGCGGCAAGGAGCAACGACGAGACCGCCTCGCCGCGAAGCTTCCGCGCGTGGCCGAGCCCCCGTCGCGCCGCTCTCCGGTCGACTCTCCCGGGCCGCCGCCGCTGCGCCTCGGCTCGGCGTTGTCGTCGTCGTCGTCGTCGTCGTCGTCGTCGTTGTCATTGTCGTCTGCGGCGGCTTCGGTTGCTGGAGCGCTGCTGCCGTCGGGGTTTCCGGTCGGGTACTTCTTCGGGGCGTTGGGTGAGGCGGTGGAGGGGTTGGCGCCGTTCATGGGGGTGGGTAGGAGGGGGAGGAGACTGTTGTTGGGAGGGTCTTTGTGGAGACGGAGAAGGACGAGAGGGAGGGCGATGGCGAGGAGGAGTGAGATCGTTGATGTCGAGGTGGTTGCTTCCTAGCTCGAGAGGTGATGGTGTTTTGGAGATTTCAGCAGAAGCTCAAAGCAAGGCTCAGTCGCTTTTGTGTTTCTTTTTCCTTGGAGAAGGATAAGCGGTGCGGCTTTCGCCGGATGATAGGGAGCTTCCGACGACGGTTCGCATGTAGTGAGTACATGCTTTTAGTCATTGTAAAACGTATATATGAACTTTTGATCAGACGTATGCTCATTTCCAGAACACTGACTTAGATTTCACGGTTGATTACAGACGATTTTAACTGTTGTGTTCTCCGTAAATACGGAACACTCCTTTGAGTACAGTTAGAGCTATCATCTGGATGTAGGTATGAGATTCCAAATCATGCAGATGCATTCGGGTTCGGGATTCTACTCCCCCTGTATGTAAGTTGCAGCATCTCGGTGAGACTCGTGGAAGCAGTCTTAATTCTCTGGCAACCTGCTTCGTCGTATTATGAATGAAGATACTCTAGTGACGGTGCTTGCACTTCGATGACCGTTTGACTACTCCGCATCCAGCGGCTTCTGGGCATAGACAATATACCTACGCTTATGTAAGCAACGCCGTACCGTCGTCGTCTGTTTGGGAACTCACATGTCGTGCTGAGAGTGAATCGATCGGTTCTTCAACTCCTTTTTGAGGTGCGAGACATGCACCTCAACCTCTTCTTTCTTCCACCCCCTCGTCCCCGTCAACAGCCTCATAGAAAACCCTTCCAACCCATCCACAAAGTTCGCCAGATTCAGCAACCCAACTTGTTTCTGCGGCGGAGAAGAGAAAAAAAAGGTCAGCTCTCTCAAACATCAAGGGAACAGCAGGACATGCACTCACCAACCCCTTATCCTTCGCCCACGGCCCGATCGGGAACGCGAACCGCTCGTTGCGCACGCCGACGAAGCCGGCTGCCTGGACCCAGCCGGCGAGCCGCGAGCCCGGCTCGGGCTCGACGCCGAGCGAGCGCATGCCGGCGGCCGACTCGCGCAGGTAGCGGCAGAGGTACGAGTTTTCCTCGTCGAGCGAGCCGTCGGTCGAGTAGACTTGCATGTTGAAGTCGTGCAGCTCGATGAAGCCGCCGGGTTTGAGGTGTCTGTTTGTTTGTTTGTCAAGTTGTTGTTGTTTTCACCACGTCGACGGTGTGATCGTGTTGGTAGCGCGCCGCGTGCGGTGCGGAGGGAGGGGTGTGAGGGAGTTGGGAAGGGGGGGTGGGGGGGGAGTTTTTTTCTTTCTTTCTTTTTCTTTTTCGGGAGGGTGACGGCGTCGTCGTCGTCGTCGTCGTCGTCATCGTCGTCGTGGGGAGGTGCGATGGAGGCAAGGAGAGGTTGTTGTTACTTGTAGCATTGGGCGACCAGCTTCGGCCAGTCGCGGATAGAGCCCATGAGGTAACGGGCGTGGATGAAGTCGAACTTGTGCGTGTAGGTCCACTCGTCCTCAATGTCGTCGACCTCGAAGCGCACGTTGGGTGGTACGAAACTGGGCTGGATTGGGCTGAGGTCGTTGCCCAGGACGCGGGCGGATTCGTACTCGTCGCCTGCATAGGTATTGTCCTTGTTAGACGCAGTTCTTGTGCCAAACGTCTTTCTGTGGTCATTGTCATGTTATTTAGAGGGCCCCTTACCCATTTGAATCGCCCAAATGCCGGTGCCAGTTCCCAAATCCAAGATGTCCTGGACGTTGGAAGGAATGGGCGCGAGGTGCAGCTTGCCCCCGATACGGAGGGTGATCATGTGGTGGCATAGGTCTAAGCGGTCGTTCTCATCCTACGCCCACTCGTCAGGATGGCCGATACCCGTTATATCGAAGGGGATCCAAACCTCATCGTTGGGAGCAAAGTAAGCTGAGATGTCGGTGTATCAGCAACATACTCCTGTCATGCTCTCCAGCTATGGCAGACATACCTCCCTTCTTGAAACTATGGTACCTGCGTCCATTCTCATATTCGTAATCTGTGATAGAGGAGCTCAAAGAAGACGTGCTCGGCCTTTGTCATCACTGTTAGAAACATGATGGAGCTCGTCTTGAGCGACCAGGGGGGTAAACGCCGAGGGGTAGATGCTGCGTAGCAGCGTAACTCCGAGAGACGCACAGATCACTTCCATAGGAAGATTCTCCCTCATCGGATGCCTGTTCGTTGTCAGGAAACCTAGACATTTCGACTGCATCTTGCCTAGTGCTGGCGGGGAACTCTCGCAGTGCGGCCATACCTCGTCTGCCTCGATTTGCTGAGGCTCAGGGTCCTCGGTAGGTGGACACATGTTGGTTTAAACGATGCACAAGATTCAACGATTACACAAAGCCGAACAGACGGGAACGGCAGACAGATGCACAATGTCCAAGTGAAAGGCCAGGTGTTTGTCGCGCAGCTGGGACGTTTTCACCCCCACCTACCTCTCTGCTGTGCCGCAATCGCTTAGCTGGCAGCTGCGGGTCTCTTCAGGGGTGACCTTTATGGCAAGCAGTCTCGCGGATCTTTACCCGATACTGTCTTCTAATTCTCGTCTCGCGTATTGGCAAGTATTGCCCCACGGTCTACAGCCATACGGCAACATCGTATCACAACCTGGACAGAGCAACCAATTAGCCACTCGAGCAAGATTTATATGATGGAGCTAGCGGTTACACATAGTAGACCACTATCTATCGCACGTCATGTTGGA